GGTTCTACTCGGACACGCCACGTGTACCACGTGGGTTATTAAGGCTTAATGCAAACGTGGTTTTTTTTCCTGCAGTCATTTATTTCTTCGAATTTGTAACTGTTAAGGATCTAGCAAGTTATACCAGATCCTTCGACTTATTACCACCTATGTTGAGACCAACATCTGCGCCACCGCTTAGTAGCGTGTTAAAAGGTCGAAGGATCTACTAGCAAATCATACCTAGACCTGATAGGCCGGACTCCCTGCCGGTGGCCTTCCTACTGGTCTGACATAGGACTAAGAAGCGGTTAGTGCAGGGGATTCCACCTGCCCTGCTGTAGCCGCAAGGCTGGGCTAACGGCCCGGGGGCGGCCCGCGGGCATCTACTAGGCCTAATTATGCTAGATCCTTCGACTTATTATCACCTATATTTAGACTAACATCTACACTACTAACACCTATTGAACGATGTACCCTAGGCTCACGGAACTGAGCTGTGATCTTGCGTTGCTACCGGTAGATCAATTGGCTGATTATGTATACGATAGTAGATAAATTACCATTCATATATCGACTATTCTGTCACATGGCTCCGCTCATGACACCTGCTCTTAAACCACGCAAATGGAAGGCAGTTCGACCAGACCAACCTCGGCAAAACGAGCCTCATGCGATCGCTGTCATCTTCAGAAAATCAGATGCCCTCGACCGGATTCGGACGATTTGAGCAGCTGTGCCCGGTGCCGATATCTGGGGATACAATGTGCCTATAGCGCGCCATTGCCAAGGGGACGGCCAAGTGGAAGCAGGAAGTCGACCAGCAAGAGCTATAGAACGCCGAAGGAGGTACCTCTTCTGCCTCGGCCCTCGCAAACTACCCCGGAACCAGTAGACAACCAGGAAACGATATCTGACGAGCTCCAATCAGTACTGATGTCTCAAGATTGTGGCTATCCGGCAGGGACCTGGTTTGAGTCGGATCCATGGTCCTTGTTAGGGACTGCAGCTGACAGGGGATCATTCGCTGATCTTCCCATGGAAACAACATCAACATACACCTCAAGCGCCTCATCTGCTGAGCTATCCCACGATGACATTGTCACAAATTCGATGCAGCAGCTGGCAACGCTAAGTTGCAGCCTCTGTACGCTTCACACCAAGTGTCGCAACGAGATCGCCCGCCTGGAGCTCCAGCCCCAACTCGTCTCTCATACGAACGCCTTCAATTCTTTGGCGACTTTACTGAAAGCCCTACCGAGCCTTGACGAATACGAGATATACACGGAAGCCTGTCTCGCATCAAAAAGCTTGCTCCTGGTCATGTATCGGCTTCGGCTCTTCGACTCCCCGAATGATGAAGCCTTACCGGCTGCCCTGCGGCATCTTCTCTCTGCGTGTTATGTTCAACTCCTCCACGTGCATACGATTCTGGTCAGGCTTATGTCATATGAGGTTTCGAACTCACCGGATCTTCATCAAGGCGACCCCTTCTCCTTCGCCCGACTTCGCCTGGTGGTCATCTACAACCTTGTCAAGCATCTGCTGGAACACTTACGGCGTGGCTATGGTGCATATGGTCTGACAGTGGCACGGTCGAGCTCTCAGCCAACTACCCATACAGAATCTCACGAAATCAGTGAGGCTGAACACAAGCTATGGAACGACCTCCAGGGGTTGGAAATCTGTCTTTCTCCAATGTTGCAGACGCCTTCGGTTCATTCATATGCCGAGTAGCTTGTAATGACTTTCTGTTTACGTTTCTGGCGAACTAACGTATTCGGTGAGCGAACCGCCCACTACCTATAAGCGAGCCGCCACTTTCTCTCTGACAGCGCACCCTACATTGATTTGAGACCATTATTTCTCTCCAACAACAATAAATACATTTAATGAATTAAGTACTGGTACAATAAGGGCATTGAGGCCTTCTATGCCCGAGAGTACTACACTCACTGCATCCAAATTAGCGGCGCACAAGCGTTGGGGAGACTGGAAGCTCAGGCTCGGCCGGAGCAGCAGTAATACTTTAAGAAGCCTCAACTGGCCTTCTTATAATCGCCTGGGCTTCCTCTTTAGTAGGACCTTATTCATGAGGTATCTGCTTCTTAGACTGTCAACTTTTTGCTTCTCATTCCTATTACAGCCTCATGATCAAAATCAAGATTTTATTTCTATATAATTCGAAGCTTATTTATACCCATTTCATGAGCTTTAGACGCGTGGTCAATTGCTTCATCAACAACTTCCAAAGACCTGATCTGGCGCTGAATTATACGCCTCTGAATTTTGTACATATGATATTTGAATTGATGGGGATTTTAGGTGTTTATAAGTAAGAAAATTATAAATTACAGTAAGAAAGTTATATTTATTAAGATAAGTAAATCTCAATCTTATTTATTACTCTATAAGCTTCCTATCTTATGAATGTCCGCGACAAGTATTGCTCTGAGTGTGGCCTCTCTAACCTTATTCTTACTGAGGACGAATGGAAGCAGATTGACTATCTTCTTTCTATCATAAACCCTGCTTCAACTTCACAAGAGTTCTCTCAAAGACTAAGGATGTCACTATTCATATATTCTTTAGTATCTACAATCAGCTATTTGATTATCTCGAGAAGTTTAGCGACCAGCTTAGACAAAATAAGCAAGATGACAGATAATAACATTTGAATGTGAACTGCTCTCGAATATGCAACACGGAAGCAAAGAGACTGTTATGCCGAGACTGACAAGGCCCACGGTGATCTCTATGCAATTGCGACTATCATGGCACCCCATAACAAGCTTGATTACTTCTCTAGGGAGAACTGGAATGAGCCTTATCGCAAACAATACCGCGAGAGCCTTGATAGAGACCTATATAGCAGGGCAGGTGGAATACCCTGCACAAACCCCTTCTCAGTCCTATGTTGGACCGGTAGGAAGGCTACGGGCAGAAAGTCCGGCCTAAACCCGCCCGTTTATTAGGCCTAGGTATAATTTGCTAGTTCGCAAATCGTACTAGATCCTTCGATCTATTAATACGCTACTAAGCGGTGGCACGGATGTTAGTCTTAATATAGGTGTTAATAAGTCGAAGGATCTAGCATGATTTACAAATAAGCTGATAAGAGTAGCTACTAGGTGGGTTGTCGATAACGGCCTATAATTTAGAAACAGTATTTAATCACAATCATATCTCGGACACGTGAAGGGATTGACATTGACAGCTTAGGGTCTCACACTAGATTTCGGCGTTGAGTCCAAACCTTGTATGAAAGACATGCTATAATATGGCACAGCGAGCCTGGTAGTGCAGAGGCTCGCTGTATACTGATGCATGGAAGTTATGCGGAAGAGGTCACAAATCACCGATATGGCACGCTGTCCGATTGAGTGCTACAGACAACAGCACACACTTATCTGGCTAGGAACGTCCGTAGAGCTCTATTTCTAATTCATCCTTTTGCCCCTATATTATCCCTGCCACGTCCACGTCTACCGCACTACAGTAACGACAAGTCTTACGCGAAGTATCTTAGTTGAGTATCGATCTTATTTAGGGTATATTACATGTAGCAACATTGGAAAACGCGGGCACTATATCTAGCCGGATTTTTTGACAAGCGTATCAGTCGACACGGATAACCAGCTTCTGTCCTGAGATCGCCCCAGTACGAATTATGTCCACACCCTGGATGACACCGGCCCAGCTGTCGGCTAAGACTCTGACTGGGTGAGATTTGATGCGACCGTTGTCCAGCAATGTTTGTGTAGCCGCAAAGATCTTCGCACTTAAGGCCCGATCTGCTGCTGATGCTTCGCGCGCGTACTCACCATCCAACGCGACGCGACCGCCGAACATGGTCAGGACCATCAGCCACGAAGCGCGGACGGTCGGGCGCGCAGCTGCCACGGCTTGGGGGACGGGCTCGAGCGCGCAATACCGCCCGCCAGCCCTACCAATTGCACCATAGCACAGCTGGGCGCTGTCTGACTCAGACACGCAGTCGAGCGCATACGCCAGGCGGTTGCGTGTGTAAGTGCGGATCTCTTTGGCGCAGTCCGGGCTGCGGTAATTAAACGCCTTTTCGGCTCCAAATCCGAGGACCAGTGAGAAATTCGACGGCGAGCAAGTTGCAATTGGCCGTAATCCTGCCCTGCAGAGTCCTGTCATCAGCGAGCCGCTTTCAGTGCGACGAAACCAAATGCAAAGGCTCAAGAGCTTACAGCTTGAGAAGTTGAATGGCCCTGGTGCCAGTGGCGGTGCTGCCTCCAGATACAAGGACCCACACCGCATTCGGTGTGACATCCGAATCTGACCCGGCCGGGCCGGGCCGGCCGGCCCTGTCGATCAGATCCTCCATACGCGCGGGGATCTCTAATTCGCGAAACAAGGCAAGACCGGCGGTGGCCAAGCCGATGCCGAGAGTGGATGCCTCCTCGAAAGCCATCGTGTCAGGAATCTTGAGGAGCAGCTCAGCGGTCGCTCCAACATACTGTGCAAAGGCACCGACACGGGGCTCCAGAGAGTTGTTCCCATGAACGGCCCCAGCAACCCTGTCTCCGATGGAAAGATGACGCGGGGCGTCGGAGCCGAGTGCGACAACGACCCCGGCGAAGTCGCATCCATGAATAGCGCCCACTGCTGGACTGTAATCGAGCATCTTGGCGTCGACGGGATTAATAGCGACAGCAACAGTGCGAACAAGGGCCATATCAGGGGCCACGTCAGGCAGAGGCCCATCTTGGCGCAGAGAAAGCTGACCGGGGCCGGCAACCACCAAGGCACTCTGGCACCGTGGGATTGCAAAGGTGGAGGCGACCGAAGACATTACGTAAAATAAGACGCAGAACACTAGCTCCGCTATTCTGAGGACTGTTGGGACTGCTGGGGCTGAAGTTGTCTGAAGTTGTCCCCTTGTTCTTTGGCCGGAAGCTTCCCTCGCATCTTATCTGCAATATGGGAATCGCCAGAGCGCGGCAGAACGGACCCCAATATATGATACTCCTTAGGTTACATCGTTGTGAGGAAGTAGGACTACTATTGGTGGCACTGCTGTTGCCTGCAGCTGATGCTCGAAGTCGCCGGTCATCGTCCGCGAAGCTCCTCATCTGAATGGCTGAAAAGCGCCGAACGTCAGAGAGACCAAGGAAACCCATGGCGCGAGATCACTTTCCGTAGACAGCATAATCTGGAATTTCAACTCATCTCCAGCCGCATATCCAGATCAAATGGTCGCTCCAGACTCCCAGTACCTTGCCAACTCGGTCAAACATCAGAAAGGTATCGCTTTGCTGCTGTCACGTGAATCACGCGAATCCCGTGATAATATTCTCCTTCCCCGTTCTTGCCCCAAACTCGATTACGGCGCGTTGACAGGGATCCCGCTGTATCGAGCAATTCAGAACATGAGAGGATGATGCAACAACCAGAAACTCCTGAGACTCGGTCTGAAAATGCGGAAATTCAATCACAAGATGATGGCGGGGACTATACGCCACGCAGAAACATGATCCCCATCATGATTGCACTCTGCGTCGCGTCGTTCCTTGCTATTCTTGACATCTCCTTCGTCACAACCGCCTTGCCGACAATTTCGGCGCACTTCAAGGCTTCTCAAATCAGCTACTCATGGGTTGGTTCGTCTTACCTCGTAACCCAGTCCGCTTTGGCTCCGTTTTGGGGCAAGGTGAGCGACATTTTTGGACGCAAGCCAATTACGTTGCTGGCAATGTTCGTCTTTTTCATTGGAAGCTTGGTTTGTGCCGTAGCAAATAGCATTGGCATGCTTATTGCTGGGCGTGCTATTCAAGGTGCTGGAGCTGGCGGCGTAATGCTCATCGTGACGATTCTAATAGGAGATCTCGTCAGTCCAAGGTAAGTGACATTGGGATATTCCAGCTATGAAGTTACTTTATGCCTCCAAAGACTGCTCCCTAGAATGCGCTGACCCACTTCCCAGAGAGCGTGGACTATATTTTGCCTTTCTCGGTGGGGTATATGCCGTCGCAATATCTTCCGGTCCTCTCATAGGAGGAGCACTGGCAGAAAACATCGGCTGGAGATGGTGCTTCTACATCAACCTACCGTTCCAGGGAATCGCTTTTGCCCTCCTGGTCTTTTTCCTCCACGTTCACAATCCCCGTACCGAAATTATCAAAGGTTTAATGGCTGTTGATTGGCTGGGATCGATTGCTATTACAGGTTCGGTCCTTATGCTTCTCCTGGGCCTCCAGTATGGCGGTGAGGTGCATCCTTGGAGCTCTGCCATTGTCGTGTGTTTGATACTATTCGGCGTGTTGGTTTGTGGCATCTTTGTTGTCATCGAGTGGAAGCTGGCCCGTTATCCGGTGCTCCCTCTACGACTGTTCACGACTCGCCCTATTATCGCCCTTTTCGTGGTGGATCTCACGCACGGATTCCTTTTGTACGGCACGGCCTACTTTATCCCATTCTACTTCCAGGTAGTTACTGGAGCAACACCAATTGACTCGGCGGTCTGGTCCCTTCCTCTCGCCATTCCCCTGGCTCTCTTCACCATCGGGACAGGTCTTTATATGCGGAAGACGGGAAGGTACTTATATATGATCATTGCAGGCATGGCTATCTCCACTCTGGGCACCGGTCTGTTGATCGATTTCGGTGCAGAAATCAATTGGCCAAAGATCATCATCTATCAACTGATTATCGCCGTCGGCCTGGGTCCCAACTTTCAGGCACCGACCATTGCTCTGCAAGCAAGGTTTCCGCCCGCCGACGCGGGCGTCGCCGTCTCCGCAGCCAGTGCAATCCGCGCACTCAGCGCCGCCTTCAGCATCGTTATGGGCGGCGTCATTCTTGAGAATCGACTCTCGGCACAAAGCGGTCGTCTCATTGTTTCTGGAGTCAGCCCTACAATGGCGGCAGCAATTGCACGGGATGGCGCAACTGGATCTATGGACCTCGTTGCACAGCTCACTCCGGCCCAGCAGAACATTTTCAGGTTGACCGTAAAGGACAGTCTTGCCGATATGTGGATCTTCTTCGTCGTTCTTTCCGGAATTGGACTGATTGCATCTTTCCTCGTTGGAAGCGAGGAACTTTCCGATGAGCATGTTGAACATAAGACGGGTTTGGGAGTGGAAGAGGCAAATCGATTGGCGCATGAAAAGCCGCGGGTCACTGAGCCAGAATCGGCTGAGATGACTTGAAAACACTCCACAACTTGGAGGAGTGCGATACCTCACCCACGCTGGTGACGCATCTTCTGATTTTTGGCATTCGACAAGAATGCGCATAATTTGTACTTTCTTGAAGTTGGAAGAGGAAACAAATTGCCAAAGGAGATTGCTCTGAAATATTGCAATCGATTAAACTTATCGACCGCATTATCAGGTCCAGCGTCACTGTGCAATAAGCTAAATCTGTAAGAAACCTGAACTACCACTTATATACCTCGAAGAGGACCTCCATTCGATCGTACAAGTTCTGCGCATCTTTCTATTCATATCAGTCATCCGGTGCTGTATCTTCTCTTGCGTGATTTTGTTCCATTCCACTTATAGAGCCTCTTTCATCTCTTCTTCGGAATCGAAGATTCTTCGGCCTAAGCGTTGCTTTACAATAGCCCAAATACCTTCAACAGGATTAAGATCCGGACTCTGGGCAGGATGGTCCCATAGGTTTTAGATATTGTGGGCCTTCTTGTGCTCTTGTGCTAGTCCATATTTCCTTATCCCATGGGAAAGGTCCCCATTCTCTTGTAAAAGCCATGATTTTATCGTCAATAGGCCGTATAGATTTAACATAACAGCTTCGACGTTTATACGTAGAAGGTCATCTACGTAGTACTTCTGGGTCATTGAATTACCCCTAAACCTTGATCTCTACCTTATGAGGCTTCCCAGCTTCCCATTCCCTTACTCATTTGGTGTATTCCTCCTTATCAATCTGGGTAGAGCCCGGCATCGGCCGAGCCCTAGTTCCTAAAAATAGTGCAATGGTGCATCAGGATCGGCGTATTTTCGACCAATCACAGTCTGCACATGTGTGTTTCTTTGTATTCCTCCTGCGCCCCTCTCGGGGCTATTAACACTCAATTACAATCGCCGCGACACGACGTGTTTCCTGCGGCAGGCAGAAGCTTTGATCTGCCAAGACTACACTCGCATCAGGCATCAACTTTGGTCTACTATGACTACACTCGCATCCTACTTTTGAACCATAGTCTGGTTTTTCATCTCAGCTCACAACACTCTGGCATCCACTCACTCTTCATTGATCTACTTTCTCTGGCCCCTTTCTCCGGCCCGCTACGAGTTTGCTCTACCACGAAATCAAGCCAGTTTGCCTTCCTTCTCCGCTTTTCCTTGACAGCTCTGCCACCTCTTTGTCACTCCCACACTTCCTAGCCCTAAGCCGAGTCTCGTCCATTTCGTCTCGACTCAACGCATCTTCAAACCCTCCCCCCCCTCCTCTCTTATATATATATATATATATATCTATATTTATATCCCCCCATTATTACCACTATGTCGTCCCCGGAAGCAGCCGGCCAAAATGATTCCTTCCAGTACCTGGTCTCCTTCGGCCCCGACGCCAATTGCACCCTCGCCCTATGCCCCGTCGAAGCCTCCCTCCAGGGCTACCGGCCCGCCTTAGGTGCGCAAATCGCCTTCATCGCCCTCTTCGGCGTCTCCATGCTCATCCACCTGGCCCAGGGCATCTGCTACCGCACCTGGTTCTTCGCCAGCATGATGGCACTCGGCTGCATCGGCGAGATGATCGGTTACGGCGGGCGCGTTTTGCTATACCAGAACCCCTTCTCCTTTAACGGCTTCATCATCGAGATCTGCTGCATTACAATCTCACCCGTCTTCTTCGCCGCCGCCATCTACGTCTCGCTCGCCAAGGTCTCGAATTTTTTGGGTCCCGAAGCATGCAGGTTTCCGGTCAAGACATACGTGTGGGTGTTTGTGCCGTGCGATATCGTTAGTTTGATCTTGCAGGCCGTGGGCGGCGCGTTATCATCGAGTTCGGTGGGAAGTGACAAATCGGGCGAGTACATCACGCTTGCAGGTCTGGCGTTCCAGGTCTTCACTCTTACTATCTTCACCGCTATGGCGTTAGACTACCTCTTCCGCTACAAATCGTACCGGAAGTCTCAGCAAGTGGATCAACGCCGGATCCTCTCGACGCGCCTCGGGATCTTTGGCATTTTCTTCTCGGCATCAATTCTCTTTATCTTCATCCGTTGCTGCTACCGTATTGCCGAGCTCAGTGAAGGATACAGTGGGTCAGTCTTCCACGATGAACGTCTGTTTATTGGGCTAGAGTCGGTGATGGTGATCCTGGCGGTGTTCGCTTTAAACATTGCTCAACCAGGTACGGTTCCGTCCCAAGCAGGGAAATTCTCGTTTCTCATACCAGTTGCAGGCTTCGCATTCCAGAACCGCACTCAGGAGGCCAATGCAACCTATGGTCACCATGTTGAACTCAAATCCAGCTCCGAGCACAAGTCGTCACAAGTGTTATGAGGTGAGCTCATGAAGGATGTTTGGGCGAAGCTCTCTGTTACGGACCCCTTTTGAAGAGTTGATAGAATAGAGAAGGGAGACCCAAACAACTTGGATAAGAAGTGATAGGAGTTTTACAAGGTCTAAGACAACAGGATGAATCATGTGATAGGTTACAACACTGGGAGTCAAAGGACAAGTATCTCTCCAAAGGGAAGACAACTGCTTGTATAGAAAAGGGGTACCTCTTGGATAGAAAGGGAATCTTACTTGTAGAAAGAGGATACTTCTCCATAGGAAAAGGAAGGGAACGACTATCTCTTGCCAGATCGAAGTCTTGGAATATCTTGCTTTCCTGAGGACCTAGGATCCTGAGACCTAGTTCACAGTCTAAGTTACTTCGCTAGCTGTTGTTTTATCAATATAGGGTTTGCCTTACAGAAAAGCTGCTGTTGAAATAGTATAGTCTGGTGGTGTTTTTATATATCCTGACTCTAAAATTCTTCAAACTAGGTTTATCTATTAATTAGATTAAATAAAGATATCTATTTAGCTCTACTATCTTTTTACTGGAAAATTTTTATAATGGAATGTGTCTTTTGGCGCAATTGCTATTTCTACGCGCTACATTCTCAATTAATCCATGGTTCTTGTTCGAATGTTCAGGGGAAGGAATTGCTCTCCGGTGGCACTCTCTCAGAGGCTAATCAAGAATTATAGCATGCGAGATAAAAAACCGGGCTGATGTTATCTCGCGCTTGGACCATCAATGGTGAGTCCCGTGCGATGGGTTGGAATAAAATTGCAGGAGCAATGAACATGGATCTACGTTTGACGTAGCCATTACGAGCGTCCCTAACTTAGGGACAACGATACAGTCGCATAAAGCTATTTTAGACTATTCGCGCGATTAAATAGGCTTTAAATAGTAGACAGAAGTGATTCACCTCTCGAGTAATATAAACAAACGGAGGGCGGTAGTGGCGATTAGTCTGCTAAGAGGAGGCTTAATTATATACCTCTCAGTGAAATTGACACCACTTGAATCTAGGGCATTATTATAGCTTCTACTTGGAAGTTCCCAGGAACCTAGATACCGATTACGAGCGACTTTGTAGTGGAAATTTACGTATGTTAACAAAATGGCGTAAAGTCTGACGTTCCCAAAATCATTCAGCGGCTTCCCTATCTGGAACAGTGACTGCATCAACCAATCAATCATCTACCTAGTTCCTAGGAGCAATCTCTTCTGAATAATTCTAAACCGTGGAGATGACCAAATGTAGAAAGATGATGCCTAAGTAAGATTTGCGGTCTTCTAGTATGTTCATGTGATACCTGCAAATCAGTTCGCAATGGCTTCTAGGAGCGTGCAGATGATTTAATAGGTTAATCATCCATCAGGCTTCACCGAGGCGCAATGACTACCAAAATAAAACATGAGGTTGTTGATGCCAATTCGTATGGATGGAGTGGGGCCAATCCAGGCAAACCTTCACGTGGATAGGGCTAGCGTATTGCGTTTTATTGAGGTGTCCTTATGCTTAGTGTGTGCTTAGTAAGTAAGTCAGAGTCCAGTCAGATCAGGGTAGTTACTTAGGGGCGTGCTTAGTTCTACTTAGTGAGCAAAAGCGGCGAGGGGCTAAGCACTAAAACGGAACAGGAAAGCCCCGACCTGGCATAGGAAATCCGGTATATAGGAGATTTTTGAACTAAGGGCTGGAGGGAAAGGATTTGTAAATGCCTCATGAATTAGGCACCCAATTTACTTTTAGGACTCCTGGACTTGAAGGCTTCCTGGTGTCTGTTGATGTCACTTCTGTCTCTTGTTCTTGCACGTTCCCGCCAGGAAGGCTAAGGCCATGTCTTATGTCAACTGTGGGGCGATCCGATGCAGGAAAAGCTTCAAGTTTTGTATGTACTTATGACACAACCTCCAGCTGCTTCCCAGAGCTGAAAAATCCTCAAAATCTATGAATAGATATTGACATCTCCTTCCTATGGCTCATCAGCCACAGTTTAATGGGTTATTCTGAATTAAAATGAGGCTGTGCAGTCGATCCACGGGCCCCCTGGAATGAATTTGAGGCGGTGCTTCATTCCCCCTCCTCAGCCCCGCTTGTTAACCCCCGAGTGGTGCCGCGACTCTGATGCGCTTAGTTAAGTTGCGCCGTGTCGCTCCTGACAATTAAACCGCTGACTTCCATATCTTCTGCTTCTTCAACCTCCTTTCCATCCCTCATACCTCTTCTCCTATCTTCCTTTCCATCAATAACCACACCTACTTTCATCATGTCGCATTACGGTGGTCCTCCCCCCAACCAGTATGGTGGTAGTGGTGGTGGTGATTACTATGGCCAGCAACAGCAACACCAGGGCCAGGGTTATTATCCGCCTCAACAAGGTCACGGTGGTCCCCCACCGCAGCAGGGCTATTATCCTCCCGATGTGAGTCTACAATCGCGACAGCAGATACATACTCTCTCCAATGCAATGAAATGCGCAGCTTAACAGAGCCATGCGCCACCATACTTCCCCCGGAAATACAGCGCTAACTTATATCCCAGCAGCAACAGCAGCAGCACTACGGCCAGCCTCAATATGGCGGCCAGCCCCCGGCTCCTTACGGCCAACACCAGCAAGGCTACGCTCCCCCACCATACGACCAACACCAACAGGGCCAGTACCCCGGCGGTGGTCCCTACGGACACAACCAGCAAGTCCCTCCTCAGGACCGCGGCCACTCGCCCTACCCCCCTCAGCAGGGTCATGAGCAGTACCAACAAGGCGGCGCTAGTGCTTCATACTACGGCGGTGGCGCTCCCCAGCATCAGCAGGGGTATGCTCCTGGCCCGGGAGGTCCGGAAGGTGATCGGGGTCTTGGGTCCACGCTCATCGGTGGCGCGGCGGGTGGGTTTGCGGGTCATAAGATGGGTGGTGGATTTTTGGGGACTGCGGGTGGTGCGGTTCTTGGTGCGGTGGGAATGAATATGGCGACTCATGAGGTGTAAGTTGACCCATCACTGGACTTGGTTTGATGGGGTTTGAGGTTTTTGGGATTGAAGCTAATGGTGATTGTATTATACAGGAAGAAGCACAAGAAGGAGAAGAAGGAGAAGAAGCATAAGAAGGATAAGCACCACAAGCGCCGTGGTTCGAGCTCCAGCTCTAGCTCGAGCTCTTCGAGTGATTAAGCTTTGCTGCAAAGCACCCAGGGCTTGCTTGCTTCCCCTTTACACTGTCATGTGCATTGTTTGGATCGCTAGCGAGTCTGGAAAATCATGGAAGAGAGATTTGTGTGCCGGGCTGCACGGCCATGCCAAATGATTACCGAGGAAACTATGATTACCTGTGACGCCTGACTCGGCGGGTCTGGTGATGGCGACATGCGATATTCTTATACCCCCTTTTTGAGTGCGTTGATGCTGGCTTATGGTGCTTGAGGGATCATTCTTTCACAGTCTGGCTGCTGTCATTGCGTCTCGTCTTTTATGCGTTAATGAGTTTCAATGCCTATCAAATTCATTTTTATCGTTCCGGAAAACCGTGGATGGAGTAAAATGATGACAACTCGAGCGCAGTAGGATTGCTGAGATACGCTGATCAAATATCTTGGGGTATATCGAATATAAGTACAGTGATAGTTACAGGAAGCGTTTTGATAGTGTGATCGAGGTGCCACAATGATACAGCGTTATACCTTCGACTCTTGCCTAGAAGGTTCCAAATTCTCAAGTGGAGTCTCGGGCTTGGTCTTGTTCCCGGCCTTGGCTTTATTATCAGCCGGACTTCCAAAGACATGATCGAGATCGGCCTCGGTGTCCACATCAAAGGCCAGCTGAGGCATGACTTTGGGAGTGTCCCAAATGAAAAACCACTTGTTCACCGCGACACTATACTGCATACGGGGAACGAGAGACGAAATACGCCTCCACAGACGACGCATGAACCGATCGGTAATTTCATGCGGGCGACCATTCGAAAACTCGCGGAAAGTATGACCTTTCTGAGGACCTTTCGTCAAAAAGTCCAGTAAAGGGTCATTCTCCTCCTCAATGCCATTGCCATGCGATGTCACAGGTTTGACCGGCCTCTGCCGCCGTGGGGCCCAGGCCACGGTTCCCTGAATCAGCCCATCTAAAATTCGAAGCTCTGCATCTGGAATTGGCGGTAGAAGAGTTTCCAACATATTCCCATACCACTTCTTCCGGATGTTGACTCGACGAACTCGAGGCACCGGTCTGCCCCAGCTGTTTGCCTCGGGAATTGGGGGATGCAAGTTTTTCAGTGCAGGCCGAATACGTGATGAAGACAAGACACCATTGTGCATTTGAGATTTTGCAAGACTCATGATAATCTCTGGTGGTTCCCAGCCATCTTCGAATTGGATGGGTTGAGCAATGAGTTCTTTAACGGCCTCGGTGTTCTGAGGAATACTGGGCTTCATCAAATCGGCCAGCAATTCATGTCTTCGTTTGCCTGTGCGACCATATGACATGAACAGAATTCTCTCAAGTGGACGCTGATAGCCCTGATTCGCTCTTTGAAGGACAGATAGACCATGTCTGGCCGGCCGAGCTAGATCGGGGTCAGAGCGGTGCGATTTTTGAGATCGACGATAGCGATGCACGACATATTCACGCATGTAATCCCGAGCAATGGGATCAGGGAGATAAGTGCATTCTCGTAGGGTAGCCCGAAATAATGATCGCCATACTATAGAGTCTGGGGTATGTAAGGGCCGGGATACTCGTGTCGACGCCATAAGTAAGAAGTGGAGGAGGCCCCGAACCACCCAAAAACGGTGAAAACGCGAAAACCTTGGCGGCACAGCGTGTCACGGGACAGACGCGCCTCTTTTCGCTCTTTCCACCACCAAGAGAACCCCGCGACCTGCTCTCGCCTTGCATTGCGCCTTGGATCTTGATCTCGATCTAGTATTCTGACACATTCTTGGTTCTCTCAGATCAGTTCGGGGCCTTCCTTTTATGGTACCTGTCCTGCGCTTGTTGCCGCTATCCCGACTGAACGGGTGGTAGCCACGCGCCTCCTTTTGCTCGCGTCTTCCCGCCATCCGGTAACTATCTCCACTCTCCAATATTTCCTACCCTGGTCACGATTTGCTGGCTGGCTTGCTGACTGTGCTGGAAGGACTTTTGCAGCATGTCCTACTCACAGAGTAGCACAGGATCAGCAAACGGTTTAGCATACAATATTCTTCACAATTCACAATCCCTCTCGTCCACCCCTCGCGCGACTCCGCCGCCGCCGAAAGCTCCGCAAATGTCCTCGTTCGGTGTCTCCAACGGCGCCTCTCGTGGCAGCTTCAACGGGAACTATGATGGTGGAAATGATTATGGGTCTATGATGCCCTACCAGGAGGAATTCAAGCCACAGATCTACCGAGTTGGTTACTTCGCTGCTGACGCTGCTGGCGTGGAATACTAACGGGATATCTCAACTAGGCGGTATACTCTAATGTCTCCGTTTATGAGATGGAGGTCAATGGAGTCGCTGTCATGAAACGTCGGTCCGATTCCTGGTTGAATGCGACCCAAATCCTGAAAGTGGCTGGCGTCGTCAAGGCTCGACGCACGAAGACTTTGGAGAAGGAAATCGCTGCTGGAGAGCATGAGAAGGTTCAAGGTGGTTATGGAAAGTACCAAGGTACCTGGGTCAACTACCAGCGAGGCGTTGATCTGTGCCGAGAGTATCATGTCGAGGAACTGCTGCGACCATTGCTGGAGTACGATATGAGCCCCGATGGCTCGGGCGGTCCTTCCCAGAGCACCCTTGATACCCCTACGAAAGAACAAGCCATGGCAGCGCAGCGCAAGCGTATGTACAGTGGTGCAGAGAATCGGAGCATGCCTCAACCCCAGCAAGGAACTTTCTTCCAGAATATTTCCCGCACCGCGGCGACTGCAGTCAATGCCATCAGCAAGGCCCGCTTCGACTCTCCAAGTGGGAACAGCCGACGACCAAGTGTCATTCGCAAGCCATCGCATCAGATGAGCAGTCAAGAATCCATGGCCTTCAGCAGCCAGCAAAGCATGTACAACATGTCCGACAGTGGATTCAGCAGTCTACAGAATCGCTTCCAGCCACATGACGACCGCGAGGAATTTGTGGAACCCCCACGCAAGCGTGTTCGCTCTTCATCACATATCGGCCCACAGATTGGGTTGCACAGAGAGCCATCCAATCTCTCCATGCATGAACCCACCCCCACTGAGCCTAACGAATCATTCTATCAAGATCTCGACCTTCCGCCGCCGCCAATGGATGATGGACACAAACGTGGTGCCGAGGCCATTCCCCCTGCTTCAGATCCCGAGGGTTTCCAAAAGCAGAAACTGATCATGACTTTGTTCCTTGACAAACGAATCAAGGACTTTTCCAACCACCCAGCCCTCATGCAATTGACTGGAGAAGACCTTGAGATTCCTCTTGACGAATACCGAAACAATGCCCTCCATTGGGCTGCCATGCTGGCACGTATGCCACTGGTTCATGCTCTCGTCGCAAAAGGTGCGAGTGTCGCGCGAGTCAACGCCGCCGGCGAGACTGCTCTGCAAAAGGCGGTAGGAACCCGGAACAATCTTGACTACCGAAGCTTTCCCCGTTTGCTTCAAGTGCTTGCGCCCACAATCGATATGGTCGATTACAGTGGTCGAACTATTCTCCACCACATTGCTGTCATGGCAGCCACTGGTGGAGGCGGACATGTCTCCGCAAAGCACTACCTTGAATCCCTGTTGGAATTCATTGTCCGGCATGGTGGAATTACTTCCACCGCTAATGGCGATCACTCACAGAATGGATCACAGGGCAGCGAGGTCATCTCTCTGGGCCGATTCATTTCAGAGATCGTAAATCTACGTGATGAGCAAGGTGATACTGCTCTGAACCTTGCTGGGCGTGCACGATCAGTGCTTGTTCCTCAATTACTGGAAGTGGGCGCAGATCCTCATATTCCGAACCACACCGGGCTTCGACCTGCTGATTACGGTGTCGGCGTTGACATGGTGGATGGAAATGGTCAATCGCAGCAAGCCGGTGGTCGAAATGATACATTCATTGATCAGCTTGCAAAGTCCAAGAAGGAGATTCTCGATGGTAAGATTCAATTTGAGTGCTTGATGGCTTTTAATGATTTATGCTAATTTATCCCAGCTGCGTTGTCCCAAATCAATGCAATGGTCGAAGAAGCTCTTGGTGGTATTGACCGAGACCTAGCGTCCAGCATCACTCAAAAACAAGAAAAGTTTGATCACTGGCACTCCAAAATCCGCGAGGCGGCCAAGGCACGCCAGATCGAGCAGAAGCAGTTGGATGTGTTGAAGCAGAAAGGTTCAGAGCGAGTTGAGATTGACCGACGTATTAAGAACCTAGAGCGGTCTTCCGAGGGCTTGTTGGGCACATTGAAGAGTACGCCGGGAATTGACTTTGCTCGGATTGCCGTTATTGGTGATGCCGACAAGAGCTCCGGAGTGGATCCTGCCACGTTTGATGTCTTATTCGGGGAGACATTTGACCCGTCTGCTGGGTTCTCGGCCCAACAAGTTGCTTTCTTGGCTACTCTTCCTTCACCGGATGGGCTTAAGCGTCGCACTCGATGCTATCAAGAGCTGAATGTTGGCCTCACAGCCGAGGTTGACGCTCTCAAGGCCAAGAATGCAGTTCTTGGGCAAAATTACCGTCGCATGGTGATGGCATGCACGGGTTGGTCAGCCGAACAAGTGGATGAGGCGGCCGAAGGTCTGACACAGTGTGTCAAGGAGCTGAATGACAATCCTGTTCCTGAAGACGAGGCTATTGAGATTCTCATGCGGGATCGTGGACAGGACTGGTAGTTCTCTTAATTGTTATGATTATTGTTTGAGCGTTCGGACGGCTTTGTGGGATGGCGTTGTTTGTTGCATTGTTATCATATGATTCGAATACCCGGGTGGCCTACCTCAATGTCAATTTCGCATGTTTAGTATCTACTGTCTTAATACATCATGCACTCTTGTACAACTTTGCTTTTAGTTTATCTTTGGGTAGCGTGGGGGTACAGGCTAAATGCTGAGTAGATTACCCGGTGCAACGGCCTGGGGTAGTTAGCCCAAGCCAGCCAAGTCCTTTGCCAATGCCGAACAAACCGTTTCTCCAATCCCCCCGCAATCGGGCTCCATTCGGAGAGCTATGCGAGTGAACTACCGGCAAAAGACCGGTTGAACGCGATGGTCATTCCTTATAAGAAGGATGTCGGTTTACTTTCCGCGCTGACACGGAAACCCCTTCTCAATAATTGTCAGAACTACAAGGCCTCGCAACCATGGCCAACGGAATCCTTCAAGTGAAAGAAAATACCATTATTGATGGCAATGGAAAGCAAGTCGTCTTGCGAGGCGCTGCGATCGGAGGATGGATGAAGTATGCAAGCTTTCCCCTCTCAATTTCTGTCCTCAATCAAATGCCGGATGAGTTGCCATACTAACCGATCCTAGTATGGAGAACTTCATCACTGGATTCCCCGGTCATGAACATCAGCATCGAGCGGCTATGCGCCGAGTCCTTGGAACTCAGAAATACGAGTTCTTCTTCGATAAGTGGTTGGAGAATTTCTTCACTGATGCGGACGCCAAGTTCTTTGCGAGTTTGGGGCTGAATTGTCTCCGGATTCCGTTTAATTATCGTCATTTTGAGGACGATATGGCGCCGCGGGTTATTAAGCCGGAGGGGTTTAAGCATCTTGATCGTGTGGTTGATTTGGTTCGTTTCCCTCTACTCTACTTACATTGGTGTTGGTGTTGGTATTGGTGTTTCGGTGAGGCTGATAAAGGGAGCTATTTAGTGCGCTGCAAATGGCATCTACACCATCCTGGATATGCATACCGTGCCCGGCGGCCAAAATCCAGACTGGCATTCGGATAATCCTACGAGTTATGCTGCGTTCTGGGACTACAAGGATCATCAGGATCGGACTGTTTGGCTTTGGCAGCAGATTGCCGCTCGATACAAGGATAATGTCTGGGTTGCTGGGTATAATCCTCTGAACGAGCCTTGTGATCCTCAGCATGTGCGACTACCTGCATTCTACGAGAGAATTGAGAAGGAAATTCGGAGCGTTGATCCTCATCATATACTGTGGTTGGATGGAAATACGTTTGCTATGGAGTGGAAGGGGTTCGATAAGGTGCTGCCGAATTGCGTTTATGCTATGCATGATTACTCGGTACGTTGCAATGCCCTGATGCACCAGCGATAGGGTCATGATACTAACTGGTGATTGTTTAGACAATGGGTTTCCCTACCGGTGATGCCTACAAGGGCACACCCGATCAAAAGGAAGTTCTTGAACGACAGTACCTCCGTAAAGCAGAATTCATGCTCGAGAACAAGACCGCAATCTGGAACGGCGAATTCGGTCCCGTCTACGCAGACCCAGTTCTCGACGCCGATGCCGAAACAATCAACCAACAACGATACAATCTTCTCGGCGAGCAACTACGGATCTACGACAAGTACAACATCAGCTGGTCAATCTGGCTGTACAAAGATATCGGCCTACAGGGTATGCTCTACACCAATCCAGAGAGTAAATGGAACAAGACCATCCAGCCACTCCTGGAGAAGAAGCGCCTATTCTGGCTGGATAAGTGGGGACAGCGACCTGCCGCAGAGCCTGAAGCTGCTCTTCGACCTTTGGTGAACTGGATTGATAGTGTTAGTCCGACGGCTAAGTATACGTATCCCACTCACTGGAATACGGAGATGCATGTTACTCGCAATGTGTTTAATACTTTCCTGGCGGCGTCTTTTGCGGATGAGTTTGCAGCTTTGTTCCGGGGGATGGAGGAGGAGGAACTTGAGGAGTTGGCGAGGAGTTTCCATTTTGATCAGTGTGTGCAGCGGGATGGGTTGAATCAGATTCTGAAGGATCATGCTCGGGCGTTGCAGTGAGGGAATATAGTTGAAGCGATAAGAAATTCTCTACATGACTTGTGTGTATCTCAAATCCAAAGAGGGGTATAGATGTGCGTGGTAATAGAATCATGAACTGACCCAGACTTGGTGTATAATTAATATCCCCACGCACCCTTTAGTATCCACACACTATCGATAAGCAGAAAAATCAAAAAGATCGCGGGGTTTCGCACTTTCACCCGGTTGAGGCTTCGTGGAGTCAAGCGACGCAGTTCGGCCCTTTAGATCAAAAGACTCGACACACTTCGTCGACATGGCCGAATCTGTCTACCCACACACGCTCAACGGCGTCTTCGATGCCCCTCTCAACGCCCGATATGACCCCATTCGCTTGACCTCCGACCACATCGTCCCCATTCTCGAGCTACCCCTCGCACGAGAGGTCCTCGGCCTCGATGCCTCTGACAGCGAGGCGATCGCGAAGATTGTCAACTCCGAGATTTCATATACTACCTTCGTTGCCGACCAGGCCCGCGCCATCCTCAAAACCCCACGCGACGGCTTGACATCGGAGCAAATACAATCGCAGCTTGTACATATTGGTCTGGCGGCGCTGTTCACTTTCCTCCAGTCCAATGTGACTGGACCGCCCTTGGAATTTAACTCGGCTGAGACGGTTCTTCCTTCTTCTCTGCGAAGCGATACCGCTATACTCCGAGGTGTGCGGGCTAAGATCATCCGTGATCTGTCGGTGGATGGAGAAGCGGCTTATAAGCTCACGCCCAACCCTGAGCTTTTCTCCGTCGCCAAGGCTCTGCTTGTTGACGCGAGTGTTGATGGCTCAGTTCCAGCAAAGATTGCCCGTGTGCGCACCAATTTCCTTCACCAGAAAATGCTCTCCGAAGTCACGAGCACATTGCAGGACGAAATATATAAGGACCTGGAGGTTCTGGTCAAGGCAGAGCTTGATGTAGAAGAGAGGAGTCGGTTCTTGCTAGAACGGGCTATCATTAATACACACCATGGGTTTGATGGGAAGGCTCGGGCGGATCTACACCAGGCATCCCAGGTCCGCAACTTCGAGTTCGCTTTGACCGGAAAGCTGGGAAAGCGGACCAAGTTCCAAGATCGCGATATCAGTCAGCTTGTGGTTGTGGCTAAGAGTGCCGATGTGACGCCCAAGCCGACGGAGCTATCTGGTCCGAAGAACGTGGATCTTAACGATGATACCCTCCTTGAAGCCATTTCGTTCGCGGACAAGAAGTCATCGACTGTATCCGATGAGCTCCCTGAGGGCCTGCAATCCGTTGATCCTAATGAGCAACCAATTCTCAACCCCGTGGACTCAGCCATCTTGCTGGCCATGGCGTCCGCTATCACCAACACGGCCCCCGAGAACGGTCTGACCCGTGAGGAGACACAACCTTATGCCACCCGTGTTTTGGAGGGTGGTAGCTCGAACTGGCAGATCTATACAGAGGCACTACTAGTTCGCAGTCGCGTGGAGGGTTTCCGCTCGCGTACCGTCGAGAGATCTGTTCTGCAGATGCAGGCACTTGTTGATCAGGTCATTGCGGATACCGCCACAGCCGACTCTGCTGCTCAGCAACCCTCTTCCGATCCTACCACTTTCCTGCCCCGGCCCGAGAAGTCCGAGTCAGCCCCTGCTGCTGACCGACTGGAGTACATTTGGCTGATGAACTTCTCTACCCGGTGGAACTTGGAGGCTGAATTGGCCAAGCGTTGGGTTGAGCTGGGTGGTCTCCGTACTGCTCTTGAAATCTACGAGCGGTTGCAGATGTGGGCTGAAGCTGCACTTTGCTATGCTGCCACCGAGCGCGAGGCTAAGGCCCGGACTATGGTTCGTCGTCAGCTTTACGAGGCCAAAGGCTCTGATGAAGATGATGAGAATGAGCAGTTCGAAGGTCCGGAGCGGTCCACACTACCGGCTGATGCACCCCGGCTCTTCTGTATTCTGGGAGATATCGAAAAGGATGAGACGCTGTACGAGCGTGCCTGGGATATCTCAGGACAGCGTTATTCCCGGGCTCAGCGGTCTCTTGCTCGACACTACCTGGCTCTCACGCCGCCTGAGCTGGAAAAGGCCGAGGCTGCCTACCGCAAGGGTCTGCACGTCAACCGTCTCAACGAGAGTTCCTGGTTTGCCCTTGGATGCGTGCAGCTAGAACTCCAGAAGTTTGACGATGCTGTCGAATCTTTCACCCGCACCGTTCAACTAGACGATACCGATGCCGAGGGATGGAGTAACCTGGCCGTCGCCACACTACGCTCAACGACCCCTGAGCCCGCCCCAGAAGTCGAAATCGACGAAACCACAGGCGAGAAAATAGTCAAGGAGACCGACCCCCACAAGCGCAAGCGAGACGCCCTCTCCGCCCTCCTCCGCGCCGCCCAACTCAAGCACAGCGAAGCCCGCATCTGGGACAACGTGCTCACAGTAGCAGCCTCAATTCCACCACCCGCAACACCATTCCGCGACGTGATCACCGCCCAGAAGCGGATCATCGAACTCCTCGGCGAAAAGAAGGGCGAAAAATGCATCGACCTCCCCATCCTAAGCATGCTCGTCGACTTCCTCATAACAGCCTTCGACTACGACTCCCTCCTCATCCAATCCGACGACGGCCCCGTCGTCCGCACAGGCACTATCCCAGGCCAAATCATCTCTCTGGTCGACAACAACATCGTCCCCCTCATCACCCACTCCTCAGTGCTATGGCTGCTCGTCTCCCGCGTGGAAATGTTCCGCAACAGACCTAGTCGCGCACTAGACGCCCACGAAAAGGCCTGGCGTGCGACAGTCGCTGCCTCGGCGCAGGGCGCGTTCCAGATGGGCGATGAAAAGCCTTGGATGGCTGTTGTTCGGGCTACGGAGAAGTTGGTTCGTGATGGATATGCGCGGTATGGGCCTATGGATCATGAAGCGAAGAAGGGTGAGGATGGCGCGGAGGCGGAGATGGTTATGCGGGATTGGCGGTTTAAGGCCCGGAGTGCTGTGAGGGGAATTATGGGGAAGGGGAAGGACTTTTGGGAGGATTCGGAGGGTTGGGAGTTGCTTAAGGTGTTGCAGGGTGAGGTTACTGGTAACTAGAATATACATGCTTGTATATCCAGCCTTTGATGAAAATAGATTTTATGTTTATGATGACTTGAAATAGCAAGAGGCAATAGACAGGAGGGTTGACCTTGACTTTCTGTGGCCTGAGGGGGATCATGAAGCAAAATACCTAAAGTTAACCGTTTTCCTAGTTACTTATGCGCAGCATCTGAAAATCTTTCTCGGGTCATGGGAGAATGGCTCATTGCCTCGGCCGTCTTTCCTCATAGCATTAAAGTTCAGGTGTCAGTCCTAGCAGGTGTTCCTTCCTGCATCCGAATGTCGCGTCTCTGCCGATTCTTCTCCCTATGGTTCGCTCTCTACAAAACCAAAAATGTTAAGAAAAAGTGAGTGGTATGCTGTTATTTTTAAACTGCCATGATCAAATTTTGGCATGTCACCAAAGATGCATTGCTCTAACAATGATTAAAAATCCAAAAAGCCACAGTCGGAACCGAAATCGCTAATCGGAATATCTGAAAGCAAGAGCTGGCAGCAACACGAGGATACTCAGATCCACCTGGGGGAGCTTTCATCTTGTCATCAAAACTCGTCTGAGGTGACACCGAAGCTGCCGAATTTGCGATCCCTTGGGTCTCGCTCTTGGAAGCTGAATTCGGCTCCAGCGAGGATATAGAATCATAGCAGGGCTCACGTTTTGTAGAAGTGTGAGGCACACTAAAGAGAAGCCGATACCCCGTGATGTAAATGATAATAATCAGCGGGATCTCAAGGGCATATGAGAGCTTTTCCCCTGTCAGCAATATACACTGGGAGGAAATAGTTCGAGCCAAGACAAAGCCCAGAATGTTCGGCATGAAGAGTTGCCCGAACACTTGCATTCCTTTATAGGTGATCGGAGCAAATCTGGCAAAGTCTTGGGAAGCTTGTCTGATCCGTTGTTGTTTATACAGCAGGATAAATAGCAACCTGGAGAAAAAATGGGCCGAGAAGATTGGAGTTAACACGCAAGATATTTGGTATGCATATGTGAGAAGACCTCCAAGTACATTGTCCTTCAGGATCTTCTGAGAAAGTTGGAGCATCACTGGGTGTATGTCGGTGTGAAGTAGCCGGGTGATCAACGCTTGCTCGATGTACCAAGCGAGCGACATGATACGCAGCGCGATACGGGATATAATGTAGACAAGACAGCGCCAGTGCCCACACGTCCACTTGGCTGGACGGATATTCAGGGAGAGAATCCTTTCGAGCTTCGAATCAAGCTCTGGATTCAAGGAAGACGCGACAAAATGAATATCTGGATCGGAGTTTTTGGACCAGAGCTGCTGTATGCGGTCGCAGAGATTATCTTTCAGAAGAGAAGGCTGTGCAAGGTCTCTATTGTCTTTGTCTTGCCCAGTCACATTCTCTTTCGCTGGGTTATCGGCATGGTCATGGACGCGATAATCAGCTGCGGAAACAAGCATAGTACAGCGAGGCCAGCCTCTCTGAACGAGAAAACCATCATGTGAAGAGTCTCTGTAGAGCCATAATAATTCGGCCAGCACAGGTTCAGCGACGAACAATGCCATGACGACATGGAGCCATTGATAACTGCTCGACGCTAGCAGTATCGCGTATAGTGACAGTGTTACCCCAATGAGGAAAACGCGTCGCGCAAAACGCGGCCAGACCCCGCGTCGAAGGTCAGACGAGTCTGATGAAAATTCGACGTGAGAGACAAGTTTTAAGCCGGTTTTTATCTCGGCGATGTTCAAGAGTCGCAAGTGGAGCAAATAAATGACGAAACTCGAGACCATTCTCAGAGATCGAAACGGGGAGAATGACAGGATATTGTGTTTGACATCTTCAATGAAGGTTTGCCGTCCGCTGGGTTTGATGATGTTGCTGATGGTGGCAGTGAGCAGGAAGCTGATAAGTAGATGCGGAGTGTCTTTGGTTGGGAGGTTCATTGTCCGCTAGATAGGTGAGTGTTCTCTCCATATAATGATGAAGAAGACAGCGAAAATGAGAGGGAAGAGATGATAAAATGCAGTTCAGGTCAGGGCAGGAGGCTACAATACTAGTGTCTCCACCGGCGTACTGTATCCGAGATTACCAGCTAGTTACAGTATTACACCCCCGCCTGCCGCGAGCGGATACGGGAGTTATGTGCTAGTGATTAGGCCTAGGAAAGCGTACAGCCTACCCTTCCTTGAAGAGGGGGGTTGTGGTTCACGTTCGGATTAGAGCTATTGTAATACATAATCAATACCTGATGTCGGAAGTTGTAACGCTCAGAAACGGAGTTAATTGCATGCCGACACCTCCTTCGACACCAATTAAGCCGCAAGTTCTTCGACGAGCACATCTTGTATGTAAATTATCATCAAAACACGAATTTTCGAGAAGCACCGGTAGCGGCATAATAGAGAAAACATCCTGATTTCTCATTTACCTTCCATCTTCCGCTTCACCATACCACAAAAGCTCTCGAAAAGCACGCTGTCTGTCCCTTGGATCCAACGAATCAATACTTGGACTTCTTTCGGCTCTGGCTCCTTCCCTTGGTGTAGCTTTAGTTGGACCCGAACACCCAGCGCAACTTCTTGCGGGATATCATCCATATGCCCAGTCCCTGCTTGTGCTGCAAGCTTCATCTTCCTTCGAGCCTGTCTCGACCACACATTTTCAGATGCAAATCCCACACCGGCACTGATGCTCTTGTTCCATTCCCAGTACCAGGGGATTGACTTAAGTTCAGCGTTCATTGTGCTGATAGCAGTATCGATATTCGTCTCAGTGGGAAGCGTGAAGCTGAAATCAGCTGGGAAAGGAAGCAAATGTTTCGGAACCCCCGGGATATTCCGTGCCACTGACTGCGATTCATTAGCATATATTGTCACTAAATGCGAAGGATGCGTGTAGGTAGGTGTCTTACCATCGCAGGTCGCCGATTCCCCCAAGACCACGCCACAGCCCACCGCTTCGTTTTGCTGCCTTGGACAAACTCGGTTACCGCGTAGTTGTAATTATTGTGCTTGATAAGTAGCTCAACAAGTGTGGTCACGCTACTGAGTTTCCCAAGCATTGATGTGTACCACTGAATCCGGTCTCGTAGGTGTAAGCTCTCATTGATCATGCAAGTGACGAACTCTACTTCGCCGCCGGGCGCGATCATTTCCACTGCTGCTCCGGTGCACGCTGAAAATGGGACGTGTGATTTTGTCTCTGCTGAACTCAACATCTCTTCTTGTGATGTGTAGAATGGAGGGTTGCACATGGTGAAGTCGAGGCTAGGTTGACCGGTGTTAGTGTCGAGATATTTTGGAGAACATGAAGACACTCACGTTTTGTGGTCGAATTCGTCAAGAGGGAACAAAGGGCCTTCTGGGTCAGTCTTGACGATTTGGATGCGTGACTCGAGCTCGTTTAGGACGACATTCTCTTTCGCGGTGCGCGCATTCTGCTCGTCGATATCTGGGATCCGTTAGATTGGTCATTGTAAAGATGTTCAACGAAGGCTGACATACCGGTAGCGATAAATTTCCAGTTTGTGCGAGTTTTGCAGCCCAGCAGGGGATAAATGCTACAGCATCCCGTTCCACTGTACATCGTTAGTCTCAGGACTGAGGGGTCTCGAATTTGGTGGAGACCTACACATCAAGTCCGACGACTTCTCGGTCCGGGTCATAGGAATCTTTGACTGTCCCAGCTGTTGAGTCAAGGAGGTCTTGTACCCAGATAATGTAATTCAGTCTGTATCGTCAGAATTGGAGGTCCCAAATTTGTTCTCAGAGAGCTGTTTACATACCTGTTTGGCACCTGTAAAACCAGTCAGCCTCAGCCTGTTGGTCTGAGAAGATAAAATGAGGACTCACTGGAGGACAAAGCCGATCATTGGGAAGCTCGACCTTGAGCCCAAAGTCATGCTCTAACAAACTGATGGTCAATTGTCTGCAGTCGTTAGCGTGTCGCGGTCTTGGGTTGCTGTGGATTCACATCCAAACTCACCTGACCGCCGCTTCATCGTGAAAATCCAGCTGCCCATTGAATCTCAAACTACATAATATTGTTAGATCTGAGCCTTTTTTGCGCCGACTGGCGAGCCTCACATACTGCTTGGCAAAGTCTCGCGATTGCAACGCGAGAGCTGCAAAATCGATGTCATTCTTGTAAAGACTCCGGGCGCGTTCCATGAAATCGAGGCAATACGTTAGACTAGAATCTTATAGAAATCGCAGATCCGCATCAAAACTTGGATCGCTCTCTTCATTCAGCAACACTTTCTGCTTGAATGAGACGAAAAGAATCGCTGGACTCGCTGTGAGGAGAAGTCTACCGAGGAGTGGTTGCAGAAGTGCAGTTGTATGTCGTGGGTCTCGGTGGTGATCCGAGAAGACTTAGGTTTCTGCCTAAGGCATCAACTTTGAAGCCACTCTACAACGTCATCACCACACCCGCCGTCAAGAGAGTCTAAAACAAAGACAGATTATAGATGCATTATTTGTTTCCAAAAATTAGATTAAAGCTCGGTTTTTTTCAATCAAGACTACGACTCAGATCCATACATGCCAAGGCGCGATCCCCCGTGTCCTCCATGGAAAGTACGGACTCTAACATTGTATATATAGTGCCAATCAAGTTTCCATCTCTGAAGACATTGTTACTCTCTGGAAATGACACTCATTCATTTGATAGGTGGTACCTACCTAAAAATCAACAGAGGCAAAAATAGACAGGGGCGAAAATCTACTGGCTGAATTCACCCACATTCAAAACAGTGCCAAAACCATTAGAAGGCTGCAATCGCGTAGGAGATAGGGCTTTTCAGCCATTGTGTTTGATAATTTCCACTGCAGTGAGTTGGAATACTTGACATTATACGTCCATGACAATGTCGAATAAATCTCAGGAGGTATTGGGTGCAGTCGTCCCCGAGAATATAGCTAAGCGAGAGTTCGAAGATGTAGTCAATGTCCACTTCAAGATCCTACGACTAATTGAAGAGAATAGGGAAATCTATGATTCCTTGAAACCCTTTTGCTAACTCAAAATCTTCGAAAAAGTAATGGTCAGAAATTTGTGGGCTGGAAAATTGCGCACTGTGTGCTCGAGTCTGAAGTAACAGGTTGAGCGAGTTGAGGGGGATCCTCGCAAGACCGTTTTCTATAAACGTACCGGCTGGATCCATCTCGGCCAAGATCTTGATCAAGAATGCAAATGGCGCTGGGCCATTATTCGTATATTCGTAGGTACATGATCACTCAATCATATTCTAATCCGCACCGTCTTAATCAAGTTGGTATAACAAAAGAAGAGTCGCTACCTCACCTTTGCTATCTACTTATATCACCGATTGCCTTTAAGTTGTTAGAGCCCTAAGAAAGAGTCTTGAGTCTACGAATGGGAGGAAATCGATGAACGATAGAATACCTTCACATTGGAGGACGTCTACCAGCCATCAGATCTTCCATCATTCTCTGATACACTGGCTTCCTATCAAACGGAATCTTGTCGGGCTCAGTCAGGCAGCTCAAATCATACTCCCCTCCTTTTCCAGCCGCTTCAAGAGCCAGATATCCAGGCGCATAGAATTCAATATCCTGTTCAAATTGTTCACGATCGCAGTATACGGTATGCGGCGAGGGTGGGCCATTTGGTTCAGCCACTGATACTAGGATATCCACGATAGGTAGATCCATATTCATTCTATTTCCGCTGCTCCGTTAGTATATGATAGAAACGTATAGTGAGATAAACAGTGCAAGGTGTAAAGCGAAACGTACGGTTGATTCTGATATCCATGACCGCCAGGTCTTTCCCGTACCTGTTGGACGTCTGCTCTCCCATGTATAAACAGGTCGTTCACGAAATGATACATATTGAATGGGCGCAGTGGAGCTGAGTCCTTGATAGTTCCATCACTGTTAAATTTGACGACCGCGAAACGGCCGGTTTTCAAACCCTCCTGATCAACTATCATAAAGTATCGTTCATGAGGACGGTAGAGTACCGTTCCAGTGCGGGTCATATAAATAGCAGGAAAGAAGGCATTCTCAAGACAATACCAGGGAAGAAAATCTTCAGCGGAACAGGTACTTGTGGTTTCTGGGTTCAGAACCGCTGCTGTAGGTGTAACAATATCGAAAGGGAGACAGTGTCCCGATTCAATATCGTAACGATAAAAGAGAATTGCGAGCTTGACCCATCGCGCCCGATTCTCTGGATGTGTCTCATCAATAGATGCGACGGAAATAACATGCCTCGTTTCACAAGGTTGCTGGGTATCGTAAACGTGTTTCAACGCCTCAGGGGGGTACTCAAGCCCATTGCCTGGGGCACGATCTTGGAACGACTAGAATGGCATCAACTTCTGCTAAACGAATGCTTGAAGATAATGGATTGGTCTAACATCACGAAAATCTTGCGACTCGGAAGCCCAATTTTGAACTAGGGCTCGGCGCTGGCGTAGTTCGTACTCCTTGTCGTCGTCGCTGATATTGGCCCGGTCGCGTGGAACCCAGTTTTCTTGAACAAAAAGTAGCCAGCCTTTGACTTCTTCTTCAAGCTCGTCCTGAGATAGATCTGTTTCGGGATGAGGTTTGATCTCGCGGGGAATGCCCCCGGGCCAGTGAATTGTTGTCATAATTCTGTGTGACTGTTGGGTTTTCGATATTAAGGCAAAAGCTTGGAGAAAATTGGACTGGTTTTGTGGCTTTGGTGGCTCATTTACAAAACCCATATGCGAGCACAGAGAGTACAGAGGAATTTCATCTGTATCGTAAGGTTTTGTTTTGAAAAGGTCCAATCAGGCATCCGATAACGGCCCGGAACAAACCCACTTTTGGTATGTATACGATATCCGAGACTAGCAACCAAGTTATCATGTCTAATGATTCTGGGGATGAAGGACTTTAGGTGGCTTTCGTGTAGGGTTATAGTACCAGGTATAGCTCCTTATGTCGGAAACAGGAGCGATGGAAATCACGTCGGGTAGACCGCGCTGATTAAGGCCTCCATGTCAGATATGAGGAGGAATCATTGAGACATGATCATCTACTCAAAGAAAACTCCTCTCGAGGGTATGATGAAAAGCGATGACCTCTGTTCTGATCCAGTCCGGAAGTATGTTCTTGCTCAACTAGTTATACGCAAATCAAACATTCGCCAGATCAGCCTCGCTCAATTGGTATGACTCCTTCCCTAAATCCCCGTAACGCGGTATCTATCTCCAATAATCCCTTCCTCCCACAATTCTGGGGACAGATCCAACTTGTCCCAGTCCATGATGACATCCGTGATCGTCTGGGCATCGGCCTCGACGCGGGTCTCCCAATAATATTCCGCTGACCATCCACATAAAGCAGACGCAACTGGCCGCCGGCCTCGAAGGCCTTCGAATCTGCCACAAGAATGTACATCGCTGTCATTGTGCGGAGGAGGTCGACAGCCTCGACTTCAATAAAGCGATGCGGATCATCCCTCCACCGACCGGACTCTTTCTACTTTGTCATGCTGACGGAGGTCTTAAAATGTGTTCGTGACATCTCCACAATCTGTCGTTATGGATATCGCTTGTACCCGGCACTGCAGCCTCGGGCATGATGTATACGCGCTGCCAGTCGACGCCAAAGTTGAAGAGAGTTGCATCGTTTAGACACGCCCACCAGGCTTGGTTATCAATTCCTGAGATGCATTGACCCACTCCTCCATCTTCTCGTCATCCCCGGATTTATACTGCGTCCGAAGAAAGATGGGTACAGTGTTACCAGATTCCAATATTTGCCATGCTTTCTGGCGTAGTTCGCCCGACCGCCAGGGACGAAGGATCACTTCGATCTCCTTCGCGGGGTATCTCATCCAGATCAGTAAATTGTCGGATGAGCCGGAGGCGCTGTTGATTAGGGGACTCTGCCGATGTAAAGTCCCAGTATCTCTGCGAAATATCAGTGATCTTTCTGCGCAAAGTAATTTGTAAGGGAAACGGGCCATCATGTATTGCTCAACGGGCAACTCGCCCCATTTTGGGACATATCCTCGGTCGTCATTTAACATGGCGAGGAGAAGTGGGTGTCTTGGAAGTGGGGCGGGAGGGAGGTTAGACGGGAGGGCTTAAAGATACAGATTAGCCAGTGGTAGTTCAACAGCTAGATTGACGCTTTGCATCGGAGCGCCAATGGCCAGAGGTGAGAAACTATTGACCAGCCAAGGCCATCATAGAGTTACAGCTTCTAGGGTAAACAGAACCTCTGATTGATAGCCAGATTGCAAAGCTGTCTGGCTGCTGGGCCTTCGATCATAAGTAAAAAGTATTGACAGAAACCTAACGTGGTTCTGTACGTAAGTTTGGTGGCTTGTTTATACGGCCGTATCTCAGCACAAATAGATTTTGAATTTCGTTATGCTTCTTCGAAAGGATCCAAGCACAGGCCATAGGGTGTGGAGAACGGGGCTTCTCGTCCGCTCAGCGGTAGGTAACCCACATAGTGTAATGTCAACTCTTAGTGCGCCCTAGGATTGAAAATGCGGTCAAATTTGATCCTAGAGTGAGCAGGGGTGAAATCCTTACCTTCCGGCGCACCCATACCGGGAAACGGATATGGGTGAGGATGTCTGGAGACAGGGGTGACAAAAGGCAAGGCGGGGTGAATGTGGGTGAGAACAGGTCGGGAATCTTACCCAGATCACCCACTAAGCAGTATTCCGACTCGTTATGACTAGAGTTCGGCAAAAATCAACCCATATGGCCGCCACGGTGGCTGGGAATTAGAGTGTAGAGCCAATCGCTTATCCGCACCTCTCAGTAGCTTAAACAAAAACAAACCTTATCCTACCTATAGTGTAAGGAAAAAAGGAGTTTTGCCAGACTGCCAGGATGCACAGCGCATGTATTCTTGACACTTTTCGACAATCCCTATTTTCATTCTATCATTATTGTGAGAATTGACTCAACTGACTCGGCGGATAGTCAAGTAATATCTATGTCTTGCATCCTGCCACCAGATCAATTCTAACGCCAACCTATGCGACGTATTCAGGATGGCAGGCTTTCCGGGATAGTTTGCCTCCAGTCATGGTCACGCAGTCAAGCCACCTCATGATCTGCAGGGTCCTGTAGCCCTGATTGTTAGATTACAGTAAATGCATCATTTGTGGAGTTTTTAGACGTGGGAGCTCTATGGGCTGGGCTCTAGTGGCGTCTGCGTGGCGTTTAATCTCACGACAAGATTTGGCGAGCACCTCGTGTTTCTCAGCTGCAGCCTTGTCAACAATTTTTACACAAATACCCGTCGTCACCATTAAATGGTGTCCAGAACTACTATCATTAGACTTTACACTTCTTACTCACACCATGATGGTCACCTCCAAAGATATGGACAAGAGAAGAGTATACTCAGCTGTCCCTGTGGCTCCCGATAGAGGAACAAAGAAAATGCAGGGGCGCATCCAGGAGATTCTCATCGCGTTCGCTGTTATGACATTACCAATGTTGATCTTCTCCGGTGTTCTGCTCGGCTTGGTCTTTCATTATCACATCAAACAAAACGACTTTGTCTCTAGTGATCTAGCATTTGACTCCGACCAGAATAATCCAAACGTCTATTTTGTCCGGATAAGTGCAACCACACTCACCACCGTTGCTTCATGGTCTAGCACTATCGCTCCAATATTGGTTGGCTTCGGCGTCGCCCTGGTGTCCTACCCTGTCGCGAGGGGTCTGCTGACGGCCTCGGAAAAACATGACGTGGCGCAGCTACCAACACCGTTCCAGCTCTCGTTAATTGTCCGCATGATCTCGAGCGGCTCATTTTCTGCCCTTTGGAGCTGGTTGATGTATTCATATGGCTGGAGAGGAAAGCGCCAGCGCCAAGGGAGTGCGATAAAGAGTGTGACGACCGTATTGACCCTCGGTATTGTCTTAAGGTGCGTGTTTTTCAGTCTCTAGAAACACTATTGAGTTGCTAGTTTAACAAGGAAGTAGCACTCTTGTCATTGCCACCGATACTTGGCTTCACTTCAGTACCAAAACCGTCAACTTCATCCAGCCGTACGCAAACTCTGACGCCTCGGGTCTTGGATTCGGCATGTACGAGAATTGCACAAACGTAGACAGCAGACTCCTCAGCTGTAACCTCAACAACCCTGCCTCAGGCGATGTCCTACTTAACGTCGATCCGATGAAAGTTCTCTCCAACATTTCAGATACAATGACAGTCCCTGTGTTATCTGTGGGTCAAGATCAGTACGCATACGTCGCGAGCCCGGCAACACCTCGCCTATCGCTTCTCGACTACACCGTCTCAACATACGCTATACATTCGCAATGTTCTCCAGTTACTTCCCAGTGCACAGACCCCAATAATGTCCCCGGAGTTGGCACACCCTACAAATGCCCATTTGCGTTCCAGGGGACCGTCAACACAGCCGTAGGCGCGTCCAACTCCGTCACCATGGCCTACTTCACAGACTCCACGGGATCTAACAATAACACCGATACAACCTTGATTGACAACCCCTACTACTACTCCGCCATGATCCTAGCGAATATGCGCAATCCACGCCCGTTAACCCTGCAGAACGATCCGGAGGTTCTGTCCGGTGGACACGGCGGTGCTACTATCGTGGCACTGCGCTGCATGTCCACCGTTTACGACGTCGAATACTCTTCAGTCAACGGCACTATCAAGAATTGGAGGTCTAGCAACTCCAACCGTTCAACAACGCTTATCGTGCAAGGCACACAGCGCCATACAAACGTCGGGAACCCAAACCTCATTCAGGCCGCTAGCATCGCAGGGCTAAGCAATTCTGCACAAGAAATCGCAGATCAGTTCGCACTAGCATATAGTCAAACCGCCTTGGCAGTCGCATCCGGCGCATTCGAGCCCCGTATCGCTTTGGCGTCTCAAGTGCGAGAACAGATTCTTGTTGCACGCGTTCCCAAAGCGCCACTGTTTGCCCTGATTGCCACGAATCTGCTGCTTGTGTTGCTAGGCATTATACTCGCCATTGTAGCTCTGATAGCAAATCGGGGCAATACAGGAGAGGTACAGGCGCGTCTGAGTATTCCCGCATTAGTAGCGGCACTGTTCGAAGTAAATAGGGCAAAGCCTGTGGAGGAGGTAGAGGATATGTTTGAGGAGAGGTATGGTGAGCAAGGACCGCGGATTGGGGTTGCAAAGGAAACGGAAGGGGGTTGGGTGTTTCAGAGCTGGCGTCCAAATTGATTGGATGTGGTGGGTTGGCATGGGTGCAAATTTTTTTTTTTTGCAATCGATTTCCATGGACTTAATTATCAATGCTTTCATTCCATACGCATGAATCTCTTTTAATCCTGTCCATTGCGCACTCAACCCTCAGCCACAAGATGACATTTTCTTTACGCAAGGTGATATGTCATTCTGCTGCGTTTTCTAGTACATACGACCATAGGGTGTGGAGAACAGGGCTTCCCGTCCGCTCAGCCGTACTTAAGCCACACGCCGGCCAGTTAGTAGTATGGTGGGTGACCACATGCGAATCCTGGCTGTTGTATGTTTTTGTTCCTTGTTTTTTGTCATTCGTTGGGACGTCGTCTTCAGCCCCTGAAGCGCTCACGTGGCCCCTCGGTTAAACTTTCCCTCTCTCCCGCCGTCCTTCGCTTGAGTCCCAAGCCCTCTGTTTGCTTTTTCGGGGGACTGGACTGATCCTGATTGGGGCTTGATTACGGAAGATAGATTCACCGTGGCCACGATAACCGTCTGGTCTGGTCTTGGCTATCTCCTCTCCTTAGGACGTAGATCCTGGCCAACGATGAGGTACAGGAACGAATGCCTCGCTCCAACGCAAATAAACACAAGTGAAGAGTTCTCCCATAGCTGCACATATGAGGTACTTCACCAATTAGAAGTGAATTAGATTGGCTACGTTTTTGTTTTCCCGGTTGGACCGGCGCCGTGAAGAGCCTTAGGATTCACATCCGCAAAATATGTAATATTTGTAAGGGGCCGGTTACGGATGTCCCCATGTTCAACGTGACAGGACGTTTGGTCGTAAGGATAAGCTTCAGGAGCATCTCCGAGCTGCACAAAGGAGCACACTGCAACATCAAGGGAACAAGTGCTCGTGTCTCGACGGGTAGTCGTCGGGCAGTCAGAAGTCCTGGCCTTGAGATAGTATGTCAAGTGTGTACTCTGTGAAAACAACAAGATCGTCAATTTTGGAGTTGATGGTACGGACATGAGGGACCATCGATAGTCAATACTCATCGGTCGTGACGTCCAACCCTGGTACGAGAGGGCCATTTTCCCTCGTGCTTTCCTTTTCCCTTTCTCTTGTGCTTGAATCTTATAATGATGTTTGATAATTTTATTTAATAATGTTTGGTCGGCTAGCAGAATTACGGGAATTAATGGTAGCTCAATAACAGTGAGCACATAACTCGTATAATCGATGAAGTCGCCGGCGATTGACAACTAGGTACAAGTGGAGGCCGACCGGCGTGAATTGAACCGTATCACCCGGCCTCGGACAACTCTGGGTTTTCTCAGTTCTCTCCAGACCAGGTGAATCCTCAAGGATTGATCTGGTCCCCACGTAGAACTCTGAGTCTCGTCACTGTCGGATTGGCTCCATGTACGAGCAACAGATGGGAAGAGAGACGAAGGAGATCCCTCACGCGCGTTCCTTAGTGCAAAGCGCGCTAGAGACTCCACAGTCCCGCGGTCCCTAGGAACAAAGTGACAGCCATAGAACTGAACGATCTCGGAGGAACTGAAACACTCCGTCAAATTCATGGTTTGGAATCTTTCCACGATGAAGTCCATGCTGGCTAGTGCATGACAGCTTGGTGTGTTTATCAGAGACGAGTACAAGCTTCCATAATACTGCAATGTTCCCCGATAGCCTCCGATACCAATGAAGAACCTCAAGGGCTCTTGACCTGGCAAGCGCAAATACTCGTCCAGAGGTAAGTTTTGTAGCCGAATGGCGGCAGCCTTCTCCGGATCATTCCTGCTTTCGAGGAGAGAGCAGATCATTCCCGAGATGCAAGCACCCTGTGAAAACCCGATGATCCCATGAATCGGTCGTCCGTGAATATATCTTGCCAGAAATGAAAGCGAGTCCTCAATGCCCTTGTATCTGCTCACAGTATCCCGGCCGTACCACCAACCCATGGCTGTTGAATCTGATTCTTCCACTCCATTTATGGCGTAATGCAGGTTCCATTCATCTTTCTCCTCGGCGAAGTCTGCATCGAATCCCAGTGGGGGTTCGAGGGCTATGGGCGCATTAGGGTATAAGAACTCAATGCCCCCAGGAAAATCGGCGATAATCTCAGGAGTAACCAGATCGTTGATGCGTTGGGATATTGGACTTGACTTTGCACGAAGTTCGGTTCTATTACTCGCGAAGCCTGTAAAACAATATCCTTGTTGTTAGTAACAAGAACAAATCATTCAAAAATAGATCTGGTCATAATATCACCATGAAGCATCAGAACTCGGAATTTCTTCGCGCCGTAAGGCGTTTTAGAATCCATATCCTTGGACTGAGGGTTTGTTGATGGCCAGGAAGTAGATAGCATAGCCGCGACCGGAGAGTAGTCCCTAGTAATGCTGCTATCCTATATGTAGCCCATCATTTCGGACAGTTCGAAGTTTCGTTTATCTTCTCAACCGTCAGACGTGCAGATCATGGCCAAGTTTCTAATACCAATGGAAAAACCTACGGGCAATGGATGTTGATCGTGCTCAGCTGAGTGAATGACCTTTCTTGGATCCGCTCTCTAGTTGACCAAAATCCCCATTATTACAATTAAATCTAGGTAATTTGTGTTACAGTACGTCGTACATACTGTACAAACGAGAGAAGATTTATTTTCAAGAACGGTGGGTCAATAATTAGCCACACAAAGTCTAGGGCGAATGGACCCGTCGTGGCAAGCTTGCTGAGCACGATCAATCGAAACACAAATTCACTCCGCAATTCCAATACCCAAGCAATTGCGAGTAAATAATATAAGAAATAATTGTGCATGTTCGCATGTGTGAGGCTTACCGAGGAGGGATGAAGTTTATGTTATTTCCACGAAGCTGGCGAACGCATTCGAGCGCACTTCTCTGATAATCCATAGCTCTCATTTGAAGTTGAGGGCACATATGTACCAACTTGGCGTATAGAATAGTCGTGACGATCACAATTTCCAACCTTACAGGTCTCGGTCAATTCATTCATGACCCCTACAGCCCAACAACACGATAGCTGTGTGGATTTTATATTGGATGGCAAGAAATACATGGCCTGGCGCGTAGTGTGACGTGGATTTGGGTTACAGAACCCCTAAGTCGCTTTTGGACACTGCTTGGAGATGGAGGCTGTCTATCATTACACTAGCGTTCATGATCGCGCCATGTAGCATTGATGTTACCGCGCATTGCGCCAAGTTTGCCACGGAACCTCTCCTGTAGCCTCCGAGGACAATTATACCGAAAACAACACATTTGACCAAGAGAACCACGTATGCCACTTAAGGTCGCTAGCCGAGACTTTTTTGATTGGCCACATTTTGCACTTGTATTATAGCGCCTCGGTGATGATTAAATTCGCAAGACATAGTTTGCATATTTTATTGCCCATGGGGTTTAGTCGCTCGTCTCTCATTTTTCTCCCCATCTCAACCAGGGGAGCAATTATTGCAGTATCATGGTGCTCATTATCTGTTGAGGTCACGCGACCGATCAAACTATTTAACATGTAACTTGATTGGTTTGATGAGAAGATTCCGCCAACAGCGAGGTCTGTACGATATAACATGCAAATGCAGAAAATAATTAGATTGAGATAAATTTGAAGGACTAGGTAGTGTATACTGATATTGTGAGGTACATGTTACATGGTATATACTAAGACAGAAGCTGTCTGGATCTCCTCATCGATGGAAGTTTCTCTCACGAGCCGCCCAAACCTTGTGACCATTAAACTCGCAATGAGTCACAGGTTTATTAAAGTTAGCTGGGTTTGAGATCCATGCCATCGCACACAAGAATTCCTCTATGGATTGGTCTACTTCACTTGCTTTCAATTGAGCATCATCCCATGAGACTTCTAAGAGAAGCTGATCACCAGGGAGAAGCGTTGGAAACCAGACCAAGCCCAGATCAGACCGACTCAAGACTTCGAGCATCTCTGCCGAAGGTGTGGATTCTGTTCCAACATCCTCGTTTGATAGAGGCGTGGGTAGCCAGTCAAAAAGTTGACGCCGAAGAATATCACGGACTGCAGCCACATCTGCAGCCCCGTGCACTGTGTCTTGTTCCAGCGATCGGCAAATAGCACCTAGAGGAGCGTGGCAGTAGCGATCAATATCTCGCTGCTTCTCTTGCATGCGCCTTAGGAACTGCAATGTTGTCTCGCCGGGTTGTATGCGGACTCGATTAATTGTCTTCTGGAAAGTTGGGCCACCAATGTCCAACGGGCTTGCAGTCGGCGGAGCCAAGGTAGAATCATCTCCAGTGGAGGGCCACGATCGGCCTGACTCATCACTCACGAAGACAGCCTCCTCTGCTCCGGTTTTGTGAATATTGAGGAGTGCGCATGCAGCCTTGGCCACCATGGGCGGGGATATCTCCCAGTTTGACTTTAAGGCACGAATAAATGGCAAGTGAATCTTATGAAAGAGGCCCATGGTCCCGCAGCTGTGGTCACCATCTAAAGGTACACGCTCTCCAGGTTGAGATGCCGAACCGTCCTCATGGCACCAGTCCTGGTCGTCGCCTTTAAACCATCGTGGGGCCCGTTGCTTGGGCCAGAAACTTTTCTGCATCGAACCCAATCCTCGTAGCTGTCTTACATGGAAGTCCACCGCCTGCTCGGCTTCTATGCTTGCTCGATACGTTTGGTACAGCAAAGCAAAATCGTGGAAGGAGTACAGAGCAGATGGCAGATGCTTACCCCGAAGCAATTGGTTCAAGTCTTGGTACCATCGATGCATCACCATTCCATCGAACATGACGTGATGCATGTGCAAAACCACGCCAGTAGCGTTGCTATTGTTGATTGGCAAGACTGTGCATTTGAGCAAAGGGCCAGAGAGCTGGACATGATCGTATGTTGAATCATTCAAACGGTAGGTGGTAATTTCCTGAATGGTCGTCAAGCTGCTGCCAGTGGCAATCTGCCTGTCTAACCACCTATCACTTGGACGCATGACGATGTAGAGATGTAAATCCTTGTTGCAGGCGATGTGTGTCGTTCGAAGCATGGGATTCCGCTTGATCCACATTCTCAAGACGGCGAGTACCTCAGTACTTGAGCAAGATCGGACTACCAAAGAGTGCCGGTGGTTCCAAGAGGTTTTCCTTCCACCTTCAGTCATGAACTTCATGCAGTCGGAAACTGGAAGCATATCCTCCACATCATCCCACTGGAAGCCCAGCGGTGCTAGATGCAAAGCTGCTTGACTCTTGGTCAATTCCATCCCCTCCTTCTGTCCCTGGGGAAGTTTCATGTTTGAAACAACTGCTTCATGATGGAGATGAGCTCTTGGGCTTGTTGTGCAATCAGCGAGCAGAGGCTTGTGTGCAAGGAAGTTCGATATCTTTGTGACGGTATTGATCTTCACAAGGTCGGTCATGCTAATATTTTTTTGCAGTCTTTTCCGGATCTGACTCGTAAACTGGATGAGAACCATGCTGTCGGCAATTGTATGGATTGAGGCATCGAAATCAACGTCGGAAGGCTTCTGACCGGAGCAATGTGCCCAGATTGATGCCACTTGTGACTCAAGTGTCTGCTGAGACGGCTCATCTTCCGTGGTAATCTTCTCAGTGAACTCGAGATAGTTCATCACCCATTCTCGAAGGACCGACTTTTGCACTTTTCCAGTTGTGGTGGTGGGAAACGTGTCTTGGGCAAGATCTCTTTGAACATCGAGCACCAAGGTAGGGGCAAATCTAGGGGTCAGCTCAAACAGTGCCATCGCTTTGAGCTCGTTTCCAGATAAAATCGACGTTCCAGTTTGCTGGACCACAGCAACGGGGACTTCGCCGGCAAGTTCATCCGGCACTCCAATGACATATGCCTTTTCAAGCTCAATTAGCAATCATTCACATAAATGACCGGGCTTTTTGGCACTCACGTTCACTCCTTCAGCTTTGCACAGGCAATTCTCAATTTTTGCGGGCGAAATATTCTCTCCCCCTCGAATAATGATGTCTTTGTATCTTCCGAAAATATAGACATACCCCTCTTCATCCATATAGGCCTGGTCCCCAGTTGCTACCCAGTTGACACCACATTCTTGATAGCATGCATCACTCTTTATGCCCATGTAGCCATTGAAGACAGGTAGACCTCCTTGATGAAGCTCACCAAGTTGGCCGCACTCGATAGGCAGCCGTTTTCCTGGTTCGCAAATCCTGATTTTGGACCCGGAACACACCCGACCTGAGGAAATGTCTCCTGCACCGCCAAGTTCCCAATCATTGATACTTTTCAAGTTCATCAATGTGACAACACCTTCAGTCAGTCCATACCCAACGCAAAGTCTTTTTGGTGTCAGGCCTTTGCATATTTCAATAATTCTAGGAAAGGATGGCGCACCGCCCAGTGTGATGGACTCCAAAGTCGTGAAGCCTGTCGTGGGCGTGGATGGATGTTCAGCAATTGCCTGGACCATTATTGGAACACATGGCGCATGAACAGTCGTGCCCTGCTGAATGGCACGAATGCTAGCGGCGGCATCGAAGCTGGGGCTGGGGAACACGACAGTAGCACCAGCCAGCCAGGCACCCAGACTGAAGGCGATACCAAAGATATGAAAGCTTGGGAGGTGTTGACATATATTGTGTCCTGGGGCCATTTTGAAGGCTTTCCCCAACTGGACCGCCGGTGCGCTCAGATTGACGGATGTTTGAGCGCACGCCTTGGGGCGTGACGTCGTTCCGCTGCTGAACAGTATCACTGCAGTATCTTGGGGACTGACAGCAGAGCCTGGGCACCAATTTGTGCTCTCTGGGGAGCTTTGCATTGCCTCCATCATCATGCGCCAGCCCTCCGGGAGCTGCCCGGTTGGGCCTTTGGATAAAACACATCGCAAGATGTCCCGTTTCTGTTGTTTTTGCAGGATTTCATCAACTTGAGCAGCCAAGGAACCAGAGGCCACGAGTAGGACATCTGCATTTGCTTGCCACAGAAGGTAGAGAGCTTCTTCCGTCTGTGCGACAGTGCGCGGATCCAAAGGTACAAATCGACATCCAAGGTGCATTGTCGCCCAGAACGCCAGGCACCATTCGATTTGATTGAAGAGCACTGTAACTACAGAGCTTCCTCTGGTCACACCTTGAGATGAAAGTGCTTCAGCCAATCTCAAGCTCTCGAGGTGCAGTTCTCCGTATGTTAAATGTTGGTTCCGTGGCTCTACAATCTCCGTTGTCTTGTCAGAATGGCCAGGAAGTTCCCACTGATGAAGTGAAATGACCGCTTCATGATCGCGGTATTTTTCGGCGGCCTGATATAACAAAGAGCTCAGATTCCCAGTAGGTGCTTCAAATCCCGTGTCCTCCGTCTCAGCGAGGCCAGGTCGTGATTGAGAGGGAATTCCCATGTTGTAGTGATCTTGTACAGTTCTCAGAAGGCAAAACGGACAAGGTTATAAAACTCTCTAAATGGCCCTCTCCACTACTCTCCTGATTCTTGTCAACTCGACCTCGGGTTTCACTCCTATTTTCCACGTGTTTTGTGTCCAGTATCTGGGCTGCCAACATCGTGGCATTACTCAGTACAAATCAATCCATTACAAGCAGGATTTAAAATAATACCTACGGCTCCTTACTTCGTACAGCGGAGACTTACAAGTTAGCGTAAAGTCAGAAATCACTACTCACTAACCCACTTATGAGTGGGTAGCAATGGGCCGCGGATCTGTTATGGATGTGGACTGATAGCCGCGAATAGTGCAGACTCACTTCCTCCACCTAAGGCCCAATAGTCCAGCTGAGCCCCTCAAAATGCCGGATCGACCCATTCTCAGAGTCGTCAAAAAATTTATTGGTTACATATTACTCCAAGAAATCAGATCTTGGTACGTAAAGTCAGATCGGCGGAACCACGAACGCAATGACAAAAGTATTGCGGGTACTAACCAGGAAGATTGGCTGCCGAACTATGAAAAGTACCGTATTTTCCAAAGTGTCTCAGAGGCACCTTCAAGTAGTGTACAGGGAATCATGAGCTCTGACCCGATTTCCCACACGGAGATACACGAAGAGTCCGCGATATGGTTTACTTTCCCTTAATAGTAAAATACCGCCTTGCAGATCGACACGCATTAATACCCTCAATTGCTCGCGCGCGGATGGTGGAGCGACCAACGATCATCCCGGAATCCTGTAAGCTTTTCCGATACACGGAAATAATCTCCGAGCTCGTTCTTGCAGAATTGTAATACACCCCCATAAACATTGACGGCCTGGCCACGAAACTTTCCGAATGCGCTATCGGTGATATTTGCTTCTTTTCCCAACAACTTGCAAGGACAAATACGCACGCCACACTGGAAATATTGTATCGACGCAGCCACCAATTACCATTAGTTGATATCTGATATTGGCGTGGTCTTGTTGATGGGGTAAGTAGCTCGATTGATCGGCTTTGATTACCAGGTCTTTGTGGGAGGAATTTGCGCCTAAGCAGATCATTTGATGTCCCTAAAAAATCTCTTTCGCAACTCGCTCACTCCACGATAGCTAGGGATGTATATAAACAGATTGTAACCAAGACATGCGTCAAGAACTGTATAACGTCGACACCAACTTATGTAGCCGAATGTTCTACAGACCCAATTCAAGTCATCTAATGTCCATCCAATGGGGTGTTGATCAGAAAATTAATGCCTGAGTTTTAGTCTAGTGAGGTATCTGAGTATTTGACCATTAATTGGATGTTTTCAACACGAGAACGCCTTTTCAACCTTCTTCCATTTCAGTCATGACACCTTTTAGTTCCAAGTAACTAAATGTGCGGTCATGCTTGAAGTCTTTTGAGTCTATCTTTAGGTTATGGTAAATAGAATCAGTGCATGGTGGGACACGCTCTATGGCTGCTTTACAGAGTGGAGAACTTGACTATTATCGCTTTTCTTCATTCTTTGTTTTCGCATTAAAAGACTATACCTAAATATTTCCGAAAGTCTCGCACGGGGTTAAAAGCAGAAAAGATAAGACTTCACCTCGGGCCACATATATACACAGATACAAAGGCCGTTTCGCGATATTTCATTTCAAGGGGCCTTCGCTCCACTCTGCACATTGCTCAAATGTCCTTCCCGATGTTTCAGCTTGAGCATAATCATCAAGATGGTAGTTGATACGCCACCTCGTATCCAGAAAATTGACATTCTGAAAGAGATTTATGCGCGTTGGCAGGATCCGAAAGCCAGGCAGCAGCGCACATAAATTCAGCTGTCACTTGATGCACTTCACTGGGTGTAAGAAGGGTATAGTCGTATGTGACGTTCAAATGTAGCAGGTTACCATCTCTGAGGAAAGGGAACCACACAAAACCCAGATTGCTCCGACTATCATCGTGAATGAGCTTCATTGTATCGGTCTCCTTTTCGCTGTACTGTTCGAGAAGCCAATCGAAACTCTGTCGGCGATAGATGGTATCTATGAAAGATACGTCTGCAGCACCCTGCTCGCCGTCTAGCTCTCTAAGGTTCCGGTGGATGTGGTTGAGTGGAGTGTGCGCGTAAATTGTGAGTTGATCTTGCTCATTCTGGACACGTTGCAAAAGTTGAACAGCAGTCTCCGCTTCTTGGACCCGAATACGGCTGACAGTATAGGTCATGGTTGGGCCGTCAACTTCTAACATGTTGCCTCGGTGGCTATTTTGAGCGTCGTCGGCGAGCGGCCAGGTTCTGCCAGACAAAAGGTTGGTGAAAACTGCTTCAGCTGCCTTGGTTTGCCGGATATTTACCAGTGCACATGCAGTGATGGCTATTATGGGTGCAGTTATAGCGAATTGGGACTGCATGGCCGCAAGTTGGGGTAGGCGTATGTAGCAATTGGTCCCCTGCAGCCCACAAGCCTTATCCACAGATTTCAGTGCCAGATCCGCAGGTTCCTGAGTATCACAGGATGCTTCCTTGCTTATCGATACATTTGGAGGCCACAGGGTATTGGGGACAGAAGAGATGCCCCTTAGTCGAGAGACTTGGAAATCAACTCCTTCTTTCGCAGACTTGGAACCACGGTATTCGTAGTACTGTGTAGCGAATTCTTCATAATCATGAAACTGCAGAGAAAAGTCCCCTTTCTGGTCCAAGAGGGCTTTCAAATCTTGGATCCATCGGATCAATGACAAGGCATCATACAGACAATGATGGATATGCATCACGAAACCATAGGCAGCGGGTGTTTGGGCCTTGACGATGGAAATCTTAAAGAGTGGGCCTGTACCATTCACATAGTCGTAGTCGGGGTCGCCGAGTCGGTAGCAGATCACAGCTTCCATGTCCTCGACATCACCGCCGTGAATGATATGGTGTTTAAGCCATCGCGAATGATGTCGCATGACCACGAAGACCTCGAGATCGTTGTTGCATACCATCGAAGTGCAGCGCAGCAGGGGGTGTCGGGCGAACCAGGAATCTACAACGGAGAGCAGCTGTGGCTCAGTCATAGAATTCTCCACTGACCAGTTTAGACGGAAGTTCCACGCGGTCGGTCTGGATTTATCGCGAGAAAAGTTGCTGGCATAATCGGTCATGGGAATAACAGTCTCCACATCGTCCCATGTCAAGCCAAGTTCTTGAAGTTTAGCAATTATGGGCTCCTTGTAAGCGTCCTTGACGGACATCTGTGTGGACAGACGTTCATCCACATCCAGGCGGGGCTTCATATCTGTTTCATCGATGAGCTGAGCCTGCTGGCGGATAGTGTTGTGAATGGTGAGAGACTTGAACGTAAATTTCCACCCTTTCTGACTCGCAATATGAAGAAACTGAATAATCATCGTGCTGTCGGTGAAGGAGCGAATTGGCCGGTCTGGGTCAATCTCCTTTGTGGTAAGGCCAGACACGGCAGACCAACATGCTGTCAGCTCAGACAAGATATTACCAGATTCCAGTCCATTGATAGCCACTTGATTGAGATGCTCGATGACCCATTCTCGAAGAGTTGACTTCTGAATCTTTCCAGATGTCGTGGTAGGAAAGTTATCCTTGCCAAGATCATGTCTCAGATCTAGAACCATCGTAGGGGCAAATGAGCGCCCTAGTTCTGCAGCCACCATGAACTGGATGTCAGAGGCTGACATTACATTGATCTCCTTACTTTGGACTATAGCAATGGGCACCTCCCCTGCAACGGGGTCGGGGATGCCAACAGCATAAGCGACCTAAAAACGGAGTTGGTTAGTACATTCATGGGCGGTTTTCCGTATATCAACAAAACAACATGGAAACGTGGTCTTTCGAGAAAAATCCTTACCGAGATGTGGGGTAGCTTGAGCAAACAAGACTCGATCTTCGTCGGAGAAATATTCTCCCCACCACGGATGATGAGATCCTTATACCTTCCGAGCAAGTACACTCGACCCTGTTCGTCCATGTAGCCCTGATCTCCGGTGGCACACCAGTCAACACCATCGGTGTTGTATAAGCAGTCATTGTCCTTGGGGCTGGCATTTAAGTAGCCTGAGATGATCGGAGGGCCTCCTTGATGTAGCTCGCCAATCTCCCCGCGGTGAACGATTTCCCTGCTTCCGGGCCGGCAAATACGCATTCTAGCGGCCGCGATAGCCCTCCCAAGGCACACATTACCGTCTGTCATATACGAGGTAGTGGAATGAATTGGGTTAATTAGTGTTGCCACCCCTTCAGTCATACCGTACCCGGCGGTTACTCGCTGTGCTCCCAAGGACCTGGATATCTCCACCACCTCTGGGGCGATAGAAGCTCCGCCGAGAATGATATGATACGGAACAGCCGAGAGATGCTCTTGGGATGCTGCATAGACCTTCATGGCTTGCGCCATAGACGGGACACATGGCACGTGGGTTCTTGAATTGGACCTGATCGCGTCGAAAGACGCTGCGGGATCGAATGTGGGACTGGGAAAGATCACAGTGGCCCCAGAAAGCCAGAAAGCCAAAGTCATCACCACACTAAAAACATGGAAGGAAGGTAGATGTTGACAAAGAGCTTGATCCGGCGTGATATCCCAATGATCTGCCAACGCAAGTGCGGGAGTCGTGATGGTGGTCGATGTGTGAGGACAGACTTTGGGGCGAGAGGTGGTGCCGCTAGTGCATAGCAACAAGATGACATCGTTCGCATTCAGAGACACATTAGGGGGCGATGATTTGGGCACAGTTTCCATCACCTGTGGCAGGGTGGTCCATCCTGGCCCGAGATCAGTGCCATTAGGAACCGATACGACACACTTGAACATCAGCTGATCAAGATTTTGGGCAAAAATCTTGTCAACCGCATTCGACATATCCTTATTGGATACGAAGATGTGCCGCGCGTGGACTTTGTCCAGGATGAAACGCGCATCATCTTCCCGGGCAAGTACACGGGGATCCAAAGGGACGAACTGGGCTCCCAATTTGACCGTTGCAAGGAAGGCAAGAGCCCATTCAACCTCATTCAGCATAAAGGCAGCAACTCGGGCACCACACTCGATTCCGGCTGCAGCCATGCACGCTGCCAGTTTCATACTGCCTTCTTGCAATTGAGCAAAGGACCATCGAACAGTGCCAATGCCGAGGAGGCCTTGATGCTGCGAGACCACGGCATCGCGATGAGGGTGTTGTCTTGCAAGTTCATCTAGCAACGTAATTACATCATCTTTGGGTACCTCCTGCCGGCAATCCGCGTCTTCGGCCAGGGGCCTCGACATGGTAGATTTCAAGTAGGGCATGATGCCGACCGTGAATATAGCTGTTGAATCAGGTGCACGCATAGAAGTCACTCACACATGAATGTGTACGTCTTTCAATCTGGGAGCTTAGCGACATGACTTCTCGTGGCCCCTTCTTTAATAGCCCTTGGATTTCTTTGTCGACCACACTTATCGATTCTGTCTCTCCACCTGGGAGGATCGCCACATGCCCGAACCCCCCCTCATTGTTAGTTGTATCTGTATACGAGGCGTGTGGGTAATCAACAGATCTCCCACCTAGGCGCTCAACTAGCGAATTTCTCAAACTGAAATCCAACTGAAGATCCGCCTTGAAAGCGGTGCACACCATTTGTAATTTTCAAGTAGTGTTTTTCCTATGTAATACCGGTACGAAAAAAATGAACGGATTGACTTTTAGATCCAGTCACGGCCCCCACAGGCTAGTAGAGCCCATTGTACAATTATTGTATCAACAAGTATCCACTGTGGCTCATAATGCTTTCCCCGAACTGGACACTGCTCGCGTGAAGTGGTTCGGCTGTCACGAAGTAAAGCTCATTGCCACAGAAGGGTGCAGTGCATTGACTGTTGATACCTGTAATTACCGGCAAGGTCCCGTTTCAAGACTATAATTGCCGATTAAACCGAAGCCAAGTGGAGCAACCTCTTGAGCTGAAGGCATAGTTCAAAGCGTACTCCTTACGTACCGATATTGAATTGCATGATGAGGTGGATAACCTGCAGGTCCAGATTATTATGTCGATGCTATGTCGCATGGAAAGTCAAAATTGATAAAGGGTATGATAAACAAGGTGAAGACACCAGCTCAGCTGTACTCCGTAATCCAGACGCGATGGCCGGGTGAAAAAAGTTTTTTCAATTAACCATTTGCAACCACTGGCCAGGTTGGCGACACTTTGACAGAATGCACTCAGCATCCGAGCTGCGACCATGCTCTCGCGACATGTGCTCCATTACAGACGAGGATCGGTTTGGACCGGTGGTCAACAATTGCGCGCACGACTTCGACTTTACGCTTCTGTTTGAGGAAGTTTTTTTCTCGATTTCACTATCTGCCTGCTTCATCCCTGTTATAGTAGCAGCTTTCTTTTATTCGCGTCGACAAATAGTCAAACTCCGGACTGGATGGATAGTCATTGGTAAGTTCATCGCCCATGTGATACATGTCCTTCTTCAAATCATTCTCGTGGCGTTCTGGGCTCTTCCGACCATTGCCAAAACGCATGCATCCTTAGCGGCCGCCAGTCTGGCCGCTGTGGTTGCAATTGGACTTGCCTATCAATCACACCAAGAACATTTCCAGACCGTTCGACCATCGAAAACAATATGTCTATACTTCTTCTTCGGCCTCTTGCTTGACATTCCTCGCTCTAGATCCCTATTTATGATTCATGGACTCAAAGGCATTCCGATTGTGTTCATAACTTGCATGGGATCTCGAGCTCTCATCCTCCTTCTAGAGGTTGTAGAGAAACGGCCATGGGTCTTGCCACAATTCCTAGAAAAGTCACCTGAAACGACGGCAGGACCTTTTAGTCGTGCTCTTCTTACATGGTTGAACCGTTTGCTGTTGCTCGGGGCCAGAAGGCCATTAATCATGAGAGACCTTTTCCCGGTAGAACGGCTAATGGCCCCTGATAAAGCCCCCCGTCGGTTCTCCTCCACCATGTACCAACGATGTAGGTCCCTCCATCTATGCTGGTACTGGGTGTTACTCCAGGATCTGTGCTAAAATTGACAGTTCTGGCTGCGACGCATCATAACGGCCAGTCACTCCTCCTGTTTTTGTCGAAGACATTCCATAGAGAAATTCTGGCCGGGGTCATTCCGCGTCTAGCACAAGCTGGCTTTACGTTGGCTCAACCGTATATAATCCGACGAGCAGTCATTTTGCTCGCTACCCCAGAAGCCCCTAATTCGCGTAATCGAGGCATTGCGCTGGTGGCTGCCTTTGCAATCGTCTATGTTGGCTTGGCAGTAAGAAGCTCCTTTTTCTTACGATGAGCAGAAATCATCAATGGCGGGACATCTACTGACCATTCGTCCAGATCTCTACTGCACAAGCTCAGCACAAGTCCTGTCGTTTGGTCGCGATGTTCCGGGGAGGCCTCGTTTCCATAATCTTTGACAAAGCCATAAGCCTTTCTGCAACCTCGCAGAATGAAGCTAGTGCAATGACAGCAATGGGTATTGAGATTGAGCGCATTGCAGCTGGGCTTCAATGTTTCCATGACACTTGGGGATCGTTTGTTGAGGTAACATTGGGCCTCTGGCTCCTATACTATCAGCTCTGGGCTGCTGATGCTGTACCTATCCTGATTTCCGTAGGTAAGCGATAGACTAACTCCGACCCAATTTCTGCTTGAGCCTTGCATCTAACTATATGGACCACAGTGTGCATTACAATGGGTCTAGTGCTATCAGTTGCCTTGTGCAGGAAGCAGACTTATTGGATTCTTGCAATTAAGACTCGACTTAGAGTGACGACCGAAATGCTGGGGACAATGAAAGGAATTAAACTGTCTGGCCTCGCCACTGTCTTCTTCACCCGGTTGACCGAGTTGCGCACCAAGGAAATCATTAGTTCTCGGGCATATCGCTCTTTTCAGATCCTTGCAACTGCTCTAGGTAAGTAATCCTATCTTGATTCTTCTATAGTCTAGAGAGAATTGACTCACTCGACTGCAGCAAATCTTAACCGCCTTCTGACCCCAGTCATGTCATTGACGGCTTATGCATTTCTTTCACGCCATGCCGATATTGGCATTTTGAACAGCGCGCGAGCATTCACCTCGCTCGCTTTTCTGGAGTTATTCGCAGCCTCATTTCTGCAATTCATCCAAACAGTGAGTGAGGTTGCAACAGCGATTGGATGCATTAAACAAATCGACAATTTTCTCCACTTGGACGGCCAAAGAGACTCACGGATCGTCGTACCAATACCCTTCTCATCAGATCAAGATATGGACCGGTTGAAGACCCCGACGAACAATATATGCTTGGAGGCACATGGATTATCTGTCGCATGGAGCAAGGATGCAAAAAATGTGCTGCATGACTTATCTTTTCGTGTGCCCGAGTCTACATTAACTATGATCTTTGGACCAGTCGGATGTGGCAAAACCACGCTTCTGTCTGCACTTTTAGGCGAAACAAAAATAATCGCGGGTACTCTGCGCGTCAACACAAAACGGATCGCTTATTGCGCGCAGACAGCGTGGTTGATGAACGCGACCGTTCAGCAAAACATCATAGGGGATGGGACTTTTGACCCCCAGTGGTATCACACTGTTATTGAGTCGTGCGATCTGAGCAAGGATATATCAACAATGAGCAACGGTGATCAAACCAGGGTAGGGAGCAAAGGAATTTCACTAAGTGGAGGACAGAGGCACCGGCTAGTACGTTCACTTAAGCCTTGGCTCACGTTTGATTCTCCAAATCTCACATTTGTTTCGATATTCAGGCTCTTGCGCGCGCTGTGTACTCAAAGATTCGAGTTGTCTTTCTGGATGATATTTTCAGCTGCCTCGATCCAACGACAGTGCAGAATATTTCATCGCGCCTTCTTGGTCCCCAGGGACTTTTAAAACGTCATGGAATTTCGTTGATTATGGCTACCAGCTCCGGTAAGTGACCACAGGATCGCCTGGTGGGGTTTCGTCAAGGCAGGGATTGACGCATTTCTACCAGACTCGATGTTACCAGTCGCGGAACATATCATTGCCTTAGACTCCTCAGGGACAATATTGGCGCAAGGAAAGCTCAGCCAGGTGCAGGCACATATTCCCAAGTTTGCTGCAGCAAACAGACCAATCAACGAAGCTCCAAAGTTTCAAACTTATGAGGCCTCGCCACCAACATTTTCCGGTAACAGGGATCATGGTCAAATAGGAAATGAGTATGTGGCGGCAACCACTGGAGGTACCAAAGCCCTCAAATATTATTTTGATCTGGCATCCTGGCCAGCATGGGCCGGATTTTACGGCTCACTGGCAATTGTCGTTTGCATGAATACGCTCATGAGTGAGATTATCGTCACCTCGCAGCCTTCTGAATGCTAACATTTATTAGATATATGGGTCAAATGGTGGGCAGAGGATAACGACAAGGAGCCCTTTCGCAATTTGCACATGCGCGTGGGTATCTATTGGCTTTGGGGTATTCTCGCAATTGTATTCTTTCTAGTTTGTCTTTGGTAGGTCCATAGGGGACTATTGACTGTGGTCCGGTACTAATAGGAAATCAGGTTTCTTTTGCACGGCATCATGCAGAAGGTCATGGCCACGACACACTACAAGCTTTTGCGAACTGTTCTCGAGTAAGTTAAAACATGCATACTGCCACTCAGGATACCTAAACATGGGATAATAGTGCTCCAATCTCTTTTTTCACATCTACAGACTCGGGGAAAACATACAATTAGTAAGGCACCATTGTGAATTCTTTGATCTAGGTGATATATTCTGACATGTCTTTGATATACAGTTTCAGTCAAGACCTCGAGTTGATAGACTCAGAGCTCCCCATTATGCTACTTCTGGCTTGTTTCGGTAAGTCTATCTCTCAAAGCTGTGTAAAAAGCGACTTCCACCACAGTAAAAACTAACTGGTACTCTGGTGTACACACAGCGCTTTTCATGTGCTTGGCCCAATTAGTTGTCGTATGCGTCAATGTCAAGTACATGACCGCGGCGCTCCCCATTTACATCGGGGTATTCTGGGCACTGAAAGCATTTTGCACAAGAACTTCGCAACGGCTTCGGGTCATGGATATCGAATCAAGAGCTCCCCTCTTTTCCAATCTCATGGAAACAATGACGGGCCTGGTGACGATTCGCGCGTTTGGTTTCCAAAACAAACACCGCGAAATTAATCATCACAATCTATGCGAGACACAAAAGCCTTTTTACCTGCTTCTCACTACTCAGAGGTGGTTAACAGTGACGTTGGATCTGGTACTTGCCGGATTCGCGGTTGTTCTCATGGGCATTGGGGTTGGCACAATGGGTCAGATCTCACCCAGTTCCATGGGCCTGGCTTTGGTCAATACTATTTCGCTCGGGAGTTCGGTGAAAATGCTCGTTACCTACTGGACAGGTCTTGAGGTGTCACTGGGCGCTATCTCTCGTGTGAAGCACTTCATCGAAGAAACCACGTCTGAACATCTCCGAGACGAGACAAACTTGATTGAACGAGACTGCAAGTTCCAAGGGCCGATTCAGTTTAACGCTATTTGGGCGTATTACATGTGAGATACCATTTCCTTCGATTGGGATAATTAACTAGCAGCTAATTATGAGAGCGAAGGAATTCGCCTACACCTGCGATCAAGGACTTTTCATTTACTTTGGCAAGTGGGGAAAAGGTCGCCGTCTGCGGACGTACTGGAAGGTAGGCACACTTAATAAGTGAAATTTACGACTTCTCTATACCGTTAAAAGAGACCATTTTAACTTTGAGTAGTGGAAAGAGTACCTTGGTATCGACAATTTTCCGCCTAATAGAATTATCGCAGGGCTCAATCCAAATTGGTGGAATTGATATCTCGACCATCCCTCACGAACAGCTCCGGTTATCCATTATTGCTCTGGCTCAGGACGCTTGTCTAATGCAAAATAGCAGTATCCGAGAAAATGTCGACCCCTTCCGGAAAGTCTCCGATGGAAGTATCATAACCGTATTGAAGCGGACAGGCCTGTGGGAGCTAATTAAAGACCAAGGGGGATTGGACATGATCTATTCCGACGAATTCTTTTCTCATGGCCAGCGCCAACTGCTCTGCATGGCCAGAGCAATGCTGAGGGATGGCCATATCATAGTTTTGGATGAATGCACCAGCTCGTGAGTAATACCGCTCTCAAGATATATTATCTCTCAACTGCTAACGTGTATTTATGGTCATAGAGTTGATTCGAAGACGGATGAATTGATGCAGGACATTATTCGGAGTCACTTCAAAAGTCATACTGTTCTGGCAATAACTCATCGACTAGAGACGGTTCTTGACTTTGACAGGGTGATTGTGATGGAAAATGGCAGTGTGATTGAAGCAGGCTCACCGCGTGACCTTCTCGCTCGACCTAGTGCATTCCAGGATCTCTTGAATGGGAATGGCTCGGACGCTGCTATGGAAAAGGAAACCTGCGCGAATCATTGAGGAGATTTTATTTTCGACCATCTCACTGCACTGTCCCCCTTCGGCTAAATTTATCCTTTCGCTATATCTTGCTTAAACCGTCCCCTTGTTTTAGCTAGGGCTGTGTTCACCCGACTAGTGTCACCTTGCTGGCGTAGGGCTTGAAGGGTTGTCAGGATTGGTAATCAGTGTGATCTATTGGTACAGTGACCCTCTAAGCGTTCATCCACCTGATGGGGAAACGCCCAGCGACCCGTGCTTCATGCTAGCTCCTCATGGAGCTACGAACGCTTATTTGTTCCTATTTGATGCATCGCACCCAATTCCACGGCTGGTTGTCAAATCGGACTTACTTGACAGGATTGAGAAGCTTCGTTGTTGCCCAGAATGGGTCGCTTCACCGAACGAGTTGGATCGCCCTTTCAATATGCAAAATAATCCATATCTATAACTACTTTTCATACCGACCATTTTCTTGAAACGAGACTAACGCACTCCCGCTGGCCAGTCATCAATAAAAGACAGTCCTCGATCTATAAGGAGCATTTAAATATTAAACTCGACTCCTCGTATTTAGAATTTCATGGCTAGCATACTTTAAGAGAGATAATCAATTAGGTACGGATATAATTATACCGTGAATATTAATAAAAGCAACGGACCGTGACAGACTCTACTTGAATTTAAATTACGTAGGTCTAGGCATTACTCTGCAGAGTGATTTTACGTAAATCCCTGAATAGTTTCTATAGTGGGCAAAGCCTCGATTCGGCCTCGCTTCCCTTTAGTAGCCCACACGAGGAAGGTTTTATAGGTTTGGAGGCCAGGAGGGTTTTAGCTTCGAGATGCAGCTTAAGGAACCTAGAAGAGGGTTAGTTGAACAGTGGAATTCTACAGACTAGACAACAACTTGTTCAAGACTTTGAGTGTACGCAGATAGTCGCGCTCTATACGCGGCAGGACTGCCCGTCTGATTTCGGAGTTATCGAAGTCGCTTAGGTTTGCCACATTACAGGCGTAAGCCAGCATTGGGTCGTTTTTTGTTATGGTTGCGGTTCGCTTGAAGCAAGAGAGAAGCCGCTGCGGGGTGGGAGATAAATGGAGGTGTGGAAAAGGGTGAGGCAACTGGCAGCAACTGATAAAGGGAAGGATATGGTGTGTGCTCCCGCATCGCGAAATCTTTCCCTTGATAAAACGCAGAAAAGCACATTTTGGGGAGGGCTTCACCCCTCTAGGTGAAGAATATAGGTGGGTGAACTGCCCCTGAAGCCGCCTGAAGCCCGAGTGCGTAAAGCGGCGAGCCGCCCACAATCGAACGGTGGGCGCTAGGTGAGCATCGCCATAGTCTGGCTGTTGTATGTTTTTGTTTGAATGTTTTTTGTGACTCGTTGAGACGAGTGCCTTTGCCACTTTCCCATTCAGACCCCCAGGCCCTCTATTCGCCACCCGAACGCCCTGAACATCCCTGAAGCGCTAGCCCGACAACTCCCAATTGCGAGATGCCAGTAGTCGCCTTGGCTCGAAGCAGAGAATTCTGCGGAATGACTGGAGCAACCGAGGAAGTGGCGATTGGGCATGTCCCTGACTTCTGCCAACAAGCTGTGGAGTCCTCTATCCCCGCAACGCGAGCGACCCCCTTTCCGCGTGTCTGCTTGCAACCATGCGTCTTCTAATAGCCAAGCAATAGTCGATGCTCTTTCTAAAGCTGGCCACAAGGCCGAAGGAACTGGAAAAATTGATGACCATGCTTTACTATTCAAACCAGAGGTGTGTTGGCTCTGTAGCATCGCAACATAAGCTAATATCATTTAGTTTATATGTTCTCTTCGGGAAGTAGGTGTGGGCATATATCCCTGAGAAAACCAGACGCATCATCGGCCGACGGTCATAGAAGTCTAGCCACAAACGCTGCAGAGCTGTACACCCAGAACAAAATACGTGACAGATAACCCTCTCGCAGACACTCCTTTTATTTTAGCTTGTTTAGCATAGGAAGCTGGTCAATCGCTGCCGCTGAACATATCGCAAAGCTCCCTGCTCTCAGCTTAATGTGCTAATCTCAACCATCGCGGTGTTCATAGTTGTTTCCGTATATGTTTTCTGATAGTGCTTTTCCTCTCGGGATTCGTAGAATATTACTATAATAGGCTTTTCCTTTTCGGTTGCCTTGAGAAGATAGGGAATAGGAAAGATGACCGTATATGCTAGCAACATCAGATGCTCGAGACCCCCCTCCCGTGAACTCGCTCAATTCGGCAAATTACTCTTCGCAACAGAGGCCGGAACCCAAGAGGCAAGATTTCTCGTTAATTTGGTCAACGGCCGGTCCTCCGATACAGATTGACCAAGCCATCTCCTAAGATGTTCCTGCGCAGAGTGGCAGTTATCATTGCGCGGATCATAAATGACCCCTTGAGTATAGCTGGCAGAACAACACGGGACCAATGGGTTGGAGCTCTACCTACAATCACCTAGCAATTGGCTTCCAGGATAGGAATGGGAGACTGATGTCACTTGAGAGAAAGACAGAACAAAATCTCCTTGTCCATTGGAGCCTATCAGAAATTGTCGCACCATCTATCACGGAGGGGTTTCCCTTCAAACCGTGGACACGGAGCAGCTGCCTATTCTCGCTTCGCCCAATCTCTCCGCCACAGATCGAGTACGCACTCTTGCCTGATTCATCCAGTCGATTATTGTATCATGCCTGTGACAAATATGGACGTTTAGTTGGGCACTCGAACCCAGTATGCACCATCTGGGAAAATTCTCAGTATGCCTATACAGACCGAGCCTTGATATATATGTCATCGAACGGGCAGCTTGAGTGCACTTTACTACATGAAGATCCTCATATTTACAAGACACGAGCGATTTTCCAGCCGCGCTGCCGGAAACGATGCCAATCCCAACTAAGACGGACACTGGAAGGAGAAAGAGATAGATAGTGGGAGCCTCTCTAAGTATCTTGGGCTGTGGACTTGAATCCTGTTACTGGCATAAATTGTTGAACGATTGCCGGCTTATATTAGCTCTATAAGCTTAAGTTCGGCTTCACTCAATGTTAGACCGACGTAAAACCCTAATTAGTGCGACTTAAATTAGCATATAAATACTTTCTCCCAAATTGATTTTATCCAAAAGGCACCGTATCCAGCCTTGCCGATATTCTGCCAATCTTAGGCTAACTGCGTGCGGTTCCGTGGCCATATGTAGATGCCAAGGGACAGAGCGGTTCAGGAGCACCCCAAAAATGGCATGAAACAATTATTCTGAAATTATAGTGGCGGAAAAGAGCATTCTCGTGAATCATTTCTAAACATGAAGGATGAAGCCTTCCTTGAGATTTGTTATGCAGACTCACGTTTTTATGATTTTTTTCAAAAATTCGGTACTCTTTTCACCGATATGGGCAAACATCAGTAGAGTGCGATCGTACAAGTGGACGAAACATCTGATCCGCGACAAACTTCAAAATTCATATCAGTCACGAGTTCGTGGATAAGCTGAGTGGTGCGTGCATCAACGGTCATGAAAGAAAAAGATTTATTTATAAAATTAGAAACATTAGACTCTGCGGACCTTTCGAACGAGGGGAAGCTTAAGCATATCTAATCAAACCCTGTGATTGGTCTATACAGTAGATTCAGACTTTTCAACTATGTACAACTGTAGGACGGGTGGGTCGAACACATAAGCCGAAGTAGGAAAGCCAGGGGGCAATCTTCACTGAGAATCAGCCATTCGGGTATACGATTAGTGACACTCTTAATTAGTAGCATTGGTAGTGGGAACTAGAAATCATGAATTACAGCACATAATAACATCTGCACTGAGAGGTGCACAGCCCTCGTCGGCAAAACACGAACAATAATCTGGGTTTGCTTGAGCCTCATACAAAGTGGGGCCAAGGCTGTGAACAGAAACAGGTACGGCAGGAAATAGGGATCACTCGGCCAAGTCTACGGAGTATACGGAGTATTTTTTTTGCTATTGCATTCACCGCTTCTCTTGCCGCCCGGTCGGGCGGGCCCAGTATACTCCGTCTCCTAATTCGCACCCACTAAATACCAGTATAACTTACTGTAGGATTAATATAGACAGAAATGGCTAACTGAAACCCCTTCTTAAACCTCATTTATAACTTTGAGATGGGTCAAAGTAGCTTTTGTAGGTTAAAATGTTGTAATCACTAGGGCCTGGCCGCCCTGGGCGGTCGGGCTAGACTAAGGAGGAACTACCCGTGGCATTACTAACTACCCAGAACTTAGGGCAAGCGCAGTTTTAATATGGCAGGAAGCAATGGACGGGGATCTGGGCATTTGAGAAAATCTCCCTGCCCCCAGAGTAGAGTACTTCTTCAACCTTCATACATCAATTCGCAAACAACATGGCTCCTACGAACATGTCTGAATTGCTCGCAAACCTTTCCTGCGCGGCCTCCGCGGCCTCCGCAGCCCCCGCAGCCTCCAATGCCTCCTCCTTCTCGTCTTGCGGCCCTGTTCCCCTCGCCTCCGTCGCCAGTCTGGTGGTCGGCTTGAGCGAGAATTCCGTCTCTTAATGTGTGAAGCAGTAGCAGGAAACTTGGATGAGATTTGAAGCTATGAGGAATCTAAGTTTGGATGAGCCCTGGGGCTCCTAAAGTAGTGTGGGGCCGGGGCTCCACCCTAATCTACGAAGACCGTCAATAGACTGTATTGGCTTGGTGTTTCGGCGTGCCTCGGATACCTCCTTGTATACCTGGCTCCCATCATGTAAGTCACTTGGGACGTGTTATGGTGCCGGTGTAAACCCAGTACGACTTTGGGACACTCTATGGTGCCAGGGATACCGTATCCTACTGGCATGTAGAGACTTTGACATTGCAGTACTGACATGGAATCAATTTACAGAACCAACTACCGCCTCAAGGCGAAGGAGATGGAGTTGGGTGCCTTTCTCGCCGCTGCCCAGTCCGATAAGCAGACCCTGAGACTGTCTTACCTCCTCGGGCAGACAAGTAAGTTACACTCTCTGGGGGTATGGGGCTTGTGGATTTGCAGGTCCTGTACTGACCAGACGATGTATGTAGACGACAAACCCTTGCTGCTTGTGTACAAGAATCGCAACTACGGTGATACCATGCAAGAGGTCACCGTGGGCGGGAAGATCCTTTTGGTCGCGTTCCCCCTGGGCGGAAAAAAGCCTCCCTCGCCGAACGTAAAAAAGGAGGGTCCCCAGGGTCAGTAAAAGGGTTTCCCTCTGTGCAGTGTTTGGTGTGTTCTCCTGTGAGGTCCCTTGTGGGGTTTTTGTGTTTTCTTCAGGATGGGACTTTGGATGGTCCGCCCATTGTTTACTCTGGATAATTGATGTCCGTATAATTATGAGCCAACTCAATATCTGAATCAGTAGTATCAGTAACTCATCTGCTACCTATTCCTCTCTCAATTCTAGTGTTTCAGCTACCTCAGATCCTTGGAATTCCAACATTCACGCAGCGCAGCCAAATCCACCAAGATTCTGACTTTAATATAGAGTAGTACGCTGGAGCAGGACCCAAGAGATAAGCCTCTGCCAGCTCAACAAAAAGGGCGAATTCTGATTGATGACTCGATCCCTTTGACCTCGAGGGTTTGCAGGGTTTGTCGTCTTCTTTGGCCCTGCATGAAGCAGGCCGGGGTTTTCCTGTCAGGACCAGGCCTTGTTCCTTTCCTTTGTGCTTCAGGGCCTTATAGACCCTGTTCTGTTCCCTTCTGCTTTTTCTTCTTCCTTTTTTTCCTAGTCGTCTTCGTCTTCATGCTCTAGATAGACCAATTTGACTCAGTCTCCCTCTCTCTCTCCGCTTCCTGTGCCAGCAGTGCCGTGGGCGCTGTCACTGATTTTGAAGGTTATCACGATACCGGCAACCTGAAGCATAAACCTGAAAGTATGCAATTAAATACCTTTGTTTTCGTATCAATGCATGGCTTTCCAGCACTTCTCATTCCATCTAAACCAGAGAGGAAAATAACTTTTCGCGATCCCCTCTTCCTCCGAACTTCACAGCGCTGAATATCACTGGCTTGATTGGATTACTGAACTACACATTATGATCTCAGGAAGCTCTCCAATTGTATAATACTATGAAGTGTCCCACCACGAGCTACTCTATGGCGGCTCTTGAATAGACGGACCTAAGCCAAACTAAGCCAAATCAAGCCAAACTCTAGCACAGAGTAATAAACGAGGTTGCGGACTCTCATTTGTGGCGGCGGGTTAGAGACGTGAGCAACAAATCTAAGAGTCATTCTTCAGTCATAGCCCATATCTTATATTCCTTAATTTTTTTTCCTCCCTTTCATTCTCACGAATCCTCTTTCTTATCATATTATCGAACCAGCGCCTCCGTGGATAATTTTACAAATGTCTTCGAAATTTCCAACCAACAAAAAGCTCGAAAATCCCGGTCACGTATTCTCAGCAGTCGCCCACCGTGGATACAGGTACTGCATTCAATATGGTCCTGATCTCATATGTCGTCGTGATGTATTTGTCAAACTTATCTGCATCGAGCACAGTCTCCGAGCTACAGTCCAACGGGTGGATATGGTAAAAAATAAAGTCAAAGCTCTTGAAAAAGCTGCAAGCATTGAGAACAACAACACCCAGCTTAATGACTGGAAGGTTGAGCTGGAGCAGCTTCAGCGAGAGTGCTGGAAACAAGATTTGAAGCTCTACGAACACGAGAAGCTGATCCCTGAGTGGCCCCTGAAGCAGAATTACGATCTGCTAAGAGAGAACGGAGCATGGTACATGATAAAGGAGCTTATCAAAGACTGTTCGGACCAAGGGGGTTGTTGTAGTCGAAGTTGCGGATGTTGTGGTCAGCGTCACTTGAATTCTCAGCGGAAGAAGGGCATCGGGCACTGTACGATAGAGTGCATTTGCTGTTCCACCTACCGAGACGTTGAACTTACGGCGAGTGACAAGACAGAACTTGCATGGAAGCTTCATAGTAGCCTTGAAGATAATAATCCGTCCTTTCTGTTGAGAATGGCAGAGGCTTATTTCTTGGGTCCTGGTTTGGTGGTTTCTGATCCTGCGGACTCTTCCACATCGAAGTCGGAATCTTGGTGGACTTGGCTGTGTGCATTTATTGCTTAGTTTTTCGGAGATTTAGGTAGCTAAACACAAGAATTGAGAATGGCATAGCAGGCAGCAATTCCCTGTTGTAAAAGGTGTTTATGTGCCCGGTCACCGGTGCCCTTGTTAACCTTGTTATGCCAAAATCGAAATTCTGCCGGTTTATAAAAATTTTCAAATCTGCTGATTAATAAACTTGGCCGAGTGATCCCTATTTCCCGCCGTAAACAGGGATATCTCACATTTAAATTTAACTTGCAGTTTTTATAATTATATATAATTATATTATTATATTAAGATATACTAACATATACCCGGACAAGTAAAAAAAAAAAAAGTGAGACACATTAGTTACATCGTGCGAATTGGACAGCGACCATTAGTTCTTGCCCATGTTCTCGTGAGTCATTGCAACTGCTTGAGGGGGCGGGATGTGTGCGGGTGCTGTGACCACAGGGTTCTGCGGCGAAAATATCTGCACTTGACCATCGTGCGGCCGAATGGCTACTTTTTGCCCACAGTTTGTACAGAAGTGGTGGCTATCGTGGCACATTTCCATGCAGTAAGGGAGGAAAGCACAGATGATGCCGCCGAAGAGACAACAGCCAACCGCGGCCATCCTGGGGGATATTGGTTAGTATTGAGGAACTCAACAAGATAGGGACTAGTCTCCATAGACTTGAACTTACCCGGTGGCACTGGTGCTTTCCTTCTGAACTCTTGTCATGACCTGGTGGTGGCAAAAGGGGCAGTTGACTAGGCGTGGCTCTTCGCCAAGCTGGTTCAGGTCGACTGTTCTCTGGGCAATTAGGCCTTGGCCCGGCTGGGGAGCCGGGGTCTGTGTGGCACCTTGCCATGCAGTCTTTTCAAGCGGAGCGGAGGTCATCGTGGAAGTGGCTCCTGGTGCTGGTGTGACTTCTTTGTCGTGTCTGAAAAAAGATGTTAGCAGGGATCATCGATATCGAGCTTCGAGGCATACTCTTCGTAGCGTGGAGGCTGGACTTCGGTGGTGATCTCGGGTACTGATTCACCTGCTGGAGGGGCGGTGCCAGTGCTGGTGATGTTGTTGTTCGCAGGTGTCGCAGTGCTGGCGTTGTGAGGTGTTTCTGTAGCAGCAGCAGGCGCGCTGGCCACGGTAGAGTCTTTGTTGTGCTCCATGATATCGACGCGTAAATGACTCGATAGACACGAAAATGAATCAGAGGGAAGAAAACAAGTTGACGAGGGGGAGGCTCTCTTCTTAATGTCAACCGAAATGCATGACAATCAAAGGAATTAACATTCGGCCCCAAAACCAGGCCCAATCTGGCAGTTAGCTCCGTCGATCAAGTCAAAAACACGGGCGCATGGCCCCCTACAGGCTTCGGGATCTGCCAAGTGAGCCTCGCATTCAATGTTGGCAAATAAGCGAAGAGACAACACGAGGTTTTCAAATGACAATGAGGTTCACTTAGGGGGCTGAGCCGCACGCTATCTGATCAAAGTTCACAAGGGGTTTGGTCTGCATTGGCGCTGCATTATTGTCTCTTTGAGCCAATTCACCCTGTGAGATTGACCTTTGAGCACACGTACAATGCTTGGAGCCTCGTATGCCGCCCCGGAATTCTACCCACGCGGATTGGAATACGAGAGACATGGGTTTGCAAAGCAGAATACTCCGTAGAGAGAACTGCGACGGCCCATCTACCGGATAGGTGTCTATAACGTTGTCATACCTAAGCACGGCTCTGCGCATACGTGTTCAAGGAACCCGTCTAAATATATCTTTCATGCTCGGTTGGCCATAGGGTTCCCTTCCCATCAATAAGTTGATAAAAAATTTTTCAGTATTTTGTGAATAGCTCGGGGACAACTATTGAACCTTAGTAGGTCATAAATGGAAAAATAACTCAATACGAAAGGAACAGGCAAAAGCCATATGGATGATGGTGAGAATCTTTCCGGGTTGTGAGAGTTCGGAGAAAAAAGATAGCAAACCCTGGTTTCGATCCAGGTACCTTCGGGTTATGAGCCCGACGCGCTTCCTATGCGCCAGCTTGCTAGGCGATGGGAAACAAGAACCAAATTATGTTACAAGACCCTAAAACAGCCTAAGTCGTTTTATCGACAAGCGCATTCACAAGGACAGACGTTCTTGATAATGATTTTCAATTTTACAATCTGATACTCTATCTTTAAGAAGTCAAAACGTTCAATACTCCTATTTATCTTATTAGCGTCAAAAAAGCACAATTCAGACACTAATTGTCCTTATGAAACCAGCCGCCAACATACAGCGAGGTCCCATGTTTTGGTGCGCTCTATCCTGCCGAATACAGGACTTACCTGTTCGGGTCACCCCATGCGCTATTTGTTTTCCTAGAGAGGTTCACGTTTTGAGGGGACGTGAGATACACTTTCGATAGCGCTAGCTGGTATCTCCTCCAATACCACACTCAAAATAATAAGGGATAACATATTATTCTTGACTCGACATAGCCGAAGAACACACGATCTATATACAACAAGCAGCTTGATCGAGACAAGCACAATCCAAGAAATATAAGTATCAGAGAAGCAAAATCTATATATGTACCGCGAAGACACGCTGAAGCCCAAGTCGTTATGTCGTGAAAGCCCCAATACCCGGTCTATTGTTCTATCCCTTCCCAGTCCAGTCCCTTTCTCCTGTTGAAGAGAACGATTTCCCATCAGAGTCAAGCATCAAAGTCGAGTGATTTTTTGATAATGTGTTTGGTCAAAATTTCAGATCGCCGACTTAGGAAGATCCATTTTTTCTTGCCAGTCGCTCGGTGCGCTCATGTCGCCATCCTGCACCCCATCGCATCTCGACCGCTAGCAAAGGAACCATGAGTAGCGTGATGCCAGAGAGCAGCAAGAAAGCCCATTGAGCTGTGAGGGCATCGATGATTGGCTGAATAGCAGCAACACCGGCTGCACCGACTAAGCATCGCATGAGATTGTTGACTGCAGTCGCGCTGGCACTCGCTCCGGGGTAGAGGTCGATGACAAGGGCGCTGTTGATGGTGAAAATTGCAGTGGCACAATAAGCAAGGATATATTGGAGAATGACTGGAACCGCGAGGTTGGTTTGAAGTGAGACGCCATACACGGCTGTGCACACGATGAAGAGGGCTGTGATCCACCAAGTGTTGCGCATGCGGGCGTACTCGATTGGGAAGTCCGGATGTGTCTTGGTTGTGATGCGGGTGTCGAGGGGGAGGTTGTGTTTGACGCAGTATTCGCGCTCGGTTCTCTTGTGGTTGAAATCCATTAGGTAGCCGATAGTGTACGATCCAGACATGCAACCAAAGCCTGTGATAGGTTGTTAGACAAGCTTTGTAGTGACATGTAATGAGGTTACTTACCATTGCCCAAGAAGGTCAAACCAACCTCCAATGTGTTCAGACCGTAAGTGGATTCGAATAAATCCGATGTCGACGAGGTCACCATTGACCAGACTGTGTAGACGATCGCACCGAAGAACAAAGTGATAAAGACGTCCTTCTCGCCCAAGAAGCCGAGGGGGGCTACCACCGTCTTGATAGTAATCTTTTTCTTTTCTGCAGATGGCACTGCACCTTCCTTGGCATGCTCCTGACCAGTGATACAATAAATCCAAGGTTTGTAGATGCCGTGAAGAGGGACGGTGCCATTACCGGCGACGGTACGGAGGGTCTCGGGGAGGAAGAAGAGAATGGACAATAGACTGAATCCGGAGAGAATAGCAAGGAACCAAAAGATGGACCTGTAGCCCAAATACTGAGATAGAATGCCTCCGAATACCGGACCAATTCCTTGACCAAGCATACGGACTTGGGATACGTCAGCGCCGGAGAAAAAAGTTGTAAGGTCTGGGTTGTATCCATTCTTGACTTACCACCGCCGAAGACTCCAACCAAGCTTCCTCTCTCAGCTGATGTGGTGATGTCTCCAATAACACCCGCACCTACAATAATTAGCCAAGATATGTGAAAGGCAGGATGGAGAAATATTACCAATTGAGATTGTTGCCGCACTACCGGCAGCTTGTAGAGCCCGAAAAGCCATAAGCTCCCTATAATTGTTTGAGACACCAAGCGCAATATTGGCGATGATGTAGACAGCAAAAGTTCCGATAAAGATCGCGCGGCGACCAATGACGTCGGAGAATGAGCCCCAGAAGCTAGGGGCGAGTCCTTGTACAATCATATACACGGTGACCGTCAAAGTCGTAAGTGACATGGAGACGTCTAGCTCCTATTGAGTAAGAAAGGATTGTATCAGTTTCATGAAAACATCATTTTCAGAGGAATGGACTAGGTAATCACCTTTGATATAAGCCCCAAGGCGGGGAAGTAAATATTAGAAGATAGAGGGGAGAAGATGGCAGCGAGAGAAACAATGTAGACCATCTGTATTTTGCGGGACCGAGAGAACACATGGTATGGTGGTGGTTTGGGAATTTGGCTCTCAAGGTTGATAGAGTCTGAAGATGGTGTGGCAAGGTGCTTCTCATCCTGAGCCGAAAGACTAGGGCTAGAGGCAACAGAGGATTCTGTGACCTGGAGCTCTTTCAGAGTACCCGAGAATTTGGTGGATGACATCTTGGAAAAAGGATTGGGAAGAAACAAGTCTAATGCAGCATAACTCGGACAAATAATTATAAATATAAACAGAAAGTCGTACAGTTTTTGCTCCGTTGGCCTGAATAATTTCCACGGCTCGTGTCTCAAGATTGGAATGACATGGGCCCTTTTGTATTCACGTCAGCCCTGACTCCCCCTAGTAGCAGATGCCCGAAAATATCAAACAAGTCTATGCATCTAAGAAGAGTTAAGGCCATGTGCTCCACTGTGGATTTTGCCCAGGAGACAGCCCTCCTCATCCCCTTAGCACGTTGAAGGTGGCAAGGATCGGACGAAGACGGTAAGCCGGACGCTGCTCAGTCTATGACAGATAGACGCTGATCAGCGGGTTCAGATTCTAGACTAAATGCGTCACTTTCCTACTATGTCCGTATTTTGTACAAAGGACCTTGGTCAATTGAAACTAGTTGCTTCAAACGTAGCACACCCCAACTAGCATATTCCCTTCATAATCCCATTTGCGAAACCAAGTAGCAAGATGTCACAGTGTGTCTCAAGCACGGTCTTTGAAAAACGCCATCATCTTGACTCAAGCTTCGTGGCTGAATACCATTACCCGCCGTAAATTCTTTCTAGGGTCATCGCACGCGTGTCCTACGTATCGAATATGAGAAGATCTGCAAAGCATGTGCGCCACACACCTCAGAATCATTGATTGAATCTGTTACGAAATAATTATATTCTCCGACATCGAACGACCTCGAACACCCTAATCTCGCCGTCTTTTTACTCTTTTCATCCCGGTGTTGTGGAATCTGCATGATAAGACCCAGGCCGGGACCGAAAGCCAATCGTGAGAGGTTATCCCGGGCTTGGCAAGACCAGCATATTGCACATGGTGGAAGAAACTGCATCGGATAGGACTGTTCCTTTCCACTGTGAAGATCTGACGCCGTCAAGCAAATGCCAAGAATGCCCACTCAGGCTTCATTCATGATTCAACGGGAGACCATGTTTCAGGGGAAATAAAGAAAAGGAAAAAGGTTCCATTTCATACGCTAGCGAATCATTACATAGCTTACGTAGATAACCTCCGTTTACGGGTTTATTTGTTGTTATTGTTATAGAAGAGGATCTATACGGAGTACAGGGGATAGGTTGCTGCCCTTGCTGCTTGGGCACTGATCACCATCAAATCGGGTCCAAGAAAAGGCCGCAAGGATCTAGGGTCCTGAAAATAGTCCAATGACGATGTCCCCATGGCCAGATAAGCGTGCGAGGCTGTATCCGCCCGCTAACGCGGCCACTGCATCTGCAATTCATTAAATCCAGACATCGTTGGTGGAGTGCCAAGGGTCAGGAATGTGCCTTTCGACCTTTGACTAGGTTCGCGCTAGCCGGCTATGATCGACAATCGAACGGTCCTATGGCGCCAGTGGACAATGGTGCCAATCCTCCCCCGTCGATCAGCCCCACTGACTTCATCTTTCGTCTTGCCCCTTGGCACTACTGCACCGAATAGGGGACAGGGGGGTGTTGTACAAATACAAGTCCCGATTGTGCTCATATCTTTCGCTGATTGCTGCATGATGTTCCAAAGTCTATCAGGCGAACCCTTCCTCCCCCAAAACATTATTGGCCCTCACCAAGGTTCATGGAACGATGTACGAAGTTGCTCGAAAATCCCAGCGGAGTAGCCAAGAGCTGTTCCTTGTCTGCCGGACGATCTTCCCGGGAAACCTCGGCGGATGTTTATGTGATTTGTTTATGCCACTAATTTTTTCGGAGGTTTTCTGCTGCCTTACCTTGGGCTGGCGTTGCTAACGTTGACAGCATATTCCATAAGGCTGGTAGGGCCTTCGTCTTGGCTGATAAGCCAGCTACATACCTATGCAGCCAATTTTAGGCATCCGATTTTTCAGTCCGAGCCAAGACTTCCCCGATACTTTCGCCTAGCCTGTTCTCCGCCGGTCCCCGGTCTTCATTGTCACAACTATCCGCGAGGAGATCCCGACTCGGGTAGCCGACTGCAACCCCTCATGCATGGTGAATGATGCGAGCGACACACCATTGGCCTATTCATATCTTCAGCTTGAAGAGTACCCGATATCTCCGCTTGGGATCACCGTCCAGCATGGACCTCTCGGAATCATTGTTGCTTCAAGTAGGGTTACACTGCGACCGTGAAGAGAGGGGAGCGATTAGAGATCCTGTTCGGCCGGCTGATTGACAAAATGGTCATGATGATAAATTGCCGAACCAGGTGGTATTGACTTCATCAGAAGCTAGAAGAGGTAAAGGACCCGTGCTGGGTTCTCGAATAGTCTCCACCCACTGCTCCGCTCTCCGAGATCTACGGTGGCGATCCTGGCATAAAAATGGCTAGTCACCCTCTCATAAATGGTCTCCAGCCCACGTTGTCGGTATAGCTTCATCAATTGAATCAGATGGCACGGGAATGGCTTCACATCCTGTTTCGAATTCCGCAGAAGTTCTCTCGTACTGAACTTGCCCTTCTTGTCCTATCTATTGAAAATTGAATCACTTCCTTGTCTTTGGCACTCTTCAAGCTCGGGATCGAACCCGGGCGCAAGGCTCGGCTGCAGAAATGCAATTCGTCATCAAGAGCTAAAAAATGTCCTGCATGCTGGCTAGACACTAGTGCTGAGTACACAGTTACAGGGTAGTGAGTCGATTGCCGCCCACGGGCTGTGTAGCACGGTACTGGTAGGACCTCCCACGAGAACATCCTTGGCATGATAGGCTTTCCTCGGAAAGAAATATCCTGGACATTGAAGCTAAAGGTACTCCGTACTGAATGACGGATGGCTGGTAGTGAAAGTAAAAGACAGCATGTTTGACAGGTTTCTATACTCCCCCCCAGTGGGGGGTATCTACCAAATAGTTCAGAATCTAGACCAAGGGCCTTGGATGCTCTTCCAATCAATTATGACCTATCATCTCATTAATGGGTTTTCATAGAATCTCCAAATAGGCTGTGGATGATCCAGAGGTTATGTTTCAATAAAATGCACTGGCAATGTTCTTCACAGACCTAGCACAGCCCCCTTGGGCTGAAACCCACTGCCATAGCTGTCATGGTTGACCTTTGACACACATTGGTCACCCCCTTAAGAGTAATTAAGGTTGTTATTTATTTGTGCTCGGAATAATATGAGGGTTGGACACATTCAAATACAGTCGACGGAGCTAGCATGTTGATTACACCCGGATCCATAGCGTATTTTTTCCCATCAAGAACATCACCATCGTCTCCGATGTCCTGGAAACGTGCCCAGCTCCGATGAGCCTACCACTCGAGGCTTTCCTCAATTCCATGACGCCAAGCAAGACAGAAGATTGGTTAGAGCGAAATGAGCACTGTTGGTACTTGGCTAAAATGAGCACTTATGCCCAAAATCTAGTCCCATCGAGAGCTCTCTTGGCAGCCAAAAGACTCATTGTCACTCCAGAACCAGAACCTTCCGCTCACCAGGTGGACTTCTTCCCCATGTGACCGGTTCCACCCATACGAAGACTCAAGACAAAGGGAGACGACTGGGCCAGTGGATCTATGCCCTACACGAAGCTCTCGGAACGCCCCTGATCATCCTCCATGGTGATGATCATCAGTGGGCCGGGCCGATGGTGTGATCTTTGGAATGTTTTCCAAATGGGAGGACTCATTGAGGACCCTGGGGACGTCACCACTCCAGAAATATGTATACTCTTGCTTGGAAGGGCGTTTAGGAGTCCCCTGATTATCCTCGTCACAGCACAGCGTTGGAATAATCATAACACTACTCTGGTAGTGTGCAATTTAAAGTGAGATTGTGCGGAGCAGTGGCGATCACTCCCGACTTCCTGCCCCTTGATGATAACAACCAGCTTGCCAAGTCATTTTTCAGGCTCGAAGTTGTGCACGATCACATCTCCAAACTCCGCTGTCGGAAAGCGGAGCCATTTTGCTTCTTGGCACAGCTCGTTTGGACTCTCGCTGAGTCGATGGGCAGCAAATTGCCCAACTTGGGTGATCCTTATCTATCCGCCGCTAATGTCAGACCGAGCAACTCTTTAATGCGCGATGAGATTTTGCAGAAATAACGCCAAAGACTCGGCCAGCTTATTATGTCCTCAGGCTCTTGACGAATGCCTTCAATTGATCATTGTGAGAAAGGTGATCTCGGTTGCTTCGGATAATCGAGTGCCCGCGACACGTACGACATCTGCGATGCGGTGGATCCCCTTCAAGGCCGGTTTGGGGGACCTTGGCAACAGACATGGTGACGTGGAAAGCGGTCTGATACCATGAAATTGGTGTACTGTAACTCCATTTGTGTATGTATAAGTGCGCATGTGAGGACTGCAAGTTGCAACAAGGCCAAGCTGCGGGTGGCCTGAAGAGCTCGTCCGTGCAAACGAACAGTCGGTGACTGGACATAACAACAAGTTCATGGCCGGGATATTGACGCAGACACGCCGTTTCGTCGGAGAAACGATAGACCATCGTACGTTCTAAGTGGTCGTGCTAAGTGGTAGGACTGATGACAAGTGATACACTGCTTCGATCTCTTTAAGTAGCCAACGGTTCACTGCAGGCTATACCATAGAGAAAACCCCGTCTATAGACCGGCGGTCAGGTTGATCTACATTTCTCTCAAGGTGCTAAACCTTCAAACTTGTGGCTGTTGTAAAGCCATGAGCTTTTTGGAAGCTTTCGCTCCCGATTTTTAATTTGCACAGAGAATTTGTCTTGGATGCAAAACGAAGAATCTCAGGTCAAGCATGTTTGATGGTCGAGTTACACTCACAAAATCAAGATTGAATCAGGAGACCTGGGTCCTGGACTCCAGGCAATTTTCAAATTCTTTGTACAAGTTCCCCGCAAGAAGCAGCATCTGGAATGACCTCCAAGAAAGACCATGTCGTCATAATCCAAGTACAGCTCATCCGGAATGCATATCCCGCTCCCCCTCACATTTCACAGATTCGAACGCAAATAGAATCTTCTCACTGGCCGACAAACGTAGTTGTTGGGTCTAACAGCACACAAAAGTGCAGCTACTTTCCTATTTAAAAGCACCTCGTTCCCTGACATGGCGTAGTAGAATAACTGTCTTACCAAGCCACGAGAAGACGCGGTGCAACAAGATGGCCCACCTAACTTTCCATAATTATGAAGGTGTCGGCGAGAAGAATAAGCAAGACTACTGGTACAGCCAAGCTGTCCGCATTGGTGATCGAATCGAATGCTCAGGCCAAGGTGCGATATTCTCACATTGTAGTTCTTCTATAAAAGGCTATGGAACTGACATGTTCTATAACAGGTGGCTGGGACCCCAAGTCCGGAGACATCCATCAAGATATCAATGCCGAGATCGATCAGACCTTTGAGAACATCGAGCTCAACCTGAAGAATGCCGGCGGCAAGGGCTGGGAGCAGGTATTCCGGGTGAATTCGTATCACGTCCCGATGGATGGCGAGGCACTGGGGGCCATGGTTCGCAACTTCAAGAAGTGGATGCCGGGTCATCAACCTATCTGGACCTGTGTTGGAGTGCCGAAACTGGCCCAGGATGCTATGCGGGTGGAAATCGAGGTGGTGGCTCATGTCCCCTAAGAGCGTGGGTTGGATGGAGGACAGAAAGGCAGCTTTCTAGGATCGTGATGTGACAAGTTGCCGAGGCGGCAGTGTATGAGTCATGGCTGTTTTTGCATGAAGGAATCGGAGACTGAGAGGCGGAAATGATCTCTTTAGCGAAAATTTGTCTCAGAAGCGACCCCTGCCGGGCTTTCCGCCACGTCCGCCTCGTCCACCTGGTCCACCCCGTCCACCACGTCCACCACGCCCACCGCGACCACCGCGGCTACTGCGGCCCCGAGAACTTTGCATAGAATGCAAATCTTCCTTGCTCAGATTCAATGTACCTCCAGAGAATTTACCAATGGAGGATCCTCCAATGCCACGCTCTCTTCGCTTGTTATCTGACTTGGTGACCTTGGAGGGCTTCTCAAGAATGATGCCATTCTCCTTAGCCTCCCGTCGTCGCTTTTCATCCCTAGAGATAGCCTTTGCTTTGATACCTTGTCGGAAGGCATCAGGCATATTCTTCTGTTTGTAGAGAGATTCCTTGGCTCCGAGGTCTTGCATGCGTAGATCCAAAGCCTTCAGTCGGTTCTTGCCGGTCGGCGCAAGTTCTGAGGCCGAGTCAAGCAGGTGTGATTCTCGAAGTAGTCGTTGCAAATCAAGGTCGTGTTTCAGGTTTAGGGCATCGTTGGCGTCGTCGTCCGAGTCGTCCTTCTTAGTTGTTTTGGTTGTCTTCTTCTTCTCCTCCGCGGAAGACGGTGGTTTCGCACTCTGTTGTATCCGTTATTAGCTTGTGGACCAGAAAAGGGACATTTGAGATAATATACCATGAATGCCTTGCGCGCCTTCTTGTCCACCAAGCCGTCGAAACTGGCATCCCTGTGTTCAACCACTTCCACCACGTTGTCTTCGTCGCTCTCCTCAGAGACCCCATCCCAATCAGAATCAGGCTCCGAGATATCCTCATCATTCTCAATATCGTCTTTATCTTCAGACCCTGTTTCTTCGGTATCGCGCTTAGAAGGTACGTCGGCTTCGATGGGTTCGAATTGCGACTCGAAATATTTGCGGAAAATGTCCTGTGCGTCGTTTGCCGGTGGTGGGCTTGCCTCCTTGGTTTTGGTAGACCGAGAGACAACAGCAGTCTCTCTCTTCCGTTTTCCGACCATGATGTATGTGAATTAAGAGAAATGCCTGGCTGAAAGTTGATGTCGAGTCGCCAAAACTCCCCAAAGTTTTTTTGAGGACCAAGCTTAATGTCACGTGCGATAACGATAAGCCCCTCGATATCGGAGGTGCGGCGGAGGAACTTTGGTGTCACTACTCTGGCAACTGCACAGTTGTAATTGACAAGAGAAAATGACACAGTTCCGGCCCTGCATTGACCTCCACTCGGGGCAAGTCAAGCAGATTGTGGGTGGTACCCTCAGCAATGTCGCCGAAGACCTGAAGACCAACTATGTCTCAAAGCTCCCCGCCAGCCATTATGCGGAACTGTACCAGAAGCACAACTTGCGCGGTGGACATGTGGTAAAGCTTGGACCGGGGAATGAGGAGGCAGCACTGGAGGCAGTTCGCGCTTGGCCCAATGGGTTGCAAGTGGCCGGAGGAATCACGGATAAGAATGCGCAATACTGGATTGAACAAGGTGCCGAGAAGGTGAGTTGCTCCTCGTAATGCATTGTGATCTATGCTTCGATTCCCTGCATTGGCTTTGCTGCCTGACTACGAGTCGGCGCATACCTTCTTGGAATTGCTGGATTACGTTTCCCGTGCATGTTCGTCATATTCTGAGCGATGACGCTAATCAAGTCCGATGGAATGTGAGGACGATAGGTGATCATCACTTCATTCCTCTTCCCGTCCGGCAAATTCTCGCTCGAGCGCCTCGAGTCGGTGCTGGCAGCTCTTGGTGGCGATAAATCGAAGCTGGTCTTGGATTTGAGCTGCCGGAGAAAGGATAATACCTGGTTCGTGGCGATGGACCGATGGCAGACCATCACAGAAATGGAAATCAACCAAGGTAAGATGCTCCGTGAAGGCCAGTTGACCTCTGACAAATCCCTTCAACTAACCTTCTTATAGAATCTATCGCTCTCTTGGAGCCCTACTGTTCCGAGTTTTTGATCCATGCTGCTGACGTCGAGGGTCTGCAGCAAGGTGTTGACGAGGAGTTGGTGTCCAGACTGGCTGAGTGGTGTACCATCCCCGTCACCTATGCCGGTGGTGCCCGAAGCCTACAGGACTTGGAGAAAGTCCACATTAGTAGCAAGGGCAAGGTGGACTTGACGATTGGCAGTGCACTGGATATCTTTGGCGGCTCTGGAGTGACGTTTGATGAGTGTGTCGAGTGGAATAAGACCCATTGATGATGAAACCAAAATAGAATAGGCAACCCCTATGAAGGGCATTATGATATGAATTGACTGAATATCCCAAAAATGATAATTGGGGTAAGAAAACGGAATAGCAGTCCACGTCCGCTGGGCCCTGTGCCAGATGGCGTCTCATTGCTAGGACCTATACTCATGGATGCCTTCCAATGGGAATATTGTTTGCTAAGAATCCCAATCCGGCAACAACAGAGGTTATCACCGATTTCCAGGTCAAACAATCACTACCCCCCTCCGATGGCCTAGTTGGTATCCACCATAAATTGGTGAACCATAGGTGTGCCCTGGAGGAGTGGGTAAACAAAAAGAAGAAAAAATTACTGGGCCAGTGTTGACGCTTCAAGCTCCACGGACGGCCGGGCACACCGCTAGGCAGGGGAGTTCATTTTTTTGGAGATTTTTTTGGTAATATTATTTCTCTAATAGGAATCTATTTTAGAAACTATATTTTATTAATTCTAATTCTTTTACATCCTTGTCGGCGGTGTTAGAGGGTGAAAAGGAGGGTGCTGTCTATCAGGTGCGGCACTGGCGATGTTCTTCGGTGTCCGGGGATGGCGATGCAGTAACAAGGCGAAGTATATAGGGGAGGTGGAGGTTGGCGGTTCGATTCATGGGGCTGAGAACATTTTTGGTCTCGCTTTTTTAGTGTTTGTTTGCATGTGAACAGTTGGATATGGCCATATCATATCTCCTGTGAGGGTTCATTCTGAGTTGAAAATGCCCTCTGGGCCCAAGTCATCTAAGCGGTCATGGAGGTTCGATACGGTAAAAAGAGCACAACAGATGGTCGGCCATGGCCTCCCTTATTCTTACATTATATCCATTTTGATTCACTAACTAACTTGATTGAAGAGAATTAAGTCAGAACGAGCCCGGCCCAGAAAGGACGTCTCTCAACCTTGCTGTTGCACCACCCAAAATCCGGTTTACAGACACTGAGAATACCAAGCATTGGAGTAAGTGCAGGTATATCCAGCTTCACAAACAGTGGGGCCAGTCCACCCAGAGCCTCCACATTGACCCCAATGCGCTGCCACGCCAGTGGAAGAAGTTGTGGTACTCGAAGTCGAACTCGTTGTCTTTGTGCTAGTCGTGCTGGTCGTGCTGGTCTTGGTGGCCGATGCAGTGGTGGTAGAAGACGAGCCACTACCCGAGAATCCAAACCACTCCATATCCTTCGCTCCATGAATGGGGACTGTATGACCGACTCCTGTCGCGTAGATACCCTGGAGATTAGGGCCCCAGTTGGTGGTTTGGTAGTTGGCGTCCGGTGTATTAGCGAGGGTCGACTGGGGAGAGTCGTAATTATATCCGAAGACACCGGCCCACTGCTTGCAGGTCTCGTAGTAGTTTTGTGGGTAGAGGGTTGTGTCTGCACTGCCGTGGTAGATCTGCATTCGAGGTCGTGAGCCAGAGTATCCGGAGTACATGTTTTTGGCGATGCCGCCCCAGACAGCCGGAGTGCTGATGACGCTGCCCGTGGCACAGCTGCTGTTCCACGCATCGACTTGGTTGCTGGAGGAGTAGAAGCAGCCGGCACCGACGCCGGAGTAGACTGTCGCCGCTGCGAAGAGTTCGGGATAGGTGGCTGCCATGACATTCTGTGTCGAGTCAAGTCAGTCAAGCTTGTAGAGCGTCATAAAGAAGATCGGGTTAATTCACCGTCATCATCGCGCCGGAGCTGGATCCAGTCACGAATACCTTGGCGGTATTCGCATTGTATTGACTGATGGTCCAGGTCACCATGTTGGCGATGGAGTTGCTGTCTCCACCGCCGTTATGTGTCAGAGCGGCCTGAGAGCTGACATCCCAGCAGGTCCCGCTGTAGGGGCTTTGGGGGTAGATGACAATGAAGCCATATTGCTCTGCTAGCTGTGCATATGGAGATCCGGTGTAGTATGCCTGGGCGGTGCCAGTGCCTAGAGGATCCGCTGTTATTACTGCGACTCACGACAAGAAAGACCCAAAAGGGAAAAGATCCACTCACAGTAATGAATCGCGACGACAATTCCAGGGTTGGTAGCCAAGTTCTTTGGGACATAGATGTACATCAGAGTGCCAGAGGCATTGTCTCCAAAGCCGGTCACCTGTTGCAGCGAACCAGCAGTGACTCGCTTGTTGACATCCTTGCCCAGTGTTCTAGCAGAGGACAAGGTGAGATAGAGGAACAAGGTAACAAGAAAGGAGAAAGATAGACTCTTCATAGTGGCAACAAATTGTATGAACCTGGTATCGCTAGAATGAACCCAAGAGCCGTTGGGCCATCAACAGCGGGATATCCCCAGTCTTTAACATGGCGAATTGGTTAAGTCTACCCTGTCCCTGAATTTTCCCAATATGTAGAATCGTCAAGTCTTCCGTGACGTTTCAAGCTCCATTCAATTTTGGCTGAATGCTTCAGTTGCTTTTACATTGAACTTCGGACGAATGGAAGTCGCGGGGTTACACTGCGTGGTTCGTGTCGTGTCTTAAGTCCTCCCCAGGCTAAATTAAAGTAGCTGAAACCGCCGTGGGGCAGCGTTTCCCCGCATTGGCAATTCTGCAGGGCGTAATAATCTGCAGGATTCAGGGATCAAACACCGTGAAGAAAACCCACCTCATATTTATCCATACGAGCTGGTTTGAGATGTTCAAGATCCGCAGACCGGTGTGTGCGGCCCGGGTTCCTTACCTGATGTGGATAAGTGTCTGAAGAGTTCCACAAATGATATTTAGTTTGAGACTCCGGAAAATACATTCGTACCTACTGTTTTAGCCAGCTTTGCCAGCGGAGCAAAAGTTTGCTGTCTCTGGGAGTATTACTCCAGGCGATGTAGAACGAAATAAGCTTCTGCTGTGGCCGTCAGCAGCCTGGCGTATCTTGAGCTGGCAGTCCATGCAGCCAACGTGGACTTGGCTATTCAATCTCAAACGGCAGGTTTCATGTTCCCAGTTTCCCCTGCAGACCTGTGGAAATGAAATATTCAATCTTGGTATATATACCCACCGAAAAGAACTGTGGCCAGGAACCATCTTAGAGCCTTTTGAAATTCTCACAGCTCGAGAAGATTAAGCACTTGGAAATCGAATGCAAAGACTACACGAGCGGAATAGACAAATTTGTCATTCCTTATTCCAGGGGCTGTGTAGATTCCCACGTTCAGTCCCTGCGAGTGAGATGAATATGTGGCCTGTAAGGCAGACGCAGAGCCGAATATCAAATATCAAGACCCATCATTGGTCCGATGAATTTATGATGCTCTTTGCAGTTTCCAAAACTCACTGATCTTGGTAATTTGCCGTAGCAGACATGGGCTTGGCATACTCTGATGCTGTGAGTGACCTTGTGAAGATACTTATTAATAATGTACTCCAAAGGGGACAAGAGATAAAGAGAGATTTGAACTCTTTGTACCAATGCACCAAGCGGTAGGTACCGGTTGATGGGCGAGTCTCAAGATAGGTAAGAACAGCGAAAGGCCTCAGGCATTCTTACTAAGACGTACATTACGCCCTGTCGAGAGCGATGGACCTTCTTCACCTCATCAGTAGCCTACATTGACAAATTGAATGCCTGGAAGATCGCGGGGTCGGGGAAATACCCATGCCTGTCGGGAAAATTGTTGTCGTGTATTTCCCCGGCTATCAACAGGGTGGGGCGGGGGACTTGTTAAGCCGATGTTGCAGGGGCTTTCCTTTAAATCAATCCACCCCCAGGAACCCAGTTTTTAGTGAGTACAGTAGTTATCTACAGCCATTCTGTCTTTTTGGGCTTGGATTTGCCCCACCGTGACCACTGAACCACCACTCTGCACAAATCTTGTGGAGCTTAGTATCCGTTAGCGCTGTCACATTGGCATGAGGGCAATTTTCGACGTGAGGGCATGAGATACTAAGCTTCACAAAATTCGCGAGCCTTCCGTCCCAGGTTGATATGGTCCCACCTAACCCCGCAAAGAAGCATCGCTCCACGGGGAAATCAAGTTTATGTTGAGATTCGCGGGGAAATGGTGACATGCTGCTGGATCGACTGGGACGGTGAAATGTTGGGGCTTCCAAACTCGGCATATAAGTAGCCATGACGACTCCTGCATATTTGCGCTATCTGCCGCATAGGAGAGAGCTCCCTTGCCTGGCTAGTCAAATTGCTCTCCTTCAGTCCCGAGATTCGAATTATGCGGTTCGAAATTGCATCTGTGGCGGCGATCGCTGCTGTGTGCGCGCCACTGGTCAACGCTGCTCCGCCAGCCGAAGCTGGTACTGTTGTGAAACCGCGCGCTCCCAAGCCCAGCCACAGCAGCTATAGCTTCTCTTCCATGACTTCAACACGTTATGCGACTCCTCTACCAACATCGTCGCCACCGACGACGTACATGCCTGCAGCCTCCATGAAGGCTATCATGCCGTCGGGAGTTAAGACTACCACGTGGAACAAGAATGAAGCAAGTGCCTCAGACTGGGACAATCCTTATGGCCAGGCCGAATGGAACCGTCGTTGGGCTACGTTCATGCCGAATGTTTCTATCTCCACTTTCAGCATAAGTACCACCGTTCAGCCAACCCCGGTGCCGTCTTCCTCTCTCGTCATGCCACCGCCAGCTGGATTCAGTTATAGTGACGCAGCCAATGCAAAGGATTATACCTTTCCCAAGGACTTTATTGTTGGCGTGGCTTCATCAGCTGGTCAGATCGAGGGTGCTATCCAGGATGAAGGTCGCACGCCTAGTGTTCTGGATTACTTCAACTTCAATGCGGGTCAGGCGCCGGACTATGTCACTGATTGGAACTACTATCTCTACAAGGAGGATATTGCGCGCATTGCTGCGATGGGGGTTCCCTACTACTCCTTCTCTATCTCTTGGACCCGGATCCTTCCGTTTGCTGGTGTTGGCACCCCTGTCAACAAGGAGGGTATTGATCACTACAACGACCTAATCAACACCTGCCTCGAATATGGTGTGAGGCCCATGGTCACTATCGTGCATGCTGACGAGCCGTACGAGTTCGTGATGGAAGGTGGAAATGTGACGAGATCTTATCTCTCCACTAATTCTGGGGCTGCCAATGGCACGTTTGTCGACTCCTTTGTCTACTACTCCAGTATCTTGTTCGCCGAGTTCGGCGATCGCGTGCCCATCTGGATCACCATCAACGAGCCCTACTATGAATCTGGCAATCTGCAGGGAATGTACAATTTCCTGGAGGCGCACACTCAAGTCTACGATTTGTACAAGTCGATGGGCGGCAAGGGAATGATATCTTACAAGAATGCCGACAACTTCGGTGTTCCACTGGATCCAAACAGTCAAGAAGACATTGCTGCTACCAACAGGTATCAGGACTACCTTCTGGGTATCATGTCCAACCCGACCTGGTTGGGCAAGGACGTTCCCGAGAGCGTGACATCGACCTGCACCAACGAGTCTCGCCCACTTTCTCCCGAGACTCTGGCTCGATACAAGGGTAAATCCGACTTCTACGCCGTTGACCCTTACACGGCAACCTTTGTTTTCCCACCAGATGGTGGCGTCGAAGCCTGCGCCAAGGACCCAAACCATTCCCTGTGGCCGAACTGTGTAAACACCACATCAATCAGCTCCAACGGATGGGAAATTGGCTTCTACTCCAATTCCTACCCGTATCTGACCCCGAAGTACTTCCGTGCTTTCATGAACTATATTTGGGACACATACCAGCCGAAAGCCATCATGGTGAGCGAATTCGGGTTCCCAGTATTCGCCGAAGCCGAGGCAGATCTGGCGTCGCAGCTGAATGATCTCCCCCGGTCCTTGTACTATGAAGCATTCCTCACGGAGATCCTGAACTGTATCCATGAGGACGGTATTAAGATCATCGGTGCGGTTGGATGGAGTATGCTTGATAACTGGGAGTTTGGCTCGTTTGATCAGCACTTTGGCATGCAGGTTGTCAATCAGACTACCCAGGAGCGGTACTTCAAACGCTCCTTCTTCGACTTTATTGACTTCTTCCACTCGCATGGACTCTAAATACCGTGAGTTTAGCAATTTAACCCAATGGGACTGTTGATATTCTCAAAGATTGTGTTTCCTTATTGTATTTGGACGGCGGCATGACCGTGGTTAGGAGTGATAACTTTGCTTTGGCATACTCCATTTTTTGACTAAGCCTTGTACTAAGAACAGAAAGTCATAATTTTAAATGTTTAGTATATCTTGCCTTTCGCATTGGAAGAATAGTATCTCACAAGTATTGGAAAACCTCCCGGAAAGGGATCTAATGCTGCTAGACTATGAAGCGGATCCGATAGAGCGAATGAATATTTCGTTCGATTATACAACTAAGTCTCGGCAATACTTGGAGAGAACGAGTAACTCCATTCATCCGTTCGATAAATGTACCTATCATCAGATCCCCGCCAAGGGCTCGCGGAACGGGATAACTTGGTGGAATGCATACAAGAGGCGATCGGGACTAAGCATTTTCCAGAAGAATTGTCTGAACTTTAAATAATCTCAACGGAAGTAGGGCTAATGGAGACAAATTACTGGAAGAATTATAATAGCACGTCCGATTCATCCTGAAGGCGCCAGAATAATGCAAAGGATACCCTGCTCGTTATATGGAATCTGGCAAATCGCCGGATGGCCCCTAGAAAAATTGTCTTTCGGGAATATAGCGCTACCTCCCCCGACCTTCGTGATGTTACATCAACTGACGTAGAGAGGGGTATGAGGAAAGCTACTTACCTAGCCCATATGGTTGATTTGCATTGTATATGACAAGGACCATGGCCGGCAGTTATCCCGATTCCCGGTGATTTCCGCTTGGGAAGTTAATTAACTATGAGTTCGGCATGGGGGATCAAGGATCAATGTCTATCTTTGGTGAATCCTGCAGGGACAATGTAGCGGAGCGAATCTACAGGAATCATTCCGGGGCAATTCCCCTCCGGTACTACTCCGGGGCGTGAGTTGACCACGATCAGTCGACGATCCCCCGCACTCTGCATGATGCACGCTGAAACTCCGGCGGGGCGAGGGGAGAAGCCGACTCGGTATTGACGAATGCAAAGACCGTCTGAATTTACTTTATCGACATGAAGGGGAAATCTCCGTTGCATGGGAGGCATTGGGTCGTCACCCGAGCTATTCCATTTGGATTTGCGGGGAAGGAAGGCCTCGTGCATGATATTAAAGAATGTTCGACAGGGATTGCGAGAGGTACATATTTGGCTCACTCCCGGAACTATTCAGATGGTGACTCGGCTCTCCACAAACGTCTTTTATCGAGTGAGTAGTCGTTGCATCAAGTATGCTTCTGAAGAACTACCTAGCCGCTGCTGGCTTGGCTTTGATGCAGGGGAGTCTTGCTTCGTTGCAAATTGTCAGTCTCCACTCCATTAGCGAATGTGATGATCAAACACATTTTGCTAACACATTCAGGTCCCTGGTGGGTCGTGGACATCAGCTGGTACAAACCAACATGTCCAGGCTCATGGTGGAGGTATGTCTACGGGGCTTGAGGATTTCTTTTGCTCTGCCCCACAGCTGAAATTTTCCCTAAGGAATCGTCGAAGTCGACTCTGTCTACTACTGGATCGGCGAGAACAAGCTAAACGGAAGTGCCTTCCAATCCGTCAACTGTTATTCCAGTACCAACTTAGTGGAATGGACCTTTGTCGGAGAGCTGCTCTCCCTCCAAAGTAGCGGAGATCTTGGTCCGAGTCGAATCGTCGAGCGTCCGAAGGTCATTTACAATGATGCAACTTCTAAGTGGGTGATGTGGATGCATATTGACAGCAGCAGCTATGGGGAAGCAAAGACTGGTGTCGCGACAGGTTCCAGTATCTGTGGCAAATATAACTATTTGTAAGACCCACTGGAAGCACTTCTTGCCTGTCGAGCTTCACTTGGACTGATTTGGTTACTTTTTAGAGGCTCATTCCAGCCTTTGGGCTTCCAGTCGCGCGATATGGGTCTTTTCAAAGATGATGATGGATCTGCCTATCTCTTATCAGAAGATGTGAGTGCATCTGTAGCGACCTCTCTCATGTATGCCGCACTCAGCCTGTTCTAACAACTATTACTAGCGCCCCAACGGGTTGAGAATTGACCGATTGACTGATGACTACACCAATGTGACTTCGAACACATACCTATGGTCTGAGCATATTGAAGCTCCAGCTATGTACAAGAAGAACGGCGTGTATTTCATGTTTGGGTCCCAGTTGACAGGTAAGTGCTTGTCCCTTCCACTATAGCTTGAGCTAACCATGACTCGAATATAGGATGGTGTATGTTCTTCATCTCCCCAACAAGATGAGCTCTATGTAGGCCTAATTTGTTTCTGCCAGCTACAAACGATAACAAGTACAGCACTGCTACGAGTTTGAGTGGACCCTGGAGCTCTTGGGCCAATTTTGCCCCTACCGGCACGAACACCTACAACTCCCAAACTACGTTTATCCTGGGGGTAGGCCCAAACGTGATGTATGTCCCAGGGGACAGAACAAAACCAAACGTACAGTCTGGTGCTTTGGCTGATATCATCAGGTACATGGGTGATCGATGGCTCTCCTCCAACCTCATGGCATCAACTTACATCTGGCTTCCACTTACCTTGTCCGGGAGGAGCGCCAGCCTCGTACGTATCCTCTCACTCTATATCCTCGGGTCTAAAATGGCCTTATTCCTGACTAACACCATGTAAAAACCACAGACCAACGAAGACAGTTGGGTCATCTCCACCAAGCAGTCCTGGACACCCTCTCCGGCAGGAACCACCCCGGAAGCCGAATCTTCCTCAAACACATTATCCAACGGCGCTGTAACACTTACCTGCAGCGGCTGTTCTGGAGGAAAATCTGTAGGATATATCGGAGGTTCCAGCAGTGGAACGCTTCAGTTCAAGGGCATCTCCAGCAACGCTACCACGAAGACTACTGTCCAGGTGAGATACGAGAATGGGGATTCGAGCCAGCGGTATGCTACAGTAACTGTGAATGGCAAATCGCAGGTTTTGGCTTTTATTCCTTCGACGAATGGGAACACGCCTTTCTCGTCGTCGCTGAATGTTGAGCTGAACGCGGGGGCTTCGAACGTTATTACTATCGGAGGGTACCAGGGTGGATGGGGTAAGTGATGCCGATCATGTTGAGTGGTGAGAAATGAATCAATTGGAGCAGAGAACTAATTGTATTGCAATCAATATCCAGGACCGGACATCGATCGTTTGGTGGTTCCAGAACTGTAGTTGGACTATTGACAGATGCCCGTGGTTTCCTTGGACGGTGTTCACCATCTATCGGGGGATGACGAGTGTGTATATAGATCCCATTTGGGTATACACGAATAGCCGAGCAACTCTGTCACACATTGCATGGCGTATATCTCCTGTGTAGATGAGTAAAATAACAAAAACGGCCCCAGGCCTAGACAAAAGTCGGGGATGCCTTGCCCGTCCGAAAACGGCTTAGGGCCACGACAAGCTCCGCCCGCCAACCTCCGTATCATCGGTCACTTGCTCCTCCATCATCATCACTACACTCCCTCGCCCTTCCCTTGCGATTTGGTACCTCTCAATCGGGCCAATATAAGTCTTTTCCTCTATCGCCTTCTAAAACCCTCCAATCTCGACAAAATTCTCCCGTGCCGACGCCAAGATGAAACCCGTTGTGTCGGCGTTGAACGCCTGGTCCTGGTAGGCTTCCCCCATTCCAGAGATGGCCATACCCTTGAATATCTACAGCTTCTAATACTCTTTGCTTTTGATAGTGTCGTTATCTCCATCTTTGCTATCGTTATTCTCTCTGTCCTCGGCTCGCTATATGGCGTACGTTCTCTAGCTTCCGCCCCTCCCCCGGTCCAAGCTGGCCCCATCTTGCGCCCGGCCATCGACAACTGTCCGGATTCGTTGGCATGAAATACTGACCTATGTCCTTTTCCACTAGAGCAATAACCACTCTTTCACCGGCTCGGAAGGTGACCCGGAAGATGGCCCTGCAGTTGCTGCCTCCATCTATGTCGCGGTGATTGTCTATGCTGTACGCCATCTAGCATTCGACTCCTACCAGCAGGAATTTGAGCTTCTGCCGGTAAACACTCTTGCTAACGCATGTTCAATCTTATTAGGGATTCTTCGTGTTCTGCGGTTTCCAAGCCTACCTCCACCTTCGAGACAGCCGGGGCGGTGCCATATCACTTCGTTAAAACCAGAGCCATAAAAGAAAACCAATTTACAACATCTATGATCACAATAACACATCTTCTCCTTCGGTGTCACAACGGTTCTTCTATCATTTTTCAATCACAGGGGGGTTTTGATCTATTTCGGTCTGTCTTTAGGGAAACATGGTGACCAGGGTCCGAGAGGGCGGGGAAAGGATCTGAAATGGATCAGCGGTTCTCCAATAAACCAGGCGCTTTCCATTGATTATTCGCTATTCTCCGCTTGTGTGACGCACGGGAGTCCGTCGGTATACAGCGATAAGTCTGGAGTTGCTGCTCTCTTTCCACCAAGGAAGACATTTGCTGGGCAGGTATCCCGGTCTTCCTGTTGCTGGGAGTATGCAATACACAGACAAGCCCTTTTTTGCGCGATATGTACATAGCGGCTCGGAATTATTACCTATTGTTATCAGTTCTTATCTATTGTGTCTAGCAGGGATACTTTGCCATGCGTCGCGATCAAGTATAGACATTTCATCATTGTTCATCATTATGTCACAAGAAACCACTTTTGGAGCGTGCTCCCCTAACGCCTGGTATATGCAGAATCGACCGATCCCATGTTTTCTCTAGCTTTATTCTTCATCCTCATACGGGTCCAGCATCTTGGACATGTAAGGTCCATCCAGGGTGTATCCTAAGCGCGCGTAGTAGCTACGCACGCCAACACCCGAAATAACACTGATCTTGGTACTTCCGTGCTCCTCACGGGCGATGCGCTCGGCCTCTTCCATGAGCAATGTACCGAAACCACGGTGTTGGAACTTGCGAGCATCACGTCCGTGAAGTGGCACGGCAGAGCCATAGACGTGCAGCTCGCGAACGATACTGGTCTGCTGGCCAGTGAATTCAGGGCGGAAAGTGTGAGTGTCACTGCACTTGCGCAAACGAAGCAAGCCAATGAGAATATCCTGCTTGGGATCTTCATAGGCCAAGAAGGTCTCCCAGCCGCCGTTGGCAGCATAGTCACGACGGATAAGCTCCACCTGCGAAGGGCGGATCTTGTTCTTGACCTCGTTGATACCGACCTCTCGTGTACGGACGTCCCGACAGGTCGTTCCAAAGTCCTTCATCCGGGCCAGAGCTAGCTCGCGCAAGTTGCCGTTCTCGACACCAGAAGTGACGAGAGGCATGGGGATATCACGCTGGACACGGTAAATTCGAGTCCATGGAGGGACCAATGCAAGAATACGAGCAACGAGATCGATCAAAGCATTGGGAGTGTAGTTCTTGTACCGCCCAGTCCGCCACAGCTCGTAGAGACCGGTTCCACGGATGACCAGAGTAGGGTAGATCTTGAGACCGTCTGTACGGAAGGCAGGGTTCTCGAAGTATTCTTGGAATTGGAACAGGTCGCGCTCCATGCCGACGTTAGGCAAATCGGGCATCATGTGGCTGACAACCTTAAAACCAGCATCCTTCGCAAGCTTGAAGGTCTCAGCGACTGCCGCGACGGTGTGTCCACGATTTGTGTCTCGCGCAACATCCTCGTACAGACTCTGCACACCGATCTCTAGCCGGGTGCAGCCGTAGCGCAGCATGCTGCTCAAATGGGTGTCCAGACAGTAGTCTGGTCGGGTCTCGATCGTGATACCCACACACTTGGTGTTACTCATTTCACCTGCCAGTACGGCCTCGTCCACGTTGTCCGTTTGGTATCCGCTCAGGGCATTGTGAAGCTGAGAAATGAAGGTATCGCGATAGTCCTCCGGCAAAGACATGAATGTTCCGCCCATGATAATGTATTCCACCTTATCCACACTGTGGCCCAGAGACTTGATCTGGTCCACTCGTCCTCTCGCCTGCTCGAAGGGATCATAGCGAGCGCGGATCGCACGCATCGACGTCGGCTCGTATCCGGTATAGGATTGTGTAGAGTACTCGAAGTCGGAATCGGGGCCACCGGGGCAGTAGACGCAAATGTTACCGGTATACGCGATATGAGGGCATCGGTGAGGCTTGCACATCACAGCGACAACGGCGATACCAGAGGAGGTTCCTGTGTGGCGGGATTAGTTTGAAGGTCTTGCCGGCTTCGAACGTATCAGACTTACGGATTGGCTTCGCGATCAGCTTCGGTAGAATGTATTTCTTATAATTTTCCGGCACGGCCGCAATGATAGCCGTCAGTGGCGGTTGAGTCGCCAGGGAGTGCTTCTTCGAGATCATGCCCCGCAGCTTGTTGAGGTTGACATCCTTTCGCGGCGCAGAGCTGTCTCTCTGCGACTCGTATTCTTGGATGAGCGCATTTGCAATATCAGAGCATGCTCGCATGTATCGCTCATTCTCTGGGATCAGCTTGTTGTTCTTCTTCGCAGTCTTCTTATTGAGCGGCGCGGTCATGGTCATGGTGGCCATGGTGCAGGGGTGTCACCGCGCAGCGGCGACTGGGTCGCGACGAGACAAAAGACGAAAGATAGAAATACACAAGTCTTTTTTGAAGCAATCGAGAAAGATACCGGGGTAGCAGTAGTGGTGGGGTGAAGCGATTAGATAGAAAAAAAGTTGGTGGCCGAGGCAGCGATCCGAACTCAACTCGGGTCCGCTTAAGTAAAGATTTGTCCCGAACGAAAACTCCCGGGCGCGCATCCCGAATCCTTTGCTAACATCTCTTCCCCGAGTCAACCTCTTTTCTCCCCCATCCTCTCCTCTCCCCTCTCCTCTCCACCCCTTCAATTACCCTCTAGCCCGTCATGCAGGCCTTCCGCCGTAACACCTTCTCGGCTGTTCGCAATGTCGCTGGCCAGCAGCGCCGGAGCTACCTTAAGGCCACCTCTGCCTATGCCGATACTGTGAACAACCTGCGGATCAACAAGGACACCCGGGTCCTCTTCCAGGGCTTCACCGGAAAGCAGGGAACGTGAGTATCCATCTACTGGACCGTATCTGATTCCATGCGCTGGGCGCTGACGAGCGTGTTCTTGAACAGTTTCCACGCCGAGCAGGCCATCGCCTACGGTATCTATCATCTCGTTGCGATCGCGAAAAAGACCACTCGAACTCATACGTAACAGGCACAAATGTCGTCGGTGGTACCAACCCCAAGAAGGCCGGCACCACTCACCTCGACCTCCCCGTTTTCGCCAATGTTGCGGACGCTAGGAAGGAGACTGGTGCTACTGCTTCCGCCATCTTCGTCCCGTATGATACCCGATATGCTCCCCCAAGAGATCGCAGAACGCAACTAATTGATTACAACCAGCCCCCCTCTCGCTGCTGCCGGTATCGAGGAGGCCATCGCTGCTGAGATGCCTCTTGTTGTTTGGTGAGTGTTTCCGACCCCCCGAGCTCCCTGAAAGCTCCCCTTAAGATCACTTTTTTTTTTTTATAAGCCCGAGCTAACCGCGTCGTTTGCACTAGCATTACTGAGGGTATTCCCCAGCACGGTACGAATTGAGTTCATCGCCTCCGAGTGGAACCCGATCTAATATATACCCCATAGACATGGTCCGCATCACCGACATCCTCAAGACCCAGAACAAGACCCGCCTGGTCGGCCCGAACTGCCCCGGCATCATCGCTCCCGTAAGTGTCGATCATAACCGAGGGTTTCACGTCATATGCTCATGCGATTCGTTTCTATAGGGTCAATGCAAGATCGGTATCATGCCCGGTTTCATCCACAAGCGCGGCCGTGTCGGTATCGTCTCCCGTTCCGGTACTCTGACCTACGAGGCCGTCAACCAGACCACCCAGGCTGGCCTTGGTCAGTCCCTCGTTGTCGGTATCGGTGGTGACCCCTTCTCCGGTACCAACTTCATCGACTGCCTCAAGATCTTCCTCGAGGACCCCGAGACCGACGGTATCATCATGATCGGTGAGATCGGTGGTTCCGCCGAGGAGGAGGCCGCCGAGTTCTTCAAGGCCAACAACGTCCACAACAAGCCCGCAGTTTCCTTCATTGCCGGTATCAGCGCTCCCCCCGGCCGCCGCATGGGTCACGCCGGTGCCATCGTCAGCGGTGGTAAGGGTGGTGCCGACTCCAAGATCTCTGCTCTCCAGGATGCTGGTGTCATCGTCGAGCGCAGCCCTGCCTCCCTCGGCAAGACCCTGCTTGCCGAGTTCGTCAAGCGTGACCTTGTCTAAATTTTAAGTCTGAAGCCTTGCTTTTGACGTCTTGTGCTCTCTTGGTGTCCTGGTTCTTTGTGGGAAGACTGGGGGTTCGGAGGTATATTCACCATTTGTCCAAATGGTCATTTGCGGTTCATCTCATTAAGCCGCGCCTGTATTCTTTTTCTCCTTTGTGTTAGAGACCCTTGAAGTAATTAGTTTTGTGTAACTTTTACTTGTTGATCATATATTCTAGTAGATGTGCTTTGTAGGTGATTCGGTACTGGACTGCGACGGATATGGCGTTGAGCCAGTCCTTACGGACTTGGGTCGCAAAGGGTTCAATTGGCCCTTTCAGAAGCCTGCGACCCAAGCGAAGTGAGAGCCTCTTGTCTTCATCCAGTTCGAGTTAGGCCGAGGAGGCCGATATGATAATGAAGTTCAGATATAACATCCAAAAGTTCTCACGCCAACATGCTGCTATGGGACAAGGACAGCTGTATATCATTTAAGGTCTCAAGGCTGGTTTTATAACAACAGTTTAGAACAACTCAGGGCTTCATGATACCCTTCAGGGCCTCAACCACCTCCTCAGTTCCAATCACGTCGGCAAACTCGCCATCAAGACTAGCAACAGTGACTTTATGTACAGTCTCCGCATCAAAATTCCCCTTGCTGTAAGTTGCAGTCGCATCAGAAACAAGAATTATCCGCCCCTTTTCCACGCGCACCTCGTTCTCACGAGTACCATCAGGCCTGAATCGAACAGGGCCTTCATCCAAAAAACGATCCACAACGCCCAAGTTCGCTGCCATACGAACTGTCGTCGAGACACAGTGATCCGTCGTCAGGCCAGCAACAATGATCTGCCTAATCCCCTTCTGTCTCAAATGCGCCTCAAGACCCGTCCCAATAAAGGAAGAGTTGACATTCTTCCAAAAGACAGGCTCCGACCCATCCGCTGCCGGGACAGCAAAGTCCAGCGGTCGGATCCCACCCGCCGGATGTGAAGGGTGAAGAGGGGAAGAAGACGAGTCAGAGGAGTGAAAGACGTGAATCACCTCGAGCGGAAATGAAGAGGATACTCCTGCATCTCGAAAAGTGGATAGGAGTGATTGGAGATTGGCTTCATAGTGAGGATTGGAGCGTGATGCGCCCCAGTGAGAGACAGTTGACGGGTTGGTAAAAGCTGATTGGTTGTCGATGAGAATTAGAGCTGTTGGAAGACTCAGATCGATTGTTGGTGCCATTTTCGAGAGACTGGAATTAAAAAGGAGATGCCTGGTCGATTGATGAGGGTGGAATAGAGCGGAATCTCCATCTTAATGGTGCTTGATTGAGCGGTTGACTCACCAGGCTCGTTAATTACCAATCAAGCCAAGAAAAGTTTCCTATACCTCTTTCTTATGGTGTTTAGAAATCAATTCTGCACATCACAACTCAAAAATTAATTCTTGAAGGACCCTGATTTCATATTCAGGCTATATTGCCTTAGGTCTGATGATGTTTTGCGCTCAGCTCAGTACATGGAGGGCTACCCCACCAAGCTGTGATCATTTTGGCACTTGGAGCTCTTCCCACAGCGGAGCGCTTAAATATCGAGTCTAATTATTTCTACCATGGAGCTAGTGTTTCAAGATTTGAGTAAAGTCGTTCATTAGAACCCATTAGTTTATGTACGGTGGCCTCTTTATAGAGTGTACTTTTGTCCTTACCTATATCAGAGCTAGAGAAGGGAGGACTTACTGCTACTCCATCGTCAAGGGTCCCTGTTCCCCCCTGCAATCTCGTGTCCAGAGGTGATAGGAGCATTGCAGAAAAAAGAAAGTGAAAATGAAGCTCTCAGGTTGGTCACGTCAAATAAAAAAAAACCTGAAACGGGCGCCAACAATTTAATGGTTCAACCAATGCAAATCCGTAGCGCCCGTGATGATTTTCCTAAAAAAGCGCTTAACCAGCGCTTGACAGCCCGCTTCACACCTATTCTCAGGTACCAGGAAGAGAGGTACTTAAAAAGCGGCCATGTGTGATGTATTCTTGTTCTTTTTTCTCTACCTCATTCTTCAGGCTGTTCATTTTTTTCAAGCATCCATCAAAGTACCATATTACAGTCACTTTTACGAAGTATACAATATGGGCCTTCATCTATCTCAACTATGCCGAAAGCCCTGTGGAGAGGATCGAGAGGTGAAGAAAACGGCCTCGAATCCAAAGCATACACAAGAGAAAGTGTTTGCCGTGCTGAACGACTATCTGGGGCCTGAGAGCCCATTGCCACTCGACCTGGCTGTAGAGTCTCTGTTGAAGCTCTTGCCTACAGATGCTCCCGACTCTGAAGAGATCTGCAGATTCGGTGAAGACTGCTTTGAGATCGCTGAAATGGCTTCCTATAAGAGTTCGTCACATTCGAGATTGGCTCAATTGCTCGAGGCTCTTGGTCTCTCAAGCCATTTTACATTCCTTGCCAAAGAGGTAATTATTTTTAATCTCGACCATGATCATCGCTGATAGGAGACCGGAATTATCTAGAATGGTAGAGTTTGGCGTTTCAATCTGCTCAAACATTCAATGGAAGACTTCTGCGCGGGTAAATTATCAAACAAATTTCTTGGGTCCCAACAACGCTGATCAATTGTTCCAGGCCCTGATAGCGAAAATCCTGGACGATACGTCAACTATAATTCATTCTTAGCGCACTTATACGAACATCGCATTTTCCCAACTGATCCCACATATGCATTGTGGGCTATGCGTGCTGCTTTTGAAGACGAGAGAAGCCATGAAGCAAAAGAAGTTCGCAGCTCCTGGATTCTAGGCGCAGCTCAATGGATCTTATGGAATGGACAAAGCATTTTCAATCTCGTCCTGGAGCCAGCCCTCTACGATGTTACATACGAAACCTGGCCAGATCGAGGCGCGTGGGATGCTGGTAGTCTCTATAATGGCGCACCTGGTCTCTCTCTTGAAAGGTGGCAGTTTTGGAAGCGCCAGTTCGGAGAGGTCTCCCAAGGGTGTGACGTTACTGATGAGTGTAAGATGGTGTCTGCTAGAGCGATGGCGATGATGGATTTATTTGAAAAGAGCATGGTGTTTTAGATAGGGTGTAAATAGGTTTCTCGTTTGGCGCAGGCGTTTGATCTTCTCTTTCTTCTTGTTTCTCATACAACTTCAGTTCCAGATAGAAGAGCCATGTACTTGTGTTTGTGCTGATATGGTAATACCTCAATAATAATACCGGATATTCTAGGCACATTCTGAGCCGGAATTAGTGCTGGTAGCTAAGTTTCTCCTGCTCCTCCTTCTTGGCTGCTACTATCGAGTCACTCGAAGCCGCCGCACTACTTCCGTCATCTTTCACGTTCGAAGTAACCACCTGTCCATAATTACTGGGTGCGGCACGATTGCACGGGACCCCAGAACTATTAACCAAATTTGTACACTGATATACCTCATCTTGTAATGTTGTGTCAGACATGGGCAGCCCCAGGGTGTGATTAACCGATTGAATCTCGACATTTTCAAACTTGATACCCGGACAAGGGTGCACGTCTGAGCAATAAAGCGAGGCGGCGATATTGTACCGCGAAGTGCCTTTGATATTGGACCATGTGATATCCTCGATGGCCATCTTCGACGTGTTGCAGTTCTGCCCATTCTCAGTGTAAATGCACTGGGAGATCTGAATAGGCAAAGCAACATTGGTCAATTCAAAGTTGCGAAACACCACGTTCTTGATCAGCCCACTGCCACCTCCTCCACCATCGCCGTTGGAGCTGTCGTCTTCCGGAACGCCCTGCCACGTTTTGATGAAAGCTGCTTCCATGCAATTATAGCATTTGACATCTTCGAATGTGACGTTCTCAACATAATCGGGCATTGTAGCATACTGCCCAACTGACCCAATGGCCATACCAAAGCCCCAGTGGCAGGTAACGTTCCTAACAACAAGATTCGTGGTGTTCCCCTTAACAGCAATGCAGTCATCGCTATTAGTGACAACCGCATTCTCAACAAGCAATGTGTCGCTATTCCAAGAATCATAGCCGTCGGTATTCACGGTACTCCATTCATCATCGCTGGTAGCATTGACGAAAAAGTTCGTAATAGAAACATTTTTGCTTTGCCAGACGAACGTTGCCCAGAACTGCGGTTGGATAATTGTCAATCCATCCACTAGCAGGTTTGTCGAATTGTAGAAGGTGATGCTAATAGGCCGACCAGGTTGGTTGCTTTGGTTACGGTTTTGAGTGTACCAGGCCTGACCCTGGCCATTATACCAGCCACCCTCTTCGCCTCGAAAAGTGACGTTTGTACCGCCGAACAGCCACGCTGTTGATTGGTTTTGGAAGACCACAGAGTAGGAGTGTGAAAGCCAATATGGAATGTCTGTTGAGAAGCGGATTTCACCCCGTAGGGATACATCGCAGTTCACTAAATTGGTCGTGTTCATCACCGAATTGACATTGAATACATGGTCCGCGGCGAAAATGACCTTACCATCGGTCCCGCAAAGCTCAAAGGCTTTTTGAATTGAAGGTGCATCGTCGACTGGCTGGCCATCATTATTGAGTGATTCTGGGTATAGCGTGCACGTTTTGCCTTTCTGGTCAACATAACCTGTTGCCAAAGTGGCCAACGCTAAGGGGAGCCACAAACGCATTATGGGCTGAACAGTACTAGTACGTCTTTCACTGACAGTAGGTTGTTCACTGTACACTCCAGTTCTGTGCGATTATGAGTGCTGTAGAAGAAGATCATTCGAGTCGGGATTCAAGGGGTGCCGTCTCTATATTTGTGACATGTACCGGAGTTTTTCCGGGCATGCTCATCTGATTTACCCCTGTGATTGCTTTGTCGATCGCATCAATAGAAAACAAAGGTTACATCTTTCCCCGCATCTTTCATTATGATATAGCGCGACCGGAATCAGGTGATAAGGATCCAATCATCAATGTTTGTCACAGTGCGAGATCTTGGCTCGGCCCACGCGGTCTTAGCGTCCAAGGTGCAACCAAGGCAAGGGCGAGATTAATACTGACAGGGGCTCGGTAGTCACTGCACGCTTTCTTATGAGGCGGAGGGTCTTTGATCATTCGACACATCCGCTAGAGTTGCCTTAGTCCGGCATCTCTCAAGTATTCGGCAGGCCCTGTCATTTGACATGCTCCTTGCATAAATTATTTCATAAATTGGAGAGAAGAAATTATGTATCCAAGTTGCATTAGTCGATAGCAACTCTTCCCAATGCAGTGAAAACAGCCTGCGTCAGCACATGGATATCAAACTTTATTTATTCAACTTTGCCGGTTCTATAGCACACAGTGTACTATTCTGAAAGACGGTGATATACTCTTAAAATTGTCGCCACCTTTGGACTTTCACCGAGAACAAGTCGAGATGACTTGAAAGGCTGATTGCGTGGGTTCTCAAGCAAAAAGATAAGAGACCCTAAAGAGGCTTGGAATTCATGTAGGCTTCTAAGCAGGGGATATTTTATGTCTACTGCTGTATCCTCTACCGTAAGTCAAAGCTAGTTCATCTAGATATTCAGTTATTGTACCCTCTTCGTGAGCTATTGGCCGATATCCTAGAAAGGGGGAGCATCACGAGCATGGAATACACTGAAAATTAAACATTTTTGTTGAATCGTGCCTGAAAAATCCTATATGTATGCATATAAACTAATTGCTGGGTTAATTACCTTAAAACGCCAAAGGTCAGCTAGCGATCTTTTCCGATATCGTATCGGCTCTTGATACCCTCAAAACGTGTTGTGCTTCAGCCGCAGCAATGCTCAGCCCCGCACCGGGGGCCTGAGGAGTAAGCAAACATCTCTTCACAAAAACTCCCAGTCACCGCTGTCATCGTCTCCTCTGATCGCAAGTCCCTTGTGAACATGGTCCTCGATCCCTTTACCTCACTGTCTCTGGCCTGCGCGGTATGCCAGTTCCTTGACTTCTCGGGCACGCTGTTCTCGAAGTCGCGCAAGATCTACAAGAGCACCACGGGCTACGACGATGACACCGACACTGTGCTGGGAATCACCAAGAATCTGCGCTCTCTGACAGAGAAGTTGAAGACACCCGCCGATCCTTATTCGCTATGACCCGAAGATGCGGAGCTTGTCAACCGTGTTGCTAGATGCAAGCGAACTGCTGATGAACTTCTTTTGGTTCTGAATGATCTGCAAGACAGCAAAACCTCATGATGGAGCAGTTTTCGAGCAGCCCTAAAGACATTGTGGGCTCAAGACCGTATCGATGAGATGACTAGAAAACTTGAGTCGTATCGATCGCAGCTGATTCTTCGCTTGACGGTCATGCAAAAGTTAGTCATAGAGACAGCGCAATGCGTTGAAGATGTTAACAAAGCTACACCTCCAGTGGTAAAACCATGTATGTCATGGATGCATTGCTTGAACAGAACCACCGGCTCCGAGTTGGGTTGGAACCATCCATCGAAGAATTGAGGTAAACTATGATGGAATCTATGGAGACTCTGAGACTCGACTTTGAGCGACAAAGCAAATTGTTCATGCTTGCTCTCGAGGAGGAAAGAGGGGGGACCATCAATCCCCAGCAGGAGATGAAGCGACAACAAGAGATGCAACGGCTAGAGGTGCTCCCACGTGCTGATATCGCCGCGATAACCAAAAACATAGAAACGACCGCTGCTACTAGTAATAACCTGGCCACAAAACTATCTATCATGCGAACGCTCCATTTCGACGGTATGGAGTTGCGTCGGTTCCAAGTTACAGAGGCCCACACGCACACGTACAGCTGGGCTTACTTGTCGAACTTTTCGGAATGGATGGTTTCCGAGGATCCTCTTCTGGATAAGCGGGAAACCCGGCTCTGGCAAAAGCACTCTAATGAAGTACCTAATCAACAGCCCCGATATATCCAAACATCTACGGAAATGGGCAGACACGAGGAAATTATGCATTATCGACTACTTCTTTTGGATCAATGGTACCGATATTCATCGCTCACAGGGGGGTCTACTCCGATCATTGCTGTTTGACGTCTTCCATAAATGTCCTGAACTTATTGAGACAACATTTCCAGAGAGATGTGTTGAATCTGTGAATGCGAATCACGACCTCATGATACCGTGGAGCCGCAAGGAGTTACTGAGTGGCTTGCAAAAGATTGCTCGGCAAACGGCTTCGTCCAATGCGCTCTGTATCTTCATCGACAGCCTGGATGAATATGAAGGCCAACACGAGGATCTGTTCAACGTACTTTCCAACATAGCGCATGCATCCCCCATCAAGCTATGGGTCGCAAGCAGACCCTGTAATGTTTTTGAGAAGGCTCTGGGAAAAAACCAAACCCCCAAGCTTTACTTGGAGAACCTGAACAGGCCTTACATCGAGCTCTTTGTGAAGAACAAGTTGCAAAACCGCGCTGATTTCCAAGCTTTGGCGCTGTCTGGTCCATACGCCGCCGAGCTGGCTTCTGATATTGTTGAACGTTCAAAAGGTGTTTTTCTTTGGGTCAATCTGGTCGTGCTTTTAGTGAAGCAGGGTCTAGTCAATGAGGACAGGCTTGTGGACCTGAAGCGTCGTGTGAGCGCTTACCCGGCTGACCTCAACGACTTTTTCAGACATATAATGGACTCACTGCAGGTGCAGATTGCTCGCGGGTTTTCTGTCGCTTTGGCTGCAAAGAAACCGCTCTCGGTTGTCAGCTTCTGGTACCTTGATGAACTGGAGCTGAATCCTGATGTCGCTATTACCAAGCAGGTTGACAAATTGGCCGTGAAGAACGAGAGACTTGAGTGTTTCTGGATGGAGGAGGTCCGCAAGATGGGGGCGCGTATCAACGGACGCTTCAAAAGATTTCTTGAGATTGTGAAGCCACTTGATTGGAAAATTCCTTCTGAAATTAAGGTCGATTTCCTCCACCGAACAGTACGTGACTTATCACGGAAGACTGCAGCGGGTACTGAAAAAGTGGACGCCTTCCACTTTCGATGTCCACTATGCACTTTGCAACATCCAACTCGCTGAAGTCAAAGAGCTGCATCCAAAACTTGCGTATTCACAAACTCTCGCCCGACTGACGGAAGGGATATTCTACTCAGCACGACAGTTCGAGAAATTTCATCACAGGTCGCTCAGCATAGTTCTTGAACATCTTGACCATACAATTACGGGCTATGGCCACAGACTGTACCCTTGGGAAAACCCGGAAGATGGAAACCTCATCATTGAAGCCGTCATGAGCAACCTGGCCTACTTTACCTCAAATCGCTTCGAGAAAGACGTCATCAGCGAGGAAACGAGACTGAAGCGTCTTCAAAGGATGTTCAACATCATGAAATATCTAACTGCGGATGGTTTGCACGATCCTCAATCTCATATTGAGGTGGTTGGCAACCCACTTGACATGATTCTTCTTCTAGTGGAGGCTCGCCCCGTAACTGGTTATATTCCATTCCGTACGGTATTATTAGGACTGGAGTTCTATGATAACGGGACCATCCTGGGCATCTTGCTATGTCTCTGCAAGAGTGGCCTTGTGGACCTCGAAGAATTCCGTGAGCTGGTCGCGCACGTCAGAAGACTAACTAATTTATGGAATGCGAAGGAGCTGGAGGAAATGACTCGCGTGGCAAGCAAAGCAACGATAGGGCCGGCGCTTTCCAAAGCACAGGTCGGTCGATTTGGAAAGACGAAATACACCAAGGAGAAGGGAAAGTTACATAGATGGCTCGGGAAACTCAAATCTGGCTGCTCAATAAGCTAAAAAAATACCGTGCGTCTGGAACGTGGTCAATAACTTCGTCATTGAAAAACTTTTGTTTGCATGGCTTTCTGTCTACTGGAAAAACACCCCAGCATGAGTTGTGGAATCTATTTGGTACAATCTATCAATAAATGATTAAGCCGGAATAAGAGGCTCTTCTTCGGAACCTTCAGCCGAGGGAATTTCGATGCTCGATGGCTCTTTAGCGAGATTTCTTTGTATCAGGAAGCGGGAATCGCCGAGTCCTGCTCCGCAGCATGTCTGCCCGTTGCTCAATGGTCATGTTGACCTGATCGCCCATTGGGATCAGGCACTTCGCCAGGTGGGTATAGTCCTTGCGTAGCAGGTACACAGTAATGAAGATGTAGTCGATGTTCCGGAAGACCAAAGCCCTCTCCTCTGCATAGCGGTCTTTGCCTTTGACAAATGCTACAGGGTGATCTCTCCAGTGACGACGCGGGTTCAAGTGGTGAGAAGTGTGGTATCCATCGTTGAACGAGTACCGATTGCTCTGAGCTTATGTTAGCACAAGCGACTGAGAATGGTTTAACAAAAAGCTTACCGGAACATCAATCAACGTGATACTTGAGCGGTAATCCGAGTCGGGATCGATAGGATCCACGAAAGCATGCTGGCCCCAATTTCCGACCATCAGACCACAGCGCATGACTGTGAGAGGTAGAATAAAGACGAAAACGGTCGCGCGGGCGTTGACGTAGTTGTAGAGAAGGTAAATGGCCACGTAGTTGCCGAGTTCCCAGAATGCAGCCCTGCAGGCATATTTGAACTGGCCCTTCCTCAAGAAGTAGAGAGGAAGTTCCATCCAGATGAAGAAGAAGAATCGTCCAACGTAGCAAGCAAAGTCGAAGCCACTATCCCGGTCGTAGAACATGGTCGTGCTGAGATCCTGTTCACCATTGCCCTCGACGTGATGATGTTTGATGTGGTGGTAGTAATAGGAGTTCCACGTGTGTCCGAGCATCGGGTCCAACACGTAGGGGAAGAGTGTATCGAAAATCCAGTACGGAGGAGCCAGAACACCATTCATGTGGATGTGTTGGTGCTTCATCAAGGTGAATGCTCCACAGTACCATAATTGCATGACCCAGTGCAAGACACCATGTATCCAGGAAAAGCGATAATACAAAAAGATGGCACTGGGCACAATGGTAGTGAAATAAAGCAAGAGATGTGTCAACATGACAACATCGGTGGGAAAGCGCACAACTCCCTGAGCCCATTTCTGATAAGGCTGCAGGACATAGCACTGAAGAGCCTCAGGCAGTTTAGCCTTGAGAACTGGGTTATCCCAGAACTGGAATATGGTAGGATCAAAATCGGGATGCGATGCATCATTCATATCCTGGAGCTTCTGGATGACATCTTCATCGCTGGGCTTTTGTTGTTTTGTCTCCCCTTGTTTGATGTCAGTGGGCTGTCAACAAATGAAAATGGGGACGCTCACCATTTGAGCCTGGCTTATCAACGAGTGTGTCGAGTACCAGATGATCCGCGATGGTAAGCTCAGGATCCACGTATGTGGTGGGATCCATGCTGGGCGACTGAATCGAGGGTATCTTAGCGTTATTTGGATCCCAACTGCAGATTATTGACGCTCACTCACGGTGATAAGCGGCAGCCTCGGGAACACGCTATTCCATTGAGGTTACCAGAATTTTGACAGAGTGATGTAGATCGGAAAGAACGGAAGCAAAGGATGAGCTGAGCAATCGTTCAACTCTCTCGTCGTCTCCGCGAGGGCCACGCGTGGTCAGGGGTGGGAAGATTTTTCCCGTGCTTAATGTGGGTCCGAATATGAGCTGACACTTTAACAAACTAAGGAAGCTTGGAGGGGCAGCGGGGGGTAGATTATACCAATGTAGCTCATATTTGTACACATCTTCAATGCTGAATTTTCACATTCAGATTTGAATCTTGACAGCAGTTAGATAGTCTGTTACAAATTGCTGGTAGAACGGCCTTAATTTCAGGGGTCCTGCGGGTAACTCCACGGTCGGAATGGGAGCTAAACATCGTCCCTGAACCATCCCTAGGCTCCCGCGATAAATTATAAACATGGAGAAAGTCAGTCGCCAGTGACCACCACGAATAAAGTGTTCTCCATACTCTCAATCATGGGTAGCAGGCCACCTCTCGGGTATTTTTCTATAAGAAAAGTCACCAATCGTAGATCACTCTCACCGCAGATTTTCGAAATAATTGGTTATCTTGCACGCAATAATGCATCTGTGTTTGCATATCCCTGCCTTTAAAATCGGCCTAAAAATACGCATCCTGAGAGCAGGGACCCTCTCGCTAGGCCGGATATAGTAACCAGCTCATCGTTCGGCGTGTTTCACCTCCGCTTCATAACCTAACTTATTGCTAGATTGGCCTGGTCTCCGAGGCTCTTCATGAACCTTGATTGACAGTTTAGTGCCCAGGGCATGATAAGACGTGGGAGATGGAATTTCTCTCGCTGAAATTAATCAACATACTGTGAAAGATTTAGGACGCAGCGAAAAGATGTTCATACAGGCAGCCTTATGTCAATCGTCTCACTGTGAGCCACCTAGATGATACATATTCAGACTCTATGCTGATAAATAGGGAATAGTCAAGATACGTATGATGTGAATCAGATGAATGTGCATTGTATTCGTTCAATAAAAGTAAAGATTAGTGCATTTTCAAGTATATTCGTAGCTTTCCTTACGGAGTTCATGATAAAGCACCTACAGCCTCTCGGGGAGCTAACCACGATGGCTTCCCGAGCTTTATCTCTAGATATTTCACAATTTTCGAAAGGAGATTCTAGGAACATATACAAAAATTCTTCTATTTGTGAGTTTTCCATGTATCGGGGGAAAATGACAGCTTCGAACAAAGGGAAACTTGCCTTGATGACGGAGATCTGCGACCAAAAGCCGCAAGAGATTAAATCCAAGGATATTGTGCGGGCTAATATGAAGGGAAGGCGATTCCTTCTCTCTTAGTGGTCAAAGCAATGATCTGATAGCCTAGATGGAGCACAGAATGTTATCCCCGAGGAAATTTAATGCCTATAGCCTTTACAACTTGAGATCATGATGATCATGAGAAGGGCGGAACCAGCCGCTGCTCCATATCTGCTGACAGGAAGTGGGGGTCTATGGACACAGCATTATCTCCGCAGAAATCCATGATTCGAGCCACTTAGACATCAGACCAAGATCTGATCAATCTGATTTGGATCGGTACTTTTTCTTGTTTATCACCCACCGCCACTGTTAGTTCAAGTTGAGATGATCTCATCTCGGGACTCGGCACAGGTACGGAGATAAACCCCGGCATTAGAGCGATGTCCATTCGCCGAACGCGGGGCTCTGGGGGTCTTAGGTACGTCGCAATATTATTAATTCTCCCAATACACGTTTGTCCTGTCATAAGAAACTGTGACTATTGCATGCGTACTCTTGGCTCTCTCATCTTCCCCTCACCGATACTGCGGACATGAAGTTCTTCATTCTTTTCAATTATTCACGATGACACCCATCTCGCGCATCTTGTCCCGCGCGGTCAACAAACCTTACCGAACGAAAGATCTAACAGAGCAAAGTCCACCGACTCTCGACGAAGATGGATATGTTGGCTTCGCCCCCGGGGGACATCGAGAACCCTCGGAATTGGTCGATGCGCCGTCGAACTGGTGTGACGATGGCCGCGGTGCTTTTGGTTGTGAATGCCACGTTCGCTTCGAGCTCGCCGAGTGGATGTTTCCCGTCGATTTCAGAGCATTTCGGTATTTCTAGTGAAGTTGCCGGTTTGACGATAACCCTGTTCTTGCTGGGGTATTGTGCTGGGCCCCTGATTTTCGCCCCATTGAGCGAGTTCTACGGGCGCCGGTATATTTTCTATATCACCTTTCTGCTATACCTCGCTTTCACCTTTTTATGTGCATTTCCGCCGAATTTTGGAAGCTTGTTGGTCGGCAGATTTTTGACGGGGACGTTTGTCTCAGCTCCATTGAGCAACTGCCCTGGTGTTTTGGCTGATGTATGGAGTCCGCTAGAGCGCGCCAACGCTATGGCTGGTTTCTCAGCGATGGTCTGGATCGGGCCAGCGCTAGGGCCTGTGGTCTCAGGCTTCCTTCAGCTCGAAAAAGATTGGCGATGGACCTTTTATGTGCTTCTCTGGCTCGGTGGAGCATCAGCTGTTATAATGTTAACTATCCCCGAGACTTACGCACCGATTGTTCTATACAAAAAGGCCCAGCGAATTCGCGATGCAAGCATACCTGGGTATGAAAATGTGAAAGCTCCGGTCGAGGACAGTGACCGGACCCTCGTGGGCATCTATAAGGTTGCTCTGACTCGACCATGGATCATTCTGTTTGACCCGATCTCCCTGCTGTGTGCAATTTATTTGGCGTTCGTTTATACATTGCTGTACATGTTGTTCACTATATACCCTATTGTGTTTCAAGAAAAACGGGGCTGGAACTCTGGTGTTGGAGAGCTGCCGTTACTGGGCACTGTTGTAGGTGCTTTGTTTGGCGGTGCTATCGTTCTGGCAGATACCCGGATGCGCCAGAAGAAGATCGATAAGGGTATAACAAAGATGGAGGATGCTGAGCCAGAGGATCGCCTACCGCTGGCAATTGGTGGAGGCATCGCCTTCGCCCTAACCATGTTCTGGTTTGCCTGGTCGGCTGAATTCAAGTTAGTTCCCAAGACTCGAGACAGATTGTCGATGAAAAACTGACCTTCTCATAGCTCTGTTCACTGGATCGTACCAACCATTGCAGGGGTTTTCATTTCTAGTGCCATGTTGCTGATTTTCGTCGGGTTCTTGAACTACCTCGTGGATGTTTATCAGATGTATGCTGCATCTGCCATTGCCGCAAATACGATCGCTCGTTCGGCCTGTGGAGCGGCGGCACCACTCTTCACGTCTCAGATGTTCGCAGCGTTAGGAGTGGGAGGGGGAGGTAGCTTGATCGCAGGTGTCGCCACTCTACTTGCCGGTATTCCTTTCCTCTTCTATAAGTATGGAAAACAAATCCGAATGCGGAGCAAATTCGCCCCGACCAAGAAGGGGGAACAACCCGTGGAAGAGGATAAAGATGAGGAGCGCGGTCTAGGAAACGGGCCTTCTAGCAGTGTCTTAGAGACACAATAAACAGTGGTGTTCAAGCCACAGGGTAGGATGTGAATACTGTGGGAGGCCTGTGGACGGCCCTACCTATAAATGGAATATAACAGGTATTCGAGCCATAAATATCAGAAATGTTTTAGACATCAGCAACACCGTTAATCTTGGCAAATCAACCTTCAAAGAGGTACCTAATGCTTCAGAAAATTTACCCGGTCTGACATCACCCCTCCCACGTTGCACGGTATTCGCAGTCTGTTTCTGCATGACTATCACACTATAAAAGCCATTACCGGGAGATAGACACCGAATAGGTCATACTATAAGTATGGAAATATGATCACGGGAATTTATACTGTACAAATTCAGAAATCACTTGAAGAGATGTCTCACAACCCCTCAGCTATCAGTCCACCTCATAGGCTCCACCTGTATTCATGCCCGGTGTGGGGAGATCGGCATCAACATAACACATGAGTGGCGCGAGCGCACTGCCCGCATTCCTCCCCCATTGCCACTAGCTAGCTGCAGAAGGCACATTGCTTCTGTCGCTTATGTCTCAGTGTCGAGCCTTGATTTTCAGTCTTTCACATCAATATTCCCCGCGGCCGGCACGCCTGTTGTCTAGTCCGACAAAGCTAGGTGGAACAATATCGCTTGCAAACACCAGGAATTGCTACTCACTCGATTGTGAAAAGTACACGATAACACCCTGCGCTGTACCGGTGAGATTTTTATAAAATCACTCTGCCTTCCACCTTGGTGAACCTATAAAGCCGAGCTCGCAACCTCCCCCGACACAACAATTTCATCATCCACTTATCACACAAGCACCGTGACCATGAAATTCTTAGCAAGCCTCGCTCTCTTGGCCGCAACGGCCATGGCCAATCCCGTTACAAGAACTACGAAGGACTTCCACTTGAAGACCTCTGGCGCCGGCGACTCCCGCCACAATAATCTCTTCGTCTATGCTTATCACACCGGTGCGGGGTTCAATGATGCTGTGCTTAGCACAGACGGAGCCGATGCCTCATCGTTCTACCTTAATGGAACTTTGGCCTTGGCTAATCTAGGGACTGACTATCCCTGGGGTATGATAGCTACTAGCGACACCAACTATGCTTGTAAGTGTTCCGATAGACTTGATCGATCTCCGCATAGTGAACCGACTGTTTGCTAATGTCAATGTTCATATTGAATAGCATGGGAGCCGATTGAAATCAATGTTGGCGATGGCTCGGAGGGATTTTCCATCACCAAGGGCAACTTCGTGTGGTCTGAGGCAAACGGCTTTGGTGGCTGGCTCGGTCAGTAAATCTTGAATGATTTTCATATCTGTTCGAAAAGCGCATTGATAGACTGACCCACAATTTAGTTTGTGATTGGTATCACAACGGCCCTCAGCTGTTCTACTTGAACCGTTACTACGATGCCAAGATTCCTTCAAGCTGCAGCAAGGTTCAGCTCAAGCCCGTTTACATCAAGTAGATTGGTCCCGCGAATGATATTGAACAACTATTCGAGATGAAGACCTCATGACCTGATCACAAACTTGGATAGTAACTCGCTTAATTAATAGTTCGTGAACATGATATCTTAATGCTTTTCATACATCATCAAAAGAAGCAGGTCTCATTATGAAGCTGCAACCGGAGTCGGAGTAATCCCGTAGTAACGACGGTCCATGCCTGCCTGCAAGCGAGCTTCCTCGTTGAACGGTCCCTGAATGCTCCCTCGGAAGTGTTTGGAAACGTTGTCACGGAAGACGCGTACCGGATCTGTACCTTCCTGGGCACAAATCCAAGTCAACCATCGATGACCAGTCGTAACATGCGTGATTTCATCGTTATGAATAACCTCCAGCGCTTCGACGCTCTCGTTGTCTTGGGCGTTACGGAACTTTTGAATCGTCATGGGATTGACATCAAGACCTCGGGCTTCGTGGACTAAGGCGATGATACTGATTCTAGATCGGAGATCGTGTGCTGTTTCCGTAGCAGATTGCCATAAACCGTGGTGGACGGGCAGCGCGCCAAAATGAGAGCCCATTTCCTCGATTCGGGTACGCAGGAGGGAAAAGTGTTTGGCCTCGTCACTTGCAACCTTCAGCCAGTCATGGAAATATGCCCGGGGTAGCTCTTGGGGGGTCTCTTCGGCCGTCTTGAATGTTGAAAATCGGACGCAAATGTCGATTGCTAGATCGATAGCCCAGAGCTCGATATTGGCTAGCGCATGGAGCATGGCGATTCTGCTTTTCAAAGACCCTCCCTTTCCAGTTTTAGGCATCGCGCCTGGTTTCACTTCGACCATATTCTCACGCGGTGGTTGATCCGGGGCGGTCACCGTGCCTCTTCCAATGTCCATGGGCGTGGAAGTGCCTTCCCTCGAAGTGAAAATGTTGTACAAATGAGTGGTCAGTTCAATTTTGTGCTCCGGGTTAGCAGTGCTCAAAATATGAACAGCCCAGTCACACAATGTCGCGTCGTCACCGAGATATTGTGTCATGCCGGGATCTTCTTGTTTAGGTGCTGGCTTGTCGGAGGGTCGCGCATGCTTCAACTTCACTTTCTCGCTGACTGGCTCGAGTCTACCCAAGCCAACAGGTACACCATCCTTGACCGGGAAGTCTATCGTCACAGAACCATCGCGCACATCGACAGGGAAAGTGCAGGCTTTGATGCCTACACTCGACTCTCCCGTCTCGACGTTGAAATCGTACGCGTGCCAGGGACAGGACACGATATATGCCGAGTCTTCAATATCTACCTGTGAGTCGGCCATGGGTCCACCAGCATGGGGACATTCGGCCTCCATGGCGTAGTATGACCATCCTTGCGTCTCGTTGGGTTTTGAACCCGACGGGTCGATGGAGGGTAAGCGAAATAAGACCAGTCGCTTCCTGGTGGATAGATGGATCACATATCGTGTCTGTGTGAAGTCTGTCAGGGGACCACAATTGATAAGCATTTTGATCTCTGTGGGACGTGATAGTTGAGCTGCTTAAATTGAAAAGTCGCCGCTTGATGCGCTCCACAGGTATTTTTGAAGATCACGTGGTGATAAGGATATCCCACCAAGCGGCGCCGAAAAGGGAAGCCGCGGATGGATCGATCCATAGTCGTGTAAGAGACACTGAAAATGAGATTAAGTGGATTGACTTTGAAACAAGATCTCTCCGAATTTCCATATCCATGCGAGATATATATTGATGCGCATCAATCATCCATGGACATAAGAAATGTTCTGTACTGCATAGAGACATGCCAACATGTTCTCTTGCCTCATTCTGTCATTCGCCACCTCCTTTTATTTATGGCCGAGGGAAATGAGATATATACTACATACTAGAGGCATATGTAGTAGTCAGATTATTGTTTCTGGCATTATCAAGGACCAGGATGTTATAATCAGGCCCATGTACATATATCGTGACAAATGCCTAACTAGATCAGGAATGTGCATATATTCAGCTTATATTCCGAGGCTAGGTCGTTAAGGTTGGACTGGAAGTTGTTTAATTTTGGAGAGTCAGCGCTAAGCTTAGCTGACGCGGAGGAAATATAGTGTTCAAGGTGAACACGGGACTCCGGAGTCCGGTCACTATACGAAACTTGGTTAGGTACTGATGAGCAGGACTAAGATAGCCGTGTAGTTGGGTCAAGAGGCTGATCAATCTCAGCTCTGAAAAAGTGGATGTACGGCTGTACATATTGACTGTGGATTGTTCCACCAGAAGACTTCGGTTGGATCAATGTCCAATCATCCACGACCCTCTGCGACGATCGGAGCACGCCGAATCCTGAACGCCCACACCGAGAACAAAAAGCTTAGCGAGCTAAGTGTTTTCAACGATCGCTTAGTGGGAGGCCTGACTATGCAGGTTGCCTCGTGGAATACTGTACATCATGTCTAGCATGATAATGTACATATTGTCCAACAAACTAATGACAATATGCTCGGGTCAAGCGAATTGCTAACCGAGGGTTAGCAAATCGCCTTGCAGCCGGGCGGCACCCCTTTTTAAGTGCGGAGCCTTGAGTTTGCGGGGGAAACCGAGGGCGGAACAGTCCCGGAGATCTCACGTTCGCTTTAGGTATTTAGACTCTCCCCAGGCTTACGGTCCAGAATACATGCTATATAGAGATAACGATGCGACACGTCAGCTCATGCATTGACATTGACGGCGACAGCCCTAGCAAAGAGCCATCAGAACTAGTAGTTGTACTGACATGGCGTACCTAGACGCCTGGACGATCTTCTCCCAGCACAGGCCGAGATCGGGCCCTAAGCAGCTACAAGTGGATCTACCGAAATGTAGAGTCGCAACGGAGTCAAGCCCAGTAGTTCTGAGCGAACAATGGCCGAGGGTGACTCAAAGGGTTACTTGTTTTTAATGCGCCGGCTGTTCTTGGCTGTTCTGAGTTTTTTTCTTTTCTCTTGGTCCTCGTGTTTCTTTATTATTATTTCCCCAGCTCGGCATTTTCTCCGGTCTGCGCGTTGACCTGCGCCTATATAATAATCGGTGTGGCCCAGAATCTAGCGTTGCAGCCAGCCCATCCCTGCAATCCGAGTGATCTGCACTCGCGAGGCCGAAGACCCGGAGATAAATAATAATTCCATTCTTCCCCTCCTTGTCAGATTCTTGACATTCTCCAAATCGTGTCTTGTGAAGTTGGCTATTGCGTAAAGCATGGGTTTGTTCAGTGAGTTCCCTCCGATCGCAGAGAGCCCCTTCGCTCGTTTCTTGCACGGCACGCGCGATGCTTTTAGACTTGCGATGATCCCCGCTGACAGCTCTTGTGTTCCGTCCCGCAGACATGAACTCGGAGAAGCTTGACGTAGAGCCTAAGGGCCCTACACAAGCCTTCGATCCTTCTTCCGATGATGATCAAGAACTGCCGCGGCTCACGAACACCACCGAGCGCAAGTTGATGGCAAAGATTGATTGGCACATCTTGCCATGCTTGTGTGTTCTGTATCTGCTTGCCTTTTTGGACCGGTATGAATATTGCGCTCTTCATCCCATGTTTTGCGACACACGCGCTGACCATTGAACTTTCTTGTCGCACAGGGTGAACATCAGTAATGCCGCTATTCTTGGACTCAAGTCTGAGCTGGGCCTGACAACCGGAACGAAATATAACACTGCATTGACGATTTTCTTCGTGCCGTATATTCTTCTCGAAATCCCGTCTAATATCTTGCTCAAGAAGTTCAAGCCCCATGTTTGGTGTACGTTCTCGGATCCCGGCGCCTTTCGCGCATACAAGGAACAGAAAATTGACTCGCTTTGATTTTAGTGTCGCTTTGCATGTTTGGATTTGGTCTCGTGATGATCTGCCAGGGCTTGGTATCGAGCTGGGGTGGATTGATGACTACTCGATTCTTTTTGGGAGTGTTTGAGACGGGCATGTTCCCAGGATGTGAGTTGCCTGATCACTTGAAGACGGAAGGCGCTGCGCAGAGGTACTGACACGGACGGGACAGGCTTCTACCTGATGGGCATGTGGTACAAGCGAAGTGAAGCCCAGAAACGGTTCAGTTTCTTCTTCAGCTCCACCACGCTTGCCGGTGCTTTCGGCGGCCTGTTGGCATACGGACTGGGACAGATGAGCGGTGTTCGTGGCTACCTGGGCTGGCGCTGGGTGTTCATCATCGAGGGTGTCATTACCTGTGTGTTTTCGATCGCTTGGTTTTTTGTGTTGCCCGACTTCCCCGAGGATGTCAAGTGGTTGACCGAGGAAGAACGCGAGTATGTGCGCGCGAAGCTGGCAAAGGATGCCGGCAAGTCGGGTCACCAAGTGAAGATGGGCTGGGCTGAGGTCTGGGGTGTCCTCAAGGATTGTAAGTGGGACTTGACCTCAGGGCAAGGTGTGAGAAATTAACAGTTGGGTTTTAGACAAGGTTATTATCGGAGGTTTCATGTACTTTGGTCTCATCGTCCCCGCATACGGTAGGTGGTCACTCCCCAGATGCTCATGATTTGAGTGTGATCTGAGCCAATGCTAACTAAATCGATATAGGATATGCGTACTTTGCGCCCTCGATTATCCAAAGCTATGGATATTCCCGTAAGTGCATCCTGTTCCTCCCGCAACATCCTGTCGTGGTTTTATCTTTACTGATCATCTTCTCCAGCGGTCAAAACCCAATTGTACTCCATCCCACCATGGGCGGCAGCCTTTGTATTCTCCTTGATCATTGCGTATTTCTCTGATCGCTTGAGATTCCGGTTTGCATTCACCGTTATCCCCATCTGTATCGCCATCGCCGGATTTGCCATGCTATACAGCATCCACGGCAAGGAGCATCGGGCAGCCGAGTACGGCGCGTTGTTCCTGGTCACTTCTGGTGCTTACAGTGCCATGCCTGTTATTGTCTGTTGGTTTTCAATGAACCTGGGTGGTCACCATCGTCGCAGCGTGGGATCAGCCTGGCAAATTGGATTCGGTAACATTGGTGGCATTATCGCCACCTACTCTTTCCTGAGCAAGGAGGCGCCATACTACAGAACCGGATTCAGCATCTGCATCTCCTTCTGCTGTCTGTCTATTCTCGCCTGTGTTGTCTATGGTATCGCACTGGTATATGAGAACCGGAAACGCCAGAACGCGCCGCTTCCATCGTCTTCGGAGGAGGAAGAGTACCTCGGTGATCTGGCCCCGACCTTCCGGTATCAGCTCTAGTAGATGTCATTGAGTCGGAACCAATAATGGTCCAAGGACTTCCCACGGTCGAGGTGAACCTTCCCTCTTCAGTGGCAAGACCTGGGGTATTATTGCCATCCACGATATCTGAGCTACGAAGCTCTCGATCACGAATGTTCTGAACATACATCCATCATATAGGACCTATTTAATACACAAGTATTCCTTTGCATTGACTTGCGATAGACCATATTTTTTATTCCACAATTCCTCTAGATTTGACAGAGAAAACTATCTGGCTGTGCCATTCTTGCTCATTCCATGACCGTCCATGAATTCATGCGAGCGGAAACCCTATTTCCACTTTATTTCCACTTCCCAGGGTTAAGTATCCCACTGTGTGATGCAATGGGTCACGTGGACAGCTATTGGGCAGCTCCCAATGCGGCTAGCGGCTCGCTTAGCTGAGTAAGCTGCCCACTACACAAATGCGTCGCGGGATCGCCTCACTTTTGTCTTTCTTCAACCATCTCTCCTCATCCTCGCAGAATTGTGAGTCGCCCCCCTCTCTCCAAAAATGTTCTCAGCCTTGGGGAAGCAGTTACTAACCTCGCATCACCACCAGACCTACGAAGATGAGAGCTAAGTGGAGAAAGAAGCGCGTCCGTCGTCTCAAGCGCAAGCGCAGAAAGATGCGCGCCAGATCGTGAGTCTTCCCCCGCATCGCCACTCGGTATCTTCGGAGCTCGCTTCGACGGTACTGAGCAATTGAAACCGCAATTTTTGATTCTAACATCCTCGCCAGGAAATAAACTACTCGCCCCTCCCATCTCAGCTCCTCAGTCCGAGGCTCACGTTTGAACGCTGAACACGACAATTGACGAATCGATATCACGACCTTTCTCGTTTCTTATCGTTGCACGCCTTTCACTCAACAAGCTGCCTGTCCGGATACGGCCTCCGTCTTTCCTTTTTGAAGAGACCACCATTCGTCCGATGGAATCCGCCGTTCAAACAATCTCCGTTTTCCCACCTTTCCAACTCATCGGATTCGTTTAAACGTCGGTCGAATGCATGCCGGGCATGGTTTTTTAAGTGGTCTCCGCTTGATGTTTGAAGCTTGGAGAGGCTCCTGTGTTTGGTCGAGGGTTGGAAGACTGGTCATTATCCACCGGTTTCCTGAGCTCTGGACTGGGGTTCTGGTCAAGACTTTGCTCATTTGTTTCCCACATACGGCGCTTGGAACTTGTTTCAGGCGTCGGGAGCTATGGAGAGGTTCTTACCGAGAGTTTAAAAAATTTACTGAACGATCGGTCCATAGCAATATTAGCCATGAATCGATGACCTGAAAAGTACCTGTTGTTCCAGTTGAGTAGCTCTGTAATTGTAAACGGTTTCATGTAAATCCGCATTGTCTTGTCTGCAGCTTAATTCCTGCCATATATGATATGATGATATCCGGGGCTAATTTTATTTGTGCGGATATGCTTTCACCGCCTTCCTGATCCAGACCGCTAGGGAATTTTTCTGCCACCGATTTGGACAATTATTTCATCGACATTCAACGGCCGATCATTTGAGCTGCACGACGGAGATTTCTCTGCGGGTTCTACCGGTCCTCAATTACAATGCCTTCAGAAAAAATCGACAAAAAGCGCAAGCGCTCTTCCGATCGCCATGAGCGCCCGACCAAAAAGACTGCTCTGCAGGCCCTCCCAACACTCGCAGCTAGTGTTGTCGAGGACAAGAGCGAGCTTGCGCCAGTAATTGGTATTTGCAAAGTCACCTGCAATTCATAGCTTCAATCGCTAATGCATATCTTGTACGACAGCTACTACTCCCGGTGTCCTCAACTCAAAGGGCCTCCGCTTCAACCCATACACCAAAACTCGCCATGATGTCGAGCGGACAACTACCCGGAATCCTGGCATTGTCTCTACTGAGATGCTGCTGCAGTCGTCTGAACACCAGAAGATGGACTTTATTGGCCGTGAGGGAACTGGTGAAGATGCCGACTCCCAGTTGAAGCACTACATCGCTGTCGTGGACCCGGAGCGCAAGACATGGCAGGTTATCGAGGCACGACGAGTCACTGTCCGCGGCGCCGTCCGGAGCAGGAAGCCCGAGGAGGATGAGGAGGAATCTGAGGAGGAGATGGTATGCGCCCATTCATGCGATTTGTGGAGCCGTGGAATGGTATATACTAACAATACTTTAGAGCACCATGCGCGCCCAACGCACCAACCTCACCAACACTTTCGGTACCAAGCAATCCCGCAAGGCGGTTCAGTCCATGGCCGAGAATGCCCAACTCTCCAGCGCCCCTGCCGGCACTCTCAACGAAGCCGGTGCTGCCCTCATTTCTTCACTCCCCGCAAATGTGGCTTCCGGATTGGCCAAGGCCAGCAATGTCCAAGCCGAGGTGCAAGCAGCCAAGCCCTTGCCTCAACCAGATCTTACGGCCGTTCACCCCTCGGACGTCTACTCGCTCGAGACCCTGGTTCCTGGCGGTCACTCTACTCTGCGCCAATTGACCGGCATCGACGAATGGACGCAGCAAGTCGAGGCTGGTCTGGGCGTTGTCACTGGCTCCCGATATGTCTCCAACCGTGTCGTCGCCGTTGCACAGTCCGGCAACCCCACACAAATCCAAGTCCTCCGCTTTATCCAGCTGCTGCTTGAGTTCACCCGTTCTCTCAAGAGCATGGGCCGTGACAAGGGCGCTGGCCCCGGCAGCAAGAAGCTTCCTCCTCGCGACGATTTCCGCAAGATCCTCTCCAGCACATCCGGTGCCGCCAAGGCTGGCAAGGAGGAAGAAGAATCCAACGTCGAACTCCTCCCCGACTCCGTGGTCGATGCCGTGCGCCGTCGCTTCGCTCCCCAGGGTGGTTTCCTCTCCAAACACGACCTAACCCTCCTCCACACCACCATCTGCGCTCTCTCCTTCCACATCCCCCCGCAGCCCGCCAAGGACGGCGGCTCCAGCTCTCTGGGTGGTAACTCGCCCAACGAACTAGCCACCGATCCCTCGGATCTGCGTGACGATCTCCGTCTCGACTCCAGCACTATTCAGCAGTACTTCCGCGAGCTGGGTTGCCGTATCGACAAGCCCCGTGAGTCGGAGTTCAGCAAGTGGAACATCAAGGGTGGAAAGGCTGAGGCTGCTGCGCGCCGTGTTGCTCGTCTGCGCATCCCGCTTGAGTTCCCTAAGGTTAGCCGTGGAGCCCGCAAGTAGATGTCTTGCCTTGGGGTGTTTGATTTGTTCGTTGCAGCGGTTCGCCTCGACTTGTTCGATGGTTAAAATTCTCATGTTGTTGTGTGGTATATCCGGCGTTTTTACTTCGAATGTGTGTCATATTTTAGATCTTTTCATATAAATGAATCTTGTTGCATACTGCAGTCCAGCGTCCAACCTCGCCACAATTATATGCCCTTCTTTGGCCTCGTCATCAAAATCTGACAAAACTCGACCGATCTTACATGTCGATGTTCTGTGTCGCTACTATAAAGACCGAGATCCCTACTGCCTCCATAATGCTTAGAAGCCTACATGGTATCCTTGAGGAAACATCTGTAGTCCTATGGTTGTTAGTGATGCGCAATATTCCAATCTATATACGGCATAAAACATCAAAAGCCGATGCTATCTAGGCATACGGATCCTCACCAGAACCCATCCGACTTGCTCGACGCCCACCATGCCTCGTCCGATCAGCCTCAAGCTGCTGCGCAAACTTGCTCTTCGCCCGAATATCCGGCCCCTTCCAATAAAACACGTAAATCGGAATCAAAACAAGAAACCCAACACAACCAAGCAAAGTACTAGCCCACTGAAGATGATACCTGCCTCCAATATTCTCATACATTGGAGTCGAGTACATAGTCGCAATACCAGCCAGGAAATCTCGAGCGAAACCATTACCCCCCGTCGCAGAGGCGGAGTACGGTCCGTACGCAGCAACCATGTAATCGATGGTCGCCATGTAGATAGCATAATTAGCCATCGCAATCAGACAGGCGAAGATACAAGGTGCGATCCAGGGAATTGGTGGACCCATGGTTGTCCAGGCAAAACCGAGAAGACCGATAGGTTCGAGTGGAGCGATGAAGAGGAGGAGGAGTAATCGACGCTCTGCGAGGCGACTCCCCGCTCCTTCTTTTCTGCGTAGCTTGATTTGGCGCCAGATATCGGGAAGGAAGATGAAGTATGCGATGATATAACCGACCAAGATCGAGCAGAATGTCAACCCAATAGCAAGGGTGTTCATATCCCACTGTTTGAAAACCAGAGTGAACGACTCGGTGAAGACAAAGATCAACGCATCGGAGAAACCAGATAGAAGGGAGAGAAACAGGACAATTGGCTCGCGGAGGAACATCTCGAAAGGGCGTCGCCAGAGACGTAGAACGTCCTTGAGATCTAGACGGGGTGTCTTGAGTTCATTCGGACCGTAGACTTCATCGCCGTTCTTGCGACGACGTTCCGCTTCCCGGTCGATCAGAATAGTAGCTCGCGTCTCGGGTACCAGGAAGAAATGAAGCAACTGAGTGGTACCGCCAACAATCAACTGCATCCAAAAGACCCAGTGCCAGGAGAGCCATTGACCGATCATTCCACCAAAGACAGGCCCAATAGTCGAACCACCAACGGACGAGAGAACAACATATGCCACAGCGAAACCCTGATCATCAGCCTCCCACATATCAGCAGTCATACCCAGAGTAACAGAGCCACCAGCAGAACTCAAGCCACCGAGGACACGACAAACAACGATCGTGCCATAATTAGGTGCTAAAGCACAAGGGATCTGCCAAATGTTCACCAGAAAAAGCGACAGCTGCATAATAGGCCAGCGACCAAACTCCTCCGACCAAGGAGCCCACAACTCACAACCAAAAGCGTACGCAACCAAGAAAACACACTGTCCTACTCTGGCAGCTTGCTCGCTGATATGGAATTCCTCGGTTAAACCGGTGACTGCGTTGGCGTAGACGCCCGTGTTGAAGTTTATGGACATTTGGACCACGAAAATCACCGATAGAATGGTCCATTTTTTCCATGTCGGGAAGCAGAAGCCTAGCTTATCGTAGCAGTCGTCTTCGGTGAGTTCGCATTTGCCTGATTTTTCGATTTTGGGGATATGGCTTGGGCTGGTGCTTTCGCTTTCAGACGCGTTTTCGGCGTGGGTGTCGTCTCCGTGTTCGGTTTTACCATGCTGTTCCTTGATAGTGTGATCCTCGAGGCTTTGCTCTTCTTGCCGCTTTTCGGAAAGCGGGAGATCGTTTGGGGATTCCATGTGGCAAGATATTATCTGGGGTTTGAACTAAATCTGTGGCATGCGTGTGGATGACCTTCTTTGGATCCAGTATGCTGCACAAAGTCTAGGGATATTGAGAAAGTGGATGAGCAAGTGGGTATGGGGTGTAAATGGACTTAAAGTCCCTTGCAGAAGAACCACGGGGAATCCAAAACGAGATCCTAACGGTTTATAAAGCATTGCCTCCGAAACCATTTCTGTGAAAGCACACACTGTTCCTGCCCCCAACTACTACTGTACTGCTACAAGAACCAAAACAAGATGGCCGACCAGATCATCGTCAGACGTCGGCAGAAACCGTGCACAATATCTTATTAATACAATACGGCGAGATTCATAGTGCTCCTAAAGAATTGTCTCCACTGATTTCCATCAGAATTAAATGTGAATGGTTTGCATGTTGTTGGAAAAAGGATTTAGTAGAACCGGAAAACCGGTTGTGGCTATTCCGTTCCTTAGTCCGTGGGGGCCGGGGAGACGGCAATCTGATTTCTACGTCATATCTGTCGGAACTACGTCAAGTCATGGATGATATTCCTTTGCATGTTACAATTGTGCCTTTACCGAGTCTCATATCGGGCCAATTGGTACTTATCCTTGTCATGGCGTGGACCCAGAAGGCGGCTGTGAGCTTCAAGGATATAAATGCACGATGTTGTCATGAACTGCCCTGCGTCTTCTCAAATGCCAATCAATCACATGGTGAAGAATTTTAATATTCGATTTATCAATCGGTGCTCTTTGATTGCAATTGATTCGTAGAAAATCAAACCTTACGGAGAGTATAAGTTGATTTCCAGTGACAGAGCCGAGCGTTCTACTATTCCTCCGGTCTCGAGAGAAGGTAACTTCATATATGAGCCTATGAAACAGCCGGCGACAATGAGCAGGAACTAAAATAAAAGAAAAGAAATATAGAGTACAGGAACGAAAGTTTGTGCTAAACCTAAGATGCATCTCGGTTTCTAGGTCAGTAACTAGTTAGTAGGTAAGTGAGACCAGTGACTCAGTGATGCAAACTTCTATTTCCTGGCGCTGTCAAAAACAAAATGCTGGCACAGCACATTGTCAGTGGAACTTTATAGTATGGAACTAGAAAAGGACTGAAGGAAAAGATAAAACGCATATTATCACTCAATTAATCTCTCCATCCATAACACACCTAGTACAACTCCAACCCAACCCTAGATCCATTTAACAATAGATAGATAGATTCCTCCTACCCCGAATCCTCCTCCAAAAATTCACCAATAGCCACCAAAGCCCTCTCCATTACCTGCGGGTCAAGCGTAATATGCACCCTCACATATCCCCGGAAATCAGCACCACCAGCATCACGCACTCCAAAACAAAGACTCCCCGGCGCCAACAAAACCCCCTTCACCTCCCCTCAACCTCCTACAAAACACCACATCATCAACAGGCACCCTCTCATCTCCCTCTCCCTTCTCCTTCTGATAAACCCTCACAAACCCCGTCCCCCCAGCAGACGGCCTAACCCACCCACAGACATCCCTATTCTTACCCACAAACTCCTCAATGAGGGCGATATTCGTCCGTGCAATAGCAAGATGTTTATTCAGGATCTGCGGCCGACACCGGTCACTAAGTGCTTCTGCGGCAATTGCTTCGTCAATAGAACCCAGTGCCATGATAGTATACAGGCCGCGGTTGAAACATGTTGACAGAATGGATGTGCTTCGCGTGGCAAGCCAGCCGACGCGGGTTCCGGACAGACCCCATGCTTTGCTCATGGAGCTTGTTACGATTATGTTTTCGTAGGCGTGCGGGGGTGGGAGGTCGATGAATGAAGGTGGGATATCGGTTTGGTTGTTGGAGTCGTGGAAGAGTGGACGAAAGATTTCATCCACCAGAATCGTCAACCCGTATTCACGGGCAATCTCCACGATTCCATTCTGCGTCATCCGCGATAAAACCGTTCCAAGCGGATTATTCGGATTATTCAAAACAATCATCTTCGTCGTTGGTCTGATCAAACCCCTCAGCGCTTGAATATCCGCCTTCGCTCCATTCTCCAAATCAAGATCAAGTTCCCAATAATCAACCTCCACACCCGGGATAGATTTCGGCAGGGAGATTAACTGCGTGTAGCAGGGGTACATAGCAATAACGTGATCTCCAGCTTTCAACAAGCTCTGGAAAAGTAAAGCGTTTGCACCTGTTGTGCCGTGGGTAGGGAAGATATTTTCTGCAGTGATGGAGTCATTGTATAGTGCTGCGATGGACTTGCGGAGGGCTTGGCTGCCGTCGAAGGGGCCTAGGGTGAGTTTTAGGTGTTGGAAGGAGAGGTTTGATGTTGTTGTTTGTTTGTCGGTTGATAGGTTGATTAGATCTTGGATTGAGAGGCCGGGGGTGGCGCTGCCGGCTAAGGGTAGTTTGATGTTGTCTTTCTTGGATTCGATCCACTGGAGATGGATGGTGTTAGTAGATCAGTATGCTGGGAGAGGAGGGTCTATTCAGGGTACCTGTGGGAGCGCAAAGGGGGCAAGATCACTCATCTTGCCGTGATTTTTGTGACCTGATAGAGTAGAGGAATGATTTTCCTGTGTTTATAACCTGTTTACGAGACCGCTCGTGACTCATATTCTGGTGACTAACTAAACTTATGGCATTATGCGCCCTTCGGATGTCAACTTTGGTGGGACCTGCTTATTCCCCGCAGTTGGAGTCAATTCGTATCTCAGCGAATACGACCTCAGTACATCAGTCATAACATATAGTCTGCAGGCAATGTCGTGCAACAAGCTTGTGAATGGACTGCCCAAAGTAATCAACCGAAGCAAGATGGATAAGATCTTTCACGACTACACTTCTACAAAGATTAGATAAAGAAAAAGATATCCCCGAGAAACCATTTATATTGCCTTGCGTCCATCACCATCGTCCCAACAATAACATCCAATCTGTGTACAACACAAGACGAACCCTAACAATAAGGGCGTAAAATAGTCATCAAGAACTATCCAATATGCAAGACTCGATGCAGATACCAATGCAGTATCCGATCAAGTCAAACAGAAGGGGAACAAAGACAAGACAAGACAGGAATATAAACAATGGTGATCAAGGGAGAAAAAAAAGCCAAAAAAACTGAAGAGTGCGGGTAGATGCAAAAGACACATCTCCTGCAAGTAATGTTACGTTCTGATATTATCAAAAGAGTGGACAGGCGACCACAACAAGTCGATCGCCCCAGAAACCCGAAAAAAGGAGTACTCATAAGAGAGGCTCCTACGCGGCAACGCCGACGGGAGTAGAGGCGATCGCAGAGTGCACGTTGCTGCCCAGAGGGGTGGCAGTCTTCATGGCAGGGAAAGCAGCCTTCTCAGCGGCCTCGGCGCTCAATTCACGAGTGATGGAGGACTCGAGAGGCTCGGAGGCATCCACGCCAAGCTGGGAGTTCTCCCAGATGGGCTGGTTAGCGTCCTCGGCGCCTTCGACGCCGACACCGACGAAGCCGCCGATGCTCTGCCAGTCGCTGGCGCGCTTGATACCCAGGTCGTTCCAGACGGCCTGCACAGCCTGGACGAGGTGATCACGCAGCGGCTTGACGTGGCCGGGGGTAGGTGTGATACGCAGACGCTCCTCACCGCGGGGGACGGTGGGGTAGTTGATGGCCTGCACATAGATACCGTGCTCCTCGAGAAGCTTGTCCGAGGCGCGCTTGGCCAGCTCGGCATCGCCGACCAGAAGGGGAACGATGTGTGAGGGGTTCGGGATGACGGGGATATCCAGCTCCTTCAAGGCAGACTTGACGGCACGGGTGTGCAGCTGCTGGAGGACGCGATCACGGGGCTGCTGGGCCTGGTACTGGATGGCGGTATCGGCACCGGCCATAGTCGCAGGAGGCAGCGAAGTAGTAAAGATAAATCCAGGAGCCAGCGAGCGGACAGTGTCGACCAAGTTGGCGGAGGCGGCAATGTAGCCACCAACACAGCCATACGCCTTGCCCAGGGTACCAGTAATGATGTCAATGCGGTCCATGACGGTGCCCTTGGTACTCTTAGGGTTGGTCGTGTCCTGCGACGCATAGACATCATAGTCGAGGTGTTCGGCAACACCAGCACCGTGGGGACCATACATTCCGACGGCGTGGACTTCGTCCAGGAAAGTGATGGCCCCGTACTTCTCGGCAAGATCACAGATCGCCTCAATGGGCGCGATGGATCCGCACATGCTATAAACAGACTCGAAAGCGATAATCTTGGGAACATTCAGAGGGAGGGATGCCAGCTTGGCTTCCAAGTCTTGCAGGTCGTTGTGCTTGAAGACCATCTTCTTCGCACCAGAGTGACGAATACCCTGGATCATGGAAGCATGGTTCAAACTGTCCGACAGGATGACACAGTCGGGCATCTTGCTTCCAAGGGTCGCGAGAGTAGCATCGTTAGCAACGAAGCACGAGCTGAAAACCAAAGCAGCTTCCTTTCCGTGCAACTTGGCCAGAGTGTCCTCCAGCGCGACAGCGTGCTTGTTGTGGCCGGAGATGTTACGAGTACCGCCAGCACCGGCACCATATGTGTCAAGAGTGCGGTGCATTGACTCCAGGACCTGCGGGTTGCGGCCCATGCCGAGGTAGTCATTGGAGCACCAGACAGTGACACGCTCCTCGGCCGAGGCCGTGTGCGCACGAGGGAACTCCTTGGCCAGACGGTTGATGTTGTTGAAGTAGCGGTACGACTTGTCCTTGTGCTTCTTCTCCAATTCGCCATTATAGAAAGCATCGTAGTCGAAGCGGGAAGTGATCGGAGCAGCGGGGCGAGGGCCGCGGACCGCGGCTTCGGTGGCGGGAGTCGAGCGGATGGTGTTGGCAATGTTGGGATGAACTGCAGAAACCCCCATCAGTATACGCTGAATTATGGTTATCTTCAATTGCGGATCTTGTGTTACCTTGCTCGGTCTTCTCGTAAGTGCCAGGGGCAAGGCTGGCAGGGTGACCCCCGGTCGTGTGCAAGGCACGCTTGCCGGCGGTAGGAGCGCGCATAGGCTTCATGGCCGGAATGCCGGCGGCGCTGGAGGTGAAGCGCTTGGTGCCGCTCATACGGGCAGACTGGACAGCCAGAGCCTTGCTCATGACCGGGCAGCGGCGAGCCAGGACCTGGAGGTTGGACATGGTACCTCCGCCAGTGCTGGGGCGAGTAGCGGTCGAGAGAGTGCGCAGGGTGGTGGGCGCGGTGCGCTTGAGGAAGGGGCACATAGCCCGCGACTGCTGAAGCATTGCCTCCATGGTGATGCGAATTGATACCCCAACAAGACGATTGAGAGTGTAGGGGAGGTGTAGAATGAGGATAGAAGAATTGAAGATTCCACGGATTAAATGGGACTATCGGGGGGTCCGGTGAAAATCAATCGGGGCGGGGAGTCCTGAGCTGACTCATCCTGGGCTGACAAAGAATAGCCTCTGATTGGTGGGCACGGGCCGCGACCGGGCGATTTGACCCAATCGGGACAGTCCAGCGGTGATGCATCTTTTAGTCATCGTCTCTTGCGGTGGGAAATCGGCGGAAAGTCGGTTACAACTGAACGGAAAGATGAAGTTGTCGTGGCTGAACTTTGACTGCTTCTAGTAGTAACGCGGAGAAAATTGCAACATTGGGAATGCGGGGTGAATGTTCAAGAAATGGTGTGCATGGACTACTGTATTCGGTATGACTATTTGCGTGATGCATTGCATATACAACATCCAGCATACTTACATATCCCTATTCTATAGAATGTTTTACGAAGTACAGTACTATAGAGTAGAGACGCTCCTGGAAGTGGATGCCGGGCTCTGCCCAAATCCCGGGGCAGAAAAGAATCACAGACACATGCGTCCACCTCGGAAATCTCGGCCCGCCACTTCTCTGCCTGGGGCCTTGGGCCATCCAGGCAAGATCGCCGATTTTCGAACTTTGACTTTTCGCCATCGTTTCCCCTCGTTTAAGGTCGTTTAGTATCCTGAAGTAAACTACCGTACTATGTCTACCTTTACTTATACTCAGGCTTCCATAATACAAGCCACTGGGGTAAGATCCAATAGACGCAATGACATCATTGTCTAGTTCCTATAAGTTACGGATTAATTCCTAAGTGAGGCGCTGATAGTGGTATACGTCGGAACCTCCGACAAGCAGCGAAAGGTCTGAGATAGTAATATTAGGCTGAGTTTCTCTACAATAGGACGATCCTAGACTTGTGACAGATCTATGAAGAGTAGAAAAGTAAAGTAAGTGCCAATTCCATCCCATAAATGTCTTATTGACTAGAAAAGACATCAATCTACTAGGCCATGACCTCAAATCACCATCAACCTTAGGCAAGAGTATACTCCATACTACGGTACTCAAGACTAATACACCGAATCACCGAGGGCTACTTGGAAAGAGAAACACTTTCAAAAGAAGAATGTAGAAATCAAGTTTTTCACATCTATCACCAACCTCCTTTTCCTTTCCCACAAATCCACCCCATTCATTCCCTCCATGCATAATCTCTGTCCTGCCCGCCATCCACGGCATAGACAAGACATAATTAAGCCTGGCCTAGCAGCCAATGGTCATACCCATCCAAAATTACTCATATAGTCACCAATGTCAAAACAACAACCACTCCTGTCTGTCTGTCCGTCCATCTCTTCCAATCCAAAATAGGTCTCCAAAACGGGGGAAATGAGATCAAAGTGCGGGAGTTTAGGTCGATCAAGTAGTCGTATGGTAATACATAACAGAAGAGAGAGAGAAAGTGAGAGAAAAGACGAAAACCAACAATAAAGATATAAAAAAAGAAAAGTGCAGGGGAAGTACCGCACAAGCACCAAGTCGGTAGAAAGAATCACAACAACGCCGTGGCCCATTTGCAGTATTGCAAGTATTTGAAACAAGTTATCCCGAATGATTTTAAGCGAGTCCGCCGTCGCCGTCGATTAATCGAAGCCGTTCCTTCATGGTCTTCGCACGTTTGGATGAACCTGCTTTGCCCCCGCCACGACCACGACCGCGCTTCGCTGGGGTGACCGAAGTAGCGGTGGGTGGTGTATCGAGATTGTCCGACATGGGGGTCGCAGTGCCTGACGGCTTGGCGCTGGCATCGTCAAAGTTACCCTCGCCTGTAGAAAGAATGTGTTAGTCAATCATCTAAAGTAAAAGCCGAAGCTGGGACGCTTTGCTTACCTTCATGATACATATCATCCATCGTGAGCTCACGCTTCCGCTTCTGCGTAGCCTTCTTGCCGCCCTTGGTAGCACCAAAGGCCTCTCCTCGCTCAAGCGCCTCCTTCTCCTTCTGTTCGATGAGCTCCGCCTCATCGTCATCGGCAAGCCACATGGCAATGTCCTTGGTGCGATTCTCACGAGCGCGAGTGTTGAAGTCGACACCGCCGGCAGCACCGCCGGAAATAACGACACGCTGCACCTCCTCCTTCTGCAAGGCACGCTTACGAATCCGCTCTTCAATTGTTCCACGAGTAATGAGACGGTAGACGGTAACCTGGCGGGTCTGTCCGAGACGATGGGCTCGATCCATGGCCTGGGAATCGATAGTCGGATTCCAATCAGAATCGTAGAAGATGACGGTATCGGCAGCTGTCAAGTTGATACCAAGACCACCGGCACGGGTAGACAGCAGGAACACGAAAATTTCGGGGTTGGACTGGAAGTCAGCGACGGTATCGCGACGATCCTCCAGCTTCGTGCTTCCGTCTAGTCGGCAGTACTTGTAGTTTCTGTATGTCAAGTACTCCTCCATCAAGTCGATCATGCGTGTCATCTGGAAGTACAGCAGAACACGGTGACCACCGGGCTTGAGCTCGCGGAGAAGCTGGTCCAGTTTGGCAAGCTTGCCCGAATCCGTGACGAACCGTCGCATAGATGGAACCTCGATGTGAGTGTAGCGAGACTTAAGTGACATCGGCCCTGGGAGCATTGGCGCCTTTGAATATGGCGTAGGATCGACCTTGTGTAACAAAATCTGTTCCTCAACTTGTCGGGTACGGTTGCCGTACAATGTCGACCGGACAACTGGGTTGAACAGAGTACGTTGAGTTTCGCGAGTAGCCTCTTGGCCGGAGCAAGAGAGCGTGATCGGAGGCGCCGAGGCAGCAGGAGAAGCGCAGGGTTCGATCAGGTTGAGACCTTGATCCTCGAACGCCGAACGTGAAACATTCATCAGGTTGCGCATCCGGCCCTCGGGGGTGATCTCGTTAAGCGCGGCACGGTTGTTACGTTCAACAATATTCAGCATGGACTGAGCCCACACTGACTTGCCATCAGACTCATTTTCCTTGTCACCGTACACGACGTTCAGGCGGGAAAGTCGGTTGGGTTTGTCGGAACGCAGAGTCGCGCGCTCGTAAACACCGAGACGCGAATATTCACTGGCTTCTCCGGCAGATGTATCGACAAATCGCAAGAATGAAAACGCCCCGTTCTCACGGGAGCTCTCATGAATGTTCTCAGTGTTCCAAATGTTCATCAAGTTTGACAAGTATTTCCCTCGGAATCCAGCACGATCATTGCCAGGCCCTGCTACATCCACACGGGCCTCAGGGCTACACAATAGTCGAGGCAACTGGTACTCGATACGGTTTCTGGTGGAATACTTGAAGTCGACAAAGTATCCTTCACGAACAAAGGAGGCACACTCCGCAAAGGCTCCGACAGAGAAAGGTGATCGGGTTTCGGCACGCTCAAACAGATCGGGATGGTTGCAGACCTTACGGAACTGCATGACCAAGTTCATCAGGGTCGTGCTATCACTGTCGTCACCAACGGCGGCCTTCTCAATGAGGTCGATGATGCTGACACGGTTCCGCAGGTTGGCATAGAGGGCACGCTGGCGGTAGGTGAGGTCACAGAAGATGTCCTTCTCGACCTTGTCACCCAGTTCTTGTTGCACATGCTTCTTGACACGACGAAGCATGAACGGTTTCAGAATCATATGCAGACGCTTGAGCTGATCCTCGTTCAGTTTCGTGTTACTTTGAGCATGAGACTCGATATCTTTCGAGAACCATTCACTAAACTCGTCATGGGAATCGAACAAAGTAGGCATAATGAAATGCAGCAAGGCCCAAAGCTCTTGCATGTTGTTTTGAATGGGCGTACCAGTCAGCAAAAGACGGTTACGACAGGAGAAACCCAATAGATTCTTCCAACGCGAACTTTGAGAGGACTTGATGGCCTGGGCCTCGTCTAGAATCATGTACTGCCACTTGACTTTTTGGAAGTACTGGGCATCAAGCACGACCAGCTGATAGGAGGTGACCAGGACATGGAACTCAGAGTCACGAGTGTAGGTGATATGCTTGCGATCCCAGAACTTGCGAAGAATCTTACGATCCTTGGCATTACCCCAGTATGGCAAGACTTTGAGGTTCGGAACGAACTTGGCAATTTCTTGTTGCCAATTGTGCAGCGTCGATGCTGGCGCGATGACCAAAAACGGACCCCAGATGTTGTGGAACTCGGCCAGATAGGCCATGACGGAAATGGACTGAATGGTCTTGCCGAGACCCATCTCGTCTGCAAGGATACCGTTGATACCCTGCTCGTACAAGTTGACGAGCCAGTTTAATCCCTTCAGTTGATACTCCTTCAGTTTAGCAGTCAACATAGTCGGCTGAGAAATTTCAATATCACCCAGACTGGTTGGGTTCTGGAAGTTCATCTCTCCTTCATCAAAGGCGGCCATCTGATCCTCTCCACCTTGCTGGTTGAAGGCACGAGCACGGTCCTGGGCTTGCTGCACAGCATTCTGAGCATTGGCCATGGCAGCTTGCTGCAAAACGCTCTCATCCTCAGCATCGAAGTCCAGGTCCTCAAAGTTGGTGACCTTGGCATTAGGATTGGGGACGCTGTCGGGGAGGTTGGCGGTGTGTGCTGCCTTGCCAGGCTGAATGGTTTCGTTGCTGCCAGCGACATTGCCATCACCGATTGCTTCAGCTTCCGCAGTCTTGATCTTGCGACCGATGAAGTGAGAGTACAGCTCAGTCTGGGAGATAAGGAAGTTCAGCTTGCGCTTCTGTCGGTTGGCTTCACGCTCAGCCTCAGCCTTCTTAGCCGACTCCAGCTCCTGCTTCTCGGCCAAACGGCGCAAGTCACGCTCTTCACGCTCGTTGCGCTTCCAGAAAGACATCATCTCACGCATGGTACGCTTGGCACGAGCTTGGGTATCCTTGGTGCTCTTGTTCGTCCGTTCTTGCCACTTGCGGGACTGCTTGCTCGCGAGCTGGGCAGTTTTGCGCAGATTTTCTTGACGGGTAGAAAGGGACGTGGTCTTGATTCGGTACACTTTGGGAATGTCCTTACGGGCAATGTCGCGCCAGATTTGCTCGTAGATCTGGTTGTAGCCCTTGCTGTCGTAGTGCAAATGAAGAATCGGAGTACCCTCCTTGGACTTGCCGTCTTTCTTCGTCGTATCGCGTGGCGTGAGATAGATGGATTCATCGTCCAGACCGGCCAAGTAAGCATTCTCGGCAGCATCCTTCTCGGCCTGCTTCTGCTCCTTAGACTTCTTAGGCCGAGTGATGGGACCAGCGCGTCCAGACTTGCGACGCGAAGGTGACCCGCGACCGATATGGAATGAGCTTGTGGTGCCTCCCTCGAGATTAGGTGCCAAGGGGGTGACCTCACCAAGCTCGTCCTGGGCACTCCCACCCTCAAGAGCACGCTTGGTCGAGCGAATTTTCTTCTGAGCACGTTCCGCCTCGCGCAGGAACTTGGCCTTCTCCGCAGAGTCCTGAGCCTTGTCAGCCTTGCGCTCAGCCTCCAGCTTCTTCTGCATCTCCAAGCGGACGGTGTTCTCGCGGCGGCGTTTCCGTTGCATGTCCTTCTTGCGCTCCTTCTCATCCTGAATCTCTTTCTGCTGGACTTCCGCAATGACAGAGCTTTCATTGTTGATCCGGAACCGCTCTCCACCTAGAATGGCGTGCTTCTCAAACGATCGAGCCAGCTCGTTTAGTATGTTATTGCGCCGACGCTGAGCCAAAGTCAGTTTGTTTGTCAAACATTGAGTAAAAACACAGCCATAAAACTCACCTTGCGAGAGGCTTGTTCGGTCCGATAGCTCTCCATCAATCGTTTCCGACCCTTTTCCATGTAGAGCTGCATGTCTTCCTCAAAGCCAGGACCTTCAACATCACTCTTCTCACCGTTGTCAATGTCCAGCATGGCACGGTTGACTTGCTCGGCGTCAACGCCAGGGGGGAAGGGTTTCCTTTGTGGGGCGCGTGCCGCCACGCTCGCCAGCTCTGGTGCTGGCTTGGACAGCCCATTGGGTGTGAAGATCCCCTTTGGTGGCTCTGGATGGGGCTTTTCAGCTACCGGTCCTTTGTCCGATTTATGCTGAAATGTGCCCGGGACTGGGCCGGCTTCGGGTGGGCGGCTGTCAGACTTGGCTCGGATCGGGGGTTGGGGCGTGGCAGCAGCAGGCGGAGGAGTCGATTTTCTAGCAGGCTGTTCTTCGGTAGGGCCTGAAAGGATGCTCGCGAAGGACATGGGATCGGCAGCGCGTGTGGGTTTCTAAAGATAGGACGGGATGTAGTTAGTAGGTGTCTTCATTCTTAATTCCCAATCAAAGCTGATGAATCAAGGACATACCGATTCCCGGGGAGGAGATGCTGCCTTTGGGGCCGACGGTCCATACCCGACGCCATTGCCTCTCACCCGATATGGTGATTTGGACTCGCGAGTGGGAGACTGGGAATGACTATCCGGCCGGCTCGAAGGATGGCCATGCGGCGTTGAAGGCCCATAGGGCGAAGTGCCATTGCCAGACATCACAGAGCTCGAAAAGGGACGCGGAAGTGGCAGTCCTGGATTCGCACTTCCCGAAGGACCGGGGTATTGTGATGAAGTCTCCGAGTGGGACGAATGTGGAGGTGGTGCGGTCCCATTCAAGGGCGGTGGCAGGGTCGAAGGTAGCGGCGAGGACGCGTGCGAAAAGTGCGGGCTCCGCGGAACGGAGGATGGACCGAAGGCCGGGGGTGTCTGGGGAGGATGCTGGGAGAATTGTTGTTGCTGCGGCTGTCCCTGCGGCTGGTCATTGTTGGGAAAGAAAGGACGGTTCTTGGTCGGGGATTCGTAGGCAGCGAACCGGTGCTGCTGAGTCGGGGACTGGGCGTTGTATGGCGGAGCGCCTGTCATGATGGCCGCGTCCCCGGCGCTGAGCAAGCGCAGCAAGGGCTAATAGCTCGAGGGGGGATATGAAACGGGATGAATTGGGCGAAAGGGGAGTCAAACACCGAGGATGTTGCCCATGGGACAGGTGTCAAGGGGGGTTCTTCTCGCGGAGATCTGGCACGGACGCGACGTCAGCTGGGTGGGTTTGGCGATAGAATAGGATCAAGGCGTAGAGATATGGTGGATAGATGAAGTTCGAAAATGAAGGAGATGGGGGGTTGATGATACCGAGTTGGGATGATGGATTCGTTTGGTGGTGGGAAGATGCAGGAAGGAAGATGGTTGTGGCCGCGGTGACCCAAGCAGAGAATGCGCGGGCTGGGCTAGGCGAGGATGCAGGGGAGGTGTTCCGGACCGACGGTGATATCGGGGGGGGGGGGGGGAAGAGAGGATAAGGATGAGGAATGAAAGAGGGAATAAGTGGGAGAATGGACGTGGGAGAGGGGAATCACGTTTTGAAGGTGATGAGTTGAAAGGGAAAAAGGAAAGGGGGGGGGGGCAACGAGAGCAAAGGGCAATGGGCCATAGGCAATTTAGGATTTGACAGTCCTTTGGAGGCTGTGAATGCGTCCTTTCGTTGTCTAGCGTTTATGCTTCATCCACCTCCCTCGGGATGGTCTTCGGTACTTATGGATTCGAGAGTTTATTTATTATTGAGAAGCTGTATCTTGATTGAATTTACTGTGATCGACATTTGGTCTTGCGAGAAGACTCCGATGGGCTGAGATGGTGGCCACCTGATTTTTGGTGCCGCCGTGCGAGGCGCATCCATACAAACGGGCGTGGAGGAGAGGGAGGAGGAGGATGGAAGATGGACGTGATCGGGTATGAGGACAGTCACCTGGGGTGAATTCTACGATATTTTTGTTTTGAATGGGCCGATAGGAATAGTTATCTGGTTTCTAATTCTATTATTCTTCTCTCCTCTTCACAGTCTGGTCCGGCCCCCCGGGTGAAGTTCCTGTCCATCCGAAAGATTTCATCGCGGCCGATCCCGTCTGATTGCGCCCACCACGAAAGGACCCGACGATTGGTGCTTTAGTAATAGTCTAAGACTTGTATAGATCATATATTACAAATTATAGCATTACTAGGTCGTCTATCAAGTATAAAATCATCTTCTAGATATACTATGCGTAATTTAAACACTACTTGTTTCTGCTATGTTCTTGTGTCTGTGTCCATTACCCATCATCGTATCTGCGATTGCGGGCTGCCAAGGCCGATCCATGCGCTCCATTGGCTGGAGAAATGACATGCCTAGACTCGTCGGGTCACTGTGCACACAGCAGGCCAAGCATTCTGTACAGTATCTCTTTGGCTTTTCTGGGTTTCTGGGCTCGTTTGAAGCCATGATGATGAGCTAGGAAGGTTTATGTTAGATTTTATCCTCTTGAGTCTCCAGATCCAGTTTATCGATCGGGTATATGGTTAGTTGTTGGTCTCGCTGACGATGGATATGTGTAGAGCATCACAACCTTAAGAGTATATTCCCGTAATTACATAACAGGCTGCCAACCCAAGCGTCCAACTATAAGTGTAATATTTCAAATAGCCTAAGATGAAGCCGAAAAGCTGATTTCTAATGTCATCCTAAACCCCGGGGGTCATTTGCGGGCGCTAGGGGCGCTGGTCTGGGAGGAGCCGTGATGACGTACTACCTAAGTCTACCTACCTCCCGAGTACTAACTATCGCCAAACTAAATTGCCTAAGAAATGGAAGGAGGCTTCAAAGATTAGAGGACCAGACACCGGATGTAGACACTCCAATACGCGCTTTGTGCCCACGAGCCCCTAGCTCAGGGATAAAGAGCATGATTTCACAGATAGACTAGAAAAGACTACAGTACTGGCTTGTATATAAGCTGGTCTTGAAGGTGACAAGGGACAAAGACCATGTTCAACTTGGGTAGTCTCACGCCAAATATCACGAAATCCAATAATGCGTGGTGTCATCCTGATCTCGAAGCCGGGGGAATGTCTCCACGTCCATGGCAGGCAGAGGTCTACGACGACTTCTAGCAAGAGCCTTTTGACGAGCTTTCTCGAGACCTTCAGCAATATCTGGAAGGGGTTTCTGGAGAGATTGAGCAGTAGCCTTTTGATGTGTTTTCTCGAGGCACTCTCTTGTTAGACGTGCTTTGTCATGATTTTCCCCAAAGATCTGCTCTTGTCCCTGGAGAGCTTGGAGAAACATGTTTTCTGCCTCTTTGTACTCGTGTAGTTCATAGTGACACTTGCCGAGATAGAATGTAGCCTCAAGCGCGATTCCATGACTGGGACCTATCATTGTTTCCAGCAGTCCCCTACGCGCTCGGTAATAGGCATCCGTTGCCTCCTTGTACCGATTTTGAACATAGAGGGTGTGACCAAGCCAGTATGCGCACTCGATAGTCCCGTCATCATCAGGTCCGCGCGTTTTCTCTCGGCCGTGAAGAGCTCGGCGTAACAAAGGCTCTGCCTCGGTGTACCGGGCTAGACAATGGAGAGACATAGCAAGCCAGTATACTGTGTCAAGCGTACTTTCGTCGTTGACGCTAAGCGGCTCCCCTTGCTCATCACAAATTCGACAAAATTCTTTCACTGCGTCATCAACTCGGTCTTGATTCTGGAGAGACCTTCCTAGCATGTGGGCTGAGGCCAACGTGTCTTTATGTGTCGGACCAAGCACTATCCTATACTCCTGAAGCGCTTTGCGGAACATGATCTCCGATTCCTTATAATTCCCTTGTTCAAAGAGACACAGACCTAGCCGAGTCATAGATTGAAGTGTATCTTTATGACTTTTGCCAAGCAAATGCTCTTGCCCCTCAAGAGCTTCGCGGAAAGTTGTCTCTGCTTCTCCATATCGTTCCTGATCATAGAGAGTCAGACCTAGGCCGTACGCAGCAGCCACTACGTTAGGACGTATTGGGCCTCGCAGTTGCTTGTACCCTTGCAAAGATTGACGGTATGCGGTCTCCGCCTCCTTGTACCGGTGCTGACCATAGAGACTTTGGCCAAGCGCGTATAAGGATTCCATGGTAGCTCTGTGACCAGGCCCTAGTGTTTTCTCTCGGCTACAGAGAGCTCGGCGGGTTATAGCCTCTGCCTCGCTGTAACGTTCCTGTTGATAGAGAGACTGTCCAAGCAAATCTACACAGTAAAGTGTTTCTTCGTGATCAGGGCCTAGAACTCTCTCATACCCCTGTAAAACGTCGCGAGATAAAGTCTCGGCCTCTTTGAATTGCTTCCGATTAAGGAACAAGCTGGTAAGCCAGTATCCAGAACTGAGTAACTGGGTGGCGTCTTGATGTTGCCAGATACTGTGTATTTGATAAATCCGGCGAAGCATAGTCTCTGCTTCCACCAGCCGCTTGTCCACGCAAAGAGAGTTGATGACACGCCTTTGCTCTCTGAGTTCTTCGGGACTGAGCTCGTTAATCTCGGCTTGGCTTGGAGCTGTCTCGAGTGGGGTAGTTCCCAGAGAAACGCTCGTTTGAGTTTTCTCTGCCACAATGACCGGGTTTTCGGTCGTTTCTATCAAATTTCGTGCGATTGAAGGAGAATTTCCATATCTAACAGTTACCGTATCATCCGAGGAATAACGTGTGTTCCATGACGCGAACTCCTCGGTCAAGTCTGCAACAGAGGGGGAAAATTGAGACTCGCGTTGATTTTGTTTCGCGGACTCGAAGGAATGGGGTACCAGCGATTGTATCCATTTGTCTGACAAGGCTGATGCAGTGGTCCTTCGATCCTTAGGATCAGGATGCATGAGCGAGATAATAAAGTGAATCCCCGATTGGCTAACATTGGCCTCAGTGAGTGATTTGATTGGGAATTGCTCGTCACTTTTATAGCCCGCGATCGATGCAGGGTTGCCAAATGCAGGTTTCTTGGTAAGGACCTCAAAGATGATCTCCCCAAGTGCCCATATGTCTGAGGCATATGCATTTTCTCGCTTGCTGAATCCCCAGATTTCGGGGGCAAAATATCTTGGGGTTCCCGTGATCGTTGTCGTTTGTCCGCGGCCTTCTTCAACGCGTTTCGTGATACCAAAGTCTGCGAGTTTGATCCACCAATCGTGTGGAGGATGTGATTCGATCAGGATGTTCTAGATACGTCTTTAGCAACGAGTCTTTTTCGGTCCAAGAGGAGAGTCTTTCCATTTAGAGGGAAGAGACCTACATTCGGTTTCAAGTCTCGATGAGCGAATCCATTTCGATGCATCATATTCAGACCATCGAGAACTTGGTACGCGATATACTTTGCCTCGTTCTCTGGAAGTGGAGGATTCTCACGAAGATACGTGGAAAGGTCGCCGATCTCAAGGTATTCCATGGCTATGAAGAGCTGGCTCGAGCTTTCATACCACCCGAATGATTTGACGAAACATCGCTCGTACTAGTTGAATTAGAATATCTTCTTCCTATGATCACGGTTCTCTGTGGAGACTCACACGAGTATGCGAGAACTTGGCAATAGCCTCGAGCTCACGATTATAGTCGAGCTTGCCGAGTCGCGGGTCCAAATCAATCTGCTTGACTGCGCGCACTGGAGCATTCTGAGTCGTTCCCCGCGAGCCCTGAGTGCATGTCTCGAGCCAGACGGTGCCAAACCCTCCGCCTCCGATCTTCCTTTGCCGGCGCCAGTGCTCTGATCTGATTACCAGGCGTTGCCTCGAGTTCGGGTCGGACTCTTGAAAGGTGTGAACTGTACAGTCCGGGAGGAAATGCGTTTCTAGCTTCGAATCTAGAATCAAGTCTGAGATTCGCGCCATTTGGACCGCGATATAAGCGCTTCACACGTTGGTTATGGCCAGCGTTCCCCCGCGCCTTTCAGCCCCAACAACACATCTCGATGCATGGTCACCTGATGTGACTATGTATATCCCTGCAGGTCACCTGACCGTGTGTTGTCAACTTCTCATTGCTCTCAGTATTGATTTAGGCAATAGGCAGATCAAACTGAAATATTCCTCTAGTTGTAGCAGAGGCATACTTCTAGCAGTCCAAAGCTAGGATAAGTGGGGCAAAATAGATGCGGAAATGATCGGGTTAGGTTCACAATAGGCCTTGGATATACTGTTACCAGAACTCCCAATGGGCACCAATCGCGCTTTTTATAAAGGTATTGATTTGAATATACGGCATTTCGTGAGAACAGCCGCTGGATTGTGTAAATCACAATTGTAGGGCTGGAGATTGTGGAAGGCGCAAGAGTACCAAATTAGTATTGTATGGAGTCCGCGATTCCCCCAAGGTGCACGGTACCTGAGAGAAGCTCTATATACTCCAGTGCAAAGTTTCCAAGATAGTTTGAGTTATTTACCCATAATCACCAGCTATTTCTCATAGTAAGCTAGGTATACCTAATGAAACCATTGCAGAATCGGCCAATTGCTATATTTAGTTTGATTGAATTGATGGCCTGATTTTTTGGGTCTCACTCGATGCGGAGAAGCCGGCGATGGTGACGTCCTCCATCCGCATCTTCCCATCATCATCACTCTTTTATTCCCTGCGAAATGCCCTAATCCCTGATTCAACAGGGGCTTACTACTACAGTACTCTCCAGCTTTCCAAAACGACGAGTCAGAACTCTGACGTAGGGGGGCCTGGCCATGATTTGATGTCCAGGTCTTGCTTTTTTCGGAGAAACTCCCTGCGATCGAAGGCGCTCGGTGATGTCCTTAGCTTCGGCCGAAATGGCTCCCATCGCGACCGGGATGTGAGATGATAGAGATACCCAAGGCCAATCCTTTCTCGGTGGAAGGGGCCTAATATCAAATCTACTAGAATCGTTAGCTAGTCTCTCTCTATGCTGTGGAAATACCCGACCGTATGACAAGCAGGGTCTTGTTGTATCACGGAAGCGGAAAGCAGCCTCGATCGTGAGATACAATCTACTACCGGCCATCACCCATGGATCAGGAACCATTGGATAGCCCGGATCAATCGGTGGATATGAATGGGACAATGTAGTGGCCAGCTGGCCGTCAAGATGCCATCATCTCACCCCGAGCAGAGACTCTCCAACGGCGCAAATCCCGCCGAGCCGGTTTGCTTGTCTACTGCCATCATCGATATCACAGCATGTGGCACCACTTGCGACAGGGTCTTTGTACCTTCCACTTCCAGAAACCTTCATAATTGAGCGAGATCCCTTTTCAATTGTCCCTCTAGTTCATTCCATCTTTTCTTCCTCCACAATTCCCCCACTCTCCCACCTTCCCAACTTCTTCCATCTCTCACCTACCAACGAACCATCCCAATATCACATACCCCAACACGCTTCACCCAACACCATGGCTCCTCAAATCCCTGAGAAGCAGTGGGCGCAAGTCGTCCAAAAGAAAGGCGGCCCACCAATCTACAAGGAAATCCCCGTTCCCAAGCCCGGCCCCGATGAAGTGCTAGTGAACATCAAGTACTCCGGCGTCTGCCACACCGACCTACACGCCATGAAGGGCGATTGGCCTCTTCCTCTCAAGATGCCTCTGGTCGGTGGCCACGAAGGTGCTGGTATCGTCGTCGCCAAGGGTGAACTGGCCGAAGGCGTCGAGATCGGCGATCACGCTGGTATCAAGTGGTTGAACGGATCCTGCCTGTCGTGCGAGTACTGCAAGACCTCCGATGAACCACTTTGCGCTACCCCACAGCTCTCGGGTTACACCGTCGACGGTACATTCCAGCAGTACGCCATTGGCAAGGCTGCCCACGTTACGGTCCTGCCGAAGGATATCCCTCTCGATGGGATTGCGCCGATTCTTTGTGCTGGACTTACGGTTTACAAGGGACTGAAGGAGTCGAATGCTCGCCCTGGTCAGACTGTTGCGATTGTTGGCGCTGGTGGTGGTCTCGGCGCGATGGCTCAGCAATTTGCCAAGGCGATGGGACTGCGCGTTGTTGCTATCGATGGTGGTGATGAGAAGCGTGCCGTGTGCGAGCAGCTTGGCTCGGAGGTAACATCCATCACATGATGTTTTCTATGAACTTTACTGAGATGAAAACGGCCAGGTCTACATTGACTTCTCCAAGTCGAAGGATCTCGTCGCCGGCGTCAAGGCTGCTACCCCCGATGGACTGGGTGCTCACGCTGTGATCCTGCTCGCCGTCTCTGAGAAGCCCTTCCAGCAGGCTGTTGAATACTCCCGTCCCCGCGGTACAATCGTCGCCATCGGTATGCCGGCCAATGCATTCCTGAAGGCCCCTGTCTTCGAGACCGTCGTCAAGATGATCACCATCAAGGGCAGTTACGTGGGTAACCGCCAGGATGCTGCAGAGGCGGTCGACTTTTATGCTCGTGGCTTGATCCACGCACCATTTAAGACCGTTCCTCTTGAGGAGCTTCCTAAGGTGTTTGAGCTGATGGGTAAGTTGTTAAACCTGAGACTTTCATTTCGCAATTTACTAATATGTCTGATTTAGAGGAAGGAAAGATTGCCGGTCGTTATGTTCTCAAGATGCCGGAGTAAATGCATCAACCGACGGACTGTGCATTATCAACCGGATTCAATGAGCATATTTTACTGATGAGCACCTTTTATTCATGGAATTAGCAATCAGAGCTGGTGTTATGTGAACAATCTCCTCTTCGTCCTAACAATACCAATATCTAATGAGCAACGAAACATTTAGTATCAATTTCATTCCGAGGACATCCTAGAACAATATACGTATTTCCCATAGCCTTTCCTACTGACTATCAACTCTTCTCCGGCCCCCCTACAGCAGCTTCCGCCTCCAACTGCTTACCCTCATCCTCCGGCGAAACAGTAGTCTGCGGCCCCTTGAAAGTTTTCCTCGCATGAACATAATAATAAAGCAAAGCTCCCAACCAAAGCGCACCATTAATAACCACAGTATAATTCATATTCTCCGCTTCAAATATCCACCAATGTCAGCATATACCCATCTTCCCACAGAACGAAGGAAGAAACTTACCGGACGGATTCGGCCCCTCAGTAGGAATCATACACAACACAATCGCAAAAAACATATAAATAACCGCTATCCAAGCAATCGGTTTACTGAGATATTTACCGGTATAAAACTCCCCAGGCACGAATTTATCCTGGCCCCAGAGTAGACGTGCCAGGATAGGCGTTAGCCAAGCGAGGTCATTTCCGGCTACGGCTAGAGAGAAGAGTGCGTTTGCGGCGGCGTTGTCGATTAACGAGAGGAGGCCGATTATTGCCGAGGCGCCGATTACACCGCAGACCATGCGGACGGGTTGGTAGCGGGTTAGTTTGCCCTGGCTGACTTTGCGGAAGAAGGATGAGAAGGGGAGGGCGCCGTCGCGGGAAAAGGCCCAGCTTTGACGGGATGCTGCGAGGACCTGGATGGGTGAGTTAGAAGGGTTAATGGATGGTTGAGTGGATTAGACCTACAATACTTAATCCCATGAAGTATTGCACGGTCATGACTACAGCCATAAAACCGAGAGCACCGTTCTTGCCGAGGGCATCGTAGTAGATCTGTCAAAGGTATCAGCTTACTGAACCAGGTACATGTCAGGCATATTAAACATACCTGAGCCATCGGCTGCCCAAACTTCGAATTCAAAATCCCCTCAATATCCTGACTCATACCCGCAGCAATAATAGCCATCGACAAGAACCCCAGAATCCCACACATCCCCGTCGAAGTAATAATACCCAACGGCACCGCACGCGCCGCATGAGTAGCCTCCTCACTCATATGCACGCACGAATCAAACGCACCAATAGTCCAAATAGGCGACAACCACGCCATAATGAACGCCCAACCCGTGGGCCAGGTAGTCAAGTTCTCGACATCACCAAAGACGTAAGACCCCGAATTAATGGGCGGAGCGTTTTTGGCTTTCCCCACGGGTAGAGCAATAGCTGTTGCTACAACCAGACCAATATTCAGGAAAATGCAGATTGACTGGATTCTGGGCATGATTCTACCGCCGAATGTGGCGATGACGCCGTGGGAGAATACGGTTGCGACGTATGTGCCGTAGATGATTGGTCGTGTTGCGGTCCAGTTTCCGTCGCGGGCAATGGATATCATTGAGAGGAGCATGTTGGCGAATCCATCTGGATTAGACACTGTTAGCAGAGTGCTTGCTTGATAGAGGAGTGGTGAAAGGCGTATGGCCTACAATCAATCGAGCAGATGCCGCCAATAAGGCCGATGGTATTGCTGTACCCGACAACGAAGCTCAATGGGTTCTTCCACTTTTCGGCGGCGAAGTAGTGGGTCCAGAAGTATAGACCACCGGCAGTGGGCATGGCGGATGCCATATCAGCCTGTCCATGCATCAGTCCCTGGTTCTCATAGTGGAGGCCATACGATAGTGCTCTCACTTACCATAGCCAGACTGACAATGAAGATGAAAAAGCTTGCAGCCAGCCATCCTATAGATCTTTGTCAACAACCCGGCATCCATGCACGCCAGAGAGAAGTAGCTGCATACCCTAGAGACATGTTAGCTTATCATTTACAATCGATGATTCTATTCGAAGATCTACTTACCCAAACCATTCCCACTGGTCCAGCAGGCATTGAGAAAGATAGAGTTGAAGCAATCGATGGCAGAAGACCCATGATGCTGAAAGCGACAGCAAAGATCTGGACCGTAGAATAGTGGCGACGGAGTTCTTGCTTGTAACCCAGGGTCGCTATACAGCGGTAAGTACATCAAGCTCCCGGACACCAAGACTATACACGAGTCATAGCGCGATGAACAGGACGCAATTTACCTAGCAGTTCCGTATCCCCTGCCTCTACAGGGGCGTCATGATTATTCGTATGTGGCTGTTTTGCATCACGCGAGAGCGATGGTTTCAACGCGTCCGCCATTCTGATTGTGAAGATGGTAAATACAGCGAGAGGGTTTGCCCACGATGATACGATGGTGAATATGATTCAGATAAGGAAATTTGGTGGCATCCCAGAGGATGTCAAAGGTACCAAAAAAAGATTGGCCACCTTGAGCCAGAGGAAGGAACCTAGGAAAAAGCAAAACCTAGACTAGAATGCAATATGCATAACAAGGCCGCCAGCCGAGAAGTAAGGCGATCGCATTCCACGAAGGGAGATCCCCGCCCTTTTTAAAAAGAATCAACACGAGAATTGTCTCAAGACTATCTTATCCTGAAAAGCATGGGCCCTTCCCAAAAAATCTGCGCCCGCCCTCGGTTTCGGCAGAGCCGATAGAACGATGGCCTAGGCTATGGTTGGAGTAGGTGAATACGGTAGCATACCAATAGGAAAAGTGGAGCGGGGATGAAAGAGGGGGTCGAGTAGGGTTTGAATGGCTGCAGGAAACGTCGCAACGAGGGTAATCATTCCTGGATTGAGTTTGGCGTTATTGGAGTCATGCCAGATCACTACGATAAGTCGCATTAACTGCCCTCGTTTACAACAGGCTGCCAAAGATAACGGTCTGTGGCTTGTATTCTGGTTGGTGAGTTGAGTTGGTACAGAATATAATGAGATAAGCTGCTTAGCCACTGGTTTTATCTTGCGATTAGAATTATTTGACTTGGTTCTCTTTTTCTCACTTTTCTAGCCTAAATAGGAGATTTCTTCAAAATGCTTATCTTTGAATCCTGGTGAGGCTTTCTTATCAGTCCGTTCTATGGTTCTATGAGCTTACCCCAGATAAACTGGTGCTTCTAAAGTGGGGTCAGGTTGGCGGACTGGAGCCCGCTTTACATTTAACCTTCTGGGGCTGATCGGACATCTTTGACGGAATTAGAGCCCGACTCTGTTTTATTGTTATCGGAAGGAAACTCGAAGTGCTTATTACTTGGAGGATTTCCACGTGTTTATGATGGCATCGCTTATCTTTGTCTGATAATAGCTCGTGTCGACACATGTTCCGCATCGCGATGAGAACAATCACTCGCCTTCCACACTCGGAGATAGGCCCGCGAGTTAGGCCGAAATATTCCTCTGCGGAGAACAAAATCTTAAACTTTGATGATGAGATTACTGGAAGGGAATCTTTATTGAAGGATCTATCATCATGATATTCGTATTCATGGTAGCGGAGGATGACAGCTTCAGTCATTGTAAATTCTAATTGATGGCGCACTGGCGCTATATAATACGCAAATGAACCAAGCAGAAGGAGGGAAGTAGTTAATTGGTCAATCTAGAGATCTTTAAGGAAGCAGAATAGGAAGGGGGAAGCAGATGCATCTTATAGGCCGACAGAGCAAGGCGCAGGGCCTAGACAAACAAGGAATCCGCCATCAGGAGGGAATCTCCATCACAAATGCTTATCATTTTGATCATTATGAGGCTTTCTTATCGGCCCATTCTATTATCAGAGCTTACCCCAGACAAATCATTGCTTTATGGTGTCAAGTGACCAAGTTTTTGTGTTCTGTTGGAGGAACACCTACTGCCGCAGGCATCCCTTATGTATCTATGTTGCCTCTTGTTTTCTCGCACTCCCCTTCTTTCCTTCCCAATGCTTGATCGTTTCGTAGAAGGTTTTTATAGTGATTCTGTATCTTCCTGACTGAGCGTAACAATAACGGGGTGAGTGTTAGTTAATTGAATGACCTTTCCGTGATCCTCAGCGGCCCTCCTTCATCTGCAAGTATTCGCTCCAATTCATACCCAACCGCCAGACTGTTACCTAGCTCCTCAGCTTCACGGAACCCAGGCGCATATTGATCAAGTCCATCGCATAGGTCGCGTCTCGCCCGTTCATGACCATTCTCCCCAGAATATGTCCCCACACCATACACATCCGCGAAAGGACGTAGCATATTCACCCTGAAAAGCCTTCAGCATTATCATCTATATTAACAGAAACTTAGAGCACTTACGGGTCATCCTCCAGAATCATTTCTAGGTCATCATACCCCTCTCCCTCTCTCTCTCCCATATGAATCATAGCGATCTCTAATGGGTCCTGATTCAAATGTACCCCGCGAAATAAGTCGGGAAAATCGTCGGTAAGCATCTGGCTCCGGTAAGCTCGCTGCCTAGTGCCGTTCGTCGCGAATTGCACCCAGAGAGCCAGTCCAGTTTCAAGAGTGCGGTCATCAATAATTAGTTTTGGACCATCGTCTGAGAACAAGACGGTCCCATCCTGCGCCATGTGCATATCCAGGAAATCTGGTCTGGCGACACTTTGGCGGAACTTGAAGGTCTCCAAGATATCCCCTTGGTTATCTTCAAAAGGCGTCAATAACGACATATTTTGTGCTAGATGCTCGTAACCGCCATCCCATCCGAATAATGCAAGAATACACTTCGCAAGTAGAGCTTACTTCTCAGGAGTCCACTCGGAGATACAGATATAAACATCATCACACCTGGAGTCTATGCCATAGAGACAACGTTCCTAATCTAGGGTCAATGAGGCTTTGTAGCTTAATAAAGAGGACTATGCATACGTCCTCAGGGTCCTCGAAAGCAGGCTCACCCTCAGGCGCTCGGAACCCATAGCTCTATCTGAGTGTTAGATTGATGATAAGGCTAAGTTTCTTACGATATTTGTAAAAGATTCTCAATTTGTGAGTATAAAGCTTACATCGCGCAATTCTTGGTCAGCGGTTGCCCACCTTTCGATCAGAGCTCGTCTCTGTTGGTCCGTGGCGACGCTGTCAGTCCACCGCTCGCGAACAAAATACCTCCAAGCCCGAGTCGCGGATTTCACATCGTCCTCAGCCTGTTCGTGGCGGTTAATATAGGAGGGAATACCACCAGGCCATTGGTTGAGACACTTTGTCAATAGCATGCCGGGTCATTAGCGCTTGGAAAAATAGTGTAAGGGAGCAGGTCATAGGAGGGGCAGACGGGTTATATTTGTTAGCAGAATTATGGTCACCTAACTCGGATCAGGGGTATAGGTGGGTCTTCAACCTTGTCTTCCAACTTCTAGGAAGTGGGACCCGCATGCGGCGACCAGTGGTTGTACCGTTGAAATGGTACATATAATCCATGCAAAAACACTACCGCTTCAAAGTCCGCCTTCGAGTGTTTCACTCTTGCCTCCAGGCCATCGGTTTCATTGACGTAACGAAAATGGTAGAATCACTCATCAAGTGATCCAGCTGCCAAAGATCGTTTATCAAGACTATGAAGCGGAACATATTTATAATCTACCTTTTTAAGTAGCCTCGGTGGAAATGATTGATGTTTCCATACAAACAAGTTGATTTTGAAATAGTTACAGGCTCGGCATTTAAAAAGCGAGTATTTCAATAAGAAGAAATGTAAAATACAATTGAGAAGCAGATCCAACCTATTTCATGATCGCCTTGATGAGCTTTCCCAGGCTATTCTTAGCATGCGACAAGATCAGACTTGCTAGTTCCTTATGCATAACAGGCTTTTCCTCCTCTTCACGGCCGTCATACGTATCTTCAAGTTGAGACGCGGCCGAGGCGATCTCATTGTAAGCTTTGCGGTCTGGCCCATATTCCCCAAGACAGACAATGAAACTGCCGAACTTCAGAAGCATACTGTTCAAGATCAGACGGCACATACGGCCATTTCCATCGAGGAATGGATGGATGTTGACGAAAATATGTGTGTACTTGGCTGCAAGCATGATAGGGTCGAGAACGCCAGACTTTGCGGCTTGTTGGAGGTCGGATTGAAGCTCGTAAATCATTTGTTGCATCTTGGAAGGAACGAGAACAGGATAGGTAAATGTATGGAGGCCTGCGCTAACATCCACGCAACGATAGATACCACTGTATTGTGTCCAAGGGGCGCTTTCAGCATCGACTTTATAAGTCAAGATACGATGCGTTTCCAGAATAATCTCCTCAGACAAGTCCCGGTCATGTAGGCAGAGCTCTGTGATCATGTACGCAGCTGCTTTGGCGTGCTGAACAATTTCACGGCGACTGCGCAGGACAGCGGCGGTACTCGTGGAAAGCTTGTCGCGCATGCGTTCCTCCTTGATGCGCATGTACTCCTCATCCCGCTTTCCAATGTCCTCAGGAACCTGCTCGCCTTGAAAGATCCTCATGCACAGCTTCCAGGTGATTTCAAGTCCCGCACCGGCATGTTCAATCATGTTTGAGCCGTAGACCATGTGAACCAGGCATTCCAAGATGTGGTTCTCGAACGCAGCTTCTTGTTCAGGATCGAGGCGTGCTTGGAGAATATCTTGGAGTTGATTTCCAAGCTTAACCATCTCAGGGAAAACCAAGTCAGGGTCGAAGTCCTCGTGTGCGATCTTGTAGTCGTAGAATTCATCCTGGGTAATTGTGAACTTGGTCTCTATGCCGCGCACGGAGCGAGACACGGTTCCATGGCCGAGACGGAGGGTAGACTTCATCATTTTGCGAAGAGACTTCCCAAGGTGAATTGTTGGAGAGGTCCCAGGATTTGATAGGCTTGGTGTAACCTCAAGGCCTTCGAAAGCGTTCTCGAGGCTAGGGCGTTTCGCCTTATGGCGCTTGGTTGGTGATGCCATGGCGAATTCCGATGAGTGGTGGAGGAGAGGAGGTGATGGCGGGAGAAATTTTAGAAGGCAGAGGGGAGAACGAGCTGTGGTGATGATTTATGAAAGGGTGGATAGCGGAGGTAGGTGAGCGTGATGATGAGTGAAGGTAGTGATGGTAGGAGTTGATAGTGGTGATCAGGATCAGCTTGAGTCAAGGGTAGAAAACACGAGAGGAAGGTAGAAGTGGTAAGAAAGTAGGTAGGAGATGGGAACGTGGAATGGATAAGATGGAGGAGAAAGAAAGAGGAAGGAACTCTTAAAAGTAGAGATGTAGGTAGAAAAAAGAAAGTTAAGAGGGAAGAACACTGACTCAATAAGGGATCTAGTTTTGTATATTGAGGATAATAGGCTTAGTAGTATCCCGTTACGGTAACTACTTAGCCTTTTACGGTTATTGGAAGGCAGTAATGACGAATTTTAGGATCGTATTAGTCTTTCACAGTCTTCATCATAGAACCGCAGCATCAAAACATGAAGACCTCCTCATCCATGGTAAGAAATCTTCCGTAATAGGCTTAGTTCATGTCCATCACAATCAACTAGTACTAGGACACCATAGAATCAGGAAGCCGAGGAAAGGAATATTCCTGGCTGTGGGGACTTCAAGGGCCATATGGCTGTTCTAGCCACCAGAGATAATTTCTCAAAGTACAGTTGTGATGATCATGATATCGCCATTCGCGAGGTCTTAGTCGCCCAAGCTGGCTCACAGTAGTCGAATGGGGTTTTCTCATATCCAAGTTGATCTATTTATGTAAACTTCAATAGGAACCTAGCAGAGTTCGATCCACTAGCTTTCGTTCTATTTCTTCCTATGCGATGACTGGAGTTAACACGGATTATATCATTGTATACCCGGGAGGTTTCTCAATTATGATTAGGCTGGGGCTACATGCACTCCACGCTTTACCACTTTCGGATTAGCTTATTTTAGGGTACCTCAAGTACAAGGATAAATGTAAAGCTTGAAGTGCGAGATATCTTAGTTTGAGGTTAATGTGTTTCTTTCCCTGCCTTAACTATCTCGTGCATCGACCTGTCTGCGTCGACTGGACTGCCTTGAGCGCTCCCACCTGACTAGCTAGGTAGGTTAGCTACCAGGTATGCCACGTCACCATCAGTCAAAAGACCTAAGAATTCTTGCGTGAAAGACGTCCAACAATACACACCCACTAAATGGTAAAATCCGGAAATAAGGTGGTTTTGCTTCTAAATTGTGCCCTACTTTCCTTTCATTGGTATACCTCTGATATTGGGAATCGGGAGGTTTTCGCTATTCCTGAATCAACTTGTTTACATGGCAAAATCAATCTCGCTTCCAAAGCGTGTGTTCTTAAGAACATAGATTGTAGATGGATGAATTCAGATTCATCGTACTCAAAAACGATCTTTGACAGCTAAATCATTTTATAGACGATTCTAACCCAGACTGCACCACGAAAACCCTCAAGTACTTTCTTCTCTGCCCCCGCCCCCCGGGGTCCAGCCAGCCAGTGCCCAAAATTCAAGTCTAAACAACATACAACAAACCCCTGGACTGCAGCCACCAGGGCCACAACAAACCCAGTCCAGTCCAGACCAGCCATCAACCAGAAAAGCTACCCTCAAAACAAAAGACCAAAATTTCTTAATACGTCAATGCAAAAAAACGGAGCCCCAAGTCCAAAAGCACAGGCTAAATATACATTCATATTGTAGGCACACTTACGTGCTCATGCAACAGGAAAAAGAGGAGTAAATGACGGGCCAAGGTATCTGTGTTATCCGTCTACTCTCCCTCCAATTCCCAAGGTATCAAAACCGAACCAAACCAACCAAAAGCAGAAAAGAAAAGAAATATCCACCCTTCATCAGACCGCACCAGGTCCCTTGTGGTTCGACTGATCAAGCAGTAGTTTCGGCTTGATGTAATCCTCGTCGAGTTGACGGAACCACGCGGCGTGGTCGCCCGAGGCACCGCCTTGCCAGAGATCTCGCAGGGCTTCGCGGGCGCTAAGGCCTTGCGGTTGCCGGGCCGGGGAGACGCTGGCAGATATGGGGTTTGGTGAGGGTGTATGTGTGCCTACTGAAGGGTGGGAAGATTGACGGCGAAGACGCGATGCACTGCTTGCGGCGGGTGGGAGGTCGTCGTCTGAGAGACCGTCCAGATCGAGATCGAAATCGTCGGGGTGGGCGACTTGGCCTGCGCGGCTCTTGCCTGTGGGTGGGAGGCCAAATTCGTCGTCGCTGCCGCCGCTGCTGATGCTTCGGCTGCTTGGGCCTGGGCCGCCGTTGAGGAGGATTGCGGTTGATGAGCGATCGCGTCGGGATTGGGCGTCCTTGGGGCTGTAGGCTGCTGAGTACATTCGGGTATGGCCGTGTGGTGGGCTGGGCCGACGGTTGCTGCCGGTTGAGTAGCTGTCTGCTCGATCGATGCCACCGCGCGTTGGTTGGTTGACTCCGTCGAGAGGGATGCCGGACTCGGTACGCCGGGGCGTGTAGCCAAGTGCAGTATCGGAGCGCTTGTAGTATGTACCACCGTGAGTGACTTCAATGTCGAACTCGTCGTCGGAATCAATCTCCTCGACGACTCCGGTTCGAATACCCAAAATCTCCAACATGCGCGCCGTGGTGCCTCCGAAGATAATCACGGTCAACACGACAACCACTAGAACTGTGGCTCGCAGAGTAGGGGCGTTAACGCCGGAAAGGCCGGCTGCCAGTGCAACACCGACAGCACCACGCAGACCGGCCCAGAAAAGCATCGCTTGATAGGCGAATGGCAACTCATCGGCGACTTCGATACCACGGCGCCGAGCTCGGTAGCGAATGAACCAATTGATGGCCTTTGACAGAGGGAACACAGCAAGGTAGCGGGCAAGACAAATGCCAAAAACTGACACTAGAATGAATAGCGGGTTGAAATGCAGGTTCGACTCGACAAACAGATCCAGTCCAAGATAGATGAAGATAAAATTCTCCGATAGCTGCGCCATCACCTGGAACAGGTATTTCGTGGTCAACTGTGTTCGGCGAGACATGTTATAGTAGGCGTAATGCTTCAATGTGATACCACAGAACAAGAGCGACACAATTCCTGTGTGAGAATAGGTTAGCTCTGGGGCTTACATCGCTTCGAAAACACGGATGAACGTAGCCATCAGTAGTAAACTTACCAGACAAATGCACGCCATTAGAAAAGAAGTAGCTGGCGTAAGCAATCAGGACGATCAGACAACTCTCGATCTTCGGCATCCGCCGGACCAAAGTGTACTTGAGTCCCAGCGCCGTAGCGATACCAACAATAATACCAACCAGCATACTACCAAAGAACACAAGCAAGAAGAGCCCACCAGCCTCAAACAGGTTCAAAAAGGTCAGAGAGCCAGCATCGGTTTCCGCGTACTTCTGCGCAGTCTCGAAAAGCACAATAGCAATAGCATCGTTCAAAAGCGCCTCACCAAAAATCACCGTGTAAAGCTTCGGCTCGACCTTGTACAGATTGAAGATAGCAAGAATGGTCACAGGATCGGTAGCTGATAGTGTCGCGCCCACAGAAATCGCCTCGACAAAGGAGATGTTGAGCCCGTCCAGCGGGATCCGTGTCCAGAGGTACAATACCAGGCCGAGAACGATGGCGGAGATAAAAGTGCCGGCGAAGGCAAAGGTAAGGATTGTACCGATATGCCGGAAGAAATTCGCTTGATGGAGCTCGTATCCGGAAGCGAGGATAATCGGGGGGAGGAGGAGGTTAAAGAAGAATTGGTAGTCGAAGGCGACGCTGTCCTGAAGGTTGGACTTGGACGACAGGCGAATGATGAGCCCAACAAACATTCCTATCACGCTGTCAGCAAAACTGGTTTGGCAATTCCTGCGGTCTCGTTACCGCAGGTTCAAACGAATCCTTCGCTTCTTTTTCAAGTCGACATACCCGCAAAAATCGATAATACTGTTTCGTGGACAGCTTGAATCTTCCTTTGCTGAAGGATGTAACTCGTGAACAGGGCGAACATCAACAACATAATCATAATAAACAGCGCCCAGGAGCTAGTAATCTCCTTGGATCCTGCTTCAGGAGAATCTATATTCCAAGACTCATAGTCAGACCATCGTATTCCATGTGTATACTTATCGGCATCAATCGAGGGAGAGGAGCTCGGGAGCTTGGGCTTGCTTGCGTACCATCGGGATCTGTGTCTTCCGCCGCTCGCCCTGCGATAACAATCAAAGGTTAGCTGTAAATCCAGCGGAGACGAGGCAAGCGAAAAGACCGAAGCTGTTAGGGCCACATACGAAGCAGGGCGTGGACGGCCTCGCCCATTAGTTGAGTAGCCATTGCGACTCGATCATGAACCTCCGAGGGTCCGGCGCGGATGACACTTGGCAGTAAGAAACTCCCGCGCGGCGAGTCAGAGAGGGCGAGACTAGGCGCGCATACTCTGCAGGCCAGAAGGTGCAGGATAAAGGAATGAGCGGGAGGTGGCGAGATGAGATACAAGTAGGTCACCAGAATTCAAGGTGGCCAGGCTTGGAGTTCAGAGTTGAGTTGCATCCGCCGAGCGGAGGGACTGATTGGTGGAAGGGTATGGTATTAGAAGTACAGTACCAAATACCAGGACAGGGGTTGTGCCACCAACCTTATGGATGACTGTGTTCCACCGCTGTTATTGTACTGTAATGTTCCTGTTTTACACGAAATCTGACACGTGGGCCTCTTTCAAAGTACCGCGTAATTTGCCAAGAAACGGCCACCGCGGGTAAATGGGACGAATGGGGTATGTCTCACTACCTCGATATCAACAAATAATCAGGGGTAAGAACTTCTATTTGAGACTCTATTATTAAAAACTTCATAAGTGCTAATCCAACACTCAGATAAAACAAATGACTATGTCGTGTCATATCATATCATAGCATATCATGTCACTGCCCCCTACATTCGGACGATGACTGCATCGTCCAGGGCTGACCCGCTTCCCTCCGTGGGCTACATCATCGGCATGCCCTTGCAGGATGGCATTCACAAAGGGTGAGATTGTGTTTACATATCTCCAGAATCACCCTGTCTTGCAAATGGGAAACTTGAACCATGAGTTCCTCGGTTTCATCGCGAGCCCTCAGCCAACCTCTTCGTAAGCAACGCCGCAACCAGTGCAGCACATCCACCGAATCGAAGCACCCATCCCACACTATCATCCCACGGCTCACCGCGCGGCTTCTGAGCAGCCTTGAAGATAGCGCTGCAGATCAAGCTAGAAAAGATCTGAGGGAATGAAACGGCGACATTGTGTAGACCCAACACAATACCCGCCTGTGCAAGGTTCTCTTCCTCACTGACGGGAAGTGGCTTCGGGGCACCATTCTCCACATCATGCTCGTGGGCATCATCGTCATCGGCGTCTTCAGGATCATCCTCGCTAGACACAGGTGCATAAGAGCCGGAGGTAGTATTCTGTGCCCTCCCGGACTCCGTCGCGGGCCCGGATCCTCCTGTTTCGTGACGATGTGAGCGCCGTGTGACATCGGCGCGGGCAACCTCGGCGGAGATTAGGGCAAATGGTGCCCACAGAGTCAAGGCCCAGCAGATACCGACAAAGCCGATGACTACCGAGCCGGCTGGGACAGACGAAATGAAAAATGTGCTGAACATGCATACTGCAAATAGTAGATGAGACAAGAGCCATGTCCGGCGGAGTGTCAATCCGGGGATCTGCAGACGAGAAAGCCACGTTGGCTTCTCCTCGACGACCTTGTGAGGCGTTCCGTCGAGCAGTGGTTCATATGATTGACCCGTTTCACCTCCATCCTCATCCTCGGGATGCACGATTCGTTCATGATGAGCGGTAGTCTCAGAGACTTGGCCGGATGTGGGGATCACGAAGATCGGGAGGACAATATTGGCCACAAAGGAGATAATGGCATAAGCCAGCAACGCCGAAGTTCCAACCCGAGTAGCATCTTCCCACGTCTGATCAATCTGATCATCCGACATATTGGGATGATCCTCAAATATAGGGTTGACATAAAGCTGACCAACATAAGTAGTCGCATAGTATAAGAATGGGAACCATCCTGCCCACGCGGCGAGCTGTACCTCACAGACCCGGGCGATCTGCGGGGGCAGATGGCGAATAGATTTAAAAACCTGGCGGAAGAAAGAGACAAGACCCAGACCATCGGAAGGTGGTGGCCCATCCAGTCTCGGATCACGCTCCTTAATGTAGAGACAAGTGGCGAGCAGTGTGACGCTGAGGGATATAGCAGCCAGAGCGCAGAGAACTTGGAACTGGGTCTTTCCAAGGAATGGCAGAATCTTCGGTAGATCGAGATATCCGCAGATGAAGCCAAAGATATTGCCAACGCCTGTCACCCGACTGGCCCATGCATTAGCAACCTCCTGCTGGTGGGCGGGACAGTTATCGACAATAAATGCTCGAATGGCCGCTTGGACTGTGCGGACTCTCATTAGCTCGGATACACACAGCACAAGGATTCTAGACATACCAGTATTGATCGCAAAATCAAGACAATACATCAAAAGCGTAGCAACAACGATATTCGTAATCTTTGCTCCGCCAGACTGTCGATCCACACCAAATATCGACAAAATCCCACCCATAATCTCCTGAACCCATGACAATGCAAGTAAAGAGATGATAAGTGCCACAGCACCCCATAACATGAATGGCTTCCTTTTACCCCATGGATGCCGGCAATTATCGCTTCGAATGCCGATATACGGTTGCACCAGGGTACCAGTCACAGGGCCCGCTATCCATACAAAAGCAAGGAGAGCTTTGCTCATCCCAAGTGAGAGCAGGAATGGCTATCGAGTGATCAGTAACACATCCATTCAATCGAGGTGTTTACGCGCCATAAACCCGAGAAGATATAATCATCGAGGGACGTGAAATGAACTTACCGACCCATTAGACAATTCCACTGACCAAACAACCTGCAACCTATTCCACGCCATAATCAGAATCCAGAACTCTACCATTTGAAAATCCCCCTATCCAACCAGCCATAAAAGACAAAAAAAACTCACCCTCCAATAGAAATAGTCAACAAAAACAAATACCACCCACTCTTGGACGAATCATCCAAATCCTTCCCTTCAACCTGGCCCCCGACAAACCCACCATCGGAGTCATTTTCACGCCGTGACTCCATAAGGGGTGAATGTTCGTGGACAGCTTGCTCAGTGGTTGAGTGTACCATGGACGTGATTTGTGATTTGGCGATGGCCTGTCCGATAAGAGTTGACCCACTGTTATACCCCACGATCGTTTCACGGGGCACGGAGATACAGCATATGAGCTATCTGAAGGCGAGAATGGTATAGAGGTATTCGGATGAGGGCGTCCGGATTTTGATGGGGGTGCGTCGCTGGTTTATCTCGGGTCAACGAGTCATTAGTGGTCAATTGCGCTCTGAGCCATTGAGTACTGGGGGCCGCAAGTGGATAGGAGTAGTCGAACGGTTTGGTAGTTGCTTAGGCTCGCGTGGGTTCAGGGGAAGTTCTCAACTACGCCGACTTGTTTTCTGTGTCGAATGGATTATTGAGATCAGCGAATAAGCTCGTTGTGAGGCTTTGGGGGACTGAAGACGTCTATCTACGGTCGAAGCTCAGCGGCGCATTTGCGAAGACGTCAGCGCACGTGATATTCAAATGTCTTGGCTCTGCAGCCGAATGAGGAACCTCGTGAAGATATGAAATCGCCTATTTACAGACGAACAGTAAATTAGTCAGTCTCCTAACAATTGAGCATAGCGACAATTAAACAGGAATAGAAACCAGTTGATAATTTGTCCTTTTGCCAAATTTTGTATTCAAGTCAATTCGTTAAAGTCTATAGTATAAACCAGCCGCAACAAAGACGGCACTGATCCAAAACCACAAGCACAATCACAATTACACACAATAGAGACAAGAAAAAAGATTCCCACTTTCCATAGAAGATACCCGATATTCCAGAAAAGCCATACCAAAATGTCCCCTAAATCCTCCAAATGTCCCCTCGAGAAACGTTGCACGGCCCAAGTTGCCCGTGCCCGTACCGGCCAGGCCAGGTTCCAATGTTCTGTGCCGCGGGTGAAGCACAAGGCGATAATACAAGAGCAGTAAGTTCCAAAACCAGAGTCCAACACAGTCAGCCATAAGTTCCAACACAGATAAATAATGTAGAGAAGCAACAAAGAAAATCCAACAAGCATGCCATGCAGACGGAATAAGTAGATGGAGATATGTGTCGAACAACATCGCCAGCGACAGACCCAACGAGAATGAATGAAAGATGATTAGATGCAATAACCTTGGTGGGGTAAGTCGTGGTGCTGAAAAGAGTGAACATGAGAAATTAAACACCAGGGCCAGGACGCCTAGATGCGTCTGCAGACCCGGTCGACAAGGTCACACCAAGGATATTCAAGCCCTGACCGCAGTTTACATTTGCTGCTGCAGAAGCTGCGGGGCAATCATCTGATGCGACGCAGGGACCATAGTGGCCATTGCCGAGGGCATACTCATGGATGTCGCCATCGAGGTCATCGGGGGCATCTGGACCATAGTGTGCGGGACGTGGTGTGCAGGCGGCGACGAGTCCTCACCAGCGGATTCAAACTCATTAGCATCATTCTCCAGGTCATCATCATTGGCAATAGGTCCTTGACCGTCTTGTTGGGCCTCGTGGATGCGACGGTGCCTGGAAGCGAAATTAGTATGAGGTCGTCAGAGCAGTCATGCAAGGTCAGCTTACTGTGCGAGGTTATCGGATCGAGAAAAGGCTTTGCTGCAGTATGGACAGGGGTAAGGTCGCTCTTGCGTGTGGGTACGCACATGCCTAAGCGCCCAAGTTAGTCGGCGGCTATCGAAACCATCACACCGGGTCATTGTGCGGTTCAGCCCCATCCGAAACGGCAGGGCGTGCAAAAATAGAAATGAAGCTTACCTCTTGAGGTGCTCTAATCTCTTGAAGAGTCGTCCACAGGACGGGATTGGGCACGAGTGAGATTTCTGGGGATACGGTCCAAGCTCCATCATGGTGGCACTCCGGGCGCGACGTGCAGGACCAGGGCCCGCACGGTCCGACCGGCCAGTGCTGTTCTGAACCGTTGTTTCAATAGCTGCACTAGTGGGGAGCGCTGTCAGGTCATCTGGAGGGTTGCTCATTGGCACTGCGTGCTGATCAACGGACTCCTCCAAGTGCTGAAGCGGGGTTCCATGACGTGAGATTTCCTGCAACAGGTCCTTCTGGGGGAGCATGGCGCTTGGGTATGTCCGAGCTAGATCATGCCCAGACTCCTCACCCTCCGCAACAGGGGCCACCGAGCTAGACACGGAGCGTCGAAGATCGCTCGGGCGGTGAGCAGCATAAGGTGGAGGTTGAGAGGAGGGCGCACCGTGGGACCCATTGGTGGCACCGGGGGTACCAGCCGGTCCCGGGGTGATCGAGGGTCGCCGCCTCCGCTGCTTGTAAGTGGGAGAGCCCTCGATGACGGAGTAGGCATTGGACGAAAAGGATCGAGAGGCACTAGGGTAGTGACCAGCAGCAGCAAAGTTGGATGGTGGAAGCTGCATCATGGGATTGTATGGCGCCGCGTGGGAAAGATCCGGAATCGCAGTGTAGAGACCCGTATCCTCGTTGGCGATATACGCAGGTTCAGCGCCGAGTCCGACCGAATGTTGCGGTGGAGTCACCGGTTCAAAGGACAGACCGCGATTACTGTAATCCTCGTACTGAGAAGAAACGAAAGACGGGGCGGGCGAGTACTCGTAGAAGGTCGGCATGGACGAATGGCGCTGGTGGATGCGGGCGAGGGGCATTCCATTGCGATCATACTGGATCTGCCCGTAGTCCTGCTCGCGCTTAATGATGCTCTGGACTAGATTGTTCGAAAGAGGCATCTGAGGATTGCCGTACATCGTCGGGTTGCCATGGTCGTCCTGCATGAGCGGGATCGCTGGGGGAGCCATCTGGGGAGGAGGCATTGCGTCAACGGTCCGAACCACGGGGGAACTGGGCTGGCCATATGTCGTACTTGCGTGGGCGTGGGCAGCAGCAGCAAACGAGGAGGTGTTCGCTTGTTGCGCCTTGGTCAACTGCTCATACAACGACTGGGACGAATCAAATTCGAACGACAAGGCCGGCTCACTGACGGCAACCGTAGTGGCCTCCTGGTTCATCTTCTCGCGCTTGAGGTCTCGCTCAAGCGCATCCAAGAACAGCCGGTCATGAGGAACGCTGTACCAGTAGAAAACCTTCTGCTTCTTCTGGGTACGGATACAGTTGTTCTTGTACAGGAAGTCCAAGAACGCACTCTTGGGCTCCTCCAGGGTCGCATCGGTCCCGGCCTTGAGATTTCGCAGGTCGGAGAAAATTCCCTCCTCGAATTTCTTGGAGTTCTTAACAGGGCGACCAAAGGCTTGGAATCGGAAGGCGAGGCATCGCACGATATCGGTTCCGGAAATGTGGAAGAGGTTGCTCCTAGAAGGGCATGTTTGTTAGTGGTCGAGTCGCGCGCGGGGGCCTTGGTGTCGTAGGCACTTCGCACTAACCAGAGAACGCAAGACACATAGTCGCCGGTCGGCAGGAGGAAGCGACGAATCAACTGGTCGGGCTGCCAGTCAACGGGAGCCGAGAGGAGGAAGTATTTCACTGAGTTCTGGTCAGCATGACTGGCCATGCATTGCAAATCCCCGATTCCAACAACATACGATTATCGACTTGCTGCAGGGCGACTTGCGCATCGTGCGGGAGGCTTTGTTGGGCTTCAGTTGATAGCATAAACGTCTCTGGCTTCTGGGGAGGTGCCATTGGGGCACCTGGTTGGGGATACATGGTTCCACGCGCGCTGCAAGAAACCATCAGCGCCGACCGGGAAGGAGCAGGTATAGATAAAGGGTTGTCGCGAACAAAGAACAGCGCCAGCCGGGGGGACTAGACCGCAATGCTGACGACCTTTATTCTCTGTTTGAGACTATGACCCCATTTCAAAGACTCACCGTTAGAAATGATTCGACAGGGCGGGTCGGATCAACAAGGCGCGACGGGGGGATGATCAACGTCGCAAGGCGATCACCGGATAAAAGGTGTTATTGTGATGCTGTGATAGCAAATTTCGAGACTGTGTATATATATCGATATACAGATAGACGAGGATCTTTTCACACGGCCGATGGCAACAAGCGAACATACGCGATTACCGGGGGTCGAAGTGGTGGTGATTAAGAGGAACCGGCCTCTTGTTCTTTTGAGACTTGTCGGGGGATTGACAAAGAGAAAGACAACAAGAAAGAGAGATGACAGAGAATGAACTGGACCAGCCGGTAATAGACTCTGTAGAATTCCTCGCGCAGCGGAAGAAAAGAAACGAAGGTGAAGGTGAAAGTGAAGGGTGAGAGAGGATCGACTAAGGATGGGAGAGGGGGATGGAGAGGAGAAGAGGAAGAAGGGGGAGAGATACACAACGTCAGTGACGACTGGAGTACGGGCGTTACTACTGACTACTAATAATAATCGGGAGGTACGGGAAGAGGACTGGAAGACCAGAACAATAATAAAATGCCAAAAAGTATCGAAGCCGCTGGACAACTGGGAAAGGCGGAAAAGACTGGGAAGCGCCCAGAAACCCTGGTGGATAAACTGGTTATGACAGGTATGGTAAGACAGCGAGGCTGTAATTTATGTAATTTATGTTACTTTAGATGTAAATCCCTATAAAAGTTCCAAATTTACCGCGTACTGTATGGTTAATCATACCTCCAATACATGTGACCCAGTCCAGTCCCACTTCCCTGTTGCCAGTGGAATTCTCAAGGCCCCAGTGATCAGTTGCGATTTGTCGATTTGTACTCTTAACTCACCTCCCAAATAGTCGAGTCTTCGACCGTTTGGGAAGACAAACAAAGAGAAGTCAACAATGCGATGCTATTTTTGCGTCTTCCCCTCCCCTTTCTTCTCTTTCTTTCTTTCCTGATTTCCCCGTCCACTGACCACCGTGCCTTGCAGACTTCGACCGATCGGCACTTCAACGGTGATTCGACACATCCCTTGTCCGCTGGGTGACTGGACTGCAGAATGTCTGTGCATCCTGTACTCCGTCCAAGGCCAAGGGATCATATTCTGCTATGGGAGGCCCTTCGCGACAGGGGATCGAGGTAGGCTCCAGCCAACAAGAATCCACCAGTGGACCCCCAATCCGGCCATGCCAAGCCCTGCGAGCGAGGTCAAACTAGCGCTGGGACCTGACTGGAGAATCTGAAGCACCCGCTCTCGGGTTGTTTCAGAGTCAGTGGGCGCTTACATGCAGCCACTGAAACGAATCCTCCCCCTCTCCTCCTCGTCGTAGTGTCCCACTCTTCCCAAGAGCCCTTGTCCAAGACCGGGTCTCTCTCCCGGTATACTTTCGAGTCTCCAGTCGACTCTCCCCATTTCTGCTATTGCTCCGATCTCTTTGAGCCCCCGTGAACAAACGGCTGTGGCTGGAATTGATCCCTTTCCGGGCCTGCCGACCGCAGTCCTGGTTTTGCGCACGACACATCAGAACCGACAAGTCCAAAATAGAGAGGTTGAAAGATCGGCCGGAACGAATCATGCATGTCGACTTGTCAAGATGTTGAATAAGGGTCAATGACATGACATGGCATGAGCTCGGTCAACTGACTCCTCCTTTTCTTTAGTGTGGTCTACGTTTTCCCCCTGCGTCGCACTCCTCGACTTTGGCAACCAATGACCCATGCTCTATACTGCCATGTTGTTATACAGATACTCCGTAGTAACTCCCGTAGCCTATACGGCGCGGCGGGCCCCGAGATTCCCCCGTTGAGAACTGTACCTGACTGAGTCCATCACCTTGCCGTCTGGAGTGCATGCATTAGGGCTCCGGGTCAATTTCCAGCCCTCTTCTGACTTGTCGAATTCTCACTATCCATTTCGCCACGGGCTCTACCCATGGATACCATTGCCGGGTACCTGACCCATGTTTTAATTGTCGATGTCATATATAAAATAAGATCAACACATTCTAGACCAGTGGCCCTACTGCCTAGCCATTCTCCGACATCCAGTCCTCGGGCGCGCAAAGCCCGGCCATATCTCATAATCGCGAGGCTGAAAACAAGTCCAAAATCAAAAGCTTGGCACTGCCCCTGGACACGAGCCATGACCCGTCCCATGGTCCAAACAAAATGCACATGGGAGAAAAAAGCACATGGCGACCCATCAACCTATCGGAGAAAATCTGCGGGTAGGGCCCAGTGTACCCATAGTTTGGTTATCGCTTTTTGCTAACCATTTAGGCCAACTAATAACAAAGACATCAAAACAACCCAAAAAGAAGTCCTGCGCCCGCCAGCCCAAGCAATGAGTCTCTGGAACTTTTTTTAGGTATCTCTGATATGATCTCCCTGCCCACAACCCAGATCTTGATGCCGTGAAACCCGCTGTTTAAAGTTGTCGGTTGTAACATCATGTCTTACCCTCGAACATGCGGGCAAGATCCGGTCTTCGTCTGTCGTGATGGTCTGTGGAGAAGAAGAAGAAGAAGGTCGAACGAGCATCTAGCCAAAAAGATGTCTTACTTTTAGCTCATCTACGATATCAACTCGCAATCTAGTGTACAAGTAGCACACACTATTACCGGATAAAGAAAGAGTCACCAGGGAGGCTGGAAGTCAAGGAGGGGGTTCCTCTTAGCTCGATGGGACTATGTGAACCTGCCCATCCCTATACGGCGAAGTAAGTCCAGAAGGAAGGAGCATGTACCGGGCTCAACGATAGGCTCTTCATGGTGGTTTCAACTTCTGCGGCCTTCGGGGATTTTTCCCCTGGACTAGCCCTGAATCACTCTCGGGCGGGTGCACCGCACAGGGCACATGGCGAGGCGTGTCCGTTTGATCGTCCAGCTTGAAACGATCTAGAAGGTCTAGTATTCTAGTCTCGTTGGTGGCCGTGGAGTCTGGAAATTTTTCGTATCAAATCCCGTGGCTGGGAAAAGAACAAGATCCATCATCCTGCAGCACACCCCAAGGGGAAACTCGAGATGACAGCATACGTAGTATGGCCTTGGTCTAGTAATAGTCCGTCAAACTCAACTTCTTGACTACAACAGATAGTTTTACTCTGCTGTGTTCATTGCATGCGAAACCCCCTGTCGGGGGACGATCCTCGACCCTCGACTCTGACTACTGCCTATACCGACCAACTCTACGACAAAGTAGCCCTTGTATAGCGAAAGTTTGATATACCGCGGCTCTGTGGAGTCCAAACTTCCGCTGGCCGACGGGTTCCGTTTGTGAAAGGGGTATGATCGCCCATCTAGATCGACAACGGGGTAGTATTCTTCAACCATCAGCATCATCGCTTGAGAAACCTTCGTGAATCACCAAGGGTTCCTTCAACCTTGTACCAAAAACATCTTCAGCAAAATCAATCATGATGCGATGCCGAGTCCGACAGTGTGGTTGATCCAGGAACGATATCCAGCTTGTGTCGACCCGCCAACTGGGGCTAGCGGATGCGAGCCCGTTCTAAGCCCTATTCTGGAAAACCTCCGACTGCCTCGTGCGTTCTCCCCTAGCGAAAAAGTATATTGATTCTTACCGAACGTCCACCACGTTCTTGCCCCTCTTTCACGAGTACGATGAGGTAAACTGTGCCGACAATAGAACAGAATATGTTTGAATTGTAACTTTCACGCGAGTGAGGTGCACGAGTCAGGCGCCCCCCGTTCGCGTGGGATGGGGGGTATCACGGTTTCGACCCGCTTGGCTTTTTTCCTTGGAAGTGCCTTTGTTTCAGGAAAGGTCTCCAATGCAACGACAAGCCTAGCACTCAGCCTAGCAATCCATACTGTACTCCGTTTATACATACTACAGTTACTCTATAGTATCCACACTTCAACCAAACCAAACTCAAATTCTTTTTTGGGAGCCTCAAATCGAGGTCTTCTTCTCGGGTGTGGCCCACTCTTCTTACGCCCGGTGACCTCGTCGGCTCGTCCTTCTACATTCTCGAATACTGTTGCAATCTATCGGATTCAAATGTGGGCATGGGGAGTCGGGATAGTGGGGGACAGGGGATACTTGAGAAACCTAGCCAGTACCGGAGAATTATTCAAAGAACCTGAAGCAGGTCAGTCGTCGTATCGCCGTACGGAGCAGTTCATTCGGCATTTCAATTAGGCGGGAATATTGTATGTAGTATTCGTATGTACAAGCCAGAGTCAAAAATAGGTACACATTAGCTAAACGGAGGAATCAAAGCTTTTCCTCCTCTTCTCCAGCATGGCTTCTTTCATGAACGGACTCCTTTCTCGGATCTGCTTTCCATAAACGACGAACAGGATGGGCGCGAATGATAACGCTAGCGAAATGAATGCAAGTAACGTGCTCGCCCACTGAAACCCGAGTGTGTTGTACATGCTCATAGCGGCCAGGGGCAAAAACGCAGAGAAGGTGTTCTCGCCGGTGACGATGATTCCGACTGCGCTCGCGGCATACTTGGCGTAGGCGTCAACGACGTAGTCTGATATTCCTGTCACGACGATCACACTACCTGCCCCCACCATGGCGAGACCGACTGCTGGTGCGATCCATGGAAAGTTGGCATACGAGGTCCACGCATATGTGAACATGCCTCCAGATATTCCGAGCACGCCACCCACAATGGCGAGGTAGAGTCGTGCCTCGGGGATGGGTGTGCCAGGGACTTCGGTGTTCCTGGCGGCAGAGTCGAAGTAGATCTTGCCTGAGAACAAGGTTCCTACCCAGCCGAGGATCTCACCGACGACGATGGCGGCTTGGATGTATCCAGCCTGGGAGGGAGTCCAGTCATACAGACCGACGAAGACCTGCTCGACGGATTGTGTGAAGAGATACAAGGTTCCCACTGTGAAAGCAGACCACATGAATGAGACGAAGACGACTGACTCGGTGAAGAACAGAAGAAGAGGCCGCGTTGCGCTCCGAGCCACGATTCTCATCATCGATGTCCCCTCGCTGTCGATTTCATGCTGGGTATATGCCAGCCTGCCCTCCTTCCGCAAAGCCTTCGCTCGTTTTCCGAGAATGGCAATCCCACGACATTCTTTGAAGAGGAAGAAATACAACGGGAAAAGAGCACAAAGCCAGATCAGCTGGAGGTAGCTGATCCATCTCCACGAGAGGAACTCAAAGATAGGTGCACCGATGACGGGTCCAATGCTCGCTCCCACCAGGTAAGTGACAATATACAGGCTGACAGGAATGTTCCGCGCCTTCTCAGTATCCCAGACATTCCCAATAACCGTGGCAGAGGTATTCGCCAGGATCGAAACACAACCACCAGCAAAGAACCTAGTCACGATCAACGTGGCAAAGTTTTGCGCAAGTGCTTGAGGAATCACAAAGCAGACAAAGGCTACATAAGCCAACAAGAAAACCCATCTCACGCCAAACTCTTCCATGAGAGGCAAGATGAGAAGGGAGAAGCAGCCGCCACCCACGGCCCAGGATGTCACTGGCCAGTACGAGTGAGGGAAGTTCTCATCTGAGATGCCAAACTCCTCGTTGATCGCGGCATGTGCCACTGTGATGATAGTACCGTTCATCATGGTAATGAACGTGGCGAATGCCGCTAGATATGTCAATGTCCATTTTTGGCGGAGCGGCCAGTTGTACGGGTTCTCGGGATCTTTCGGTCCATTCCAGGACACGATCTCGATGTTGCTGCCCGGAGCATTGTGGTCTAGTATGTGAGTCAGTGAATCTGCAACTGGCAGAAATGACAGATTACATACCGATGGCTTGATCATCGTGGCCGGAGACATCGCCACGTGCGAAGACCATGTCTCTGGGGTCTGTTAAGACTGTCGCGAACGCTCCTCGAGCCTTCCGCGGCTGTCAGCCTCACAATAAAGAAAACCGATGTTATCCAGTACCCCCGAATTTACCGAAGCGGAGAGTTACAGGAAATGACCTCACTCCTCCGGTTTCGTGAAAACCAATGATCTCAGAACCGTTATAGATCGCAAAAACGTCCACAATGAGTATCTCGCTCAAGTATCACCTCCCAAGACCGAACCGTGAGAGGAAAACTCTTAAATGTCTAGGGAAGAGACCTGAAAAAAATTTTCCTCCCCGAACATCTCATCGCAAGATCCGTGACCCCCATAGATTTTGCGGTACCAGAATCCACATCTACCTCTCCTCTCCAGATAATGACTGTTTTGGGACTAGCGCGGATGGGCCCTGGAAGAAAGCCCATCGCTGCAACGTCTGGTTCGTCGGTGGCACGGTAATTAGTCGATCATCTGGAATTATTCTTAGAAGAATTGATTTGCTAAATGATTCCGAATCCCTGCTGCACCCCGCGCTACTCCGCATTTTGGGGGTAGACCAGGGTTCAAGATTATCTTGTCCAATGCTTGATGCGCGTCATGCGGCCTACTGAATCATGCATGGCGGGGGTCCAGTAGTTGTGAAAGGTGTGTTAGTCATGCCTTTTTTGTTCTCGGCCTGGCGGTCGGAGTAAATAGTGCTTCCATCTATGACTATTTACGTATTTCTGTGACATATTCGGAATTTCAAAGTAAAACTGGCACGGTCGGAGCTGCGAAATTTGCAGCCCCGGTGCCGGCAACTGCCGATGGTGGTGGAGGTCACGTATATATATCCCGGATCGCGCACTGAGATCCTCAACCTCCCGTTGGGGTTTGAAGGATTTACCGGTTTGATCATGATGGATGTGATACAAATGGAGAAAAGGAAGGACCCTCGAGGGCGGTAAGAGTGTTGATGAAGCTAAGTTTTATCCAGAGGTCGTAGGATCTAAATAGATAGGGTTATGTGACCGCTATCTATCGAACAGGATGGAATATCTTTCACATTTGATGTTCGATGAAGCAGCGCCCATGAATCCGTCCCTCCTATTATTTAGTATCTAGCTCTATGATCTCGAGTTCAACACCAGTTCGAGCACCCAGGTCCCTGTACGCCTGCCTTATGTCAGGAGACCATTCATCAAACTCAGCAAATATCCACTCTGTGCGTAGTGTCAGTGTAATGCGTCGAAGATGTGGCGTGCATGTACTCCGATCCTCAAGCCATAATCGAAGCTTTTTTAAAATTTTATACTCGTTCCAGATCCAAAGAGGCCATTCTGGTTGCGTGCTATCATTGTCTTGTAGCTTGAGATCGTCTGTAATGGACAGAAACTCGATATTCTTCGGCATCACATGTTGCAATCGTTTGGATTTGTCTCGTTCGAACCCCATTAGGAATGCCCATGGGATCTGAAGTTTCTTAAGCATGGCCCAATTGACCATCGCATTCAATGAGCCCTTGATCTCGATGCTAGGAATCCATTGGTCGTCCCCTTTGATTTCACAGCAACCTGTGATCGTCAACTCCGTTAAAGTGCCTCTAACATGAGATATCGCAGCAGCAATCCGGTCAAGATCGAGGATGGGCAGATTTAAATCATCGTCGAGACCATGATCGTACTGCCATTTCCAATGAAGGCTTTTGAGGTTCGGAGTGACTGAGAGCAGTTCACCAAGATATATCTCTCGTATTTTGGTTAAATCGAGCGATGTGAGTTGCGATGGAGTAGGCAAATGTGCTTTAGGCCACGAAAACGTAGTGAGGTTCTCGATGGAGGCTGACATGTGTCGGATATTTGGCAGATAGAACAGTGACAAGGCTGCAATATCTTTGCTCTGTTTTTCACGCACGTAGTTCTGACCGAGATTCAGGAGGAAAGACACATCTTGAAGATGTTCAAAGCTAGGTAGCTTATAATTCATAGGCTCACAGATAGCCGAACGGAGAACCATACCGATAAGTCTATCCGGTCGGGCGACATCAGGGCCAAGGGATAGATATCTCAGATTCGGGACTTGCGCTAAAAGTAGAGCAACAAAAGCATCCATCGTAGCTAGGTGCATTTCCTGTATCCAAAGATCACTATAGGGAACTCCGGTTTCCCGGATGAATGCAATAGCGCTATACAGTTCGGCAGTGGGGGTGGAAGATCTTCGAAATGTAGGGTAAATCGAGTTGTGCTTAGAGGTCATGCGATCCAAGTGGATGCCTGTGATATAAGCAGCCAGCTGAGGCCTGCATATGAGTGTTCTTAAGAGTTGAGTGATTGGGTGAGGAGAAAGAGGTTCTCCCCAACTCCAATGAATTTTCGAGTAGAGAAATGGCTCGGCGATTGCGCGGAAAGGCTTGTTGACGAGACATAGTTTATGGAGTTCAGCAGTGGATAACAACTTGAACACCATGTACAAGATGTCAAGTGGGCATTTATCAAACACGGATGCCGCTTGATATTCCTACATGGTAAGATTAGCCATAACCCTGAAAATATCTGTTTCAGTCACATACAGGCATCGTTGACTGTGATAGCATCGTTGTAGCCTCGCTACTTCTTCATACGCCTTACGCAGATCAATGCGTTCAAGTTCCACGCCTCTTCGGATATTGGACCAGGAGACCAACTGCCACGTGGGCGGTATTGAAAAGCGAGAAAAGTGTCCCGTATTAATTGCCAACGAAAGTATTTGTAACAGTCAGGACCCTAGCTACTGTGATGATAATGCGGTGTCCTTGGCTGATGTTCGTAGAATGTTGTATCCACTGACGACCCGCCAGTTCAACGCAGCCTCATATGTGACTTTCCATAGTAGAATCGTGTTTTTCCAGCGTTTTTTTATCACCAAATGGTGGGAGAAAAGCTGTCATGTGGCTGCGAAATCCCCAGGAAAACATAACAAGAGCGCAATGGAGGCAGCCCTCACAGCCTAATTCCTCTCCTCAGGGGAAACCTCCAATGCTTGGCGCGTCATGTGTCATGTGATCGCTTAACTAGTTAACTAACTAGTGGGCTCTGAGTCAGACTGAATGGTGTCAAATCTTCCAATCTACTCAGTTTTGTTTGTTATTACAGACGAACCTCTCCTTGATCAAGCTGCAATATTTCACTTGCATTAATGATTCTTCTTTGTTTTCGCCACTTATGTATGTGCAGGTGCCTCCTACCGGCCGACCTTTGAGGATCAATACTATAAACCATTATCAAAGCCTCACGCCGTGCTCATTAAATGACTATTTTCTGACTTGATGATATGATTCTAGCTCTTGAGTGATTGCAATATGCCCACAGAAAACTTGACTGGGGTCACTCCCTCAACAAGACTACCATCAATCACAATCTCACTCTTTTCATATGGCCATGCCAACGGGCCAATTATCCAACAGCCTAGCCAATCGCGTCGTCACAAAACTTTGGCGTATAATATTCGTCACTTGCCCAATCCACCACGACACGTCCGTGTAAACTCAACTGGTCTGTCTCGGCGGCTTCAGAAAGAATTCTTGCAACATGATACCGTCGAGGCATTCTTGGTCAAGGTCAAAAGCGAGCTTGTCACTGCAATCAAAACAGAATGTGATCTACTTTTGCACTCGGCAGAGAAAGCTGAACAGGGACCCAAAGACTCTCATGAGAGTTCTCATCTCAATGAAGAGGACACGTTAGACTGCCCAGACATCGATATAGTTGTGACAATATGCTGTGAGGAGGGCCGCCATCGCAGCGTTGCGTTTGTTGAGGAACTCGCTCGAAAGCTGGCTACATTCAAGAATGGAGTCGACCCATCTCAGCCCTGGCACCTGAGTGTTAATATAACACATCGTGATGTCGGAGATCCCATAGACTTGGAGCAATCATCGGGTCAGCAGAAGCGCGCAAATAAGGCTCAAGCGAAGTCTAGACAAAAGGAACGACGTGAAAATGGGGATAAATTTAGATCGCAGCTTGGGCATTATGATGAAGAAGGCTAGTCATTAGTTCTCTGATTATTATATCATTCCTTTCATCAGTGGAGATAAACTCGGAATTAACAAGGCTGAGGGTGAAAGATTTCTATAGTTATGTTTAAAGCCCGTCATATCTCCTAATGTCATTGTAGAAATCCTCTCGTCTGAAAATGCACGTCCTGTTTCAGCTGGAACTAGAAAGAGCAAATTTATCATGAAGCAGTTCAACTATGCTTTTTTAGCAGGATAGAAACTGCATTACATTACTCCGTACATTAGGCCCCTTCAGTATACCTATATGATCAGTATTGAGAAATGGCGGAGATAAGAGACTGTATCTCCGGGCACCAATACATGAGCTAGTATAAAACGTCTATTGAATCACTACGAAAGACTGTACATTATTTTGAGAGCATGTAAAGGAAATTTATACCTATTGAAACTCGGACATTCAGAGTTAAAATCCAACTGCTTTGACGCACTTGGAATTGATTGAGACCAAAGCAGCTCACGATATGTCCTTGTCTCTTGAAGATCGGCTCAGGCTGGCAGTCATGGACGATGAGCTGGCAGAGGTAATTTGCAACTTCTATTCGAAAGTGCCTTTTCTGACATTGCAGATACCTATTAGTTCCTGAAGGCAAATCCACTGCCCCAAATAAATACAGCCGATCCCTCCAAGGCCATTGCAGGGCTGAGAATGTACATGACAAGCCAATATAAGCCGCCGAGTCACGAAACCAATGTAGTTGAACGCGACATCTACTTTGCCAACCGTGACGGGCTTCAACTACGTGCCTATGTTTTTGCACCTAAGGAGGCCCCGGCAAAACCCATGCCTCTGGTGGTTTACATCCATGGCGGAGGATGGACTATTGGATCTCCGGAAGATACAGCGACCCCGTGCCGGAGATTGGTTGAATCGCTAAGTGTAACTTGCATCGCGCCTGCGTACCGACAGGGCCCTGAAGATCCATTTCCAGCTGGCATAAACGATGCCTGGGATGGATTGAAGTGGATTGCAGCAAATGCCGAGGCCGAGTTAGGCGTATTATTGTCAAGCGGCTTCGTCGTTGGCGGCTCTTCTGCAGGTGGCAATATGTCCGCAGTCCTTACCCATCTTGCCCGCGACGAAGGCCTGTCTCCAAAGATAACGGGCACATTTCTACTGGCCCCAATGATTTTACCCCCAGGGACAAAGGTGGCGTTACCTGACCAATTCAAAGACATTTACCTATCTCGCACTCAAGAGGCTTGTAAGGACGACCCAGTTCTTTCGCCAGCCCTTGAAAAGATTTTCAACGTTTCGGCAAAGGGTGACGAACAATCTCCAATGTTCGTGCCGTACATCTGGCCGACTGGACACCAAGGACTGCCAAAAACATACTTCCAAGTCTGTGGAATGGATATCCTTCGCGATGAGGATTTCATCTATGAGCAAGTCCTAGCCGAAAATGGTGTGGAGACAAAGTTCGATCTCTATCCTGGCATGCCTCATATTTTCTGGGGCACTTTCCCCACCCTCACGCAGAGTAGGAAGGCTGCTTCGGATTTCATTGATGGGATCAAATGGCTTCTTGACGGATCGACCAAGGGCTAAAGCTGTGCAATGCCTGTTGAGAATTCGATATCTCATGCGTCCAACTAGTTTTGTGAGCAGTCAATGCCAGAAATACTTTTCTGAATAGTCAGTCTTGTTCTTCCCATAGCGAAAACTGAGTCTTTCCACCATAAAAATTGCATTCTTAGCCTCTATGCAATTTTTTAGTTGTGCTATAGGCCCCGTGACGAAGTCGAGCGCAGGGCTGAATCACTGTACTAGCACTAAATAGCACCATGGTGGAGCGCGATGAAAAAGACGTTGGTCCTCGTAATCGGACTTGAGAAACACTAGATAATACGAAGCAACAATCTGTTGCAACGTGAGAACTCGTGACTAATCTACATTAGTTAGTTGGTAGCACGAAATAGTCTTTATATCATAGGTTTGCCACTGAACCTCCCCGCACTTCTATTAAACTTAAGCATACAACTTTCCCACATCTACCTTGTTGGAAACTTCATTTCAAGATTACTACTACTACTGCTACCGACTCACTAAAGTCTGATAATCGACTAATTTACTGATCATGGTCTCCACCATTGACAACAACCCTCTGGTTCCCAACTCGATGCAGACTCAAAAGTCGCTTCGCGACAATGAGCAGTCCGCCGGTCAGACTCACAGGCTCAACGATCTGCAGATGATAGTGGACAGAAATGTGGCACCGTGCGTTGATGTAATATCCTTCTTCTCTTGATGTGTGCGACTTCTTACATTGTTATCCACAGATCCCCCCAAGCGATGTGTGCCGAACTTGCCCATGCCCATGCGCTGGAGGACCTCCATAGGATTACCGAACATACGTCCGAGCCGAGTGATCCAGTGAGAGGTATGTGATTAAGAGAATCTCTCTTGGTTTTACGATTGACTAACTCATCTAACAGACAAAGATCCTTTTTTCACTGTAAACTACGCCGACCATGCCACTCAGTCTGAGCCTCGCAAGCCTGATGAGTGAATCATGGGAATGACCTTGAGCCTCACCATCACACTCGGGCAAGAGGCAGTATTTAGGGGAATATTTTATTATCTAGTGTAAAAATCAGTCCATAGTCAATCAGAACATAATGTGCAATTGCACTGCTATTGATTACATGTGTCCCATGAGGCAGACTTTTCTTAGGCATGGCCGAGTATACTGGTGATGTCACAGTGATGACCCGCCCGCTCAACCTTATTTGCCATTCGATGGAATGACATCGTCGGTAAACATAAACTGCTATGAAAGAATTGATTTCTAGGATTTAAAACACCAATCAGTGCTTGAAGGTGTCCTATAAATAATAGTCCGCTTGAATTTAAATCACGAAAATGTGACATGCGTCTCAATTCGTTCAAATCAGTATGATATATGATACATCTGAATTCTTTCTATCTATAGTAGTAAACCAATAATCTTTGTACTACTGCCCGCTTGTAGCTTCGGTTGAGTTGTACACATTCTTTCCACGATACCAAGTCTGGCAGACCTTTGCCTCGAGAAGTTTCTCTGGTGTCCAATGCGTATCGACTACCACAAAATCGGCAGATAAACCCTGTTGCAAACTCCCGGTCCAGGAATCTGCAAAGCGTGCATATGCTGCTCCAGTAGTTGCAGCAGTCGCAGCTTCAGCCAGTGTGATGCCGAAGTGAGCATTGACAGTGTCAGTACTCTCAGGCTCGAGTGCCGATCGCCTGGTAGTCGCATTATACAGATTGGGGAATGGCAAATGACGCGCAGTTGGCGCATCAGTTCCAATTGCGAGAGGCGCACCCCCATCCATGAATTCTTTGTAGGCAAAGGCGCGCTTGCATCGATCGTGCCCGATAAGACCGGGCCAGGCTTTGGATAGTGCTGGGTCGGAATGAACAGGTTGGACCGAGGCCGTGATTCCTAGTTCACCTAGCCTCTTCGCGTCCTCTGATGTTGTCATTTCTAGATGTTCGATCCTGTGTCTCCGACCGGGTGTTCCGACTTGTGAGAGAACATCGATTGCCTGGCGAACGGCGCGATCACCAATTGCATGGATCGCGCACTGCAGACCAGCTGAATCAGCTCGCTGGACAACTTCACGAAGCTGATTCTCAGGCCAAATGGGCTCGACCGGATCGGATTTTCCGGTGTATGGTTGAAGCAGGGCGGCAGTGCATCCATCAACCACGCCATCACAGATGAGCTTGATTCCAACGACACAGAAATCTGGTTCCTTGAACTCCTTTTTCAGTTCAATTGCCCGGTCAACAAAGGTGAAATTGACTTCCTGATCTTCGGTGTATGGTACGAGCCAATGGGCCCCAATATGGAACGGAATATGCTTATCGCGGCGATACTCTTTCAGAATCTCCCAAGTGCCTTCGTCCATGGCCATATCCACAACGCCGGTGTAGCCAGCAGCGGTGTAGGTCTGAACTGCTATGTCTAAAGCAGCAAGATTGTCTTCTTTGGAGTAGAGGCTTTCCACATAAGGCCAGGCCATGTTCACCACAGCAGATTCATCTAGAAGACCAGAAGCTCTTCCATTCTCATCACGATGAATGCAACCACCAGGAAGGTCGGGGGCAGTATGGGCATTCATTGCTTCAAGAGCAGCTGAATTGCACCACATGGAGTGCAGATCAAAGGCGTCGATGAAGATTGGTCGCGGGTCAAGATCATCAAGCATACTTGCAAGCGCAATGCCATTGGTAGATAATTGAATCCATCCTCGGCAAAGTATGTGCGGCACAGATGGGTTAGCCACAGCGTAGGCTTTGATTGTTGCGCGAATCTCTTCGAGGGATGTGCATTTGATGAGGTCGACCTTTTGTAGGGAATGGCCATAGTGCAAGATGTGTACATGGGCATCAATGAAGCCGGGCATCACAACGCGGTTATCCAAATCAACGACATTCGCATCAGCTGGGATTTGTGCATCGTCGAGGGAGCCAACGTAGGTGATGCGATCATCTGTGATAACCATGCCCTCGGCGAACTCATTGTCACCCTTAGTCGAGGGCACAAAGATGCGACCATTTCGGAAGACGGAAGTCATGATTGAGCAATGACGAGAATGGAGTTAATTTGATCACAGCTTGGTGCCTCCAGAAGCTATTTAATGAAAGGTGCGGGGTAATCGGGAGGTTCTCCAGAGAAGCCGAATCTCTAGGACTTGCCTTTCGCAGTTATTGAAGCCTAGAGAAGGGGGCTATGTATTGACAGGTGAAGTGGAGAATTATCGCCGTTGCACTGTGGGATAAGGGCGCTCAGGCGCAGGAATCAGATCGGCGACAGTCGGACCTGCGCTGCGGCAAGTGCCAAACGGAAAGACTTCGGGTCGACTGGCTAGAAGCAGCTAGCCGATTTTGGAGTTTCGGCGTCCGCGCAATTTGACGCAATTGGTCGGATTGTCATAAGGGTCCGATGAAAAGTGGATACTCTCGCAAGAGATAAAGCAAAAGATGGGGCAAAATAACGAAAATATAGATCAAGAAGATTCGAGATATGAGGCCAAGAATTGCCCTGAGAGGAGAGAGATTGGATTATACCTTTAGTCATTAATTTCGCATGTTATCTAAAAACATCAATTCTCTATCTTTGAGTATATCTCAACATATTGGTATTGCTCATCTACACAGCCTGGAAGGGAACGGATCTCGCCCTTCATATGGTCCGTGGACCGTCAAATTTTAAATCGATCCTTACCAGAGAGTGAATGTTTAACTTTTTTTTGGCAGTCTTTTCGATCATCTTGAGAATTGTGGTGCCTTAATAGCCGACTAGATGAATTTGCCGAGTTAACCCAAATAATCCCCCACTGAACTACTGTATCAAATGGCTATTTCCCCGCATAAACATCTAGCGGAGAAGATTACAACCATTTTTCAAATGCCCAAGCTTATTGGCTAATGCTCCAAACTTCCCTTTTAAGAAAAGCCGCCTCCGGCTGGGCGGCCGAGCCCTTCGTTGTGAATGGCTAGTGAACATCAGCCTCGACAGCGGATGATGATAAGGAAGCCAGGAGTGCAGGTTTATTTCTGTAACAAACATGATAAAAGGTCCCAGTGATCCAGCACGAGGAGTTCACATCGCCTGAGCTTCGTTGCAAGTTCTGGAGCAGGTCTTCCAATACCCCTGAAACTCGGCTTGCACATCCCACAGTTATGTCTGCTAGTAATCATGATATGGACCCGGCTTGGCCGCCAGGCACTGTGAGGCTTGAGGGTGAGAAGCAATACATTTGATTCTTGTTCAAAATAAACCTTGTCATTGACTCGTTTCCACGATAGACATCTCTCCTTCAACGGAAGGAGCGCAAGTGATCTTCGAGCCAAAACCATCCAGCGACCCAAATGATCCGTTGGTCAGTACCTCGACCAACCTACTCTCCTATTGCAGATTCTAATATCTTCCTACTTTCAGAATTGGCCACAGTGGAGGAAATATGTGAACTTCGGGTTCGTCTCTTACTATGTTATGATGGTGCTTGCGCTGTGAGTCCCCCCATCGCCCTTTGCCCTTGTCCGTGGACACGACCTGTGGAATGAATACTGAGCTTCCCAGCATCGATGTCGCGACCGTCACATGGGGTTCCATGAATCTGGAGCTTGGCTTCAGTTTCGCTTTGCTAAACGACAGTTACGCTGCCGGCTGTGGAGCGTTGTGCATCGGAGCCGTGATTCTCGTTCCCTTTGCCCTCAAGTTCGGACGACGACCCATATACGTTCTGAGCACCGCTGTCCAGTGTGGAATCTGCATCTGGTCAGCCCGGATGCAAAATGTGGCAGATCTGATGCTGGTAAATGTATTGAGCTGCATCGTCGGCGCACTGGCAGAAGTCTTGGTCCAAATGACTGTGGCAGATATGTTCTTCGTGCACGAAAGAGGACTCATGAACACACTGTACTATTGGGTGACGACTGTCGGAGTCACCCTGGCGCCACTGGCTGGTGGGTTTATCACTCTTTCCCAGGGTTGGCGCTGGGTTTGGTGGTGGATGGCTATACTGTTTGGAGCCGGACTCATCGCCTTCTTTTTCTTCTACGAAGAAACCATGTTCTGTGTGCCATCTATTGATGGAATTCCCGTGGCTGATAAGCTGGCACCACAGCCAACCTCTCAGAAGCAGGATCTCGAAGTTTCTGACTCGAAAGGAAAGCAACATGATTCAACTCAACAACCTGTTCAAGTTGAACATGTGGAGATCGACTATTCGATCCCGAAGAAGCCATACTTGCAAAAATTAGCACTATGGTCTAATTCCCCCATGTCATTTATCGACCTATTGAAGCACAGCTACCAGCCCTTCTTGATTATGTTCAGTATTCCAGCAGTCTTCTTCATGGCGCTAGAATACGGAATTATGACTGCCAGCACAACAGTGCCCGTTACAACCCTCTCATCAGTCATGACTCTCCCGCCATACAATTTCGGTTCAGCTCAGATTGGTCTAATGGGACTTCCACCATTTATTGGGACTAGTCTGGCAACTATAATCTGTGGCCCATTGAGTGACTCGATTGCGCTTCGACTTGCCAAGAGAAATGGCGGCGTCTTTGAGCCTGAGATGCGCCTCTGGCTCTGTCTAATCTTTTTGCCTCTTGTTCCAGCGGGTCTCTTCATGTTTGGAATTGGTCTAAACAACGGGTCTCACTGGCTTCTTCCGGCATTTGGGCTGGGAATTAATGCATTCGGCGTGGTGCCTGCCAGCAGTGCTGCACTCACCTACTTGACCGATGCGTACACAGATGTAAGTCCTATGAAAGTTGAAAATATTGGATTATCTCTAACACCATATCATAGATTATCGCTGATTCGGTTGTTGGGGTCACTTTCATCCGTAATTTGATATCTACAATCTTTGTTTTCGCCCTGGCACCGTGGGTTGACCGTGTCGGGTTGACATGGTTTTACGTGACCTTTGGCCTGATCGCCACGGTCATCATGCTCGGGAATGTCATCTTCATCTACTTTGGAAAATATTTCAGAGTTCGTGCCGCGGGAAAATATCGATATTTCAGTGCGCAAAGAGTCGGAGCGGCCTGATAGGTTGATTAGGGTGTATAGCGACATAATAGCTGATAGCTGTAGCTTCTCGAAAGCATCATCTGGAACTAATGACATCGAATGTTGCAAATATTGTCTTGTATTTTAAGTCAAAGAACACTAATTTAGAGGAAGTTTTGAATCGAAACTACCGCAGGGTAAGGTTCTAATCCGGCGTCATAACACTGAAGCACTCGGGGTAGTTGCGTGTATCGGAACCCGCGGGCTTTCACTTCACACGAGAACTCTAGGGTCCGAGTCACAAATTCAACCCAATTCATAAGCTCTCGGCAAGATGAACCAACCACAACAGTAGTTTTATTCAGGTTGCAATCTGGATTGCCGAGGTGTGCGGTGGTCCTAAAGTGTATGGGAGCGAATAACGAGGCTCAATCTATCGGATGCGGGGAACTTTGATAGGAGAGTACTTTGGGTCCGAGATTCCGCGCTATAAAGTGAACATATTGTCTCCCATCCTTAGCTGCATTTTTAAAGTCACTTAATAGCTCAGACCTTCAAGATCTTGTGACCCAATTATTCAGTCCTTCCAAACATGACGATCCACAAAGTCGCTGTCATTCAACTAAGCCCAAAGGTAATCTCGGAATGCTCATGACAGCACCCAATCACCCAGCAAACATGTATTAATGTGTTGACCCCTAGGCACCCAATGGGATTGATTCCAATCATCAAAGAGCTGTATCATTCATCAAAGATGCGGCCATCGCCGGGGCAGACCTAGCTGTCCTTCCAGAATACCATCTAGCCGATTTCGCCCCAGGCCACGATCCCGAAATTCGCAAGCAATGCGCCAACTGGAAGAAATACCTCGATGCATACTGCGCTCTAGCCAAAGAGTGCAACATCTGTATTGTCCCAGGCTCTCTCGGAGAACTGCACGATGATGGTACGATCGTCAATGTGGCGTATTTCATCGACAATACCGGTGCTATCAAGGGGAGATACGAGAAAAAGAATCTGTGGCACCCCGAAAGACCCTTTGTGAAGAGCTCAGCTAATGACAGTCGTCATGTCGCTTTTGACACGCCTCTTGGAAAGGTCGGATTGCTGATCTGTTGGGACTTGGCGTTCCCGGAAGCGTTCCGAGAATTGATCATGCAGGGCGCGAAGATGATTATTGTGCCTGCTTTCTGGAGATATACCGATGCTGGTGATGTTGGCATCAGGCGTAATCCCAGATCAGAGGGAGATTTTGTCGATGCTGCTGTCGTTAGCCGCGCTTTTGAAAATACGTGTGCGGTGGTGTTTTGTAATGTTGGTGGTCCCGAGGAAGACGGGTTCGCTGGTCTTTCTCAGGTTGCACTGCCATTTGTCGGCCGCGTGGAAAGATTTGAGAACAGTGATGAAGGCATGAAGATTGTCGAGCTTGATATGGATATTCTGGAAGAGGCTGAAGGGGAGTACAAAGTGCGGCAGGATCTTGCGACCCCGAATTGGCATTACGGTTATCGCCAATGACAGGACAGGACAACTCATGTACAGTCGACTAGTAGAATATGACAGAGAACGTTTGGATATGTTTTATCGTGTATAAGACCTCGTATCCATCATAGCCACGGCCCCCGACAGTGCCACTGCATGCCAAGAAAGCCACTGAACAGGTCCACGTAATCCAACATGGCTGTAGCTGAAAGGAAGAAGCATTCTCTAGCGAGCGCATAAAGCTTATTATGCCGAGATCTGGATGGTCGATCCGTTGAATAGCAAAAATAGCACGAGGGCGGTCATCCTTCGCGACAGCTTGCAGCAAAACTACCATCTGAATTGGTCGGTCGCTTACGGGGGCTACGCAAGCACATCCAACAAGTCTGACCAAGGCTGTATAGACCAGCCAGTTAAGTATAAGGCTCTATAGATGTCAGCAAATCACCTCCAATTGCATACCCTGGGGCCATCGCCCCCGAAGTTGACAACAATAATGTTTTGCGAAAGGCAGCAGCGAAAAACTTGGGTAATGTAGATCATCACCCCGACCCGTGATGTCATGGAGAAGCAACAGGATCACAAGTCCAATAACATTGAATGTCATGAGTAAAGGTATGCGTAATCCAAATAGGAGAACAAAGGAGATGCAAGATGGCGAATATGTGGCGAAACAAATGGCGGACTTCTCCGTTGCATTTCCTTTGAGAGATCGGAATTCATCGTAGTCCGTTTCCGATTCTTCGTGACCGAACAAAACAAAGAGACCGGTCCCGCCTGGGAGATCTCAAGCCCAGGCCTAGAGATGATTTTCGGCCCGTCGGTAGAAAACTCTGGATCGGGGCGGTCTTGGGTGGTGGAGAGCGTCTCAGCCTCAGCCTCTTCCAAACGACAGCTGTGCTCCAAGTGTTGGGAACTTGGGCGCAGCAGATGCCAACACTGCCATGACGCAGGTTAAGGGACCGATTTATGCCGATTATCAATTGGCCAGGATTCAGGGCGCCTTTCCCGTTTCATCGCTAGGCTTAGGGGGCGTCTCTTGGGGGCGGGTGGATTGCGATTGGATGTTTAGCAGAGTGAATAACCAAGAGTGTGAGGTAATCACCCCATCGGGCTGAGTTTGGGGTCCACATGTACGACCCTGGTGAGAAAAGAAATAAGAGGATGAAGGTCAGGAAAGTTTGTTGGAAAGCTGGATGAGCCTCAAGGGTTATTGCGGTTTATTTTAGGCGACAGTAAGGCGACCGTGGGGGCGTATTTAAACCTGGATTGTCCCTGCCTGTTTATACTCCTCGCCTGCTGTTCTCTTTTTTTCTTAGTTTACATCTTTTCCATCATCCATCATCCCTAGTAACTCTTCCGATACGATTCTAATTCGAACACCCCCAAAACTTCCATCAAACAACCATCATCATGCAGTACAAGGCCCTTGCCACCCTGCTCTTCGCCACGGCAGCCGTTGCTGTCCCGGCTTCCGATGCCACCATCTCCTCCGACGACCTGCTGGATAACATCAACCTTCCCATCGAAACCGAGACTATCCCAAGCGGCATCCTATCCGTCATTGAGACTGCCATTCCCAGCACGTGGGCCCAGGCCCTCGAAACCGACTCGGCCTTCCAGTCCTCCGTGCTCAATGACCTCCTCCACAGCACCTACCCAGCCTGGTACAACAGCCTGCCCGATAGCGTCAAGTCATGGGCCACCGCCGAGGGTGAGGCCGAGGTCTCTGCTCTTTCCAGCTACTTCAGTATCCAGCCCACCGTTACTCCCACTTCGGGCTCCCACGCTGCCGGTAGCAGCTCTCACGCTTCGTCTACTCCTCTTTCTACCGGCCACAACTCGACCACCGCCTCTACTCCTTTGACTTTGACCTCCACTGCCACCCATATTACCTCGCTTTCTGGCAGTGGCTCATCTACTAGTTCTGCTTCGCACTCTGGAACCTCCACTTCCACTGCTGGTGCCCCCGCTGCTACCGGTGGCCTTGCTATCGGTCTGGCTGGTGCTGCCGGTGTCCTGGGTCTTGCCCTTGCTCTGTAAGATGGATGTTGGGGGATAGACAAATTGTTCTTGGTTAAAAGGCTTCTGGATTCGGGCTTTGACCAATTTTCTCATGTTCATGAATGATATTACATGTGTTCATATGACCATGCTTTCTGGAGGCAACTTAGATACTCCTACCTAATGACGATCTTTCATACTCGACCTACAATCCAACAGCATATCATGCTTACTCTAGACCCTAACTACGAACTAATTTGGGAAGATGTCATAATAGTCCACTAGCTTACAGTATAATCTTCAATGTAGCCGCACTTAATTTAATCTTCGCTTTGAAAGCCACAACGCCGACAAATTAGATCACTACATTGATGACAGTGGCGGCATTTCGATACCCAGGTCAAGCTGAAAACAGTGATGGTGTCACGACAGATTAGACAGATTATAGAAAGATAGTGCAAGCAAAAAGATCTTCTTGCGATCAATCGGGTCCACTAACCGGAATGGCTTCTCCGCTGGGGTTTCAAAATTTGCCGAATGTTCAAGCTGACAGAATTTAGTATGGCGTTAAGGTATGCACCGGTGTGTTTAAAATCGTAATATCCGTGGTCCAACTATAGTTAGTGCAGTTTGTCTGTGCAACAAGGCTCATTGCTGTGCGTGGAAATGCCCCTAGGTAAGCATTATCGATCACGTCCGCTGCTTGTAATATGTGCAAGGTCTTCCAGGGACTTACCTGGGTCTCTTCACCCCGCAAGATCCCACGAAGAAGGCGCACAGCTATATCCGTGTTCTACATTCGTATGTCTACTTCCGCTTACTAAAACATAGGGTCATCGGGCTAGGTCTTGTAGCTATCCGTCGACGAGTCGACCTCAGGAAATAAGCTGCGACAGAAACAAAATGGTTGATTCTGGACCTGTACCCATGACCTCCAACGCTGGTGATATGTCAAGCCCTGTGCCTGTTCTCATCGTCGGTGGAGGTCCCATCTGCCTTTTGCGAGCACTCCTGTTATCGCGACTTAATGGTGAGCTACCCTTTCTTTGAAACAATTAACAGATATACGTCTAGTGCAAGGGTTCATGCCGATTTATGTCCATCCACAGCCTGCTCTCTGATCATCGAACGCTAAAGGATCCCCAGCAGTGGGAGAAGGCTGATCAAGAAATGGAGGAGCAGAGAGGACATCTTGATAATGTGAGTCGATCTGGTATCGATCGAAGAAGCAACACAAACAAAAGCCAACAAGCGCTATTACTACAATCTAGCTTGAGCACTACATTGAACATTTTATGGCTCAGATAAGCGACCTGCTCACGCCTCATAATACCACCCCAATTTTGAGGCAGAAGCTCGTCTACCTCATGTCTGGATTTCCCTCAAACCTAAGGCTCAACTTGACCTGAGTCATCCACAGTGCGTCTACAGCCGATAGATGTCTCCTACGTCAACGAGCTCAGTGCTGCTCAAATCAGGCGATGTTGGACTTGTGCAGCTTAGATTCTCTGACGTTGATCAGGGGCGATAGCGAGGGCCAGGAGAATTCCCGGATTCTGGGTGTACATAAGGACTGGAAAGAATTGACTGAAGATCCCACTGAGAGTGTGGCACCTTGGCAGAGACTTTGATATGGTGAGACAGTCGTGGGTTGCGTCGGCAATACGCCATGGAGGGCTCTTGTTCCAACCTGATCAACACATATTGCTCAGGATATCCTCACAAGCCGTGAAGAAATCATGACTGCGCCAGAGGATCACCCGGGATAGACAGGGATAGTTGTTCATGAAGCCAAACAAGCCAAGTCGTCTTCAAGATTTTTTCAATCACGACAGCAACCGCAATAATCACAGCATTACTTCCAGACTCAATCGAATTCTTGGTAACATATGACATGCTGAGGATATTCCCGGATAAATAGTCAAAATGAACGGTTTGCGTCGGTCACTCACCGACGTCGCGATACAATTCCTAAAACCCCCCACTTTTTCATGGACACCCCCACCCAGCATTCCAGGGATGAGATCTGGACTCGGCAAAAACACGGGCGAAACCGAATGCTAAAAGCGCCAAGACAAGCCAATAGAAGAACACGCAACTTAGCTTCCAGCCGAAGACAAGGACTGGTAGGTTTAATCTCTGTTCTGTGGGTCAATTGTGGGGTGGACCTGCTCTAGTGACATGAGCCGGCACACTATCTTTTCATGTCTCGTAGCACGCCATCGAGGGCATAGATGACCTTAGCTAAAATACTGCAGAAGGAGAAAGTATAGATTCAAGAAGAACTCGTGCCCATCGCTGCATTTTTTCTGTGTCGATTGCATAGAGACTGAAGGAAGCCGAGAATTGGAAAATTCAGAAAAGTCAACATGAGTGACTCAATTTCTTCATCGGGCTTCCCCGAGGAGGTTTCAACTTTCCCCGAGAAACGAGTCTGGCACCGAAGCACACTTTTTAATGCCTTCATCATTGGAGGTGTTGGATTCCTGGCTCCCGGTTTGTGGAATGCAATGAACTCTCTGGGTGCAGGTGGTGCTGAATCGCCTTACCTGATCAATGCGGCCAATGCTTTGGTTTTTGGATTGAGTAAGTCACTCACAGCGGTCCAAATTTACGTGAAACTTCTACTAATGACACTTCATCGCTTAAGTGGGATTCCTGTGTGTCTTTGGTGGTCCAATTGCCAATCGTATTGGAATGAACTGGACTTTGCTCTTGGGTGCAGCTGGCTATCCAGTTTACTCGTGAGTCAGACTGGAGACCCTACAGAAGGTGAAGATACTGATTGAAAATACAGGGCTGCATTGTATACGAACAATCGCTATGTGAGTGCTGATTGTTACAGCAAATAATCAAAATGCTAATCACAATGTGAAGGGCAACGAGTGGTTTGTGTTGCTCGGAGCAGTGGCGTGTGGATTATCGTGAGTTGGAGGCATCTTGTCCAACGATGAGTCTGGTTCCACCGCTAACCGAGATAGAGCTGGCCTGTTCTGGGCTTCTGAGGGTGCGGTGGCACTTGGTTATCCTGAGCCAACAAAGAGAGGCCAATACATGAAGTGAGTGCTCTGCCCCCAGACAAAAGTTGTATCCAACGACAAGAAATATACTTACATTTTACTAGTATCTGGCTTTGGTTCCGGACAGGTGGACCTTTGCTCGGAAGTGCCATTGTCCTTGGATTGAATCAGTAAGTCAAATCCAAGCGATGATAGAGCTCTTGCTCACAATTTGTAGCTCTGCCGTTGCGAAGAAGAAGGGTAAAGTTGGATCCGGTACGTTTGCACACACATACTTCCATCTACAGAATTTCGACTAAACCGATCTTACAGAGACGTATCTCATTTTCGTCGCATTGCAGTGTCTGGCTGTCCCGCTAGCATACTTCCTTACTCGGCCAGAGAAGGTTCAACGCAGTGACGGAAGTAAAGTCAAGGTTATTGCGCAGGACTCGTGGCGAGCGGAATTTTATGAGCTTTGGAGAGTTTCTGCTCGTAAGGAGGTTTGTTTTGACTTTCTTGGACTCCTTGAAAACCGCTCATCCAAACTCATCTTCAGATTTTGTTGCTACTACCCATTTTCTGGGCAGCATACTTCAACCAGTATACCGGCAGTAAGTCTAGTTAACGCCTCCTTTATGCCAGCATCTCGGTCTAATTCGTTGCCCCAGATTTTCAAGTGTACTATTTCGGAGTTCGTGCCCGAGCCTTGATCGGCCTCGTCTGTAAGTCGTGCAATCCATGTGCCGAACTCTTTGGACCACAGAAACTAATTTTTAAGCGTATCTCGCCGCTCTCCTCTCATCCTGGCTTGTCAGCCGCTTCCTGGATTATCAAGGACTCAGCGTGAAGCTTCGCATTACCTACAGGTAAAAACGCCGGATTCCGTTAGTGTATGACGAGAGCTAATTTTACGTCAAGTTTCTTCTACGTCCTTTCTGTCCATATCCTTGCCTGGGTCTATGGCTGGGTAGTTCAGGAGCAGTACACGGCCAATCCTCCTTCCTACGACTGGTCCGACAAGGGCTTTGCCAAGGGAATGTTTGTGATTATTCTCTGGCGTAAGAATCTTGTCCCTCGCATGAGTATTGGTATATTTGCTAATCCAGTATCCAGAATTCGCCCAGCAAGCTCTGCAAAACTGGCTCTACTATCTTCTCTCTACTATGACCGACAACATTTCTGAGCTTTGTATGTTTCAGTCGATACTTGAATTGTGGAGTTGAATTTTGCTAACCATGCATAGCACGTTTGTCCGGAGTCCTCCGTGGACAGGAGAGCTTTGCCCAGGCTGTTTCATACGGCCTCAATACCCGGGAATGGTATGGTGGCAGAGTTCCCTTGGCGGTAAATACGATTCTGCTTGGTAAGTGACAGGAAAATTTCTGTTTTGCGAAACAGAGATACTAATGCAATATACTTGAACAGGCCTAGCTGTGCTGCCTACGTGGCTTGTTGTCAAGGATCATACTCCTATTGAGCATTCCAAGAGTGTGGACACTTGGGATTCGCCTCAAGATGAAGAGCAACCTCTTCCTCAGAAGGGCGACCGTGATATCAACAAGGCCAGTCCGGTGGTCGATGCGAATGAGGTCACGAAGTAATGCCACAGCTGAAGTACGACACTCCAGGGGGCGAGAAAAAAAATTGCATGCGAGTTGCACCTAACTTAGATTAATACTGGATGAAACGATCGAAGCCGCTAGCTTAACCTGGTTGGCACATAGAAGAGGACAAATAGATAATAAAATGATGAACTGAAGAACTGATGAAATTTCGAGATCTATTGAAAACTATTTATAAAAAAATCGACATCATGAAAGGTACACAATTACCGCCTCAGTATCCCAGACATTAACAGAAATGTGTCCTTTCTTGTTATTGTCCTTGTTGATAGTCAGACGCTCCTCCTCATATCCAGCAACCTTATGGCCACGACCCTTGTCAACCTTGTAGCTCCACTGCTCACCATTCCAGGTCACATTCTGCTGTGAGCCACCCAGGTCAAATCCAAGGGCAGCCGCACCATGTTCAGACTGCATGCGGTGAACAACAGCGGACTTGACATCCTTGTCGATATCGATTTGAGCAACATATCTTGGGCGCACGGCGGGGCCATACTCCCATTGACGCATGTTGATGATGGCAATGCGGGATACCTTGCCAGTCTTCTGATCGAACATGGCATAAGCGCTGAGGTGGTCATTTTGCTCCTTCTTAATGTCGATCTCTTTGATCTTTCCAAGCTGGCCGTCCTTGCCGATGAAGTCGGTGATAAACGGTGCCGCGGGGAAGATGCCTTGAACAGCGGGGGTCTTCGCATGGGCGCTTGTATCGTCAGGTAGCCACCACGCGTGGGTAGCGTCGGGCCCATGTGTATTGCAAACGCGTTGGATGCCACGGTCCATGGCAGCCAGGTGGAAATCAACTGCCCAAAGGGCAGCCCCAAAGCCACCAGCAAACTCGACTTTAGTGTGTCCAATCGCAGATCCAGCTTCGGAAATGACCAAAGGCACAGACTTGTCTATGGCGCTCAAGGACTTGACATCATTGGCATATGGGGCAAGCTTATTGGTGATTGCTTTATGGTTCATCAAAGTGTCTAAGCGTAATTAAGTTAGTGTGATATTCCACTTAAGCCATGTTGAGCAGCTCACCTTTCAGGTCTGCGGTGTTGTATTCATGGCCACCGTTATTTGAGCCAATCACTTGGTAGTAATGCTCAGCAGCATACTTGATATTCTTTTGCTGCGTCGTCTTCGCCTTGAAGAGAGGCTTGATAAGATTCATACTGAAAATATTGATCAACTTATTGTCAAGAATGGCGTAGGTCATCAGAAAACTTACAGTGTGAACTTGCTGTCCGAGTCAGGCTTCCCTGCCACTTCGGCCGCAATCTCTCCAGTCTGGAAAATCCGGGTTTCGCCATCCTTCAATTTGAAATCCTTGACGACTTGCTCTTCAATCTTTTGCGATCGCTCAATGTATCCATCAACAGCATAGGCCTTGTACCAGTTTGGCTCATTGCCAAGTGCAATAGCAGCGACCCTCGCCTTATTCGCTCCTTTATCGGTGGCGGCATCCCATGCCTGTTGCAAGAAAACCATCGAGTCGTCAAGCTTCATATCATCTCCCATCGGAGCCTGAAGCGTCCAGTGCGAGTCCTTGAAGCGTTTCAAAGCATTGAAATAGTCTGGTCCAACAGTATATGTGTCCAGACTATTGCAGGACTTCTTCTTTGAATGGCAATCCGCAGCGACTTTGGTTTGCTCTTTCTTGTAAGTGATATGATCACCACTTGTGCCACCCACACGAATGACGAGCGGCTTGCTCATGCGTGATTGAATAGCATTGACCGTGTTCTCCGAGAAATCATTATTATAGTGCGGAAGAAGGCCGGATTCGAATCCAAAGCCAAAGAAGTCAGCTGGTACGGCGACAGCACCAGTTGATGCAGGGATATTGATTGTGACATCTGAACATCCCACACAGGTAGATGGTACCGGCTTCGCGAAAGTGATCCCCATTGTAAGAAAAGTGCCAGCCAGCAAGGCGATCATCACGGATTATTGAGTGTTTTGGTCGATTAGGAACTCGGTGCATTACGAGAATACAAAGATTCTTATATGCTGATGGCTAATCCTTTGGCCCCGGCCCCAAGGGTCTGAGCCTTGTTCTATGAAAAGACCCTTTGGGGGTCCAAAGACTCTCTAGCGTTAGATGAAAAACTTTTATGCCTGGACTTGTCCAATACGGGCAAGGGATTTGGATCTTGCGTTGGAATCAAGGTCAGCTGACAATATTCGAATCAAAGGCCTTTGACTTGGAACTGACCTTTGACGTTGGACATCCAAGCCTCCGTATGATTATACACTGTAACTCGTGCATTTTGATTTTGCCAATCCGACCCAACGATGGTGTTCAGGGTCCGGCCCCAGTACCCCAGGGCCAATCCTTAGCAGCCTCGTTGTACGCAGGGACTTCGGGGCTTTGTTGGTAAGAAAGGATCAAGTTGGGGCTAAAACGAGGGTTTCATAAAAAAAGGACTCCTGCCACGACAATGGGTCAGCGGCTGTTCGTGGCGGGCCAAGCTTTTACCTTGTGTTGGGATGCACTGTGATTTGCCGTCGTGGCTTGTTCAGGGTCCAAGGTGATGTGCGGTACATAGCCTCATCCGCATAGCCAATAGACACGTCAACGTGAAGTATGCCTTATAATCAATCCAACGGGGCTGCACGATAATGGGGAATACGATGCGATCTATTTTTGACTCGGCCCGAAGAACTTGTGGGGGCGGATCCAACGATGGAGGGGGCGGCCGAAGACTCTGACACGAACAAAGAAGACCCAATAGACATGACAGACTTCTCGTTTCCAAAGCTAAATCTATTCTCTCTCGTCTGTAGTAATCAAATTTATCAAACATAAGTTTCCTAGATTATTAGACTCTCGTGTTATTTTTGGGGACATGGGCGTGGAAAGGCCGATTAGTGAATAGTTCAAGTAGTCGAGCGGTTACCCTGTTCCACACTCTACCACTCAAGAAAAAGGGCACTTTGCATCTTCATTCTAACAAGTGTCTTCGTCCTATATTCTGAACTATGCTTGAGTTCTAGGTTGTTCGAGGCTATTTCCTACTCCACACAGTGTGAAGTTTCTCTCCGTGCTCACAACGGAAGCTAAGTGTATATTTCAAATAGACACGCATGGAACGGAGAGCCGTAAGGTCACTTCGTAAGGGTCCAAGCAAGATTAAATTCTGGCACAGTAATGTTAAATAGTAAAGGATGATTTGACTAGAAAGAAACACGAGGCTTTCAGCTTCCCGTCCATGAGTTTCGGCCCCAGCCCCAAAATGATGGTAAGAATCAGATCGCAGGCCTAAATGTCCCTGGTTGAGTTTTACCATTCAAAATAGCATCGATGGTTATTCTCATAGCATCCTCGAACCGTCTCTGTCACATTTTCACCTAATGTAACATAGTCATGACCGTCCTATTACGGACGAACGAATCCAAGCTCAGCCGCGGTTCTCGTATTTTTCTTAGCTAAGATCTCTTGTGCAACCAAAACGAAGCCGTTATATCGTGGCATGTACTCACGACATGAACGAACTGTATTATATCTCAAAAAGCTAGAGTCCCTTCCAGAAATCCTCGATCAAGCCAGCAACCTCTGGCACCCGTTCCCTCACAACTCCATGTCCAACCTGTGGCACCACGGCAATATTTCGCATCCCAACACGTTCAAGCTTCTCCACACTAACCGCACCATCAAGCTCTCCCAGCACACTAAGATTTGGAATTCCACTTTTCGCCGCTTTGGCGAATTCGGCATCATTATCCAGAACTCCGCCGTCCCTGATGATAGCCACCACACTCGCTGAATGACCGTCGTGCTCCTTCATTTCCCATTCTCGAATTGCCTCTGCAACAACTTCGCCCCTCCCAACTCTCTCCTTCCAATCCGAGGGAACAACTAACTTTCCTCCCTCCAGGAACTCGAAGATCCAGGCTCGTGCCTGCTCCTCCGATCCCTCGCCGCCGCGTAGGTAACTACGCTGCACATCGGTAAACTCACTAGTGTACAGAAGACCTGCAGGTGCGACCAAAACCATAGACGCGACACGCTCAGGATGCGCGACTGCAAAAGTTGCCGTCGTTGACCCGCCAAACGAATACCCGATAAGGTGGGCATCTTCCCACCCAAGATGCACCATTAAATCTTCCAACAATGCATGGAAGAGTGCGGGCTCGTGTGGTGCAATTGGCGTGTCTGTTAGCCCGTGGCCCCACTGGTCAACAAGGACACAATGAGCGTGTGGGAAACGTGAAGATAATGCGCTTGCCAATGGCTGCATGCCTAGTGCGGATGTTTGGACTCCGTGCACGAAGAGAACGCGAGAGATAGGGTTGGAGCTATCGGAGGGTGCTGGAGATGAGGCTGGTAGCTCGTAGTAGGCTGCTCTACCGTGGGGTGTCTGTAAATATGATGCTGGTGGTAGCAGTTGGCCAAAAGTTGCGACAAAGGCAGCTTCGGATGGGGCCTGGATGGGCTGTATTATGTCGTTGGACTGGGTTGCTCCAGGGCGGGGTAGCACGATCAATTTGCTAGACATCTTGGGGGAAGAAAGCAATAGTGTAGGCCAGTGGAGGGGACTAGTGGGCATCAGAATTTAATTCCATCGGTTTCGAGCAATGAACTTACCCAGTACTGAAAAAAGGTGAGGCAGAAGGGAATTCTGGCTTGGTATAGACGATATCAAATTCTAGAAGTTCAACTGCCTTCTGCAGAGGCTCGTCACAGTTAGACACTGATTAATCAGGATTAATAATTGATCTTGCTGTACGGAGTACGTAGATAACGCCATTCATGTTTGTCGCTAAACCACATTCGGCTTAGGGCGAGTTATCGGGAAACAAGCCCTTGAGCTGAGCGTGATTATGTCCATAATCGTTCCTTTTGTACCTAGAGTGAGGCTCTATATTTAATTTTTAATTCAGCATCGTCAAGCTAATCAGGTCGGATGTGACCTACTATCGCACTGTGAGTCATTATCTGTTGTAACTGACAGGTTGCCCCGCGCCCTATAACTAGGTTGCCTGGACTGAGCATCCCACTGCCTTCAACAATTGAGTTTATCGGTGAAATTTTGCAGTAGTGTCTTAATTAGTAGCACCTCTTGTTAATTTGCAAAAAGCCTCAAGGTCCCCTGATCGAGCCGTATCCACCTATCCCTCGGCCAAGCCGGATGTCCGTAGGCCTCCGCAGTCTTTCAAGGCCGTTAGCTTGGTAGACCTCGGAACTGCGATCGGGGAGTATAAACGGAACCCCCGTATATAAATGGTAGCCTAGTTTTATTGATTGGTATGGACGATGATTCGAGCACCGCGATGCATCACGATGCTTTGTGGTTCCTCCTCACAGCGCCATTTCCCCACTTTTCCTCGTCTTTTCCCCAGCTCCATCGGGTTTATCGTTGCATCCGATCCCTCAACCGCCGATCTCGCCGAGTGAATGAGCAAATGAGTCGCCTTGTTGCTCCACTTGGCTATCAGTTCGGTCTTGACCGTGATTAATTCATAAAGTTGCGAAATCCCAGACTTCAAAAAATTGCTTCTCCTAATAATCACTACCTCGGACTTCCCTGCTTGCCGCGATGGTCCCCACGACAACTTGGCTGGCGGCCGTCTCACTGGTCGGTACCGCCGCAGCACAGTATTTCCCACCTACACCTGAAGGATTGACTGTGGTGAAGTCGAAACATGAGAAGGGGTGTAAAGATCTCGTACAAGCAGGTAGGTGATTATCTTTTTTCTATGGGCAATTTATGGATTGTCTGGTCGCACGAACATGTACTAAATTCCGATCACAGCCGGGGATTTGCGAAACCACGCCAGGCGTTAGGTCGTACTCTGGCTATGTCCACTTGCCCCCAGGAACTTTGAATGATGTGGGTGTATCCCAAAAGTATCCTATCAACACCTTTTTCTGGTTCTTCGAATCTCGGCATGACCCGAAAAATGCTCCTTTATCCATCTGGATGAATGGCGGGCCCGGCAGCTCCTCGATGATCGGTCTCATGCAGGAGAACGGCCCTTGCATTGTAAACGCAGATAGTAACTCGACCGAGCTGAATCCCTGGTCGTGGAACAACTATGTCAACATGCTTTACATCGATCAGCCCAATCAGGTTGGGTTCAGCTACGATGTAGCCACAAATGGTACCTTCGACCAAATTTCTTCAGCATGGGATGTCTCCAAGTGGAAGCACGGCGTACCAGAGCAAAACAATACCTTCTACGTCGGCACGACTACTAGCGGGAAACCCTCTGCAGCTGCTAACGGCACGGAAGACGCTGCGCGCTCGCTGTGGCACTTTGCGCAGACTTGGTTCTCCGAGTTCCCTGAATACAAGCCAAACGATGATCGTGTGAGCATCTGGACGGAGTCATATGGTGGCCGCTACGGCCCATCGTTCTCCGCGTTTTTCCAGGAGCAAAACGAGAAGATTAAGAATAGAACGCTCACTGCTGCGGGCGAGTCGCACTACATTCACCTCGACACGCTGGGTATTATCAACGGCTGCGTTGATCTCCTCATTCAAGAGCCCTCGTACCCTCTATTCGCCTACAACAATACTTACGGCCTGGAAACGATCAACAAAACGGCCTACACGCAGGCCATGCACGCCTGGAGCCGACCCGGTGGCTGCAAAGACCAAATCAAGCACTGTCGTGTCCTAGCCGCCGAAGGCGACCCCAAGATGCACGGCAACAACGAGACAGTCAACAAAGTGTGCAAAAAGGCCGGCGATTTCTGCAGCAACAACGTCGAGGGCCCATACGTCAACTACGCAGACCGGGGCTACTACGACATCACACACAAGAACCCAGACCCCTTCCCGCCAAACTACTTCCTGGGCTTCCTGAACCAGCACTGGGTCCAGGCCGCACTGGGCGTACCAATTAACTTCACCGAGTCTATCGACAGTGTCTACCAAGGCTTCCAGTCCACGGGCGACTACGCCCGTGCCGACGTCCACGGATACCTAGACGATATCGCCTACGTACTTGATGCGGGCATCAAGGTAGCACTTGTGTACGGAGACCGTGACTACGCCTGCGACTGGATCGGCGGCGAAGACGTCAGTTTGGCCATTCAGCATGCGGAGGCTGATAAATTCCGCGCCGCTGGGTATGCGCCTCTGCGCACGAATTCCTCGTACGTGGGTGGTCAGGTCCGACAGCACGGGAATTTCTCGTTCACGCGCGTGTATGAGGCTGGCCATGAAGTTCCCGCTTATCAACCGCAGACGGCGTATGAGATTTTCCATCGGGCTTTGTTTAATCGTGATCTGGCGACGGGTAAAATTGATACGGCACGGAATGGGTCGTACTCGACCAAGGGCCCGGCTTCGACTTGGCATATCAAGAATGAGGTTCCTGAGAGTCCGGCGCCGGTGTGTTATATTCTGGCGTTGGAGGCGACTTGCACGGAGGATCAGATTGCGAGTGTGTTGAATGGGACGGCAGTGATTAAGGATTATGTTGTTGTTGAGGGGAAAGCCGAGTAAGAAGGATGATGGCGATGGCAAAGTACAGTCTATACAGTCCATACCTGTGTATCTCCATACCACATATCATCGAGCATATAGCAACCATGAAATATAATTCACAAGAGACATCAACTTTGGGAATATTTGCTTATAGACGTCTGCCTTAGAAAATCCCCAGGTAACATCCCCAATTCCCAGAAAGGCAAACTTAGCGAAACGACGCTAGCAAATGCCTTCCTAATCGGGCCATCCAGGACGCCCCCGGGAAACCGTTAAATACCTCCTCCCTCACCCCCCTTCTTCTCTTTTTTCTTCTTCTTCTTCCTTTCCTCCTCCAGATTTTACTGCTCTAACTCAAGATACTTTGTACCATTCACCAGGAAGCCGAGTTCAGTCCCTCTTTTGTCGGGCTGGTAATTCCTCGAGTGGGTTTTTGTTGGTTCGGATTATGTAGACTTCATTTCTTATGTTTTGTTTGACCCTCTTCTGACACCTGATGACGAATAAGATGCTCTAGCATCCCGGAGACACGACTTACCGCTTGTTTCTTTGGCAACATTGGGCAGGTGTGCGTAAGGGCCATTGACGGGGTTTAAAACTGGATTCGATAAACATCATTCTGAGGGTGCTTCACATATACACTGGTCTTTTGCTACGTTCCTGGTGTTGTTTCTGCTCTCATCGAAGGTCCTGGAGGTCTTGAGTGTTTCGAGAGGCCTTGGCAGGACCAAGTTCCCGTTTCCTACCATCTTCTGGTATCATTTATTGTCCTTTCATTTGTGTCTGTCCTTGCGGGTCTACTTTATTATATCTCATCCCTTAATGTGCCCTTGTTGTGTCACAGCTGATAGTCTTGAGTGACACTCATTTAGAATGTTGTCTATAGAACTGAACACATATTTCTCCACCCATCTCTTTCAAGCTTAGTTCAACCACATACACCCACCTTGACTAGTCTATCAAAGGTTGTCTAATTAAGTTGCGGGTATAGATCAGCCGGGACCCAACCAAAAATGCCACTGACATAATGCCTGACTAACCATGTGGGGCCGGGGCTGTCAATGATGTTATGGATCATCGAGGGTCACGGACAATAAATGTGAATGAAAGATGTATTACACAGATTAAACATAGAGCTTTAATTGGTATTCATGAACAAATATTCAGTGTTGAACATCATACGATCATCGACTGACCAGCCAAACGGCGGGAGTGCCTGAGGAGACCATCGAACCTTCTCGAAGCTTCGGTGCCGCGACGTCACACGTCACTCACCTGGAGACCGGCACGGAGCATTACAGTCATTCAAGTTCCCAGCTCATCCCCGCAGTCTCCTCCTCACTGTATCCTACAACACATACGCTAATTGCACATGGTTTATTCCTGAGTTGAATCTGGCCTACTCATCCCCCAGCGTTGAAAAAAATCATCTTTCTCGAATATTACACAACCACCGTTTAATCCAGGCGGAAGCTTCCTCTTCGTTCGAGAAGCACCCAGTACATTCTTCTCCCATCGAGGGATCCGATCACCCGATTCCCACCCGAGCATCCTCCTCGATCTCTTAAGCTCGCCCTACCCGCTACACCCGCGTCGACTTCTTTTTCGCCTCTCCCTCAAAACTCAATTCAACCCCCGCACAATCATGGTGGCCGAAACAAAGCTCTATGATGCCTTGAGCATCAAGCCTGATGCTAGTCAGGATGAGATCAAGAAGGCCTATCGCAAGGCTGCCTTGAAATATCACCCCGACAAGAACAAAGATGACCCCAAATCAGCTGAGAAATTCAAAGGTATGTCTGCACACCGACTCTTGTCTACTCGGATTACCCCGCTATCCTACATTCAACAATTTACCAATAGTTACTAACACTTTCTATGACAGAGGTCTCCCAAGCCTACGAAGTCCTCTCCGACCCTGAAAAGCGCAAAATTTACGATCAATTCGGCCTCGAATACCTGCTCCGTGGTGGCCCCGCCCCATCACCCGGTGGTGGAGGTGGTGCCGGTGCTGGTCCCAGTGGTGGAATGCCAGGAGGGTTCAACTTTGGCGGCATGCCCAGTGGTGGTGGTACACGCACATTCCACTTCTCAACCGGCACCGGCGGTGGTACCCATGGCTTCAGCTTCAGCAATGCAGACGATATCTTCCGTGAATTCACTAAGTCCGGTGGAGGAGGCGCTGGGAGGGGTGGATTCGACGATGACATTTTCTCCATGCTCGGTGGCATGGGAGGTGGTGGTGGTGGAAATTTCCGCAGTCGCCCGGGCGCAGGAGCAAGCTTCCCATCGTCCAAGGCAAACCGTGCCCCGACGCCAGAGCCAACTATCATCGAGAAAGACCTGCCGCTGTCGCTAGATGAGATCTTCAAAGGAACGACCAAGACGGTTGTTGCTAAGAGCAAATCCTTTGATGCTAGTGGAAAGCGCACTGTCAAAGATGTGCCGCTGGAAGCTGTCATCAAGCCTGGCATGCGTGCCGGTACCAAGATCAAGTATCGGAATATTGGAGATGGAGAAGAAGGTGGACGACAGGATATGCACCTCATTGTGAAATACGTATGTGAAGACACCCCAAATTCCTCCAATTCTGTCAATGAGCGACTACTAACAACCCCTACAGATTGATCACCCAGATTTCAAGGTCGAGCGCGACAACCTCGTTACAACCGTCGAACTCAGCCTCAAGGAAGCCCTGACCGGCTGGGAACGCATCGTCCGTACCATTGACGGCAAATCTATCCGCGTTTCCAAGCCTGGTCCCACACAGCCCGGCCACGAGGAACACTATCCAGGCTGGGGTATGCCAAACTACAGGAAGCCCACCGAGCGGGGTGACCTCGTCGTTCGGGTGAAGGTCACTTTCCCCAAGACGCTGAGCGCCGAGACAAAAACAATTCTGAAGGATCTTCTGCCTTAAAAAACATGTTACATATTGATTTACATGCATGGGTCTCGGCGTTGGTGTGAGCGTACTCTTACCATTGGGTGGGGATTAATGACAATGACAATGACGACATACTTGAATGTTAAATACTTTTCCTACATAGAAATGGATTTGTATGTCCTTTTCCTTTCCTTTCAGTCTATTTTGTAAATCCTTGAGCCTTTACTGGCATGGGGGTTAGAATCTACATAGAAGCACCTAGTATATTTGTACATCGAAGTAGACCAGGCTAGACCCGATTGGGGAATGCGGAGAAGCACCCTCAACTCGGAGAAATCAACATACAATCGTCCTTATCTCCACTCCTGTTCTATCAAACACCCCTCCCCTCACCATAGAAACACACAACATCCATCATGAAGCGCAGGGTCACCTATGTCCAGCATCCCGAGACCCCTTTCGAGCCGCACCAGGCCTCCCTAAGGTCCACCGCCGTATCGGTCCGCGACCTGGACGCCGCGCGCGAGGACCGCATTACATTCGGCCTGGAGGATCTTCCCGAGGAGGTGGGAAGCACCAAACACCTCTTACCGGAAATATACATCTACTCACGCATGAAAGTAACTAATCTGTGTTTTTTCTTGTTCTGCAGCTTCGCACAGTTCTCGAACAGTCCCATGAACTCCGCCTTCGCTGGGCGACCGAGCGCTCTTTTGATGCCATTGCGCCCTTTGCGAGTAGGATCTCGCCTGGGTTGCATGTGCATTATACTCCGCTATCAGCTGATCAATCCTCGTGAGTGGTTCTTTGCGGGTCTTGTCGTTTGTGCTGAGGGAATTCTGACGGGGTACTTGATAGGGAGGCGCTATGCACGCTACTCCGCACGGTATTCGGAACTCGCAAGGACGGAGAAGCTGTCGTGGATTGCACGACGCCGGAGGTAACTTGACAATTCTTTCCATTCTCCACCTGTATTGCATGAGAACTAGCTCCGTTATGCTGAAATTGGGCTTGTCTAACTCGAGTGTCATGTACAGGACTCCTTCATCACACCCCCGCTCCTATCCACCAGATTCGCGGCCTCGGCCTCCCTCCAATACTACGCACAGCTTCCAAGCCTACCATCACTAGTCGCGTTCATACGACGTACGGCATGCCACCAAAAACAGGTTGGCGGCACCGAGTGCCATAATCGTGCCAATTCTCTCCTCACGGCCGATACGGTCGATGTTGACTACGATAGCATCTCTCATGCCTTGACTATCACAGGTGTTTGGGCTGGTCCGCCTAGTGGTGGCTGGACTGAAGATATCCCTAAGCCTTCTTCCAATGCAGACCAAGTTGAATTTGGTCTTTTGGGTGCGGAGCAGGGTATTGAGCCCGAGGAGATCAAGATGGGAGGGTTATTGGCGGTGGTTGGGGAGGACAAGAAGATGAGTATGTTCTCCATATTGATTCTCATATCTATTACACAAGTCCTAGAGCACCTTTCTAACAATTTCCAGAACCAACAATGTTCTCCTTCCCATCCCGACACCACCCTCTCCCCTCAGACGCCAGGTACTCCGTCTCCTTCACCAAACCAACCGGCCTCCACCCAACAATGTCCATCACCCTACAACGCCCCTCTCTCGAACGGCCCCCAGCCCCCGAAGACGCCACCTGCGCCCTCCACACATACCTCACGCTCCCATCCTCCATCTTCGGAGACCAATACCAACTCGGCACGACAGACCCGCTATTCCTCGAATCACACAACCTAGCCGCACTCCGCGCCCACGCCGGCGAAATGGACCTCGAAGCTCCAGACTGGGCCGTACAGCGCTGGGGCTCAACGTGGCTCTTCGAGCTAGCCAAACCGAGCCTGGATGAATCTGATACCACATCGAATTGGACCGCAACTATCCCGCTGCACCTGCGGTACCTGCCTCCCTCTGAAACGGGGTATAGCACTGCGCAGGTGCCCTGGCCCGTTGTTTTCTGGGCTTGTACGGCCGAGGACGGGACGAAGATGGGTGTTAATCCCTTTGACCGTACGAATCTGGGCTGGGATGGTCTGTTTGGTCCAAGGACGATGTTTTATCAACTTCATCCTGAGTCTGGTCGGCTTGTAGAGGAGATTGAGGTTCCTGTGTTGAAGCTTAAGGAGGGTGAGGGTCTGTTCAGGGCGCAGAATATTGAGCTAGGGACGTCATTGGTTATTTTGCTAGGCTTCTTGTGGGTGCTTTGGCGGTTGGTTCAGGTTGGGTTGTCGCGGTCCGGGCAGGGCCCGGGACAGGGTCATGAGAAGAAGGAGTGAAAACGAAATGGAGACTGCAAGGTATGTTGCAGGGTATATAATTGTTATTGTGTTTTGACTGGCGTCGCGGGTATCTCAATATCGTTCTTGTTGCACGCATAGATACGACTTGGCGTTTTAGGGCTATTCATTCATGACCTTTCCATAGACGTTGAGAATCAACCAGTGACCTCCTATCCATTTCACTTCCATCCTATACCCCAGCCATATATAAACCAGACCCCCTAAATCCCCATCTCAGGCAGCGGCCACGGCACATCCGTCATTAAAAACTGGTCCAGATCAAAGTTCTGCAAGCTGGGCATATCAATCATCAAATCGCCCAACCAAGAAAGCTCCGCATCAGACACCGGGCCCAACACATCCTGCGCCCTCGCCTGCGTCGGCACGGCCATCTGCGTCGTCGCCAGCACTTCATCCAATCCACTCCCAGCAATCCGCCCTTCCCCTTCAACCTTCTGCACCTCCGGCACAGGCCCAGGGACCGACACCGACACCGGCACCGCAGCAGCCGCATTAGCCCTCAACACCTCCCCCAAAGCCCTCGTATCATCCTCTTTCCTCCTCTGATGCAACGCAATAAGCAAATAAGCCGTCGAATACGCCTCCCGCATAACAGCCGTATCATACGCGGCCAAAACCTCCCTCAACGTCTCCATCGCATCCGGCAACAACCCCAACGCCGCCCGACTATCAATCGCCAAAAGCGTACAAACAACCTGAAACGGCACATTCGCAACCTGATGCCACGCGCACGTAGACGCGACCATACCGCGCGCCGCGCGGAGACCCCGCCCCGCGAGCGACAGGATGCGATCTAGGGCGCCTCCGGGGAGTGGTGCGTGGGCGTTTAGGGCGCGGACGCGCCGGTAGATGCAGAGCATTAGGTTTGTTTGGACGAGGATTAGGGAGGGTTCGGTGTATGTTAGGTCTAGGACGGCTGTGAGGGCTGTTTGGAGTTCGGGGAGGTCTTGGGGTGTTGGGCCGGTTGGGTCGAGGCTTTCGGAGAGGGGGAGGAGGTGGTATAGATCTGTGTGGGTTGCGGGTGCTGGGGGGTGGAGGATGTTGCGCCGTGCAGGACGACGCGGGAGCGGCCTAGGTCGAAGGAGATCCAGGTGTTGAGGTGTCGAGCCATGCCGAAGAGGCGGCGCCGGAGGCTTGTGTTGTTGGTTGATTGGGTTGTGGTCGTGGTTGTGGTTCCATTGGGGAGTTGGGATTCTGATGTTGGTGCTTGGATGAGGCCTGTTGATTCGGGGTCTTGAGTTTCGAGATGCAGGCCCACGGCTTCGATTAGATGCATCAGTGTACAGCTTGCCATCCATGCGGCGTGTGGTGATGCTGTCATGCGTAGGTAGGCTACGCGGAGGACCCAGCCTGTCACCGTGTCGACGGTAGGTGTGTCTGCGCCGAGAATGCTCTTTTCCAGGAGTGATCGTGCTGCATCGACGATCCGTAGTTCTATTGATGACATCTCGCGACGCGAGAATAAATGTCCGAAGGCTGCGACGCCAAGAAGTACGACGTCGTATGGTTGCTCTGCGGGTTCGGCAAGAGATATAGAAGGCGCTGACCAGCGTTGTGCAATATGTGCAAGCACCGTCTTCCGATCCAGAAACGCATAGCATGGATGAACCTTTTCAAAGTAAATCCCCGCTAGCCGGCCCATCTCATCCTCCGATATCATCTTGGTGATTGAGGAGGCCGTTGTCGACGTCACAGGAAACACCGAAACCTCCGGCGCCAAACGCCTCTCACCAACATTCCACGCAAAAAGATGCAATCTTGGCGCACGCGCAGGATCAATCCTAAGCCCAAGTTTACGCACAAACGCCGCGCCCGAGTTCGCCTCCAGTGAATGGCTCATGCGTCGCACATCATTCACACGAGGATAAGACCCCGGCGACGCAGCACTGCCCGCAGCGCTACTAGCCGGCTTAGCCGCTGGAACAGGATGAACAGGATGAGTCCATCCATCAGAAGGAGGAAGCCGCTGTTGCTCTCGCTCGTCTACCCCCGATAAAGAGGCACGGTACATACTACCGGATCGGGCGCGCTTCTTGCGCGGCAAGTCGCTGAACACGCAGGCGACGCCGGCCTGGGCGCAGGTGCTGCAGGGCTGTTCGCCTGAGCATTTGCGTTTGCGCGATTGGCATGATAGACAGGCTGCGCGGGAGCGCTTACGCGGCGTGGACTCGGTCATCGAGGTGGGACCTTTATGGGTGAGTTGGATGCGGAGTGACGAGTCATCGTGGAGAAGTTCCAAAGTACCTTTGCCAGTTGCGGGATGGGGAATATTTAGGTTTGAGGGGGAGTTGGGGGTGCCAAGAGTGACAGGCCTGGGTCCGCATCCATTTTTGGCTTGTGAAATGTCTACAAACCACAAAAGAACTGGAAGACATTCGGAGATATCAAGATTATATTGAATTCCTATCCGCTCACATATCCATTTTTACTGCTACAGGACTTAGTTTTCATACTTTCGTCCATCGGGATAACCCATCAAGTCCTCCAACTGCTTGAGATCGGGCATCCCCGCTGGGCCTGGCATGTACTGCAAGTTGTCTCGGAAAGTGGTCCCGTTCCACCATAGCTCATTCTTGTGCAAGGCATCCATAATCCGTGGTGCATCGATATACGTTCGAATCTCCACCATTTGTTTGGTCCGGGCATGCCAGCGAGTCACCCAGACATTGACAATGCCGAATGCTTCACCTATTACGTCGTTAGGTCGAGGTCAACGCGATATAGAAAGAATATAGGTAGTATCCATATAGTGCACCCAAAGTATATAACCTCTTTCTCCCATTGGCGATATTCTTACCAGAATTCATAATGCCCTTGAAATTCACCTCCTGCACCGACCACCGACTATTACATCCCCCATGAATGGCCTGTGGATGAATCTCGAATTTATCGGCGTGGTCCATGAACATCACGCTCACCCGGCGCAAGGCATTGACATAAAAGTGCATTAAATCACGATAATGTCCAGCGATGGGATGGTGGCCGACAACAGTGAAGCTAACATCCTTATTGATCAGTGTGAACAGCTTGCTCATATCCTTCTCTAAGTCTTTGAACGAGTCCCAAATATGCATCTGCGATACATATTCACAGTTGGTAGAGGGATTCTCGAACTGGAATCCTTCTCGCTCGTGAGGGGCTGGGTCGTGGATGATGCCGTCGCCATTGCAGTTCCCGTCGGGGTCTGCTAGGCCGTTTCCACCGCATCGGGAGTCTTCGAGAGGGAGGGGCTTCTGGGACCTAGCTCTAATTATGCTGCCGAAGGTGATAGGGACCCAATTGATCGTCAGGGCGGCGGTAAGATATCGCAGGATGATCATGATGCAGGGTTCTAGACCGGTTTACCAAAGCCTCAACAAACGAAAGCTGATAGTTTCGGTAGCTACTGTATGAGGTGCATCGAGACTTTTCACCATTGAATCTCTCTTGGTTATATACCTTCATGCCTTGTTCTTGTTCAATATGTATATTGACCGACCAAAATGATCCGAAAGCGTTACCTAACTTGGCTAATTTGGGATACATACGACGCTGGACATGGATCTCTTCAGTCAATGGAGTGACACAGAGAAAATGCACCGAGACCCTCACCACTTCCTCTTGTAACAGACCAGTCCCACCAATTTGGACCAGTCTTGACGCCACCAACACCATCGAGTCCAGTCACGCACATTGGCAATTTGATTTGTCCTTCGTAGCGGTGTGCAAATGTTCTTTACGGAGCGTCCGCGATAAGCCAGTCCAATTGACCAATTAGCATCCTGCCATTCCTGACAGATGAGTCAGCGATCGACAGTCCGACAAGCCGATGTCGGCCCGGGCACCTGATTGGCCACGCCGGTAGTCGGTGAGACCCGATGGCACGTGCCCGCACTGACTCAACGAAAACCTCTTTTCCCTCGTCCGTTTCCTCTCCTCCTCCTCCAGTTCCTTCAACCCCAGCTACAAACTCCACATCCAAGCTTCACCTATGTCGTGCTAAACGCATTTCTTCTTTTCCTCTTTAACTTTTGACTGCTACATCCACAGTCGCGCTTATGTGTTTGGCACCCTCAATCTTCACCTCCCAGGTATGTTGCTATCGTCTCTTTTTGCCTCGAGTCGAAGAATTACCAATTCAATGACTCCATGACCTACGATCAATGCTAATGCCCTTCTCTCTTAGGACTATATCTCGGGTATGCTTCGAATAATTCCAATGGACTCGCATTGGCCCCATTCCTCACAAAATACTAACTACCCCTTGCGCAGACCATCTTTGGAAAGCCCGTATTAACTGAATCGACCGACCCAATTCTCGTTCAATTCTTCACAAATTTCCCAAATCAAAATGATCATGAATCTGTTCAAGGCCATGCCCGCTCGGGCTCAGGCCTTCGCCACCGTGAAGCCCCAAGCCCGCTTCATGGCCACCGTTCGTCAGCGTGCCGCGATGGAGCCCGCCACCTTCACCATTCGTGACGGCCCCATGTTCACCGGCAAGTCCTTTGGCGCTCGCTCCAACATCTCTGGTGAGGCGGTCTTCACCACCTCCCTGGTCGGGTACCCCGAGTCCCTAACCGACCCCTCCTACCGTGGCCAGATCCTGGTTTTCACTCAGCCTCTGATTGGAAACTACGGTGTGCCGTCGGCCGAGAAGGACCCCAACGGTCTTCTCAAGTACTTCGAGTCCCCCAATTTGCAGGCGGCCGGTGTGGTCGTCGCTGATGTTGCGGAGCAGTACAGCCACTGGACTGCCGTTGAGAGCTTGGGCGAATGGTGCGCGCGGGAAGGTGTCCCGGCCATCTCGGGTGTTGACACTCGTGCTATCGTCACCTACCTCCGTGAGCAGGGTTCTTCCCTGGCCAAGATCACGGTTGGCGAGGAGTACGATGCCAACGAGGATGAGGCCTTCACCGACCCGGAACAGATTCACTTGGTGCGTCAGGTCAGCACCAAGCAGCCTTTCCACATCAGCGCTGCTGACCCTCACTCGCACGTTGCCGTCATCGACTGCGGTGTGAAGGAGAACATCCTGCGGAGTCTGGTCAACCGTGGCGCTAGCGTCACTGTTTTCCCCTTCGACTACCCCATCCACAAGGTGGCCCACCACTTCGATGGTATCTTCATCTCCAACGGCCCTGGTGACCCTACCCACTGCCAGGACACCGTCTTCCACCTGAAGCGTCTGATGGAGACTTCCCAGGTTCCCATCTTCGGTATCTGCCTGGGTCACCAGCTGCTCGCTCTGGCCACCGGTGCTCGCACCATCAAGCTCAAGTACGGTAACCGTGCCCACAACATCCCGGCTCTGGACCTGAGCACTGGTCGCTGCCACATCACCAGCCAGAACCACGGTTACGCCGTTGATGCCTCCACCCTGCCCGCCGACTGGAAGCCCTACTTCGTGAACCTGAACGACCAGAGCAACGAGGGTATGATCCACAAGTCCCGCCCTATCTTCAGCACCCAGTTCCACCCCGAGGCCAAGGGCGGTCCCCTCGATTCGTCCTACCTGTTCGACATCTACCTGGACAGCGTTCAGAAGTACAAGGCCAGCCAGGCCGGTCTGTACCCCCAGCGTGACAGCCGCCCCAGCCCTCTGCTTGTGGATCTCCTGGGTAACGAGCGTGTGGGTGTCCAGCCCACCATTGGCATGCAGAACGTTGCTGCTGCCGCCGCTGCCGCCGCTGTGGCATAAATGTTCTCATGTCGGGTGGGAGTTCGGCTCGGTTTGATTGGTTCTGTCTTGGATTGGTTTTCTGTTCTCGGGTTTCAGTCTTGTTTTGTTCATAGTTCATATTCCATGGTATATTCAATCTGAAATAACTTCATAAAACATACACACATATCGTCTTTTCATTCTCAGTTGTAGATGAAAATCTCCCATTCGATAGAATGTGTTTTAAGCGTCGTCCTTCTATTTCGCAACTATAGACACAACATCCTCATCCGCAACCATATGCCCCAACCCTACTCGCTGCGGGACATGTCTCGCGCTCGCACCCCACACCATAGCATACTTGAACGTTTCCTTCAGCGTGCGATGAATCTGGTCACAAACATCCTCGATGCTCGAGTCACGACGCACAATAAGCGCCTCGCTGAAATCAGGCTCTTCTCCCTTTCTGCAAATCATAAAGTTAGACGTTTGATTTCACCTCGATGCATAGAGAGGGTTTGGTTCGGTCTTACCGCTTGGTGTAAAGACGCATCAGGCGCAGTTCCTTCCAAATACGTTCAACCACCTCCTGCACTCCGAGATCGAGCTCGCAAGACATGACGGCTGTGTGAGGTTCACGGGCCAGTTGGTCCAGGAATTCGAGGCTGACGCTGTCGATCTTGTTGTAGACGTACAGGCTGGGCGTGATGTTAGTCAAGGCGAGCTCTAATATAGACAGTCCAAATGATGGATGGGAGTGACAAACCAGCGGATATACTTGCGGTGATCTTTCATGATCACGTCGATGAAGTCGTCGATCGTGGCTAGAGCAAAATTTCCAAATCAGAAGCCAGTTCGGGCAGTAGGTAAACCTGAGGGACATACCGTTCTCATCTCGCACCAACACCTCGCAGTTGAGCATCTTGTAGTCGCGAAGGACATTGTAGAGGATCTTCTCATCTAGGATCTTAGGTGGTGTCTGGAAGGTGATCTTCATGCCACCGGCCTTTTTGACCTTGAGATAGATGTTTCTGTGATATTTGGATTAGTAGACAGATCAAGCGTAACTAGATAACGATTTACTCACGGGGGTTCCTTGTTCAATCGAATGCCCACAGCATCCAATTCGGCCTCCAGAAGTGCACGCTGCTCAGCACGCTTCGTAGCATCAAGCACCATAAGAATCAAGTCACTGGTCTAGCACACAGCGAATAACCCGATAAGCATTTTGCCTCCAGTCAGAAATAAGATGATATACAGCATACCTTCGCAGCAGAAATAACCTGACGACCACGGCCCTTTCCCTCCGAGGCGCCCTCGATAATACCAGGCAAATCCAGAATCTGGATCTCGGCACCCCCATACTCCAGAACACCGGGAATAGCTGTCAGCGTGGTGAAGCTGTACGAAGCAGCCTCACTCTTGGTTTTCGTGATCTTAGAGAGGAAAGTAGACTTTCCGACGGATGGGAATCCGACCAGCGCTACACGCGCATCGCCGCTCTTGCTGACGTCGAAACCGGCGCCACCACCGGAGCCAGCACCGGCTGCTGGTTCGAGGAGTTGGGCTCGTAGACGAGCGAGTTTTCTGTGGATGGATGTTAGCTGGATATTCTGGAGGCGGGTTTTTTAGGACTGGAAGTCTGCGTACCCTTTCAATAGACCCAAGTGATATTCTGGAAATTGTCAGTAAGCTCTACAGCTGTTATTTCAGGGAGCTCGGTGATACCAACCTGTCGCCTTGTTCTCTGCGGGGCATGTTAGCGGGGTGATTGATAGCTGGAAAATTTTGGTTGAGGCAACTTACTCTGCGTCCGCTTCATCTCATCTTCAATCCTGTAGATAGAGTAATCAGTACTCGGCCATTCATTTGTCTGTTTCGGGGATGTTCATACTCCTTGATCTTTTCTGTGATGTTCACCATCTTGTCGGTTGGTGTGGCTCCACGCCTGAACGACTCTTAAGGACGATTTTGTGTGATTTTCTTCTTATTTCAAATTCAGACAGCAAGACAGCTATCTTGGATACCGTCTGATCTGCCCGTAAGACCCTGAATCGCACGAGCCCCTCGAATATCAAGTCCAGCGAGAAAGTTGTTCGCCCGCCAAAAACCTTATGTAAGCCAAAAAGTCGCGGGCGGTCGATTCCCCAAGCGGGGCAATACTGACTCACCGCTCCTCTCACCGCCCCCTCACAGGTTCACCTCTTTCCTTCTATCAACCACATTGAACCTCAATCGCGACAGGAACCTCTGCCCATTCAATTCACACACCAAAAATGGACACAACAACCGAGCCCAGCAATGCTGTTGCCGAACTCGAGAATACCCAACCACCCACCGAAACAGGCGACCAAGCCCTCCAACCCGTGAAAAAGACCAAAAAAATCATCCGGCGCCGCAAAAAGCCCGCGCGCGTGCAAGTCGATCCGTCCACCGTTAAGAGCGAACCCCCGGCTCAAACAGGCGAGCTATGGAATATTTGGTACAGCAAGTGGAGTGGAGGTGATTCGCAAGATAAACATGGGTTGGATCAGCCTGCGCCGTCCCGATGCAACGTTGCGAATGATTCTGGGTACACCAAGGCGGATCAAGTGCCGGGATCATACTTTTGTCTGTATTTCAGCAAGGGTCAATGTTGGAAGGGTCCGGCTTGCGAGTATTTGCATCGTATTCCGACGATTCATGATCATTTCAATCCTAGTGTTGATGCGTTTGGTCGGGATAAGCATCAAGATTATCGGTAAGCTAGCTTCCTGGAGATCTTGGCTGGTCATTGTCTGCGCAGGTTCTAACTATCATTTTCTAGAGATGACATGAGTGGTATTGGCGCGTTTACCCGAGGTTCGTATAGCAAATCCGTATTTCAATTCCTATTTACCCAGCTACAAGCTATAGCTGATGGTGGACTTGGTGATGGCCTACTAACTCTGTTTCTTCTACAGTCAATCGTACCCTTTACGTCGGACGTATCCATGTTACAGACGATATTGAAGTGAGTTTTCTATCAATTGACTCCGAATCTTGGACCGGTCACTAACTCATTCACAGGAAGTAGTCGCTCGCCACTTTGCGGAATGGGGGCAAATCGAGCGTATTCGAGTTCTCACAGTAAGTCCAACCACAACCTTGATTATCTCTCTACGGCCTCGAGCTCACAATTCCACAGGGAAAGGGTGTGGCTTTCGTTACATACTCCAACGAAGCTAATGCGCAATTCGCCGTGAGTATCTCCCAAGCTTTCTCTACCCCATCCCAAACAGTCAACTAACCCAGCCACAGATGCAAGCAATGTCACATCAAAGCCTGGACCACGACGAAATCCTGAACGTAAGATGGGCCACCGTCGATCCGAACCCCCTATCACAAAAGCGCGAGGCACGAAGACTAGAAGAGCAAGCCGCGGAGGCCGTGCGGAGAGCTCTCCCCGCCGCATTCGTGGCCGAAATCGAAGGTCGCAACCCAGAAGCTAAGAAGAGGAAGAAGATCGAGGGCACCTTTGGATTGGAAGGCTACGATGTACCGGATGACGTCTGGCATGCGCGCACGCGACAGCTCGAGGACGTACCAGCAACCGGTCAGCTCGAGGCGCCTGAGCAATCACTTATGCTGGAGGCGGGATCAACGGGCGCAGAGGTGCAACAGGAGCCTGACGCTCAAGCGGGCATTTTCTCGAGTTCGACGCTGGCGGCTTTGAGGGGTATGGCTGGAAGTAATGTGACGACGCAGGCTGCTCCGAAGAGTTCTGGTGGGCCTTTGGTGGCTTATGGAAGTGATGATGAGAGTGATTAGGTTTCGCGATTACAGCCGGTTCATACTCGGGTTTGTTAGACCGAGAATGATATTTGCGATCTCTTCGTGTACAATAGCATCGATACCTCTGGAGTCTAAAAGAAAAGATTCCTATGCGTCTACTGATGATGATGATGATGGATGATGATATGTATTCGTATGCAGATCTGTCAGGTGGTAGCCCGGTTTGCTGGCATTTCTTCTATGCATCAACTGTGCAGCCGGCAAATCGGGGTACCACCTGTTAGATGCGTGGATGAATTCATCATCATCATCATCTGCTTCTTCTATGCATCTACCATCTACTCGGATCCGTACAATGTTCTCGAAATAAACATGAGATCTGCTCTGTAGGTATTGCGGGAAGTGCACTACCCTGATCGGCGTATTTCATTACGGGGTATCGTCCCGACATTTCGCTGAGAACAGAACAAGTAGAAGATATGGTACCTGTTGAAAGACAAAGTGGCTCCATAACAAGACTTGAGCAATAAAACAACATGCCAAAAAACAATCCGCCCAGATGATGTAAATGCAATGATGTTCAAACCTTTCCATGCAGACCGACAAACAAACAAAACCAAACCACAGAACCAAAAAAAAAAAATATTTCAACTCCCCAAACCTCCACATCCAATCCTAAATCATTCAATCATTCAATTCACCTGTCACCTATCACAAGGACCAAGATCATAATACACACACGACCCCGTCCGATAATTGTAGATAAAGGCATTCGTGAAGCCCTCGCCACTATCATCGGCGCGGTTCTCCGATGCTAAATCAGTTAGCAATTCATACACTTGGCTGAGGTATTTGCGTTCCGTCAGTGGCGCGTTCTGGATGACGGTGCGCCAGCTGTCGGGGTCGGAGAGGCGAGTGTCGCGGATGGAGTCGAGGACATCGTCGCGGGTGTCGATTGCGGCGACGGGGCCGTTGCGGGCGTTTTCCGCGACTTCGCGGGAGCGCAGGAGGGCTGGTATCAGATGAAATGTTAGTGGTGTTCTTGACGTTAGAAAGAGGGGAAGGGGGGTATATGTTGGACATACCCGATTCGACAATATTCCTTCGATTCGTCTTTTTGCTTCGATGTTGAGGGACGAGAATGCGCACGTCATTCGCCTTCTCATTTGATAAGAGAGCGTCTTGTTGACCGGGTTGACGAGCCTGGCGCGGATCAGAAGTTCCTTCTCGCTGGTGGCGGGCTTGCACTTCAGCTCGGAGCCAGGGAACGAGTTCAGAGCTACGAATATCGAATTCTTCTTTGCGGACGAGATTCCGCACTTTGTAGCCCCGCTCTTTGCTATCTTGTTTGGCGATTACGATCCAGCGGTGATTGTGTTCTCGGTATTTGGCCATGAGCTCTTCGAGGGATGAAGCGTCTACTGCCAGTTCGGCGCTGATGCCGTTGGCCCAGAGGTCTTCGATTATTTTGACGCCCATTGTGCGGAGGACGGTTGCGTCGAAACTGGATACGAGGACATCACACTAATGAGGTTAGGGTTAGTGGATAAATTGGAAAGTTGGCTAGTAGTGAGCAGGTTTGACTTACTCTTCGAGTTGTCCAATACAGTTCAGAGCCAGACTCGACATCCTTCGATGGTGCCCTGGACTTGAGGTATTCGGCCATGGAAGAGCCCAATCGATCCGAGCTGAGATTAAATCCGACGGCATGCGCCTGTGGTCGGTTTGACAAGACCTTTGGTGCGAATTTCTGAATCAAGCGATCATACCGACCGCCAGCAGCGAAGACGTCACGGCGCTTGCTATCGAAAACGCATTGGAACAAGATGCTACCTCGGTAGAATTTGTCGTGCAAGCTGCTAAGCGGGTTGATGTAAACCTTGCGCTTAACGCCAAAGCTCTGCAGATAAGCCATTAGGACATTCAAGCGAGCAAAGATGGGAGGAATTCGCTCGGCAAATTCGGTGCCTTCCATAATGTTTTGAAGCCTGCGACGGGCCTCCTTGGGAGAGTCTCTAAAGTCGAATCGTGCAAGATCATCCAAGGAGGTCGATGCAACTCCAATTGACGGGGACCGGAGTTCACTCCGGATCTTTTGCATCGTGTATTTCCCGACGTTCAGCTTGCTGATTACGTCCTTCACGAGTGGTATTTGAGAAGGAGTAATACGACAGAATTCCATGATGAGCTGCAGGAGATCGGAATGATTGACCAGGAAGCACATTGTGGCAGACCGAAGGGGCGGGAACTCATCGATGATCTCGTCGAGGACTTTGATCACTTCTGCTTCCTTCAGAGCTAGGTCTAGAGTGTTGTAGGAGACGATGTCAAAGTCGACTTCCCGGTGGGTCCGAGGCTCACTGCCGTGAGTAGACTCTCTGTAAACCGTTCCAAACGCAAAGGTCTTCTCCAGGGAGGGATCTTGTCGGGGGATTGCTCGTGCATTGGGGACTGTCAGATCAAAGGGCAACTGTAACAAATTGCCCGACGCATCCAACAAGCGCACGGCGCCCGAGGAATAGTGCTGAGAGCGTGGGAACAGCATCTGTCTTGGCGACTCTACAGCGCCGTGTCTGCGGAAGATTGAAGTCAGCCGCTTCTTGACGAGTCCCTGCACGAGGAGTTCGTTGGCTGCCGGGTTTGTTTGCGAGTCCATGTCCCAGGCGATATCCTCGAATTTCTTCGGAGATTGAGAGAATATCGCAGTCAGAATTTTCTTGTAATCTGGAGAATCAGGGTCGGATAACAAGTGAACAATAGCCCGTCTGAAGGTTTCTTCTTCAACCTGAAGAGGGATACGACCACTGGAAAGGAGCTCAGAAGCTGTAGGACGCTCAGCGGGGTTGTGGCTCAATAGAGACTCGATGATCTGCCCTTGGACGACCTTCTCGGACTGTTGAAATGTGGGCGGCAGAGTATGATACTTTTCTCTGATGGAGCGTAGAGTTTGATCACGCTCCATACCAGTCGTCAGTGGGTGGCACATCTCGAAGAAAATGACACCAAGGGAGAACATCTAGTCGAGGTCAGCACGTGTGAAATTAGATTAAAGCTCGAGTAAGTAATACGCACATCGACCTTCTCATTGTAGTGGCCCGGTAATCCTGACTTCATTTCAGGTGCAACATAGTAGGTCGTGCCTAGACTGCGGGTGAAGTCACCTTCAAAATCCGCTGCCGCCGACGAGCGTACAGCAGTCATGAATTGCCCACTGGTAGCAAGGCCAAAGTCTCCAATACGGGGATTATTGGCGACGTCGATGAAAATATTATCGGGTTTCAAGTCTCTATGAATAATGCCATGACTGTGAATGTGGCTCAAGCCATCGAGAATCTGTCGGAACAAACGCCAGGAGCGGTCTATGTCGTCGTACAAGCCGTTTTTGATCAAATCACGCAGTGTCTGTATAGCTAGTCAGCATCGTCATTTCAAGGCATCTGATTTTCGACTCACATGTTTCTCGCAATACTCCATTTGAATGTAAAGCGTGGTGAGGATAGGTCGACCGTATGAGCCAGACTGTGCGCGGCTAACTTCACTGTGTTCGGTGCCAGTACCAGTCTCATAGGTCTCGGGGGTATCGTGATGTCTTCGGTCCGAAATCGTTCCCTCGTTTTCATCTTCACTGTCCGATGCGGCGAATTCAATCTTCGGATACCCGCTGGAACTGATAAAGTCCAGACCACCAGTACTAAATCCACGGTGGTCTTGACTGGCAAATGGATCGCCCTCGGTCGACGAGATTGCTTCCTCTTCGATGTGGTTAAAGTCTTCCTCGAGCCACGCAGTATAGTACCGCACGACGTAAGGGTGATTCAATCGCGAAAGAAGCATGATCTCCGAAAGCGTATCCTTCAATGCCGCTGCAGAAGTCTGAGAAATCTTCTTGACGGCATAGAAACGGCCATCCAATTTGTTCCTGGCTTTGACAACTTGGCCAAATCCACCGCGGCCTAGGTGACCAGCCTCGTCAAAGTCTTGGTGATACCGCGAGAAGGCCGGCATAGCCCCAAAGGAGTCGAGTCGTGGCCGTCGTTGTATCGATACTGAGTTCGAAGACCTATCGCGCATCGTCAAAGGCGCATCTACCCGGAAAAACTCCGAAGGCTGAAGTTGGAAGGCAGTAGGTCGTTTCCTGGGGTCTGGTCGGAAGAATTCTCGAAGCAGATCTTGCAGCGGTGGGGAAAGGCCCAAGGAGACCATTAATTGATTAGCTGATGTATACCGCAGAAGGACATCTTTTCCAAAGGCCATCTGCAGTAGAATGATTCCAAGGTCCCAGACATCCGTCTTCTGGGTCGGGGAGGCACCCTCCTGGGTCAGCTCAGGGGGTAGCCAGAGCGGGGACTTGGATGTGGTTAAGGACCGCTTTCCACCAGGAGAGTCTGGCAGGGCCTCTTCAACACTAGCTTCGAGCTTGACAATGGTCCCACCAGAAGTGTTCCGACATAACATAATTCGGCCGCAGTGAACATTTCCATGGACGAATCCGCTCCGATGGTAGAATTCCAACGCCTCGAGCAGTTGTATCATCCAGCCTCGAAGGGTCTCCACAGCGACAGTGCCAACAATATCGAGAAGCTCCGACAGTGAACCCTTATTCGCAAACTCCAAGAGAGCAAGCACAGTCCAGGCATTATCGGGCGAGTCAAAGTGACTGAGAGGACGAATTATCTTGAAACCCACAAAGTCGACAAGGTTTGGATGTCGAAGTCGTTTCAAGCCCTCCAACCTATCCTCGCTAGACCTCATTTGCTCTCGGAATGTCAGTGTGTCGGAGCCTTTCTCATTAAGAAGAATCTCCTTGAGAACAAGTAGAGGCACGTGGCACCTGCCCTCGGAAACGACAGGCCTCACGGTGAACGTTTTCTTGCCCTGTTTGCATTGCAGCAAAGTCTTTCCATGTACAGCACGGAACATCAGCGGTTGTTCGTCAGTATCATTGACCGAGATCGGCGGGTCGAATGAGATGGCGCCCGGGGTATTTTCCACAAGATCTTCGACATCATTCGAGTCTACTCCACCGGTTCGACTCTTGCGCCGCAGGATCTGAGCTTTGTTTCGCTGTCGAGCCCTGTCTTCAAGCATCAATTGAAGCGCACGTGCCTCCTCCACATGCGCGGCCTCTTGTTTCCGCAGTTCTTCTTGCTTTTCGAGTTCTGCGCGGTGGATCGCCGCAGCCTTTTGTTCCATGCGCTCCTCCTCGAGACTGGGTAGATCTTTGTCCTGTTCTCGAGCTTGAGCCACATCTTCTAGAACATCTTGGATAGACACGGCGAGCTCATAGATCATTTCACTGCCGAGAAGTGTTCTCGGTTTCTCACGAATGATTTTCTGAATCCGAGAGCGGGCATTTTCGCGGAGATCGTCGAGTTTCTGCAGCGATAGATTCGGGACGGTTTTAGGGTATGTAGCTGGCAGTTCCACGAGAAGCACGAGGAAAACATCTGGATTCGAGGAGGCTCTAAGGTGGAGCTTAAATGTCACGTTGGAGGATTGCTATTGAAATCACAGGTCAGATAGTGGCTCGAGCGCTAGATCAAGATTCGAGCCATTTTCCACCCACCTGCCATGCTGAGCGGCGAGTCTCGACCTCTTCATAATCATCGCCATAGATTGAACGAAGGGCTTCGACCTCGTTTAGGTGAATTTCACGGTAATTGGTTGTTGCTATTACGGGGGACGTCACGGAAGAGGAATCGGAGGCAGAAGATGTTTGCTTTTTCACGCGGGGAGCTTTTTTCCTTTGTTTGGGAGACATCGCGGGCGCTGGGGCGTGGCGCGAAGTCGCCCTACATCCGGGATTGGAGGTACGACATGGATAGCTTGGGATCTGTCCAGTGTTATAAGGGGAAATAAGGTGTCAAAAGAGGGAAATCAGGTCGGACACTAAGTCGAGGAAGCGGGGAGGGTCTTTTTTTGCGGCGAGGGACAAAACAGGCGGTCAGCAAATGCGAAGGGCGTGACACTACGGAGTAGTGCTAACTGTGATAGCGCCTTATCAGGTTATCAGGGCTTATCGATAGTCGATAAGCTCACGGGGAGTGGCCCAGTTTGTCTCGTTTGCAGTTTTTATACTTTGCTGATACTCTGCTATTTTTCAATTATTTAGTATATTATAGAGAGTATCCAAGATGATAAATACTTTTAATTGTTTTGAAAGTCACTTTAGTCTTTTTCAAATCACCATATACAATTCAAAAGATCAAGAACTCCATAACAAACACCCAAGTTTACATAACCACATGCCCAAGAGTGGATATCTCGGAATTCTGCGTTGTCCTCCAGCTACTAAACTGGACTCGATTGCTGGCAGCTGCCAGCAATCGAGCCACTGTCAAATCAACCTCCACTCGGAATTCTTATTTCTGCTCCGTCACAAAGGTCCAAAGCCCATCAAACACCCCCAAAACCAGACTTCCAAGCAAGGTGAACATGGGTGCATACTGCCAGTGTCCCCATTGGCCGTGTCCATGCGTCCAACAAATGGCCCCGTCTCCAAATGCCACGGCGCTAGCACCGATCAACGTCCAGCCCAAGGACCGAGAGGTGCCCAAAAAAGAAGCTGCGTAGATGGCAAACCCGATGAAAATATTGCGGATTCCATACACCGCCATCAGACTATCCACCAGGACTCGGTCTGCTGGTGGAGACGGGAGCTCGAAAATGGCTAGAGCACCGTCAGGGTTGAAGATCGCGTTGAGGCCGAACCCGATGAACGGGGTTGCTAGGGCAGTGGCAATCATGCGAACGATTGAAGACTGAGAGAGAGGCATATTAAAGGGATTTGTGCTTTTTGATTGAGAGAGAATTGCTTTTGCAAATTATGTATGTAGGTCACGTTGCTGACTGCTGGTCAAGGTGAGAGAATAAGCAAAGTATGTGAGGAGGTAAGATCTGATCTGATTCTACTTCCCTATCCCCAGCTTTTTATTTCTTTCAGCCTTGTACCTTTCTTTTCTTTGACTCACTACTCAGCCCCAAGTGGAAGCGATTCGTTGATCAATTGCTTGGCTAGGCTGCCAGATCCTTCAAGGGCCATTTCCCTCGTGTTCTTCATTTTCGATGTCCGGGCGGGCCGCTATCGATAAGCGCTGACCTCAGCCTTTAGCTCCCGCGCGTCAGTAAACAAACCTCCACCATCCCCATCGGATCTCAGCACCCAACCATGCTGGACTGGATGAAGGGGAACGAGGCTGGGGCAGCAGGTAGGACTTGAATTGTGATCAATCTTGAGTACCCAGACACTTACCACATGTTTCCATTGTTTAGACACCTCCAAGGTGCTGGAGCCCCCCGAGACGCCCGCTCCCGTGTTTGCGATGCGCGCCTTCAAGAGCGCTTTGTTTGGCACGCCCGGTGCCGAAGAAGAGGAGAAGGCGAACGCGGAGGATAAGGAGGATACCTCACAATCGAAGCCATCCGTTCACCAGCGCAGCAAGAGCGACACCACCAAGCCTATCACCATCGAGAAGGAGCCCGCGAAACCAGACATCAACTCTACCTTCAATCCCTCGGGTTCGCCCACCAAGAGCATACTCGTCACGCCTGGTACCATTGCGAACCGTCGCAAAACAGTCTCCTTTGGTGAGGGCGTGGTTGACAATGAGGGGAAACGCGAGAGTCAGTCCAGCAGGGCTCCGAAGACACCTCCAAATCCGTCCGGGATTACTGCACAATGGATGTCCGGCTCCGCAAATGGCAAGCCACCAAGCAAGTTGACCCAAACTCTGCTCGATGCTCGTGATAACGCGTCGAAGAATGCCGAGTCGGCCAAATCTACCCAAGAAAATTCGTCCGAGTCCAAACCCGCTACGCGCACCCCATCAGAGGACGAACCAGCCGTTGAAGATATTACCATCAATTTGGATGAGCCGCGGTCGGAGTCTGGGAAATATTGGAAGACGGAATTCGACAACTATCGCGTGCGTACCAATCGCGAGATCAAAAAGCTTATTCACTACCGCTCAATCGCCAAGTCCTATGCTCGAAAGAAGGATTCAGAGGCATTGCGCCTGGCAGATAAGCTTCGAGAAGAAGAAGAGAAAGTGGCAGATATGGAGCGTCAAGTGTCCCGCCTTGCTGCGACCATTGTCGGGGAAGGATCCAAGGCAGACAAGGAGCAATTGATCCAAGACCTGACCAAGCAGACTACTCTGGCACTGCAGTACAAGCAGCAAGTGACGTCTCTACGCAACACGCTAGAGCAACAAGGTGTGATCAAGAATGATATGGTGAAGACCACGGAATCAGCAAAGGAAGAGCCATCATCACAAAGCTCCTCGAACTCCTCGGAAGAACTCCGCAAGGCTTATGAGGAGCTAAAACAAGCAAACGCCAAGATCGAAGAGCTGAAGCGTCAGAATCCAGATCTCAGTAGACTCCAAAGCCTCGCGCAGAGTTCTGAAAAGAAAGCGCAGGAGCTCGAGAAGGAGAATAACACCCTCAAGCAAACATTGGCTCGTGTCAAACAAGAAATGTCACGATACGAGGGCCGGCGCAAGGAAAAGGAGACCAGGCTCAAGCAAAGAGAAACTAAGCTCGAGGCCCGCATCCAAGAGTACCGCGATCGACTCAAGACGACTATCCAAGAACACCGGGAGTCAGAAGAGAAGCTACGGGCCACATTCGACGAGGAGCGTCGCCGCATGCAAAACCAAATCGATCTTCTCAAGATCAAAGCATCTGCATCTGACCGCAGCATCCCAACTCTACGAACCCAGCAACGGCATTCCCTCAGCCCACGCAAAGCTTACGACGGCGTACACGTACACGATTTCGCTGCACAGGATCACCCCATATCAGACGAAGAAGCCACAGAGGACCTAGACGCACCACCAAGTCCCAGCCCGCGCTCCAAGGCCCGAGAACAGCGCCATCACACCCGCAACGCAACAACGGGTACCATCGATCTCAAGCGCACAGCACGAGACATCGCAGCCGACGACGACGAAGTCACACACTATCTAAACGAGATCCTCCCAAAACCACACCTCACTCACCGCACCAATCAAACCACAGTACCCCCATCCTCCCCACCAGACATTCCAGTGCTCAAAACCCTCGACCGCAATCATCCAAAGTACCTCAACACGGGCGAGAACCAGCGCAGCTACCGCTCTCTCTACCGACGTGATAATGGAGAGACATCAGAGCACCGATACGGAAATCTCACGCACCGTCCCCGTACGCACATCAAGTCTGCGCTAGACTCGATGTCTGCGCTTCCGCCCTCGCGCCCTACATATGCCGGGCACACTATCACTGCCGGCGAGCGCGGGCTTCGACGGACAGGGCTGGCGGATATGAGGGGTGAAATAATGTTATCGCCGGAACGTGTTGCTGCGGCTAAGTCGCGGCTAAAGATTAAGGGTGAAAGTCGGAAGGTCAAGGCGTTGGGGAAAGAGAACAATGCTGGGGAGTTATTGAGTTGATTGCGTCCAAGCGGTAATATCTGGATTGAGAAGTGTTCTTTTTTTAATTTCTTTTACATTGGGATGCGAGATAGGTGTGGATGGTGTCGGGATTGTTTGCTGGTTTTTTTGTCTTTCTGAAGGACTAAAGCGAGTGATGTTCATAGGGTACGGGTTGAGTACAGGGCTGAGCTGGAGTCAGATATCTTGGCGATTTTGTCATTGTCTATTTCTTTCCAATTTCACATACTTGAAGAAGAAATCACAGTACTATGAACAATATTTAGTGTATTGTACTTAATCTATGACCACCACCGATCTATTACATCTAACACGAACACAGTCCCGTACAAGGGACGTCCAAGTCTATCATCCAAGCAAAGACTCCAAGATCCTGGGTCCGTCATAAAACCCATTCAACCCATTTCCATTAGACTCCCATCACATATATCATGTCTTTTAGACAGACCTTAGATCTTACCGTCGGAGAACGACACGACGGCCCATTTCCCAGTCCACGCCCACTTCCGTGACTCACTGCCGCCTCCGTTAGGAAGCTGGCGGAGCTTCTCGTCCTCACCGGCAGGCAGACCGACGACCACGTCCGCCTTGCAGGTGCGGAAGGCTAGGACACGGATTCCGGACTTGGGACCCATGGGGCCGATGGCGGTTGTGAAGGGGGTTGTGGGGTCCCATTGAGCCTGGGAAGTATAGTCAGCAAGTGTTATATTGAAGAAGGGCAGCACGGTAAAGGTTGGTCAAATACGTACGTCGTTAACAAGCTTACGGTAGTTCAAGTCACCCTTAAACAGCACAAGCTCACTCTCCTTCAAATCCTCAAATAACTCCGGCGCAACATGCGGCATACGCCAGTAACAGCCCTGCGTAGTCCAGAACGAGTGCGGACGCACAATCAACTTACCATCCTGATGGAACTCGCTCCACTGCTGGAAAAGGAATTGCACGTCCTCAACTTCCTTCTCCGAGAGCGCCGGGTATGTCTTCCCCGAGTCATCGGCCGCGGTATAGAATGCCTGCGGGTCAACCATCGAGTTGAGCAAGTCCGAGAAATCCCTCGGCGTAACATCCGACACGAACCACGGCAGACGCTTCGGGTGTAAAACGACGTTTGTCGCCAGACCTGCTGAAAGCAGATACCCAGCCAGAATAAGATCGACGAAGAGCTCGAAACCGGAGTTATCGAGGACGATGTCGACGCGGCGCTCGCCGTTTTTCTTTTCAAGACGGGCCTTTTGCATGACATTGAAGGCGGCTTCGAGGTCATTGACTAGAATGTTCTTCTGCGATGCCTGGCGCGCCTGCGTGCCTTGCAGTTTCTGGATGTCCTCGTATGTGAGGGAGGTTAGGAGGAGGAGATCGGTGGCATTTCCCCATAGGCAGATCTCGCACATCTCTGAGAAGAGTAGTTTCTCAGCCTCTTCGACTTGTTCGGGGGACTTTCCGTCTACGCCTTTGCCGGACTCGGCCTCGTGGGCTAGTTCGCGATATCGTGCGGCAAGTTCCAGGACGGCGGGGCGGGAGGACTTGAAGGTGGACATCTTCTGGCGGGCAAAGACGTCGTAGCCCTTCCAGTGCTTTGATAGAGAGAAGAAGGTCTCCATGCGGCGGTCTATAGAGCGGTCATAATGTCAGCGCTATTCTATTCTCGGAGCCGGATATGTGCAATAAGATAGGCATGAAAGGCATACAGAGGTAGCACTCGGAGTAGAGCCAGGGCACATCGTGCCATTTAGGGTTTCCCCGCTGCTCGAGCTCCTTGTTATACGAAGCAATATCGGATTCGCCGTCATCATCGAGGGGACTATCAAGCAACCAACATATCAGCAACTCTTCGTTTTTCTAAAAACTCAATGCCATGTGGGGATCTACTTACGTCAATTGCCGGTTGTGCTGCAACTCATACTTCAACGTCGCCAGCTTCTCAATAATGCTCTTTCCTTCCTTAGCCTTCTCGGCATCGGTCACCGCATTCACCGTCCGAGCCAGATCATCAATGGCGCCAGTCTTTACTAGTTAGTACCGAACAATCACCAGCATTAGAAAGAAGCATACAATAATGATGGGCCATCGTTCATCGGCAGAGACTGAGGCGAAGCTCGACCGGTCCGAGGTGAGGTATTGAGCTGTGATATGTCAATTAAATGTCTATTTGTCTGTCAATGGTCAACTCACGCGTCTTTGGATCGAATTCCATCTTGTCTGGTGGAGTTGGCGAAAGTTGGGGAAGCCGACGATGTTGGAGGGGGAATAATCGCGGGGCAGTTAAAGCGGTGAGCTTAAAGGGTTGTATATGGATACAGAGCGAGTCTGGGCCATTGAAATCGCTCTAATGGATACAGTGATCTGATTGTTTCTTATGATTGGCTAATTCATTCTATCCAGAATTAGATGTTTTGTACAAGATGTGATCAAGGAACAACTAATACCATCAATCCATCAATTCGTCGTATATCTCAAGTTTAGCTCATGTATTTCAAAACACCAAAGTGTGAACGGACAGCAATGAGTCGCCAGGGTTCGTAAGCGAAGTAGAAGTAGAATTCAGATGCTCGTTAGTACAATAGTATATCGTTCTAAGCTCTTTGGAAGATAACGCCCGCTCTGCAAATCTTGCAAATCATCCGGATTCATCACATCATCGACGACAGGATCGAATTCTGCGCATATGCCTGGGAATAGAAGTTAGCTCAAGACCCTCTTTTCGAAGATACGTGGATCCTTGGAGATATTTGACTTACCATCGGCTTAATATCAGGGTGGGGCACAGCCTCAAACACTTCATAATTGAGCTTGAGATCAGGTCCAATGTTGATATACGCGCCCTTGTTTTCCGTAGAATCGCAGTACTTGGGCGCCGAGAAGACGGTGATACACCGGCCATCGTGCTCAACTTCGTAACCTTCCATACGGACCTCGTGTGATCGGATAATAGCATCAAGGCCGTTATTCTCACAGAAGCGCTTGGTGATATCAGGGCCGAACTGCAGACCAACACCGCGCTTGCTGGGTCCACGACCAGGCTGTGGCTGCGGGTCGGTCCAGAGCATCTCCATCATCAAGCCCTGTTGGCCGGGCTGGCGTTGGTTGTGACGGTTGAGTTTGCGGATATCGTTCAACGTGATCTTGTCATCTGAGAAGAGACCGCCGTGCAGGACGAGATACTTCTCCCCGATCAGAGTGGCCAGTGGCAAGGCCGAGAAGGACTCGGAGAACACCTTGAAGACGCGCTCGGTGTACTTGGCCTTGCACTCGCCCTCGAAACCGTAGACCTTGTTCATATCATCCGTCTCGTGGTTGCCACGGTTGAGGAACAGGCCGTTCGGACGCAGCCACTTGTAGGCGTAGAGAAGAAGAGCGATTTCGCAAGACCACGAGCCACGGTCGACAAAGTCGCCGTTGAAGAGATAAGCGTGGGAGTCGGAGGGGCTGCCGTTTCGGCGGAAGATCTCCAACAGATCAAAGAATTGGCCTATAGATCGTTAGTCAGGGATTCTCACCAGAGCATGAGGGGCTTCCAGGATATCCATACCGTGAGTATCACCACAAACCGTCAACTTCTTGCCCGCATCAACACCAATCTCCACCATCGTCGGCTCATTGTAGACAATATCCTTCACAGCCTTGACGATCTTGAAGACATACTTGCGGTGAATGTTCTTGCCATTCTTAAACCGGGTAATCATATCATCGATAAACTCCTGCGTCATCTCATTCTCGATGCGCACACCATCATAGTCATCCTCAACCTTAATAGCATCGATGTCCAGGCCCTCAAATGCAGACGGCGGGTCGGAAACCTCAATCGCCTTCTCAAACTCTATCCGACGAACAAGCTTCTCGCAATCCGCCAGCTTAAGCTTCGCATTCTGGTTGTTCGGTTCACGCTTGACCACGGCCTTGAAATCCCGGAGGGCTCCTTATAGTCGAGGATGGCGGTTTTGGCGAGGGCGCGTCTCCAGTATGCCTAAGAGTAGAGAGAATGTCAATATCGGCCTTTCAACAAGCTAGTGCCGCAAAGACAGGGCTTTCTCCGTGTTCTGGCTGGCGACTAACCTTCACGTAGTTTGGGTCCAATTCCAAAGCCGCGGTGGCATCAGCGACGGCGAATCCAAATGCCTCGAGTTTGATCTGAGCCTGTTGAGCGAGAATTCCACGTTAGCCCAAGTCCACCCTGACCTCATATTCGCCGCATTTATTAGCCTCGGTATAGGCTCGCCCTTGTCGGGGCCCGACGTACCTGAGCCCTGTTGGAGAAGAACGAAGGTTCCTGATCGTATTTCTCAATAGCCTGGTTGTAGAAATCGACAGCCGTAGGCCAGTCACTCTGAGCAAAGGCCTTGTTACCTTGCACCTTGAGGGCGTTGGCCTCCTCTTGTGCCGAAGCCATGTCGAGCGGAGAAGTTATCGAGGGGCACGAGACCGTGATGATCGGAGAAGTTCCAAGAGTGCGCGGGGGCGAGAAGAGCCGCTAGTCCAACAGCCGAAAGGAAAGAAGAGCCCAATTCTTCAAATGAATGAAAGAATGTAGGGAGGAAAAGACAGAGCGATGGGAAGAAAGAGACGGAGGCGAAAGACGGAGAGAAAGTAAAAAAAGGGCACGGGATTTCCGGTGGTTCCTGACGATTGTTTCTTCTCTCTCTCTGTGTTCTGGTCTTTTTTCCCCGATCGTGACGGGAGTCTTGGCATCTAGAACCCTCGACCGCGGACCCCGAGACTCCCTTCGCTTCTTCTTCTCTTCCTCTTCTCACAATACTTTGTCACCACACGCCCACATCCAAATGTCATTCTACACTCCGCCAAACCAGCAACGCTCTTTGCGGGCTTGCATGGTCTGCTCTGTCGTTCAGTTGCACAATGTGAGAAAGCTCCCCGTCCCCCGCTACCTTCCAACCCCAGGTAGTCAAGTGTCCTACACCGAGGCTGAGGCTAACCACCCAATCCTTCCCCCCAGAAATTCATGCGCGACGGCTGTCCCAACTGCGAAAATGTCCTCCAGCTCCGTGGGAACAACGATGCCATCCAAGAATGCACTTCACAAGTCTTTGAAGGTCTGATCTCAGTCCGCGACCCGGCCGCAAGCTGGGTGGCTCGGTGGCAGCGACTGGACAACTACGTGGCTGGAACATATGCGACCAAGGTGACAGGATCGGTGAGTGGGATTGTTTGTGTTTTCGACACAGTGAGGATATCTGGCTAATCGGTTCGATTGTGGCTACAGCTTCCGGAGTACATTATTAGCAGCTTGGAGGACTCTGGTGTCAAATACGTTCCGTACGTTTCCAAATTTGCGAGCTTGAAGCCCGTCCGTTATCTGTCATACTGACTTCTGTGGTTTACAGTCGTGACGGAAGCACTGGCGAAGAAGAATCCTAGGGTGGTCGACCACCGACGACATTCCATCGCGCCCCGGCTCGCTGATGCACATCATCACTGTTCATAGCAGCCTTGATTACAGATACCCCCTACGAAATTTAAGGCAGAGTCCGGTGTACTGGATGGAATAATTACAACAAACTTTGCTGGTCTTTCAGGAGTTACGGGTTGGAAGCATTTGCGCTGCCTTTTTTCTTCTCATTTCTGTTGAGCATTTAGTTACGGAACAAAGAAAGCGGGGAGTTGGACCGCTATCTAGAATATTTACTTCTACTACAACACAGGTCAAGATACGATCACTCAATAAAGGACAAAATGTGTGAAAAAAAAGTCATTCAAATGACAATGACATAGGTAAAGTGTCTATGGATGTACAGTCCCAAATTTTTGGAGGCATGACTCGTAGCAAGGAAAAGGAAGATCTCAAAGAAAACAAGGAAATAAAAAAATTCGCTCATAAAATCCAGGTGAAAAGGCAAAGAAAAGAAAAGATCCAGGCGAAGTTCCGATGGTAATCAATAGCCCCGGTACTTCGTCTTTCTTTGTATAAAGGGAAAATCAAAGATCAACCATCTAAACCAGCTTGACGATCTTCTCGAGGCTCTCGAGCAAGATATCAGCGTGGTGCTTCTGGAAGACCAGCATGGGGCGCAGGCGAACAGCCTGAGCACCACTGCCACCAATGTTCACACCGACGGTCTTGGCCTTGACCAGGAACTCGTCACGCTTGGGGGTGTCCCAGGCAATGAAGGTACCCTGGTTCTTACCACGCAGGTTCTGGAAGTGCTCGGGGTACTTCTGGGCGAGGCTCTCGAGACCGGCGTACAGGTAGTCACCGGTGGTGCGGGTGTTCTCAACGAGGTTGAGACGCTCAACCTCCTCGATGATACCGCGGAAGATCAGAGCGCGAGATGGGTCACCCATCCAGGTGTTGAACTGACGGTAAGGCTTGTTGGGGCGGAGAGCCGGGTTACCGAAGTAGTAACCAGCGGTCTGGGCCTTCTTGGAGAAGGTGACCATGTCGGGAGGGGAGGACAGGTTCCAGTGATCGTGGGCCCAGAACTTGCCGGTAGCACCGACACCGGTCTGCACCTCGTCGACGATGAAGAGGACCTTGTTGCGCTTGGTGATGTCACGCAGGCCCTGGAAGAAGGCGGGCGAGGCGTGGTTGTCACCACCCTCGGACTGGATGGGCTCGACCATGACGGCGGCCACGGGGTTGTGGAACTCCTTGATGAGACGCTCGACCTCCTCGAGGCAGCGCTTCTCTTCGGCGGCGTTCTCCTGGACGTGCTCCTCAAGGGGGTACTTCAGCTGGGGGAAGGTAGCCTGGGGCCAGTCAAAGGCGGGGATGTCCAGCTTGTGAATGGGCTTGGAGCGGGTGGTGGACAAGGAACCGAAGAGACGGCCGTGGAAGGCAGACTTGAAGGACAGGATGGACAGCTGGGGAGAACCGGGGCCCTTGTTGTTCATGGTCGACTCGAGCTCCTCAGCGGTGAACTCAACCTCGGGGCCACCACGCTGGAGCTGGCGGTAGTACATGAAGGCGGCCTTGTAGGCAGTCTCGTTGGCATCGGAACCGGCCATGGCAGTGAAGACCTGGTCCAAGCCCTTGGGGGCAGCACGGAGGATACCGGTCTTCAGGATGTGGGACCAGTCGGCGGAGGGGAAGTTACCCAGAGCCGGGCGGTTGATCAGGGAGGTGATCATCTCGGGAGACTGGGCCACCTCCTTGAGGTGAGGGTTGTTGTAGCCAACAGGGATGGAGGCAATCTGAGCGTAGCTATGTATGAATGTTAGTATTTGGGGCTTCTATGCATTCAAGAGTGATCAATTGGACCATTGACTTACACATCGAGGAGCTTGTTGCCATCGAGATCAGCAATGCTAGAAGAGAGGAGCTGGGTTAGCCATTGTTCTTTACCCCATGCTTTACTCCATGCGGTCCCGGAAACGGGTTTAACGTACTAGTTACCAACGGAGGCATTGTAGTCAGCGAGCATGTTCAGGGAGCGAACATCGAAGACCTCATTGAGCTCGGCAGCGGCGGCCTTGTTCTTGGGGCCGGGGATAGCAGTGGCGACGGTGGGAGCAGTAGGCTCATTGGGGAAGTAGGGCTTCTCGGCCGCACGGAGACGAGCAGTGGTGGAGAGAGCACGAGCAGCGGGCACACGAGCCGCAGTGCGCAGCTTGGGGCTGCAGCGGAGGACGGAGGCCATTGTGAATATTATCTTCTGGAAGCTCACCGACCGAGTTGGAGATAAGTGGACAAGGGCGAAATGCGGGGAAGAACAGCGGCGTGACTATTCAATGCACAAGCGATTCCCGGACCTACTTCAATGGGATCTCGGTGATAGAGTAGAGAGAGCAATGTAGTAGATTGAGAGGAGAAATTGAAACCAGTTTCCTGGGGCCAGGGATTTATATCAAGAGAAGGCGACACTTTTTGTTATCGGCCGTGGAGCTCTCCAGAGCTTCGTTCCCCGCGTCGATACCATTGGATCTCGGCGGCGTGGACCAATCAGAATTACACACTGGGTATGATTCGCCGAGTCGTCCCGAACAGGAAGTCGACGAATTAAGAAAGTCTACGCAGAAGTGGATTGATAGCCTGTGGAGGGGTAACTCCAGTCACTCCAGTAACTATGTGTCAGGTGCCCTTTTCAACATTTCCATTAGTCTTCACTCCCGGGTTACTGCATGATATTTACGGGAATTCAATGGGTAATTTCAATAGTTTGGACAATTCATCATAATTTGGTCATTTCCAACTCACGTGGGGTTGACTCCAGGCGGTCTGGCCCAGTCCACTGATAAGCTACTATCGAAAGGCCGATAAGCCGCCCCTGCGGCTATCTTAAGCCTTGCCAATCTTTATGGTTAGTCCCGGCTCTTTCATCTAGAGTACAAGTACTGCCGAAATGAATGTTTATCTCGTCCTTAAATTATGGGGAGCGAAAGATCTTAGGTAGTACCGAAATGAATCAAGTAGTCAGATGGACCACTCTTGGTTCCGGAATTGGAACAGACCTAATGCCCCGATGCTCCAGGTGGCCCAGATATATATCTACCGCATGCACTGTATTCCAACTTTCAAACCACCGAGCAACACTTCCTTAACGTTTAGATACCCATGAGAACAGAATGCTAGGTTCTCAGATATACTCATGCTTTACTCGTAAATCATATCCAATGCAGCATATATTGGTCATTTGCGGTAAATGCGCTCTCGATCTAGATAGGCCGACACCTCCCCAGGAAGACCGGTGTTCTACGTTTGAACCAGCTTTGAATAGCACAAAAGCAAGCGATTTCGAAATTCAATGATCATTAAAATATAATACAGTGCTTGACCTTGTAATCGAATCACCACGCACACTTAGGTACCTACCGCCCAGGCATTTCGCAAACCAGCCAGTCCGTATATACCTCTCATTGAATGTACCCCTGCCTTTCTCTCTATACAATCCTAATCGAGACATATCATCGGATTTTCAACCACAACCAAGCCAATGGCAACCAATTCCGTCAGTACCCCCTTCCCAAACCTCCCATGCCTCTCATAGCCGAGTCCAAGCCGCGCCAAGTGGATCCCGAAGGCCGACAATCCGCACACACAATTGGCCCTCCCTCAATTAGCAATATTCCGAGCCGACTATCACAACAAGCGGGCTTGTGGTTTAGTGGTATAATACTCCCTTAGCATGGGAGTGGTCCGGGGTTCGATTCCCCGCGAGTCCAGCTCTTTTTGTCTTTTGTTTTTGTTCATGCTTAGTGGTGGTGGCGAGAAAATGGGCATGAGATGGGGGTTGTGAATGAACAATTTTTTTGGGCGGAGTTGAACGGCAGAATGTGCTTGATCAGTTGCTGGGTTATTAATCGGAATAAGACGGAGGTTTTCAACAAGAAACGGTTCCATAACTCAGTTGGTTAGAGTGTGGTGCTAATAACGCCAAAGTCGAGGGTTCGACCCCCTCTGGGACCACTCTCTTTTTTTATTCTTGTTTTTTTATCCGTTCTCGTGAACCTCACCTACTTTCTTTTACTATCTTTATTGTTTTTTTAAGACTCAAAGAGTATTTGCACTACTTGTAATTCCCCATTTCTGTTCCCGCTTAAGTCAAAGTTACATTGCATTACACCTACGTGATAGGCTATCAGGGTCATAGCGAATACAAGGGCCATCACCAATCTTACTCGTTGAGATCAAATCTCAGGCCAGCTGAAAGGTTTCACTAAATCCCACGCTAAAGCACTACCCGCCAATCCCAATCCACAAGGCGAACCCTTCCGTAAAATTAAGTCAGCCCTAATGTTTCCAAATTTCTTGTACAGCTTGAGCCGAGGGGCTTTGCAGGAGTAATGTCTGCGAGCCTACATGAAGGACCTTAACCCGAAATCTATGATGATAAGTGATGATGACGAAAAAATGGGATCTCTCATGATTCGATTCTTTTGCTTTACTTTTCAGGTTCGCCACCCCAACTCCAAGAAAATAAAGAAGAGATTAACGCCAACATTATACAAGCAGGTAGAAGGGACACGGGCAAGGGTAAGGTATCATGCGCGTGAAATGAATCGTAAAGAACATCGAATGGCCACTTAAATCCCAGGCCGGGAACCCACAAAGACATAGCTCAGAACATATGTACATAGTCAAAATATTATTTCATATACACGACAAGAATACAATGGACGTGATTCGGTTTAATCATCGCCGTCCATAAAACGCCTCATCCCTCGTCAACGAACTAGACGACTTCTCACTAGCCGCAGACGAGAACACCACAGGACCATGCTTCATCTCAATACTCTCCGGCGAGTGAGCACGGTTCTGAGTACCAATATCATACGTATGACCAATTGAATCATGATGCGCGAGCCGGGACTCGGTCCAAGTCTCCATTTCGACGGTGCGCATGATTTCAAAGCGGTCGCTTTCGTAGTCGCCTTTTCGGGAGTTTTGCGTCGCCGGCATGTGGGAGTGTCGTGAGCGGCCGGTTGAGGAGAAGAGTTTTTGGGATCGACTGCGTTGGTTGTAGGAGTAGTTGATGTTGCGGGTGGAGTTGAGGAGACGGGGGAGGAATGTTGCGATGAGGGGGCGGAGGGCTGGGGCGGAGGAGCAGATCTGTTTGTTTGAAGTTAGTTTATGCATTTCCTAATTTTGGATGCCTCTTCTGTTGTTTTCTCTGCTTCTCTGGGAAGGCGAATGTTTGAGGACGTACCAGGCCGAGGTTGATTTCCACCGCTGCAGCAATGAGAACTGGCCAGCCGAGCCAGGTCGTATCGTAGCCGGTGACCATGCTCTTCCAAACATACACGGTGCGAACGGAGCCGGCAACGTTGACAATAATTCCCAGACCGAAGATGGAGATGACGGCAAGACGTTGGCGGGCGGGTAGTTTGAGACTCCAGATCAATGGCATAGGCAGGGCTGTGACCAGGAAATCGGTGAAGATGTTGATGACACTGGCAGAGAAGACGATGCTTCCTCCATCCAGGCATTTATATGGGTATTCAGGGCTGACATCCCAGTACGCTTTGATAGGTCTGCATATAAAAGTTAGTTTAGATGACCACGGCTTCATATCTGGTAGACTCACGAGCACTGAAAGATACTGATGAAAGTGAACATCAGGCAAGACAATCCAACAAAGATCATCGAACCAATGAAAGCCCAGTTAAACCATTTGAAATTCCCCTTTCCAGCCCCGAGGAGCCGACGGCAGAACCACAGTAGCGAGATCTTGGTGATACTCGACGACCAAGAGAACATGATTTGGAAGACGATGTTGAGTTTTTGCACAGTCGATAGCCACGTTTCTGGCACGTCCCAAATATGGCGATTCCATCCCCAATTCTCCGAAGCCAGCGATGTCACTGCCACCATGGCAATGGCAAAAGCAAGACCGATTACGATGAGAACGTCGTCGACACCGGCGCTGCATGTGATCCGCAATCGAGTATATAGACGGAGCATGACCACCAAGAATGCTAGCGAGATACAGACAACGTTTACGATTAAAACGCCGTGACCGCGAGTCGGAGGGTCGACATAGTTTGGCGTAGGCCAGGTCGCCATTACGGCGAGCGGAGGGAGTTGCATGATGGCGAGGGTATTGTCGCCACGTATAGTTATATGATGCTTAGTATTGAAGAAGTCGGGGGTATCTCAGCAGAAAATCGGATGGATAAAAACAGTCATCGATCGTCAATGGTGCATATATGGTAAAGATCTTAGTTCTGAGACAAGACAAGGGACGGCGCCATGTCCTGCCAAGTCAAGGGGCGAACGTAGATGTTGAGGCCGAGATAAGTTAAGGAATGTAGGGCGTGAGAAAGGTGGGATTCAAGGGCCCATCTTCTGATCAACAGAAGAAAAGGAAAAGAGAAAAGTAGAAGCAAACGAAGAGTAGTAGTATATAGGAAAGAAAAAGAGAATGGAAATAAAAGCCGGGCAAAGTAGCCACCCCCGCGAGCGATCCGGGGAATCGATAATTATATTGTCTGATTGTACATCCACAGGTCGGCGCTGGGGGCAAAGATGGTCCACGCGACCCATAATAAAGGCCAGAAGGGCTCCGTACCTTTCGTGGCAAGCGAAGCGACCAGTGCTACTGCAAGTGTGGAATAATTAATTGTATTCTATAGTAGCGTGGAAGCAATCCAGAATAGGCCGGGACCAGGGGGACCGTGGGACATTGATTAAACTTCAGGACTGCCAGGGACAAGCGATGATTCGTGGTTCACAGTTTTTACGGTGGCCAGTGCCGACAATTCAGCGTCCGCGACGAGACAATTCCATCCGCGGCACCATGGTTTCGCTCATGAATCCGACGCCGATGAGCCCCGGACCATCGTCGCGAAGTATACCCACTTGTCCACCATAACTGGACGCGGTACCCAAAAGAGTATCAGCGCCGAAGGTTAGCGGGAACAAGGAGGCAACTGGTGGCCCGCGATAGGCAGATCCATCGGACCCGTAGTTCAACCCGGACGACGAGTGCGATCCACTCAGAGCGATTTTGATCTGATGCGATGTACTCGACAGACTATGAGAGGCTGATGCTTGTGAGAAAAAAGGATGTGTAAAAGGTACCAAAACGAGGCCGCCCATTCATTCCCCTGTCTTCTTTGGCTTTTTTAGCTTCGCTTCAAGGAAGGCTACTTTAACGCTGGTTGGCTGATTCAACACGGTGTCCCGGATATAGCGCGTGAGGACCCCTGTCGCTGCATATTTTCATACTTTTAGTTGTCCGACCCCTGTCAATTGTCTGCGTTAGAACAATCAAAAACGAGGTAAGAAGATGGTGGCGGAAAATAGCAATTCCCGCAAAGCAACGCAGTGCGGTAGATGCCGAGGCAGTACTACCATACTACTCGTGCGCAAGTCAGTGCGAAGTGTGTAAAAGACTAAAACACGAAGACATTATTTAGTCTGTATGCACGCCAACCTAGTCATGCATTAGACCAAATCTAATACGGGACTATGGAAATCCGTACTACACACTGAATATTGCAAAAATATTAATGACTTGATCAACTTCAAGCACACAGATCCAAAAATCATTCTCAGCCCTCATACAGCAGTTGGAGTGACTGTGCGGGGCATTGAATCTTGAGTCCCCACCAGCCTGGACTAATCCGAGGCTGGGCATCTTAGCCCACTCTTTGGACTTACTTCCAGCCTCGTAAAATCATGAAGTTACCCCTCTTGAAAAAACATGAGAAGCTCATATTATAGTGATACGGAGGGAACATCAATCTTTTAAACCTTGACCGATGGCACAGACCCAGTGATATGGCTCAGGGTCCTCGGCAATTACTTGCAAGCTACGTGTGCTCAGATGTCAATGGATTGCGCTTGAACAGGCCTACGTTATCATATGAGTAGTGGATGAGGATCTTTCGGAGTATTGACTCGTTGGCTGAAGCTAACTACTACAGTAGTCACAGTAGTAGTCCTGTAGTCGGCGACTCTTCCTGCTGATCTGGTCTGATACATCCATCATCTTTCTTTCCAGCTTGCTTGTTCATTGTGTCATTGGTCCACTTATGGGCCTTAACTAAGCGGAGTCGCTTATCCGAACAGCCTTAGTATTTGCCTGCCACATCCTCGAAAAGAGACTGAATCTCAGCGACTAATGAGAATCTCACAATTTCCGCTTGATAGCAGTTCATGAACCATGATATCCTACTAGGTTTCGGCCTGCGACCGTATCAAATTCTGATTTGCAGATCCAGGAGATCCTTGGGACTGTAGTTGAAACTCGCGAGACTCGTCTGAGCCTCATGAGAGTTTCGGCTTTGAATGGGGTTGATCGGCAGTCGCAGCTTCATTGCACGACTAGGGTGCTTTGCACGAACGAATCGACACACCGAAGGCGGATATCTGGCCAAGTTTGGACGATCTGCACAAAACAATTTCCAGAAGATCGATAGACGAGCTATCGCAACCCGGAGTCCGTGGAAGGGTGAATCAGGTCTGGAAATAGGGCCGGATGATCTTCATGCGCTATTGACTTTCTCTCTCCACTTGTTAGGGCTGGATCGAGTTGAAAAGCAAGATCTTGGGCGATGAATAGTTCGACTCAATTTCTAGACTCTGTTCACTGCTGCTATGAATTCGATATGCTTTGTACCCTCTAGACTTCAGATGTTCAAACATGCATGGCAATTACCGACCACAAGGGGATTTGTGGAATCTATGAGACAGCAAAGCGCATACTGGTATGATGTACTCCGTAGTCCTTCAAGAAAGGCTCTTCGTATTCTATTTTCTATCTTTATGGCACAGGTCTTTGTTAGCACCCCGAGTCGTATAGCTAAGTCTCATTCACTCCAATGCAGGACGCTTTATTGACGTTATAGACGTCATGGAAATTCATTTTTTCGGTGTCATTATCTCCGACATCCTCGACCATCAATCTTAAACAATTGAACAATTTTGAGAAGTCTGCCAAAGGTAGCGGTCAGATGGTTCCAGCCAGAAGAAGCTCACTGAATAAAGATGAAGCTCAAATTTGGGGATGCCGAGGATCCATGGGTGGGCGTCTGGGGGTTGACTTTGGGTTTGCATGTGACTCCAAGCGGTAGACCAGAAACTCAACGAGACCAGCTTTCATAATTCGCTTATAACAAACATCTCATGGTCAATATAGCTTCGAAATGATTGTGAATGAGTTCTAATTCAACCGCTTGCCCTCATCATCGTTGATAATTTCGGTCCTCAACCAGACTGTTCAGAAGTATGTCGTAAACTTATTCGATCGCGTCGGAAGACCTTCGATTGCCACTGTGCGACCACCATGCACTAGGAGTCATAAATCTCTGACTTCAGTCACTAATCATGTGTATATTTCTAGAAAACACAACTGCGGAGCGCTGACGGATACCTGCAGGTGATATCCCCTATCTTAACCCTGATCAATTCATCATAGGACGCCGACGAATTAGTGACATCCCCTTGTTGCCTAATACCAAGCCTTCAGTGGAAGAAGGAATGACCTTTATCTGCACGACAGCTTCCAATCGAACCCGATCGACGGTAGACTGCTATACCGACCCAGGTGGGCTTGCTCGATACTCGGTGGGGAAATACTGTGACCTTCGCTAGTCTCGCTTCACCCTAGGTCTGCTGCGGTCACATTAGCTATTAAAATTTTAGCTGGTTGTATCTCAGTAACTTTGTACCTTCAGGGGAATAATATACCAGCACGGCTTGGTTGCTGGAGTTGTATCAATATCTGAACATCGGATGTTACTCTACGTCCAATCCTTATAAGACGAGAATAAAACTGGAATACTTGCCACTGTATACATTGCTCTCTGTTTGCAAAATAATATCCTTTGCCAATATAAAGGCCAGTTTCATACAGCAGAAAGTATATAAATATTTATTTCCTTGAGACCCGAAATCAAATAAAGTTGATTCAGTTGCCAGGATGGAGACAGTTCTGGGAAAAGGCCTTCTGCACCGTTTTCGCAATCCTTACACCGTAGGTAAGGCTGATCATCTTCATGATCGTGATAGACTCCCCCGTCGCTCTGTCAAAGAACAATCTATCCAGCGGAGCATGGACGTACAGAGCCTTGCCATGTGCCAGGTGGGCCATGCTGATTCTGTGCAGCGGGAAAAGGCCGATCATGACAGATCGTTTTTCAACTAGGCTCAGCGATCCATCACCATTATAGGCCTTGAGGATTGCCTCAGCTCTGTCAAAAATCCGGTGCTCGCCGATATCGTCCACTTGTAAAATCATGTGCGTTTTGTCGAATCTTCGTCGCCTAAGGGCTGGTCGAACCGCTTTGAAGACATACGTCAGCCTGCAGATATCGGTTACTGTCGCCATCGGCTCATCTGGATCAAGATTCGTGAAGAAATCCTGCCATAAGACGCCGTACATCGGGCAAGAGTGAAGAGAGGAGATAATCCCCTGTACTGACGGAAAAATACCATACGTCAGGCACTTCTTTATGAGCGAGCTTGCTGTTTCAGCCCCAGACGTTATGTTGATACGTAGTTTTTCGATGTCCAGACTTAGAAATTGACTGCGTAGAAGCGACTTGATAGCCGCTATCATAATGGCTCCCATTTGATTGTGTCTCTCGTCGACCAGCTCCATCCACTCACACACTAAGCTAGTGTCGATAAGCCCAGAGCGATAGAAATCATAGATAGACCAGTAGTACTGGAAGTCCGGGACATCGATTTCGATCTCAACATCCGTGGGGTTGGGTCTGTCCCAGATGAGGCAGACCATATCTGCAATCGCAAACGCCAGCCGGCTGACACCCTCCAGCTCATACAGGGTGGGTCCTTCGTTGATTGGTAGATATGGCACTATTAAGGGTGTATTCTGAGCGGTACGATGGTGTAACGAAATTGGACCAAGCATAGGTAGCGAAAAGAGACAGACGCCAGCGTTGATGCTGATCGAGTCAACCTGGTAGCTTGATTTTAAATCAATGTTCTTATACGAATGGTACTGTTCCGAGATTCTCCCCCATGGTCTCTCTTGCGACAGGCTGCCGTAGATTCTCGCGATGTAGCCACCGGGACCAGGAATGGGTGTCAGAGAAAAAGACTCCCAGGGCGCCAGAGTTGACGTTCTTGTTCACCCCGTTCTCTTTGCCCGACAGAACATTGAGGAGGTGTTCTATCGCCTTAGCGTTGTCGTTGACCTTTTTCTCAGCTTCTTGCTGTCCACTACCGACGCGGCGCTCGAGCTGGGACCGCCAATATACGTGTCATGAGGAAGCCCAGGGAAACATTGAGGGTCGGGAGAAGACGGGTCAATTGGATAGAAGCTGACACTTGGTAGAGAACCCCGTCCGATAGTCACGGCGGCGATCAAACTTTCCGAGCGTGGGAGATAAAGCGGCCTCTCCAGGGACTTATAGATGCTGCCAGTCATGTTATCCAGAGAAATAAATAATAAATCAAAAGGAAGGCGAAGGTAGCGTTAGTCAAATATACTAAGTGGTGGGAAGCCAACCAGCTCAAAACATTGTGTGTGTCCAGAATTTATGTCCGTCTTGAGGCAGGTCCAGTGACAACTTTCCTACGAGGTAGTTTGTGATATCGAAAGTTTAGACCCCTTTCCCGTTGTAATTGCCATACGAGACCGTGATAGTCTTGACTAGCTATCGAATGCCGCAGCACTGTTCATTCAACAGGAATCTGCCCATACTCCTCGGTCTTATAAGGTTGCCTTCTATTGCTCTCAGCTTGTGAAACCTTGAATGCATATATTGAAGTATATGTAGAAATATACTTCCATGCTATTTGATGTATGAGCGTGCACAGTCCTTGGGAACAGACATTCGGCATAAAAGCTTGGTCACGGATTACTGGGAGGCTGAACAGGAAGCCGGTGTGGTTGTGAATGGAGAGAGAATCGCCGCGGACTGCGTTATCTGCGCCGAAAGTATTCACAGTCGAGGAAGACCCATCATCACGAAAAATGACTTCAGAGAACCTCAGCTGGACCCAGTTTTCTCTACTTTTCGTGGTACTATCGATACGGAGGATCTGCGACAAGATCCAGAGACTCGACGGGCTGTCAATAGTGAAAGTGAAACGAAAAGAGATGTATACGAAGTCTGGACGACTTATGGCCTGCATTCGAGCCTTTCACTGCACAACGGGGGAATATCACGGTGTGGTATGCTGCTCACAAGGTAGAACTTCAATCCCGATTCCATTCAGCACACCTGGGGAAATGGCTGATTCGCTATATCGCAGGATAAGGCGTTGATAACACAAGCCCAGGTAGAAATGACTCGTGGATTGCCAAATATTGAGACTCACATTGATTTGATCAAGAAATGGCCACTCCGAGACAAGCTTGAACCTATCCTTCGCAAAGCAGACAATGGACGATTCATCCATACCCAACTCAGCTCATGCCAGCCCCTGAAAACCTGGCGATCTCCTCTTGGACGGATGATGGTCATTGGAGACGCTGCGCATCCCACTCCTCCAGCGTCCGCTCAGTCTGGAAGCCAGGCAATTGAGGATGGGCAGTTGTGGCCATTGCCTTGGGGATAGCGGAGAAGATCAGGTGCGTGTCTGGATCGCTTACCTGAGTTATGGATGCTTCTATGTACGCCGCTTCCTAATTTCAAGCTAATGTCCTATTTAGATATCCTCGAGCAACCGCCGTGCAGACAGAGGGCAGGACAATACAAGAAGACTCTTTCATGAAGCCCGAGTACGAGCCCGAGGGTCGACTAGAGTGGATTTGGGACTATGACCGTCAGGAATATACCTATCAGGAATATGAACTGGTGGCAGAAGCAATCCGCCTGGGCCGAGAGTATATTCCTACCAACTGTCCGCCTTCAATATGATGGGGTTCAATCAAGCGCAGAATAGCTCAATCACAGTCTGCAATCTTTAGTCTAGTAGTAAATTTCATAGGACCAATCTTGTGCTCGAAAATAATTTAGAGTTCTGGATTTCAGACTTTAATAATAGCATCTAGTATAATAGTTGTCTCATAGACTATATTGAGGTTCTTTTTGGCGCCTGAGCTGTTCATAGAAAGAGTAACATTGCTTAGCTTGGAGTTAAATAATCTAACGAGTGAGAACATACTCGCACTCGGTAACACAATCTCCCATCAAGGAGTGCTGTTGTGTATAAGTCTTGATTATGCCTGACTTGAGTCTCACTTACCATGTGGGACTTCGTGTGATGAAATTGTGCTGGCATTGATCCACCATGAGTCATCGCAATTGCCCGGATGGTCTAGTGGGTTAGTAACACTTCATCCGACACTAGTCAAGCGTCAACTAATTCAAGGTAGTATGATTCTCGCTTTGGGATGAAACTCATCTGCGAGAGGCCCCGCGTTCGAATCGCGGTTCGGGCCCTGGATGTCTTTTTTTATCTCTTTAAGACCCCACTTGATGCTCCTCTGGACATACCGTATGTGTATGGCTCGGCTCTTATTATGTGAAGATGGATTCCCTTGATGGGATTTTATGTTTTGTTATGGCCGGGTAACCGATGTGCTCTTTTCTCCTTAGTGGTCGGAAAGGTTGACTAGAAACCGGGGAAATGGACCAACCAGATGGACGTCTTTCACGTTCTTCTTGTCTTTCTCAAAGTATTTTAATTAGTCTATAATAATGACGGGCCAACGTATCGACGCTTGGCCTACCGCTAAACTCGTGACTGATCTGATAATTTTGAAGATCGCGATTCTTAGCCTATAAAACCCCGATTATGATCAGTATCTCATGCTCCACTACCTTAGGTTGGCCATGCATTAGGTGATACCTACGGAGTATTCAGGTTGCTTATTATAGGTATGTACTGAACTAACTGACCGTTGCTCATCTAACCTCTCACAAAGGCTCTTGAAAAATAAAATCCTCTAACTCCGCAAACGCCCTTTCCAAATCAGCATTAATAATTATCTTACCATAAACTCCACGCGTCTCAGCAAATTCAATCTCATTCCTCGCCCGAGCAAGTCTCGCTAGCACATCCTCTTCACTCTCCGTCACACGACTTCTCGATCGCGCACACAGGGCCCCCAAACTAGGCGGCTTAATAAAGACATAGCGCGCACTGATAGTAGACCCTCCTTGAATCTGCTGCACGCCGTCAATCTCGATATCCAGCAACGCAATCATCCCCTTCCTCGCTATGTCGTCGATTGCCGTCCTACTCGTGCCACATTCACTCCCATTAAAGGTAGTGTGTTCAATAAAAGCATCTTGAGAGACCAGAGTGGAAAATGTAGGAGGCGAAACGAAATGATAGCTCTTGCCGTCTACTTCGCCGGCTCGTGGGGGCCGTGTCGTGTGAGATACAGCGAGTGCGAATGTATCGGGATACTTGTCGATTAGCTTTTGGACTAGTGTTCCCTTTCCGACGCCCGAGGGGCCGGATATGACGACCGGTCTGCGATCGAGGGGTGCCACTGCTACTGCTGGAGGCGTTGCGGGTCAGCGGATGGCTTTTTTGATACCCTGGTGAGGAAAGATCTCGGCGTAGTGAGGTTCATGGTGGTTGATTATATCGACGGCTTATAGTAGTTTTGATAAATGGCGATGGCATCAACGATACAGTACTGAGATCATGGATTATTTCTAAAAGTGGAGTTGGGAATCCCGAATAGTCGGTATTCCGGTGTAGGAAGGTGTATTTTCCCGCGTTAGTAGTCGAAGCGGCTGAATGAGTCAAGTGGAGGGGCGTAGAGGGGCGGTCAGCCCGCATATCCGCACATGCAGGGCACAGCGCTTAGGGTGTTCCCATAGATAGATGCTTAATAATGACATGAAATGTAGAATTACGCAGCGTAGAAGAAAGAGCCAGGGGTTTTCGTTCTAGTCAATTTTCAATGGCCATGTTAATGGTATTCCTAAGAGTTCTGAGGGTAATGCTTTTGACAGACAATCTTTTGCCTGGAGCATCAAGTACATAATTTAAACGAATAAGCATAATATACTGTGGTAGCTATTTACATATCTATCCGGGCATAACTTACGGCCGTGTTCTTCCAGCCTGTTATGCATTAAAATCGTGGCACTTCAGACTTTCAGCCAAAAAAGAGGGCCAATACAGGCATAATCTTCTCAGTCATTCCACCACGAACCGGAGCACCTACCGAAGCTGCTAGAGTTTAATGATGGACGCCGCTGATGGAAACCGATAATACAAATTCTCTGGGGGCTACCTTGCCACAATCAGGCAACTCTGCAATATATAGCGTGCAAAGCTCAGCTGTCTTCACATGCCTATTGGAGTTGCAAGGCGGATAGAGTGGGCCGATTTGTACCTTAAGGGTCCCGCGCACATGAAAACCAACCCACCCATCTCGTGCAAAACCGTTTCCACTGTCCAGATTTGGTAAATAAACTAACCTGTTTTTCATTTTTAGATATAGTGATTCTAGAATAAGTATTATGTGTTTCTGCATGTGCGGATGACCCCCGCTAGTGGCCGTAGGCCGTATGGCATAACGCCATCGTATACTCAGTGATAGGTGTGTTATGGACAAGTTATGGTCTGTTATGACTGAATGTTATGCACTATCACCAATTTTATGAAGCACCTTTCAAGAACAAGCTACAGCTCGGCGTGAGATGACCAGCGGAGATGACGCTAGAGCTTTACATAGGATTGCTGTAACCTGAGCATATGATTTTTTTTGCCCCCGTTGAACATGTCATAAAGATAGCTTCGACTTTCATCGTGTCGCTCTTTTTCCTTTTCCTTTTATTCTCCAATTCTTATATTTCGTTAATAACCCTTCTGTTGAAGATATCATTGCTTATTGCCTTTCACTAGATTATAGAGCACCGCAGAAGCTCAGAAATTCAATACCCAATTTTGCATTAGAGTTCCGCCCCGACTATGGACTCCGCCAATCGTGATTCTTCAGAAAAGACTCTTGCAGAGTCCGTTGCTTCGGACAAGTCGAACAAGTTGGATAATTCGAATAACTCACACGACAAATCAGAGGATGACAAGCCAACGGACGACAAACCCAAAGAGGGAACCGATGAGCCATCAATAATCAGGGAGAGATCATCAAACGAAGTCACCAAAGATGCCACACTCGACACAAAGGACGTCGAAGCAAACATACAACGAACAATCACAACAAAGCTATTCCCAGTCACAAATCTAGATGAAGGAATTGTCGGCTGGGAGAGCCAAGATGACCCCGAGAATCCGCAGAATTTCTCCATGGCCCAAAAATGGGGCCTTTTAGCCTTGATGAGTGCCATCACGTTTATTTCGCCACTGGCATCGAGTACGTTCTCGCCGGCTGTGAGTTATGTTGCTGCCGATCTGCATGTAACCAATGAGACTGTTCTCTCGTTCAGTGTTAGCATTTTCTTGCTTGGATATGCTGTAAGTTGATCCATGCAAAAATCTCTTCTTCTGTTTGTCAGTTTTGTCAGTTGTTTTCAGAGTTGACCTGACATATGACGATTTTACGATTTAGGTTGGACCACTTATTCTCGCCCCGATGAGCGAGATTTACGGCCGTCGAATCGTGCTCAGCTGTGCGAACTGGTTCCTCGTGCTGTGGCAGATTGGATGTGCGCTGGCTCCGAATATCGAGACTCTGATTGTCTGCCGTATGTTCGCTGGCATGGGCGGCGCGGGTTGTGTAACCCTCGGAGCAGGGCTAATTGCAGACCTTTTCCCTATTGAGCAGCGAGGTCTGGCGACGGCTTTGTGGAGTAGCGGTCCCTTGTTCGGCCCGATTGTTGGACCTATTGCGGGCGGTTTCATGGGCGAGACGGTGGGCTGGCGCTGGATCTTTTGGATGGTCATGATTGCGGCTGGTGTAATGGCGTTTGGAATTGAGATTTTGAACCGCGAGACTTGTGCTGCTGTTTTGATTCGCCGCAAGACTGAGCGCTTGTCGAAGGAGCTAGGTCGTAGTGATCTCCGCAGCGCCTATGCGACGAATGCGGAGCAAGTGTCTCTCTCCTCGACCTTGAAACAGGGCTTGAAGAGGCCTATCATTCTCTTGGTCCGGTCGCCCATTGTCCTACTGCTTTCCCTTTATATGGCCGTGGTCTACGGTCTACTTTATCTGTTCTTCACGACCATTGCCACGGTCTTTATGACGCAGTACGGCTTCTCCGCTGGTCTATCGGGACTGGCCTTTCTGGGAATTGGTCTCGGCTTCTTGATTGGATTGATCATGTACGGGTTGACCAATGACCGCGTTGTCTTGAAGCTCATCCAACGCAACGGCGGCAAATATGAGCCGGAGATGCGTCTACCAGCAATGATCTTCTTCGCATGCTTCCTCCCCGTCAGTTTCTTCTGGTACGGCTGGTCAGTCGACAAAAATGCGCATTGGATCGTGCCCATCATCGGTATGTTGCCGTACGGTATAGGGATGATGGGGGTGTATCTCCCGGTCCAAACATACGTCATCGACTCTTACCAAAGGTATGCGGCGTCGGCCAACGCGAGTCTCACGACTGTTCGATCGTTGGTGGGTGCTGTGCTTCCGTTGGCGGGACCACAATTGTTCAGGGCTCTTGGTCTTGGCTGGGGCAATTCCCTACTGGGGTTCATTGCGCTTGCATTCCTGCCAGTCCCGATCTTTTTCTCACGGTATGGGCAGCGCATTCGGGAGAAGTTCCCAGTGAATTTGGATGGATGAGAGGCATCATGCAGTCAGTCAGATCTGACAGACAACCAAGCGTCAGCACTGAAAAGGGGAAAGTGCATTGATGATTTACGAGGTGCGGCTGAAGTTAGGAAGAGGAAGTTCCTCAAGTTCAGTCCATAACAGTTTGGTGGCAGCGGGTCGAGCCGGGCCTGCGGAGTCGACACCGAAGTGTTTTGGCCAATCGGCGATCAGGAATTAGGGTGCCTGTTTTTTGCGCGATTTGCATCTTTTCCACTTTCCCCTTTTCCGCCGTTCCGAGGTACATTTACATACACATTCATGTATAGTCTAATCTCTATACTCCGTTTACTTCCAGTGTATAGACCACAGTGAACAACTCATACAATTGCATCATCTCACTCTTTCCAGTAGCCACTCTCCTGAAAAAGGAAAAAAAGTGCGGAGTACAGCAACCGTTTTCTAAATATACTTCTCGCCCCCTTTTAACGTACGAATCCCGACCAGCAATTAACTCAATAAGGATCCACAACTATCGTGGCTTTGCAGCAAATTCTCCACTTGGGGTGACAGCGCATCCTCCCGTTGAAGCCCATTCGAGCCTGTTGCAAGCCATTCAAGCCCGAGCAACTCTGAGCAAGCCCATTGGAGCCCATCCAAGCCCGTAAAAATACGCATCTAGACCGTTGGCCCAAGTTGAAACCGCGCCCAGGGCCCCTAAGTTTCAGATTTTCGTTGTGCTGACTCCCCCCAGACTCTTTTCGACTTCTCCAGGTTTTTTTCTCTCTTTTCTCTTCTTCTTCCTTTTCTTCCTGTGTCTACTTCCTAATTCTTCTTTCTTTCTTTCTAATTCCTCATACATTTCGACTCTCGCTCCAATTTCGTTTTCTTCCTTACGTAGTTTATCGTTGATTGCCTTCTACTCTCGTTGAATCATAAACCGACCAACCCGCATCCATCCGTTGAACCCGTTTTCCCTTTCTCTATTTGCTTCTTTCTTCTCTTTGTTCACCATGAGCGAAGGCCACGCTGCCCCTGTTGCCGACGCACCGGTGGCAACTGCTGGTGACAGCACTGGTACTGCCCCCGTCACCGTCGGTAAGGCCCATCATGTCGACAACAACAATAGCCATGCTCAGGCGCACTCTCTGAAGGAGCAGGAATCCACAGAGCGACTCACACCTCGGCCAACTTTTATGGAGAACTTGGCCAACTCACGCGATGCCCAATTCCATCTGGATCGTCGTGACTCGAGTGAGCTGGAGCGGTATTTCGTGAGTGGTTACTGCATCAAGAAGTATGAAGCATGTTCGTGGGCTAACATTGTTTCTTATTGCTACTAGCATGGTCCCCGTAGCATGGACAAGCACTCGAAATGGCCCATCTTCATGCGTATGCATGGTAGCGTTACCCCGAAGATGATTCTGCCTATTGTCCTCGTTGGTGCTTGGGCAACTGCCATTACTTGCATTGACCGATTCCATAAACCTAGTGAGTGCCTCTTCTTTCACTAAATACTTCCGGTCCTCGGGTTGTACGGGAATAGATTGGCTGACATATGCCCGATTGGGCTAAGCAGTTGGTGTCAACAATATTCTTCTTACTGTTCTTGGTTTCGTGGTCGGTTTGGCATTGTCGTTCCGCAGCTCCACTGCGTATGAAAGGTAGGATATTCTCTGTGTCCGGAGACCACATGAAAGAAAAGGCTAACAGACTCGTCCAAATGCAGATGGGCAGATGGCCGCAAGTACTGGGCTCAACTCATCCAAACCTCTCGCAATCTATCCCGCACAATCTGGGTCAACACCAGCGAACGTGAAGGCGAAGATGGCAAGGTGGATCTTCTCCGCAAGGTGTAAGTCCCGCATCCCGTGTATGATTCAAAAACAGGATGATAAACTGATCACAAAAACAGTACCGCCATGAACCTCATCCTCGCCTACGCTGTCGCCCTCAAGCACAAGCTCCGCTTCGAACCAGATGTCGCATACGAAGATCTTGCCGGTCTTATCGGTCACCTGGATACTTTCGCCCGCGACGCACACGACCGCGAGGTCCTCAACCCTCGTCCCAAGTCCCTCTGGAAGGCTACCGGAGAGTACCTGGGTGTTTCATTCGCCGAGTCCAACCCCCGCAAGCTGATCAAGCGGTCCAAGAAGCCTCTGGGCCATCTTCCCCTGGAGATTCTCAACCACTTGTCCGCATACATTGACTCGATCGTGGCCAACGGTACCCTGACCTCCGGTCTGCACCAGAGCCAAGCCAGTAAGTCAAGATCAACCCCCCAAAAACATCTTAAACAAGCAACCCGCTAACAAGTCCATAGTCACCATGCTGTCCACCCTAAACGAAGTCCTGACCGGAACAGAGCGTGTGCTGGACACTCCTCTCCCCGCCGCATACAGCATCGCCATCTCCCAAATCGCCTGGATCTACGTAATGGTCCTCCCCTTCCAACTCGTCAAGGTCCTGGACTGGGTCACCATCCCGGGTACCATGGTCGCCGCATACATCATCATTGGCCTGGCCACCATCGGCAGCGAAATCGAGAACCCCTTCGGCCACGACGTGAACGATCTTCCCCTGGACACCTACTGCCGCCAAATCGCCGTCGAAATGGACATTATCACCGCGACCCCCGCCCCCAAGGTCGACGATTTCATGAGCCGGCCCGATAACCTCGTTCTCTTCCCTCTCAGCCAGAACAGCTACGACGAGTGGAAAGCCCGCAGCACGGAGGATATCCGTGCTGCGCTCCGGGCAAAGGTTACCGCTGGTACGGCTCTGACCTCAGCCCTGGACGGATCAGATGGGTCCACCCTGGTGACCCGCATCACCACCAAGACTAAGCAATCTGTTTAAGACTGTCAGTCTAATGGCATCTTCAATTCAAGATTTTGAGAAGCCGCTACGGTATGCCGCTTTGTCGCGAGTTATACAAAACCAAAATGGTGTTGGCAATGTGGTGGAATAGGGCATTTTGTGCAAGCGATTTGAGCGAAAACCAGATTGATTTGGGACTTGACTTGTTCTTTCCGCAGCGTGAGAGTTACGGCGTTGTTGATTTTTTGGTCATAGGGCTGCCTTGCTTTCAAACAAGAAACCCCGATATAAAAAAAAGATTTGAGATTTTGTGGATTGCATTAGAGATTGGTTTTGTCTTTGCGATTGTGAATTATGAATATTATTGCATTCTTCAGAAATATTGATTTTGACGTGTGTATACCGTAAATGGTAGATGCCTGTCCATAAGGACATAGCTCGGGGAGCCGACGGGCATGTTCATGTCCTTACCGAGGTCAGTTCTCATGACCTGGCGTAGCACTTCCTGTGTGCTTGACGGTTGTCCCGTCCCAATGGTCGCCGTTGACGTGTGGGTGTGGCTCCGGGCCACCAAGCCAGGTAAATGATTCGCAACCATGCGCGACCCAGCCTGGTCCTCAGTGTTGTTCCAATATCAGAGGAATGCGGCATTGCAGCTCTAGTCTGCACCTCTCCTCGTCGAATAGCCCTAGAGAGAACTCTCTCAGCCAGCTAAACTCAGACCGAAAATATTCGCTCCAAGCAGCAAGAATAAAATCCCAAACCACCACTTCGAATCAAGGATCAAAAAGATCACTCCCAGACCCCGACACCAACGCGCCGAGGAAATTTCCCTTCGCACACACTCTCCACGCTGCACCATTATCGCTCCCACTACCCCCAATCCACGAACTAATCGCAGCAACGACGGCAGCCCCGTCGTCTCGAGGAACGCGCACCCAGACACAATCGTACTTGTTTACACCATTGGGCTTGCTGCTGGTGCTGCCCTTGTTTTCAATTTTGAGAATATCGATGGGAATCGCGGTTCCCGTTACACCTAGGAATTGCGATAGGGCGGAGGAGAGGTATGTGCGGGCGGAGAGGGGGTCGAGGGGTTGGAGGAGTGGTGAGTCTGGTTGGGGGATGCTGTTTGAAGAGAGTAATGGGTTAGATATTGTAGAGAATTAAATGGGGTGGTTAGGGAAGCTCCTTACAGTTGGAGTTTGAGGTAAGTCCAGGGCGGGTTGCGCGATGTGAAGTTAATCGTGCCGGGAGTCGAGTCTGGTGCTTTGCGCTTTGGCGCTGTTGGAGAGGGCGCTTCTTGCATGGTATCTTTCTGCTGTACGTCTGTCATTTTGAAGGTTTCTCGTTTGTCGAGGTAGGACGCGTAGATGAGAATGTTGTCGAGCTGTGGGAGCTGCAGAACGGCGGAATTTTACGTCACGGGATTTGTTTGGTGCTTGACATGTCAATAGCCAGCATAGCATGGACGTGAAGCAACGCTTACCTTCTCTTGTATTATTTCGAGTCTAATTTGCTCTCAGCCGCATCAATGAGTTTTTGCATTGCCTTTTGCACAAATTCTTCCTCGCTCTCGTCGCCAATGGCTAGCTCCGCAATACACAACGTCTTTTCGCGGGCCTTGGCCCCGCGGATCACCGCGACAGTGGATTTGGGCACTTTAAAGACCTACAATATTTCAAATCGGAGACACGTAAGCTCTCTAGACAGTCGCAGATTGCAACAACAATTCAATTCCACAGGAAATGTAACATACCTCTGCGATGACCTGCGAAACGGCCAAGTTAGCAGCTCCGTCGCGGGGAACTGCGGCCACGGAGACGTCAACTCGACTTGTCCCCACTGCTGTAATGCCTGTTCGCCGGGCTGACGCGTTGGGTTTTATATAACACGGGATATGAAGATTATAAGTTTTCCTGGAAGAGGTCTTAGAGGTATTTGCGACCAAGCGAAGAATAGATAAGGGACGGCTCATTGTTCTAGGGTGGTTGTGAATGGAAAGTAGTGGTAGTTCAAAAATCCGAATCTGGAGACACGAGAAACCGTCAGACAGATATGCTTCCACTTCTTTTCTTTTGAAGGGTCTATTAAAAGGTCATTTGAATTGCCTTTCTTGATGGCTTAGGTATCATTTTTGAATTTATCATTCACCTTGTGACTGATAAGATGATCTCAACATTGGTCATACATAGTTTCAACCTCATGAGACTCCACTTTAGTTGACGAGGAAGGTGGAGGAAGATCTATAGTATAATATTACTCCATTAAGAAGAACTACGAGAAGAACTACGAGAAGAGGTTACAAGCATCATTAGATCGTATCCATTATGGATAAAGGCATGAGAGCCAAATATCCCCAAAAACCAGTAAAATCCAAACCGGCTTCAAAAGTGCTAATCCAAATGGAGGCAGGTAGACACAAACAAAGATCACGGCGTGGTGGACGGCCAATGGGCAACTTGAAAGAACTAGAGAAGGGCTAGTTCGACCATGCTGCACAATATCCTGACCTTTCAAGCGGCCTCCTTGTCCTTTTCTTTAGCTGCAGTGACGCTCAGGACTTCGCTGAGATCCTGGACCTCGTCCGTCTGACGCTCAGTGGTCTCGCTAACCTTGTACAGCTCAGGACAGACAGCTCCCTTGCGGCCAAAGATGTACCGTCTAATCCACCACGGAAGGACTTGAGTGAGTTGGTATCTGGCATGGGTGCGAGTAGGCACACCAAAGACGTAGTCAAGCTCTTCCAAAGATCGCTGCTTGGTCTCCGGCAGGAACAAGAAGATCAAAACAAAGGCAATGATATTCAATGCAGCATAGAAACCGAAAGCACCCTGAGCGGTAAAAGCTCGAAGCATGTACGGGAATGTCAGCGATAATATCGATGCCCAGAAGTTATTAGTCGCAACAGCCCAGGCCATGCCGACCTCACGATGTGAAAGTGGGAAAACCTCAGCTGAATAGGTGAATGGAACGGGTCCTTCACCGGGAGAGTAAAAGGCATCGAAAAGATACACAAATAGGGCGATTGAGCCTAGATGAGCAGTCTTTCCAGGAACCCAGAAACAGAAACCAGCGCAGAGCAGTGTCCAACACATGTTGGGGAAGGTAAAGAGCAGGAGGGTCCGTCGGCCGTAGGTATCGATGGTCCACACAGCGGGCCAAGCAAAGACGAAGTTGATCAACCCAAATCCAAATGATGCCAAAAGTGCATGGATATTATCTGCACCAGCTAGAGAGAAGATAGTAGATGAGTAGAAAGCGATGATGTTGACTGTATAGAATAAAAAGTGGTTAGTAGCTTATTCAGATGTCGGGTATGTACAGCAAGGATGAAGCTTACTTCCACACATCTGCTGAGCAATCATCACAATACCCGAAGCCTGAGTCGCACGACGGAGACGAGGCACGGTGAAAAGCTCAAAGAATCGAACAAACATGTTGTCCGTCTTTGCAAACCCGGAGGCTTCCAGCATCTTCTTCTCCTCAACAAGAGTAGCATGGATGAGATACAGATCCCGAGCAGCCTGCAGAGGGCTATTACGCAGGCGAAGTAGAGACTCATATGCCTTGCGGTGCCTTCCCTTAGTCATAAGCCAGCGTGGGGATTCAGGACAAAAGTAGACTCCCAGAAGCAAAGGAACAGCAGGGATAAAGGCCGACCCAAGCTGCAGACGCCAGGCAATATCACCAACATTAGCCACAACGAGATTGCTGCAGGTACCGAGGAAAATTCCGAACGCGGTCCCTTTGATTTGAAGCCGTTGATCAGTAGATGAAGCTCAAAGCTGCGGCCTGCAATGACGAGATACTTACATAGCTGCCAACTCATGACAAGCCCACCCCGAATGTTGGTAGGTGCATTTTCGGCAGAATAGACAGGAACAGTAACCTCCTTGAGACCCATTCCAATTCCGAGAAGTACACGGCATGCAACAAGCTGACCCCAGGTTTGGGTCAAAGCAGATCCAATGGGGGCAAGTAAACTGAAGACGGCGGCGATGAAGATGGTACCCTTTCGGCCAATCATGTGATTAATGGGGTCAGACAGCCAGCCAGCACTATTTTATTAAAGAATCAATTAGAATCTGTCTTCCAGAGCTAAGGTATAGGAGGGGAAAATCTCTCACAAAAGACAGATAGCAATGTAAGGCGTAGCATTGACAAACCCCACAATCCACTGATTGCGATCACAAGTAGCCTTATCAGGACAGTCAGGAAAGTTATTTGGAATACCAAACTGTTTTTCGAAGGTCAAGTTGGCACCGTTTGACCCTGTGAATAGAAACAGTCAGCTTATCGAACAATTCGTGTTTGATATAGAACGAACCTGTCTGATCCCAGCCCTGAATGGCAGCCGCGATCGAATTGAGAATGATGGTGTAGTACAGGGCCCAAGGATGATGCCAGCGACGAGTGATTTCCTCGCGAAGAACATGACGGTCTTGCTCATCAAGCTCCGGGATCGAACCAGCCTCAGCTGGCTTCTGGCCAGCCAGGGCACCCTTCTTCAACAAAGGGAGAATGTCGGTCAGGTCGTGGTCGGTGGCATAGCTTTCGACATTAATCATGAGCTCGTCGTGAGAGAGACCTTGGAGGGGATTCTTAATCCTGTTATCATGGTAAGCCAGATTCATAGAGATAGTTGCTGTGATACGAACTCTCCCGTAAGATTATCATTCATGCTGTGTTTGGCGATGTCTTGTTAGCCTTGCCTAGCTTCGAGTTGAACGGGTGATTTTAGAACGTACCCGCCGACGACATCATGATTGGTCCGTGAAGCCATATTGCAACAGCAAGGTTCAAAATCGATGTAAATCTTAGTGCTTTCTGAGAAATGATAGTGGAAAAGTATTTGTAGAAGTGAAAGAAGAAAAATCGAGGCTTGGGGAGGGTGAAGAGAAAGAGAGGAAGAGAAGCAGGCGACAAGAAGAGAAGGAAAGAAACGATCGCCCCAGAAAAAGCAGCACGCGTCCTGGTAGATAAAGAAACTGCTGCGGAGCAAACTTCGGACCTGTACTGATCAGGTAGACTCGGTCTTTGTCAGTGCGATGTACTTTTAGGACTACTTGCAGCGCGCAAAGCCAGTAACTACAAGTCAAGCCACCTGCAAGGATGAGGAACTACTCAGCTCGTCACCACACTAAAACCTCGGACTTGCCGGCTCGAGAGCTAGGATCCGATTGAGCTAATTTGAGTCAGGCTACACTGCTCCTAACTCGACTAAAATTTCTTTGTGCATATGAAAACAGTGCGGTGGCTGAATGCGAGATACTCGAGGCGACGCAGTCAGCATTAGAAACGATACCAGCGGGAAGAATCGACCAGGGTTGCGTTGCACCACTCGGTCAGGGTCATTGTATACCCTCATCAGATGTGTATACAAAAGACCTTTAAAGACCTGCCCCGCAATGGGATCATCTGACAAGACTAGCGTGTGGCTTATTTTATAGCCAATTTGGAGGAGCGGGGAAAAACCATGGCGCCTGTGAAAAGTCTGAAATCATCTCGCTGAAATCCCTCGCCAATCCTAAATTAGTAGTTCTCGGACCTAAGGGTCTTCGTTCTTGTTGGCTGGGCTGCTGCATGGAGGCTCTTAGCGTCTAGGATGAGCCAATACGAGGTTGTCAGCTGGAAACGGGCCAATGAGGGACGAAAGGGTTGAAGTATATAACGCGGCCTGGTGTGGAGGGGAAAAGCCCGGCTGAAAGAAAGACAAGGCAATGGCGTCAAGCCCCAAGGTGCCCCAAGATGCCCCTCTCTAGAGAGATGTGACGCCTCGTGAACTTAGATTCGCCCTTGATTGTATGTCACTGTCTGGCCCTGGAATCTCCTGGTTGTGGTCTTTGTCGTGTAGCAGAGCGTGACATGTCACATGTGATTCAAGGGCTGATTCGAAGAGATTCCAAGATTGGATGTTCCAGGGTTGGTGACAATTTGGAAGAAGTCCAAAGGTTTGGATATACAATCTAACAAGGGGGAATGAGTTCGTATAGTTCTAGGATAAAGAAGCCCGAGGGCATGTGGGCAATTTTCCGAGCTGCTGATTAGATGATCCAGACGCATTTGATAGAGGTCGATCCCAGTAAGTTTCTGGAAAAAAGCCCCGAAAGGGATAACTCAAGGATCATGATTTAGACAGTTCATATGACCCACCGAGGTTAGACCCGCCCGAAATAAGCCAGACGGGAGCGTCTACGCCTTTCAAGCACTGCGATCTTAGAACACGAAACTCTAAATCAGCGTAACACAAGATCTTCAAATGACAACCGCAGTCTCAATGCACTACCCCCGATCGCAAGATGATTCAACATTCCATGTCTTTATTGCTCTATGAAGTCTACACACTAGAAGAGGAGCACGCTATCCAAGCTGGAGAATCCAGCAGCCACACCACCCTCATTCACTTCTTTTCCTTTGGTTCTCAACAACCAACCACCTTCATCATTATGGAGGACCTTGCCAGTATTATCCCACAGAATGGTGCCGTAAACACCGAGTTCAGAGATCACATTGCCGCGAAGGACTTCTCCGTCGTTCCGCAGAGCGATGTTCTCGGCATTGGCCGCGGGGTTAATAAGCTCCATCAGTACCCATCCCTTCCAATCGCTCTCCGGAATGGATTTAAGGAAGTCTGGAATCTCGGCTTTATAGATATTGTTGCCGCCACCTTCACGCTGGGGCTTGAGAACATGCTTCATGGCTGTCTCCGGGTTGAGAGCTAGATTTCGACCCTGCCCATTCGCCGAAAGATCATATTGCGGGGCAAATGTCTCACGAAGTCGTGCGATCACTGTAGGGTCAGTGCCTTTGAGGAAGCTTGACAGGTGATCAGGTCCTGTCGGCTCCGCTAGGACTTGTTGGACCTTCTTGCAACCAGCCAATTGGTTCAGCACGGTGGGACACTTGATCGCAGCCGAGCGTTCCAGATGCACTCGAGCATCCCAGTCACGACTAGATGTATATTCATCAGGTGAATAGTAAGCTCGGAGATAGACAGTGGTCACTTCGAATGCAGTGGATGGAGAGTGAGGAGGGTGGTAAATCAAAGGTCGAGAAGGGTCGGAGGTAGATACTGATGTTTGGTCAAAGATCTTGCTGCTAGGAACACGGAAAACGGGGATCTTGTGGAATCCCGTAAGCCGCTTGGAGAGGGCATGCTGGTCGAAGACATTCCGTTCTCCATCCTGAACTATGAAGATAACACACAATGGGAGCTCAGGCGTTGACTTGGAAGGTCCATAAGCCTTGTGTGCCGTTGCCAAACCTCCTGCCAGGGTCTCAACGGATGTATTCTCAGGTGGCACGCCGGATTGGAAGAGAGGGTGAGGCGGGTAGCTGATAGGAGTTCCCGGTGGTGACGTAAGAAGTTCCGTATGCAATGATCTCACAAGAGCCGACAGTCCTCCAAATGACGATGAGATAGTGTTGAACTCGACTTGCTTCAACGCCGGAGCATGGTTGGGTGTTACGTGAGCCATGTAGTCGGACCGATAGAGTCCCAATGACAAATTCTGGACATATCCTTCTTTCTTAACCGCCAAATGAGTCTTCCAGAGGTTTGCAACAAAGTCGTCCACATCGATCAGCCTGGAAAAGAAGGGAAAATTAGCTGTTGCAGCGCCATGACTGATCATATGGCATTCTTACTCTGCAATGACCTTTCCCAGCCATTCCTCGTTGCAAGTAATCGCCGCGTATAGTTGATTGTAGACGGTCTGCAGAGCCCGAGCTTCTTCAAAGCAAGTTTTCGGGAACGGACTGGGAAAGAGAGTAACTGGAGCATTTGTTGCTAACACTCGATTGGCATCTGCACCTTCGGGAAGGGCGGTTTGAGCTGGTCGGACTGCGAGTCCATTTTGAATAGCCCAGTCTTTAGTCGTGGTGACCAGGTATTCTTGTTGTGCTAGAGAAAGAGTAGGGGGGTAATTGGTATAGATTGAGTCGGCCATGATTCGTTAGGTGCAGCAAGGCCCTGGCAAGAAAGAACCCCGATGACCTTGTACTCGACTCCAATCTTCACGGAAGCTTCCACCACCCCGCGGTGGAATGATTTATCAGCACGACCCCACCTCGGACTGGAGGGCTTCCCGCCCGGACCTCGTGACCGCCTAATGTACCGCCTACTAGCTATCCCTACCCACCATATCTCTCTACACTGCCTTTATATACCGCCTTGCTATACCTTCTGCTACACCGCCTACCGCCTTGGATGATTGCCAGGCAGAATTTCAAAATACAATCGACCTTTTCCACCAGCTCGAGTGCTTTCTTCTTCCTTTCCGAGACTTGTCTTCTTCTCTCTGTACATTGCTCGTTTCATCACTGAAAATCATCAATACATCATCAAAAATACTCGCTAAAGGACTGGTTCACGCGCCGAGCTTCATATCGGGGGCCAAGACCTGGTAAGATACACGCGGCTCCTCGCGCGAAACCGTTGAACAACACTGACCGAAATTATAGGCCCCCATAAAAACAACATGGACGCTCAAAGCCCGGACCCAGTCGACTGGGGAGTGGACCAGGTGGTTGACTACTTATGCAATCCACAAGAAGCTCCCTGGGCCGACTCTGCCACTTCTTCGCGCCCAAACCTCACCGCGCTCGAGGCTGCACTCCGTGACAACGAGATAAACGGAGAAGCCCTACTTCACGATGTTGATCGAGAAGCCCTCAGAGATGATATGGGTATCAAAGCTCTTGGTCACCGCAGTAGCGTTCTCAGAGCTATTGATTGGCTACGTGCTCGATCACCGAAATATCAAACTTCCAAGCAGAACTTTCCCTCTTCCCAGCAACCTCATCCGACTGAGCACCTCTTATCATCCTTCAACTCTCCTATCACCACATTTGCGGACTCACCCAGCCGCATCTCCTCTGTGCCTCCTTCTGTGCTTCCTTTTGTGCTTCCTTCTGTGCCTCCGTCTGTGCCTCCGTCTGTACCTCCACCCCCTGCGCCAGCCGAAATGACGCCAGCGCCTGCAGCCGCAGGTATGAAAGAAAAACGTCGGATCGCGCCGACCCCGGTCGTTGATCTCAAGGGAGAGAAGCGGGGTGGCGATGAGGCCCAGAAAGGGAAGTCTCCATTTGACAATCGTGCACCTGGTCTCTCACCGCAGCCTATCTCCGAAAGCATGGCAAACAACTCTACCAAGACTGTTCGTGGTGAAGGAAGTCAGAAGGTCTCACTTTCTGACCCTTCTAATGCCAACATTATCCCACCAGACACAGCGGAGCTCGAGTCGAAGCTTTCTAAAGATAGGTCTTCCGAACTCACCCAGAAGGATCATGACTTTTTCGCCGAGTTGCTCTTGAAGCATCCTGTTGGGGGCGATGTCATTCCCTTGCTGGGAGAATCAGACGCTGAGTACGATGAAGAGACTCAGAATGAAATAGAGGAAGATGAGCTTGATTCAATGTCTCCTATTTCATCCACTGATTGCGAAGACATCTTCTCTGACTTCATCGCCGATCATGAGAAGGCCTGGATGGCAAAGCACTTGCCGAAACACCGGCCATATGGCCAGCTGGTGTGGAACCAGGCTCGGAACCCCCGCTCAGGAATGGGTTACAAGTCTGGCGCGTTGCGAACTCTAGAAAACCTTCGTTTACGGCTGACGAAGCAGAAATCAGCTCTCTGTGACGCCAAATACAAGTCCCGCATCGCTTTACGAGATGCATGCAGGGTCATGGAAACTACGCTGGATCAAATTTGCTTCGAGGAATGGAGGTTACAAACAATGGAGTTAGAGACGTGCCCACCATTCGTGCCTCCGCCGCCAAGGGTGTCTCGGCCTCGAAGACAGCGTGTGGTTGAAGCAGATGAAGAGTCTCTGGGTTCTGACTCGGATCTCGCGGCTGATGACGAGGCCTCTGCCGAAGAGTCTGATTCCGACTTTGTGGATGACGACTTTGTGGATGACATCCCCCACCGACCCCACAAGGGTCTGCTGGGGCCCGTCCCGGCAGACACAGGGTTAGTCGCCTCCACGTCTGATGATAGCGAGGAAGTCTCCGTTGCCAAGAAAAGACGACGAATGATGGAAAGTCAACACCAGAGCGAGGGCAAGATCAACGTGAATGCAAGCAAGCCTGGTCCATTCGCGGAGTTTGAAAATGGAGAAATGTACCATCTTTCCAGCCCCGATCATTTTTCACCATCCGGTGCACTTCAACTTGACTCATCCCCGCAGGCCCTACATGATTCTGATGCAGACATGTTGGTTGAGACACCACCTCTCAACCCAACCCTGCCCGCTTCCTCCCCTCCAGATTTCGACATGGAAGACGATTTCCTAGTGAAGACGCCTCCACTCAACCCGACCAGTCTTCCGCGGCCATCTGGGAAGCTCAGATTGACTCTGCCGTGGCCTGAGGCGCCCTTGAAGGTCATCGAGGATAATGCCTTACGTCTCCCCAAAAAGCTCACTTCGCGTGCAGTGTCCCTTGAGAAAGACAGCAGTGATGCCGTCAGCCCAAGCATGGACGACATTGACATTTTTGACATGGTGTCGGTCATGAGCTGGGAAAACGTTGAGGCTTCAAGGAACCCTGTCTGGCTATTGGCAAAACACCTGATTGGCTTGCTACCGGAGGATCAGAAGCGCTTCGGGCCTTACATGGAAGAACTCATGGATTCCGTCTACATGGAAGAAGTCTGGGCAGCAGTGCAAGCGATGCTCCAAAATTCATGGGCTATGGAAGGCAGAACCGAGGAAGAGAGCCGACCTGCAATGCGGCTAGGAGCTTATTTTGTATCCTGGCACAGTGGCAAGGTACTGAATCCCCATGGTATGGGTAAGGAACCCCTTCAAAAAGCCCTCGAAGCCCTTGAAGAAGAGAACTACCTACCGAAGTTCCTCGGTTTCTTGCATCGGTTGAAGAAGCTTTATGCGTCGTTCAGAGCTTGGCTATCGCGACAGCCACCCCGCAAAGAAAAACCAGGATACACCACGTATTCTGACTCTGCGGATTCTGACAGTAACTCGCTCAAAAGGAAGCGACATGCAAAACCTCGTTCGAAGAAACCATTCGGACCGCGACCGCTGAGCAACATGCAGAAAGATGCACAGGAACGACAAGCGAAGCAGGACAAAGACCGCGAGCGCCTTAGGATGGCCCGTGAAAGCAAGGGCCTGAGCAACAGTGACCCAGAGGGGCAAGCTGTGACTTTCAAGGAACCAGTCATCTACTTACACCCCCATCTGGGTAGATACGTCAAACCCCATCAATTGACGGGCATCCAGTTCATGTGGCGAGAGTTAATTGAAGCAAACAACCAACAAGGCTGTTTGCTTGCCCATACCATGGGCCTGGGCAAGTCAATGCAAGTGTAAGTATTTCTTCAATTTCCCCCCCCCCTCATATTATGATAAACCTTCTTGGACAAGGCTAACTACTGAATAGCATCTCACTTTTGGTCACTATTGCCGATGCCGCTGCTTCGGATAACCCCAAGATCCGGGAACAAGTTCCAGAACGTTTTCATCGCTCCCAGACCCTTGTCCTATGTCCATCTTCTGTGGTGCCGAATTGGTCAGACGAGTTCGCTATGTGGGCGCCAGCTGATCACCATCTTGGCCCAATTCGGCTGATCGCCCCTCGTGGAAAGGGCCTCGAAATGTCTGAGAGGCTGCAGACAATCCGCGACTGGAACAGAAGGGGCGGTATTCTCATTATGAGTTATGAGATGCTCCGCATCCTCATTGTGAATAAGCCAGTCAGACTCAATGATGAGGAGCACAGGCTTGTCGAAGAATGTCTCCTAGAAGGGCCCAATATCATTGTGGCAGACGAAGCCCACAAGCTGCGGAGTGGGAAGTCAGCCATTTCTCAAGTCGCTTCTCGGTTCAAATCGACAAGTCGGATTGCTATGACAGGCTCACCGTTGTCGAATCAGCTTTTCGAGTACTACCAGATGGTTGAGTGGGTCGCGCCTGGCTACCTGGAAGATCCCAGCACGTTCAAGCGGAAATTCATGGACCCGATCCAGGCTGGGTCCTACATGGATAGCTCGAGGATGGAGCAGAGAGAAAGTTTGGTATCTTTGCAGCTTCTCAACGGAATCTTGGCTCCAAAGGTCCTCAGAGCTGATACCTCTGTGCTTGCTGCTGATCTACCATCAAAAACCGAGTTCATTCTCACGGTACCACTGACAGAACTGCAGAGAAATGCCTATAACACCTTTGTGGACTGTGCTAAGTCTAAGGATGCGGACGCAAGTTTGAAGCTTTGGTCATGGCTGGCAATTATGCAACTATGTTGCAACCACCCCTTCCCATTCCGTGAAAAGCTCGCCGATAGACTGAAACAGCAGGAGGATACCGATAACCTGTCCATTTTGCCAACGTCGATTCAAGATGCCGGACTTCCAAGCGACCTTGTCTCCCAGATGGACGCGCTTTTCAGCAAGTACCCGAATCTGGAAGAGACTGCCTTGTCCAATCGTGCTGTCCTCCTTGATGAAATCCTAGATCTGTCCATCCGGGCCAACGACAAGGTTTTGATCTTCACTCAAAGTATTCCGACCATGAACTATCTGGACCTCATGCTGAAAAACAAGGGACGGAAGTACCAACGCATTGATGGTAGCACTACCGGTCCTGATCGCCAAAATGCAACAAAGCGTTTTAATTCGGATAGCAGTGAACAGATCCTCTTGATCTCAACTCGAGCTGGCGGCGTGGGTCTCAACATGTTTGGTGCTAATCGGGTGGTCATCTTTGATTTCCTCTTTAACCCTATGTGGGAGGAGCAGGCTGTCGGGCGTGCATATCGTCTTGGTCAGAGGAAGCCGGTCTACGTCTATCGCTTCCTTGCTGGTGGTACCTTTGAGGAGCTCATCTTCAACAACGCAGTCTTCAAGAGACAACTTGCCGTTCGGGTGGTGGACAAGAAGACGGTTATGCGTGAAAGTTCAAAGAAAACTTCGACCTATCTCACACATGTGAAAGATGTGGAGAAGGATGAGAAGTACTCCGCCCTTGGGCGGGATCCTCAGGTTCTCGATCAAATTCTCGGAGGAGAACTTAATGAGATCATTCTGAAGGCGAGATTGTCCCACATCCAAGACAACGAGAATGATCATCTCACCGAGGAGGAGACCCGCCAGGTGGAATATGCCCTCAAGATGGAACGTCTTAAACGCTCGGATCCGCTGGCTTACCACGCTGAGATAAAGAGACGGGAAGATGAAGAAAAGATACGCCAACAGGAGGTGGCCCGCATACTCAAACAGCGGGAATTGGAGAAGGCGGAGGAGCAGCGCAAATTGTTCCAGATGAGCCAATCTGGACAGCAGCAGGGTTTCATGACGGATCAACAACGCATTGCCTCTCTTAACCGCGGTCCGATTCCCATGTCAACAGTGGGCAGATCACCCCTATCTGTGAATAACCGGGGTGCAGCGGATGCAGCGGGTGCAGCGCAGCCTGCCAGGTTCTTATCCGGGGCTAACGCTACTCCTATTTCACAAGATCGGCCACAACTCCCTGCCTACCAGCCAAGCTCATCGTCACTCCTACCAGTGGGCTCAAACGAGCAACCCGTAACTCCTTCTGCATACAAGCCAAGCTCATCCACACTGCGACAAGCCGACGGCGGAGAAGCTCGACCCACTTTCCAGGTGCCTTCCGGTAATGAAGTCATTGTGATTGAAGATAGTTCAGTGCCTTCAACGCCGGTCAAAGCCCCCGTCAATGCCTTGCCTCTGCGTTCAGCATCCTCGGACCATTCTCCTGTTTCGCCGACTCCAAATATGAGTGGCGATGTTGCTCAGGAGAATGTCAACCAGCCAACGTCCGTGGAAATGCCACCGCAATTCAACCAGGACGAATCACAGGGGTCTGCGGAGCACGTCGAAAATAGCAACATGGATATCGGCGGCGATGGCTTGGTCGATCAGGTCGACAAGAATACCGAGGAAACAGCTCACAATCAGGCCACCGAAACCAACCCTCCGGCCGCTGTTAACCAGGAGAAGTCCGATGCCAGCAACAACGGCATTGCGGATCCTAAGGTGACCGCACTTAGGATGGCAGATGACGACAATGTCCTCAAAAAATCCGCCAAAAGCTCCACTGATATCGGGGAAGGCTCCGCATCCAAGATGGCGGCTGTCGGCACATCGCTGATTGTGCCCGCGACTAGTCCCGCCTCCGGCCAAAGCGAGGCGATGGACACCAGCGATAGCTCGCGGGTGACCGTCGACACGCCTGCGTCCGGGGCAGCGACTTGTCCCATCACGTCCAGCCAATCTGAGGCAGTGGACATCAGTGATGGCGCATAAGTGTTTTACAGGATGCTCGTCGTATGTTCGTGCAACCTACAAATCTCCTTATGCAGTTTTTCTTTTTTTGTCTTATTATTTGTACGAGTGATACCCCTTATTGCGAGTCTTTTTTACTGAGTCAATAATCTGCACTTGGGTACTTTTGACGTGATCATGCAGGTCTGGATCTATCAACATGATGGATCTAGATCAGCAAATGCAATCATGTACTCAGCATCTCAATAAGTGAATTCAGATATCAGCTACTTATTCACTCTTTCTCATTCAATAATCAGTAGAAATCGCCCTATTAAGTCAATAGTTAAAAAACAATAAGCGGGCCATAAATCGCTCCCATACGGACGCTAAGTGGAGCGAGCCACTCATCTTCCCCGCAAATAAATCCACCAGCTTATCTTCGTCGGACTGTGTATCTCGTACTCTGTCCAGACTTTTGGCTCTACGCTCCTCCATTCTCTTACCCCGTAAAATGCACTCATGGCTGCTATATCAAGAGCAAGAACTGGATGCTGGACTTGTCGCGCGCGACGTATCAAATGCGATGGTATCGTTCTTACTTCTATTGACTCTGCTTGACCCACATTTCTGACCATGAATGCCCAGAAACCCGCCCCGTTTGTCGTCGGTGCACGCGCAACAACAGCCCCTGTGGATACGGAATACGCCTAACATGGCACGAGGAGTCAATTGCTCGTGGGGTGTGTCATGGGCGGGCCGGAGTCTGGTCAAAACGGGGCGAAACCGACCGAGGACAACCCGAAGGGAAATCTCGGCAGGGGGTGAAACATACAGGGCGATCAGCACGACAGACAGAACAAATGGTATATTCAAATCAAAACTGGATATTCCTCAACACGACATTTGATGACCTGGAGATTCACTTTGACGGCACATTTTTGAAGAAAGCTAGGCCTCTCAGGACACTGCCTGTGTACAGATCCTTGTCTCCATGCTTGAGCACTTTTCCGAATAGTGGCAGGCGATCCGAGTGTGATCCAGCGCTCATGTCATACTTCGAGAATATCATTTGCAGCAGTTCCACGCTTGTCGATAATGCGCATTATAATCCCTATCGATATCTTATACTGCCTATGGCGCTGGAGTCCGAAGGCCTTTATCATGCAACGCTCGCTATTGCAGCTAATACCCTACAACTTTCTGATTCAAGATATCGGCTGCCAGCGCTGGAACACCATCATCGTGCACTAAGTCATCTTAGAGAGCTATTGAGTCACGATACATGGGGAGAGAAAGAGCTGGATGAGATGCTAGGACTTGTTCTTATGCTTTGCTGGTTTGATGTGAGTATCCTATTTATCGATTTTATAATCTTCATACTGATAAGGCCCAGGTTTCAGATAATAGTCGACCATCATGGGTGACCCACCTCAACGGATTTCAAGACCTAATTCGTACACGACAAGAACGGCCAGGCCGTTCCATTCACAGCCAGGAACTATCGGGTTTCTTCAACCGCTACTTTGCGTTTCATCTTGTCCTTGCCCGTACGGCATTTCGTGTCGATACCACGACTTACCAACTGCCAATATCATCGAACTCCTCGATTGAATCTCCCGATACCATTGATCCGTATATGGGATTTAGCCAATCTCTTCTACTGCTCATAAACCAGGTGACTGAGCTTGCCTGGAGTAAAGAGGATGACCAGAACGACATACATCCATCGGCAGTGTATCGACTGAAAAGGAACCTTGAAGATATCCAGCAAAGACTTCCAAACGGACAGATTGACCCAACCACAGAATGTGCTGCGATCGCAGAGGCGAACAGGCTTGGAGCACTTCTCCTCTTGCATGAGACCTGTTCGCCGAAGGCAGCTTCTACCAGCAGGTCTGGTCTTCCGGCATTCGATACAGAAGAAAAGAGCCGTTTCGTGGGCCAGATCTTGAATCTCATTCTGGAAAAGAAGGCTAATATGATGCGCACCGCGGTATTGCCGTTATGGCCATTGTTTTTGGCAGGCTGTTGTGCTCGCGAGGATGAAGAAAGAGTGACTGTGCTGCGGCTTTTCGAGGAGTTGAATGGAATTCGCCGATTTGGGGTACGTTATTCTTGATTTTGACGAGATAGAATTGTGGCTAACAAACATCCTTTGTGAACAGAATATCGCACCTGCTAAGGAGGTAGTTGAAATGGTCTGGCGACAGCGGGATCTGGCGGCTGAAGATGAGGGCAAGCGCCAAAGAGGCGAGGCTCAGCCTAAAAAGGATCCTCTTCAGGGAGCTCGTTTTGCCTGGGAGCATGCGATGGTGATGCTGGGTGATTGGAAATTAAGTCTGACATGATTTTCTGTACAAATTAACGTCTAAGATCTGCTATTCTATTTGAAGCTAGGGTTCTGAACACGGAAAGCAATAGAACCAGCCTGAGGACTACTGCTACTTGCTGTCATTGATTGCTTGCCAGTCCCTCTAGCAATACTTGACTCCTCGTCAAGCACAAGATGCCAAATTCAGCGAGCCCATCAGGCAATCGAAGCAATATCGATATTAAAGTTTCGCTGTGTGACTTTTTTCACAGGCCTGCCGTCCTCTCCAGCCTGTAAGATCCTCGAGTTCTATTCAGGGTCCATGTGGGCTAGATTCTTGACTTCAACCTTCTGCCCAGCGCGCCACTGCCATTTGCTGAAAATATGCGGGGCCAGTGTTCCCTCGAGCAAGGCTGCCACATACTTCCCAATGACGGGAAGGAATGTAAACCCGTGCGCTGAACCCCTGTAGCGAGGAATAGACCTCTATGGCTTGGATGGGGAGTAATGAGGAAGTGCCGGTCGGCTGTATCAGCATCCCAGCACAGACGCGTATAACAGAACGGTCTATCGGCCAGTTCGGGTAGGACACGTCGTAAGTTACGGCGCATTTGAGCTTCGATCTCCAGGGGGAGGCCGTCATTCGGTGCCTGCACAAAGGTGTGGGGGATTGAAGTAGTGATGTTCGAGTTTTTGTTGGTTTGCATATTGGTAATGAACTGACTGTGGGCCATCTTGAAGATTCCATCTTCTTGTGGAGGGAAGAAGTAGCCCAGTTCAAGGTTGTCCTTGATTGGGAAAGAGGAATAGTACTTTGTCTCGGCAGGAGTAAGCTGGATATAGGCAACAGCATGGCCCTTGGCCGTCAACTGGCCGTGCATATCTAGCAAAGAAGGTGTCCACGCGCCAGCAGCGAGAATGCCCAAGTAGGCTTCATGTTTGGTGCCATCTGCAGTAAAAGCTCCTTTGCATTGACCAGTCGACTCGTCGAATATTATTTGCCGTACATGCCCCTTCGTCTCTACAGAGATATACTGGACGCCTTTCTCCATAGCAGCATTAGCCATCCGCTCCAGAGCCTGACCAGCAGCCGCCCAGCCAGCAGTCGGATTCCAAACGCTGGAATTCCACCCTTCCAAATTACCAGTAACCACAGGAAAGCGAGAGCGAATCATCTCTGGCGTAAGTCGCTCGATACCCCTTACCCCGAGCTTCTTGCATGTTTCAATAGAGCCCCCAACGAAAGGCTTCGATAAGTTGGCGGCACTCAGAATCCACCAGAAACATGATAAAGTCCACTGAATATGGACCAAGAGCGCCATGCAGCAATGGACTCAATTCCCAATCGCGCATACAAGGGCTCGTTGTAATCGCTGCGAATGATCTTGCTGATATCCGTTGAGGTAGCTTCACATGAGGGCGGAGGGTATCGATCCAAGACACGAATGGAAGTGTAGCCTCGCTGTGCGAGATGATATGCTGTCGAAATGCCGAAGCAGCCACCACCGATGAAAATAATTCTCGTGTCTTTGTCCATTGTGATATCTGAGAGTTTAATTTGTATCTTGATTCCGAACTTCCCAAGACTATTGGGCCATTACCCTCGTTATTTATTGCGGTTTTTGCTGGCCCAGATCTCGGTCTGAGCTTCCCTGTGTGCAAACTAGCAAGTTACCATGATATTCAATTTCATTCTCGAACAGGAAAAAATATGGCTCCATGAAAGTCCGCCGCGATCTCGTTTCGACCTTCTGTTGTCCCTTGCGATAGCGCTGATAAGTCGTCGGCAATCTTCCGAGGTGGCTAGGCCGGGTTCCTTCCGACCTTCCTCAGCAGGAAAGTATGAGGAAGAATCCCAGAAACAGGAGTTGCTAAGGTGCCAGAGATAGGTTTGTCTGCCAATGCCATAACTAGCTAGATCTGAAGACAAAGAAGACAGCTGATTAAACCGGAAGGCTACTCAAAGTGGTTGTTCGCTCGTCTTCCACCACATCACGGTCCACATACTCGAGATGGGAAACACCGAGGCTTCCAGTATGCCCATGAGAAACCGCACAGTCGCCAAACCAGCAAAGCGTTGAGTTGCAGGTGTACAAAACATCATTACTGCCCCTCCTGCCACCATTCCCACGTAGGTGGTAAGATCATTCCGCTATCATTTATAGCTTGCGCCCTTTATTCGATGTATAAATTCCCAGTGGTCAAGGCTGCCTCGCTCCGGTCAACATGATCGAATATTCCGCCATGAACACTTCTCAACCCATCTGGGCATGCGACTGTCTGTGTAGGAAATCCGATCATGTCACAGCGAATAACAGATGTTGTCCTTGGGGCCTTTGAAGCCTGTGCTGCCTTTCAGGGTTGCTGCAACATCATTTCATTTGGCATGGGTGGCGTTGACCCCAAGAGTGGTGTTGAGGTGCCTGGATTCGGGGTGGGAGAGACTACCTGTGGCGGCTCAGGCGCTGGCGCGTCCTGGCATGGCACTTCAGGAGCTCACTTTCATATGATCAATACACGCATCACTGATGCAGAGGTCTATGGATTGAGATATCCCGTGGTTCTGCGTCAATTCTCGATCCGTCGTGGATCTGGCGGGGCGGGACGCTTCCATGGCGGCGACGGGGTCATTCGCGAGCTTGAATTTGGTATGCCATTGTCCAAATCGATGCTCAGTGAGCGACGAGTCTTCCGACCCTAGGGATTGGAAGGAGGTGGCTCCGGCCAGGTGAGTCTGAATCTGTATCTCAAGGAGGAGTTGGATGGCTCGGAAAGAATGATCAACATTGGTGGTAAATGGAGCTCGAGGTACAACCGGGAGAACGGATTCTCATCCATACGTAAGTTCTCGCTTTTTAGCATCTCTGAGTTATTTGGATGGAAACGCTAATTCGAGGTTCAGACCTGGAGGTGGTGGCTGGGGCACCCCGTCGGAGGAGACTGAGTCAATCTCCACTCGATAACCTGGAAGTACCTCATCTTTCTAGGCAAGAGGCAGTGTTTAGGCTTTCAGCAGAACTGCGGAAACAGTATCCTGATCAAACATTAGACGAAATAGTCTCAATTGAGCTTTTATCATGAATAAGTACCTGATCAAGGATATCCGGCAATTGCTCTTCTGCAGAATGCCATTTTCAGGATCTTGAGCTTCCTGTAATTCACAACTACCATTGCTGTGTCGTTTAAGGTACTTTTTTGGCCAAAAGTAGCCCGCAACTCTATATAGAGTCATTGAGACTCGCTGCCTCCTGCAGGTGCTTCGGATAAATGTTGCCTGTACCATAGTTGCCGAGAAATTCGTACTTCACAAGCCACGGTATCTCGTCTCTGGGCGTTTACATAGCCGAGATGGTGCCATTTGTACCATGCTTCGACACTAGGTTGAAATAAGTATTCTTCATCTGAATCTTGAGGGAGACTTTACCTATTTCTGTTTAGAGTACCAGCATCGGCGGTCGCGGAGCCCCGCGATTGATGGAAATTTCCCCGCAAGACCAGAACGAGGACAAACTCCGGCGGGATGAGCTCCAGAGTATGTTTGGTTTACACAGCTAGCTTGCAACTGCTCCATAGAACAGCAAGTATAAAAGCAGGTACCTTTGCTACATAACATGATGTAGATTGATTTCTTGTTCAATTACAGGCACTTTGAATCAGCTATGAAGTTCATAGTTCCTCGTCTCCTCACCCTCGCTGGGGCAGTCACGGCGGCTACTATTGGGGCCTCAGCTTCCAAGACGCCTGCCCCACTCACAGGCATTACGATCTTCTCTCCTCCTTCAGATTACAACATCCCTCGCACACTCTATGCCCGTAATGAGCAGCTTCCCAATGGCGACCTCCTCGCGACTTGGGAGAACTACTCTCCCGAGCCACCGCTTGTGTATTTCCCAATCTACCGCTCCAAGGATTTGGGAAAGACATGGTCGGAAATCTCCAAAGTCCAGGACACGGCGAATGGCCTTGGATTGCGTTATCAGCCATTCTTGTATTATCTCCCTGAGCAGATTGGCTCGTTCAAGGCTGGAACCCTGCTGCTAGCAGGCAACAGTATCCCCACGGATCTGTCGACTACCCAGCTCGATCTGTATGCGTCCAAGGACAATGGCGTCACTTGGGAATTCTTGAGCCATATCGCTGCTGGCGGAGAGGCTGTTCCTGACAATGGCCTGACTCCCGTTTGGGAGCCTTACTTGCTTGCCCAGTAGGTTGACGGGACCCTGTTTTGATGGATATCTAGCTAATATTCGAACAGCAATGGCCGACTGATCTGCTACTACTCGGACCAACGGGCCAACACCACCTACGGGCAGAAACTCGTGCACCAGGTCTCGACTGACTTGAAGAAGTGGGGACCTGTTGTTGACGATGTGTAAGGCTTTTCCCACCTCTTCTTTACTACATACCATACTGACAAATTTCCAGCGCTTACCCGACGTACACTGACCGACCGGGAATGCCCATTGTTACCAAGGTAAGCCATTGACCTCGAAACTATGCATTTATACAGAGCTAACATTCGCAACTTCCAGCTGCCAAACGGTCAATACATCTACATCTACGAGTATGGATCGTTCTTCAACACCTCCAGCTACTCCTTCCCGCTCTACTACCGCTTGTCCTCCAACCCTGAGAACTTTGCCTCCGTTGAGCACCACAAGCTGGTTGTTTCGAGCGGAACTAAGCCTACCTCCTCCCCATATGTTGTTTGGACTCCCTATGGTGGCAAGAACGGCACCATCATTGCCAGTTCAGGAACTGAGAGTACCCTGTTCATCAACAAGGCTCTGGGCCAGGGTGAATGGACTGAAATTGCGTCCCCGGAGGCGCACAGCTACACGCGTTCATTGCGGGTGCTTTCCGAGAAGGGCGGAAGATATCTCCTGGTCAATGGTGGTGGTGTGCTGTCAGGAACCGCTAACAAGGTGACGGCGACTGTGATGGATCTTAAGGACTACTTGTAGACAAGTTCATACTATACACTGCGTGCTAGCTGGACAGATTCTGTAACGAGACATTGGTGTCCTTTTTTACATGTCTGGTTTTAGATTCAACAACACTGATTGATTTCCTCGATTTATCCCGATAAATGGCGCAGATCTACTCCGTAGAATAACCCGGATTCAAGGGACAGAATTAAGTTAGACCTTCCTCTCCGCCAACGAGCCATGGGTGGCAAGTCACATGCCATCACCACAATAACTCAATATTAACTCTTTTTTCTTCTCTTTCTCATCTCAATCTACTCACTTCCTCAAGGCGACTAGCAGATCGCCCCAAGCTGTCCAAGAACATGGGCGCAAAATGGTCGTCTGCGATGCCCCGGTCCAAGGCATCGTCGGGGCATACACGGGCAACAGCTTCGCCGTGCAAGCCTCGATCGCCAGCCTACTAGGCTGCGCTCTATACAGCGCCCTCGAATTGATCATCCTGGTCTTCTCCACATTCAAGAAATACCACGGTCTATATTTCTGGAGTCTACTGGCATCAGCCTCGCTAGGGGTGATTCCCGACGCGCTCGGGCTGCTTTTGAAGTACTTTGAGCTCGCGCCCATTTGGATTCCCGTCACGCTGTCGACGGCAGGATGGACCATCATGGTGACCGGGCAGTCGCTGGTGCTATATTCACGACTTCATCTCGTCCTTTTCGACAGAAGGATTCTCCGCTTTGTGTTGGGCATGATTATTTTCGACGCGATTGTTCTGCAAATTCCCCAGATTATTGCCTCGTACGGCGCGGTCTACGTCTGCCACCTACATTTTCAGAGCTTCTTCAACAAGTGGGAAAAAGTACAGCTTACGGTGTTTTTTGTGCAAGAGATTATCATCTCATCCTTTTTTATTGTGCAAACTACCCGGTTGATGCGTCTGTATCCAGTACAGAGCACTCGGAGGGCGAACATTTTGTACCAACTACTGGCGATCAACCTGATCATTATCATGATGGATATTTCATTGTTGACCTTGGAGTTCTCGGAATTTTTCATTACGCAGACGGTGCTCAAATGTTTTTTCTATACGGTCAAGCTTAAGCTGGAGATTGCGGTGTTGTCGCGCTTGGCATCGTTTGTACAGTCTCATTATCAGCTGGAATGTTCGGGGTTGAGCTAGCATTCCTGCGGTATACTACTGGATTGTGTACAGAATTTTACGTACAGTCGATGGAATGCAAAAGAAAGCTTAACTTGATACACAGTTGATTCAAGTCTACTCAAAAAAAAAAGTTAAAGATATGGTACAACCCGAAATTTAGTAAATCTACAAGAATGAAAAGTTGTAAAAAGACCCGTGGATCACAGGCGACTCAGCGAATACCGATTAAATCTAGCCAAGAAGGGTCTCAAAGTCGGCGATGCGGGTAGCAGTGCTCTCGGCCTTCTTTTTAGCCGTCTCGCGGAATGCTGCCAGCATGAGCTTGCGCTTCCGCTCTTGGACATCCAGCACTCGCTCTTCAATACTATTCTCCATAACCAGGCGCCACACCGTAGTCTCGCGTTTCTGGCCAAGTCGGTAGACACGATCAACGGCCTGGTCTTCAATAGCAGGTGCCCACCAGCTATCAGCCAAAATGACCTGATTAGCTGCCACGAGGTTGAGACCGACACTGCAAACGCTAAGACTGGCCAGCAGAACTGTGCAATCAGGCTCGTTCGTGAAAGCATTGATGGAATTATCGCGCTTCACAGACTGCATCTTGCCGTCGATGCGCACGAACTTGATGCCACGCTGCTCCAAATGGGGCTCGATGAGATCAAGGAATGAGGTCCACTGGCTGAACAATACGGTCTTGGTGCCAGGTGCTTGACCCTGTGCCGTGAGAACCTTCATGAGCGCCTCGATCTTGCTGCTCGGGTTATTTGGGTCGGCAGTAGCTGTCTCAGCATCTTCGCCCATCTCAACGGTGGGAGATACGAGACTGGAATAGTCCTTGATTTCCGCACGGCAGAGAGGGCACTTGTGTTGCCGCTCAATGACTTGCTCAATACAGCCACGGCAGAAGGCATGAGCGCACGCGGTGATTACTGGGAGCTCAAAGTTATCAAGACAGATGGCGCAGACCTCCTGGCTCTCGATCTGAATCTGCAGCATGTCCTGCAGAGCTTTCATATTCTCGGGGGTGAGAGGCACAACTTTGTGTTTCTCGAGTTCTCCCATAAGCTTATCGATTCGGTTCTTGCAAAGAGCCCAGTGGTTGCAAACCTGGCGCAGGCGTAGAATGACCTCCAACAGAGTAGAATAGCTGCCTTCTTTGTCCTTGAGCTGGATAAGAGCACCTTTCGCCTCGTTTCTGCGTAATGTTAGCAATGTGCACGGGAACAAGTAACCCACGATTGAAGACATACTGGAATGCGCTGTACTTCTCCAGCTCATGGGGATGGAATTTGACCCGAAGGACTCGTGAAGTCATTTCGGGTAGTCGCAAGTTGATGAAACTCATATCCTTTCTTCGTCGGAGGCAAATAGTTCCCATAAGGGCCTCGAGCAGCAGACGAGCCTCGGGGTCACCATTTGTAAGCGGGCGAATCAGGACGCTGTTGAACACGCTCATGTCCTCCAGACCACCGGACATCTGCAGGAAGCGGACCTGGGAATAGAGGTCCTTGAGGGTATTGATAATGGGCGTTCCGGTCAAGGTCCAGCGAGAATCAGCTCGCAAGGCACAGGCCGCAAGAGAGCCCTTAGAGCGAGGGTTACGAATGGTATGACCCTCGTCCAGAACCACACGGCGCCAGTGAACAGAGAAAATTCCCTTCGCAGGCGGCCTCATCGCATTTGGCTCAAACTCCATAGCAAGAGCCCCGTAACTCGAGATCACCACATCGTATTGGGCTAGGTTGGCCTTTTCTTTTTTGCCAGAACCATGATAGATCAAGACTCGCGGGGCAGTTTCGCTGTGGGTGTGATCCTGAATTTGATTCCTCCAGTTGCTCATAACACCAACCGGGGCAAGAATGAGGGTCGTCTTGCTAGAAGCCGGAGTCCGAGGGGTGGGATTGGCCATGATCAAAGATATGATTTGGATTGTCTTGCCAAGACCCATGTCATCGGCAAGAATGCCACCACTTGCAAGCGGTGGCTCGGTATCCATGGAATAATTGGTTGCGATGTTGGTGAATTTGGCCCCATCGCGCTTCCATAGTTGAACGATAGCATCGGAGCCCAGGGGTGGGAGGGAAGGCGACTCTCGATTGATCATCCATGCCAGACCTTGTCGCTGGTATGGTAGAAGCTCCGTAGATAGACCTGCCGGTGAGGGGGCCATGGGCATCTTTTCCAAATCGGCTTCCTTCTGCCCAAAGCTTTCGACAACTTTACCAATTTCTCGGGGATTGAAATAGCTGCTTTGTTGAAGAAGCTCCTCCAAGCTCTCGTTTTCGCCCAGTCCAGTCGCTGAGGACAGGTTTGCATACGTTGAATCCTCATTCTGCTGCCATCGCTGGGTAGCCTTTCCGAGAGCCATAGCACGGGCGTTCTTCGCGGCTGCCTTGCGTTCTTGCTCGCGCTCTTTCTCCTGCCGCCTTTGCTGACGCTCGGCCTCATTGAACTCTTTCACTGGTAGCTTATCCTTTTGCATTCGCGTCTTCAAGTTTTCTTTCAAAGCGGGATCACTCGTGCCAAAAAGTCTCAGCTGTACTGGGCAGTCGAATGGTCCAATTACGCCTGTTAAAACACCCTCCACGGACAAATCCCGGGAGTCCTAAACATCGGCTCATTAGAACACATGATAATCTTGATAAATTCGAACAACATACCATGTAGGGTGCCAACTTCGAAGCCAAGTTTCGCGGAATATGCCCAACTTGGGCGCCCATAACGTTATCGACACGGATCGCATTGCGATCGTATTGATTCGTGGGCTCTCTTCTCAGAACAACATACTCGCCAGGATTGGCATTCCCTCTGTAGTAGCGGACTCCCACGATCTTCCCCTCAATTTTTCCTATAATAGTGTGTCAGTTACTATCGTGCAGAACAAGCAATTGAGATGAGGAGGATACCATAAAGCATCGCACTAGAAACTGACGATTCATCGACACCTTGACTTCCCTGGACAAGGTCTTCGGCGTGAGCATCGTCCTCGTCCGCACCGGCGACCTGAGACAGCGGGAAGTTGTTGGCACTCTCAACAGGGAGGTAGTGGACGTTTTGACCAAATCTCTGGCCAATGGTGACGGCTGGCACAGCAGTAGTAGCTGGCTCGGGACTGGCGGATGGCTCAGGACGGATGGCTGGCTCAGGACGGATGGCTGGCTCGGGAGTTTTGTCTCGCGGAGGGATGGCTGTCGGATCTCCTGCAAGGAATCGACGCATCTTAGACGCGCGGGATTCTCCCATGTGGCTATTTGCATCCGATTTGACCGGACCGGCCTTTCGCTTTCCAGAAGGCAGCGGCAACATTTTCCCCCACAATCGAGATATTAAGAGTAAGGAGCGCCCAGGAGGCCAGATAGGGATGAAACAGCTTGTGTGCCAATTCCAGATTAAATTGAGTGTTCAGTGTAACGGGACTTGTCGTCAACGCTCATGAGCGCCTGACATGAAGACCAACGCGCGACTTATCTAAACGACCAACCCCATGACGGCACACGCTAACCCTGATGAGGAAAGTTTGCCAAGCGTGACGAGTCGCGTTTAACACGCTGTCACGTGATAATGAACAAACATCGTCCTGTGAGTATAGAGTGTTTCGAGTTATTTAATGAGATAGAGATACTATTGGACGATTGAAGGAAATTAGGAGAAAAATGAGAAATGCCAGAATTACCAAGGCACATTACCTGGGTTTATACTATCTCTCAGAGTTCTTTCCTTTCAATCACAATAACAGCCCGAAATGGTCGATCAACATTTATATATTTCTTCCATCCAATACCCGGAACTCAGTAAGGAGACACCCAGAAAGAAAGGACCCCAGAAGAGTACCTAGATACATGGATTACTGAGATTAATCATACGGCTTAACCCTCAAATGCCCACCAGATTTCTATGCCACCCAACCTGAACGTTTTGAGAAGCCCAATCGTATATCACGTGATACACACAATAAACCAGATTTCCTCGGAAGCTGACCTTCGTAATCCCTTAACAGCGCCCCCAATTCAAAGTACTGGTGAGCTTACGCCCAATTCCGTCAGAGAATCACTTTTTTGATCCGTGATTGCCACTTTTGAGGAGGGGTACATACTGGAGCTCCCCACTACAATCGACTTTCAACCCCATTCCTTAGCGCAGCCCGAGGCAGACAAGCTCCCGAAATAGTGGCGGCTCGACCCATCCATGGCCGATCCCCGCCAAGGTTCTTACCAGGATCTTGTGCAGAGCTATGCAGATGAGCTAGATTCTCTGATAGAACAGGGTGTCCATAAGCCCGTCTTTATTTACCATCTGGTGATAATCAACCTACTGCCTCTGATTGGCTTGGTCATACCGCGCCGTGGAGCTACTCGATATGTTCGCCCTGCAATCTTTGCTCTCAGCTTGGGCATTGCGGTCGAGATGCTCAGTCGCCGCCGTGCGCTTTTAGGTGGGAATGGGTATATGATTGGTCTAATGACAGCGTGGTGGCTACTGTGGAGTGCGACGCTCTTCGTGTTTTCGGACGTTGAGAATGACTTTCGACGCATTGAGCGAGGAGCCACGGCTGCGGAATCGATAGACGACCAAGTAAACGAGGGTCGAGGTGCTTCACAGAGCTATTCGGTCGATAGCAAATGCAGTCTAGCCAATTCCGACACCACGGTATCTTCGGATTCAAACGGACTGGCCGTTGCTGACAGTGGGCTGGAAAAGTTCCACTGGCAGTCCTATCCTCGAAAATTGACGCATCGTCTTGAATTGTGTGCGGGGCTTCTCTTAAATCTCAGGGGGCCTGAATGGAATTGGCGTGTTTCTCACTTAGGTCCCCTGCCTCGATCTGTGCACACACAATTGCATGCAGGGTTTGTCGCCAGCAAGGTTCGCGCGCATGATGATGCTACGTACACGACGGCAAAGACTCGTCTCCGAGCTGCCCTGTGGACGTTCCTCCAGGGATATCTTTTGCTAGACTGTCTCAAGGTTCTCATGATGCGGGATGCATACTTTCGGGGATTTATAACGAATGAGATTTCACCTCCATTCCCATTCTCCCACTTTGCATCGTTCCCACTGCTCATACGACTTTATCATTGCTTCATCAGCTCCGTGGGTGTCTATGTTGCACTCCAATATGTCACGTCGCTCAATCCTATATTCTTTCTGGGATTGTCCATGGCATTCCCAAATGCTGCTCGAAAGCTGACAGGCGCTCCACTTGATGCATCTTGGCTTTATGCCGACAGCTTCGGGCCCTTCGTTTCTTCTGTCCTTGATCACGGGCTAGCTGGGTGCTGGAGCCGATGGTGGCACCAGCTCTTTCGCTATGGCTTCACCGCGACTGCGAGTTGGATTCTGTCACTGTTTCCAGCTAAATGGTCGGCTGATCCTCGAGTCAAACGAATCACTTACGTTCTGATCGCTTTTGCCGTGAGCGGGCTGCTACATGCATCTGGCAGCCACACGCAGTTTCCAAACACCCACCCTCTATCCGGGCCATTCTTGTTCTTTTTCCTCCAAAGCCTTGCGATCCTTGTCGAGAACATCTTCAAGACAGTCATCTTCCCCAGGTTACCCCTTGCAGATACCCCGCGGTGGGTACGTCGGACTGCGAATGCAGTATTTGTTTCCTGCTGGCTGCTCTATTCAGGGGCCTTTATTGCGGATGACTTTGCCCGAGGCGGATTGTGGCTGATGGAGCCAGTGCCTATTAGTCCACTTCGTGGATTGGGCCTTGCATATGATCAAGGGTGGTGGTGCTGGGACAAGCCGTGGTTCCGCTACTGGAGCGATGGGACATATTGGGGAAGTGGGCTACGGGTCATCTAAGCATGATAAATTGTACACTTTATACATGTATCTTGAATTTCGGGTAGACTTCAGATAGATATTTCGGACTATATATTCATTCAAAACCACAAGTCTATATGTTGAGCTTTTTTATGGGCTGGAGGTCTAACCCTCCATCGCCACATCCTCATCGTCCTCTTCATCATCATCCTCATCATCAGTGTCGGGATCGATGTTCAAAGCGGGGAGCTCGTCATCACTATCATCAACGGGCAACGCCTCCACGGCGACTTGGGATGTTGCTGGCGCCTGGGAAGTAGCCTGGACATGTTTGGGGACCATCGAGGCTTCAACTTTGGTAGGTTGATATGCGGGGACAGAGGCAGGTGTTTGAGCCTTCTCTTCGAAACGAGCTTTTTTAACCTGCACAGGCTGCTTTCCCGATGCCGGAGAGGAGTGCGATTCAGCGCTAGTCTCCTCAAAGTAAGTCCGCTTCTGCAGGGGTGCCACCGAAGCTGCGGAGGGCTCGGTCTTCTGAGCCTCAACAGAGGTAGCAGCCGGTTGTGTCAAGAAGCTAGCAGATTGGGAGGGAGCATTGAACGGCTCATCAGCCATTTCATCGGCCTCTTCATCTTCTTCCATCTCAGCATAGGCATCAAGCTCCGGAGCGGTCATCAGGACGGGCATCCTGGGACGGACCAAAGCCTCGACCTCCATTTGATCAGAGTATCCCCGGACCAAAAACGGGATGAGACTAGAGCCAGCGCCACGACCCTTGGCAGCCGGAATTGGGTTAAGGACACTAGCAAGCATGGCATCCTTGTTCGAAGTGAGGATGATGGTGCGGTCAATTTCCGCGCGAACGGAAGGCGCCAAAAGACCAGGGGAAATATACGTCAGAGCACCTTGCAGAAGTCCAGATGCAGCTTGTTGAAGTTCGGGGAACTGTGGGCAAGCTTTTAATTGCTGCTTCTTACGAAGCTCGGGGTCCAAAAATGAGTCTGCATTTGCTGTACCTTGACCACCTTTTGACTTCGACTTGGCATCGGTCTGCGACTTGCCGGCCGCACCAGAGTCTTCAAACTGAGGAAGCAGGTCATGGCAGCAGACCCTAAGGACATTTGCAACGGAGCCTATGCTCTGCTTCGTCATGGCAGGTCCGGTCAATTTCAAGACGGAGGAAAGCAAGTCATAAGACGCCGAGCGAACGTCTCTGCGGAACTTCTCATTCTTAAAGACCCAGGTCACTTGCTCTAGGATGTTCTGCGAAATTGGAGCTGTGCTAGTTTCTAGCACACCAACAACATGCGCAAGCAAGTCCATACAGGCAATGTGAATGCGAGGCAGCTCGGCCCACAACAGCTCCCGCTCGTCCCGGCTGATTTGAGGATTGAATTGAACGCCATTCTGCGAAGCCTCCCCATTCGGCGGAATAGTCACGGATGTAAGCCGAGAAGTCAAGTCGAGAATTGAGCCGAGAGGGATGGCGATGGTGGCCGCCGAAGGCATGGAGATAATTTCAGAGAGAATTCGCAAAAGTGTAACCAGCCTGTCGGTTCCGGCATGAATCCCTGTCCAGCCCGGGAATCCTAGAGCATCAGCGCTCGGATCCGCCAATTCGTTGCTGTAGTCCTGCTTAATGTGAACCAAAGTTGGATCCACCGACTCCCATTGCTCTGTGATAGCCCGAAACACATGGTCGGCGGCTCGGTGGGCAGACAAAATGGTCGACTTGCACTCATCGCTCCAACCCAAGCCTGATTTGTCCTTGGGCGCGCATCTGTAAAGAGAAGCGAACAGTTGCTCTGCGACATCCAACACCTGCTCTGGAAAGTACACTTGCGAAGAGGAGCTGAGAATATCACCGAGCAGAGACCAAAGCTGGGTTCCAAAGGGACGGAAGATTGTGGGGTGACGAGGGATTAGTTCGAGGATGGCATGAAGGACAATTTCCATAAATGGTGTGTTGGGCTTCGGCTTCCGGCTTGATCCAGAGGGAAGCTTGACCAAGGTCGAGACCAGGTTCAGCGCTGCAGTCACAAATCCTGGCAGATGAGGTGTAGTAATTTCGCGAACCAATGTCGGGTACTGGTATGTGAGGTGGAAAATGCGAGTTAATGTGATAATGCACATCTTCCGGGTGGATACCGGGTCGGGTTTCTAGACAGCCCAGAGAAATCAGTCAATTGAGCCGACAGAAGATTGTTGACAGATGCAGTATGCACGGAGAGAGCTTCATACCGCTAGAATACCAATCAGACCGCGAACGATCGGCTCATAGCCCCGCAAGATCTCCCATTGTCCGGCTTCGACGGTGGCCTTAACTAGAACCACGGCAGTCCATCGGCCCTCAACGGTGCGATCTTGCAGCAGACTGGCCAGGCGAGTCTTTAGTTTGTGAATTTGAACGGCATGATCGGAGTCCCCCTTGCCCGGTTTTTGGGCTTGTGGCGCCGAGAGGAGCTCAGCGCAATCACTCAGCGAGGCCGCGAGGAATGCAGCAATCGAGGGCAGTTGGTCAACCGGTGTAGTTGTCAAGCGATGCGTGACAGCGCGCAAAGTGGTGGCGGCCATAGCGATAAGCACGCAGAAAACGGTGCAATGGGCCTCGGCGAGTTCAATTGACACGGGCTCCAAGTGTGAAGAAGATCGTTGTAGAAGAAGGAAAGGTCTTAAAACTAAGTTATCCGGTAATTTTTTTTTTGGTTATGGGGAACAAGCTCGGGCCACATGCAGCCTCGGTAAATTACGGGAATTACGGTCACGGCAATACGTAACCCTCTCTCCACCGCTGGGCGATCATCTCGGGGCCTGGCAAGTTGCGCTGGTCTACGCATGCCTGACTGTCCTCCTTCAACTCTCTCCGCGCTTCCTTTGCAACCCTCCGGAAACCATGGCGGTAAGTCCCTAGTCCTTCTGGTTTCGGCGTCGGCTACATTGACAGCTGTTGCGCCTGCTAAGCGAGGACTATAAACAACTAACACGTGGGGTCTAGGGAGGCAACGCTGAGAAGGGACAGCGATACATCGCGTCTTTGGACCAGGCGCGGGCCCAAGGCAAATGGGATGAAGTACCTGAATTGATCCGGAAAGTGACCAAGCATGCACCGCATCGCACTTGTAAGCGCGCGCCACTACCGTGCCGTGTTCCAGGATAACGCTAACGGATTTTCTTGCAAATAAAGGTGTCATTCAGACCGCGACAGCAGAATCTCGAGTCGTAGCCTACCTCCAGCAGAAGACATCCTCCGACTCTGTATCGACACCCAACCTCCCCGAGCTGATCCCGGCGCTATTGACTACCATCGAGAATAATGACGGGACCCCGGAAGAGATCGTCCAGGCACAGGTCTGTCTAGGATGGATCCATTGGGCCTTGAGTGAGCCAGCGCTGGCTGCAGGACGCCTACCCAAGGACTTCGCAACGACGGTGGATGAATTGGCCGCCGGAGGTCAGATTCCGTCCGCCTGGACGGAGGTCTGCCTAGTCAAAGGATGCTATATCAAGGGTATATGTCATACTGCGCGGATGCTGCGGGGACACGTTCGCTAATAAAATTACAGGTGCCGCGCAAGCTACAGTTTCTGGAATCGACGAGACATTGGAGACTTTTGCCTCCTTGATGCCCTGGCTGAGCGGCGGGAGATTGGGCTCGCCCAACGCTCAATTCCTAAGCTGGACTGAGACTTTGCTGTGTAAAGGTGCTATAATGGCCAGCGAGGAGGCACGCAACAGCTCCCCATATTCCGACCCCAGACATGTGGAGATTGCGCTCCGGTTGTTTCGGCTTTGGGCAGCTCTCCCCGCGGTGAAGCAAGGGTTGACTGCCTCCCAGCCTTCCCACCTAGACGCATCCACCTCGCTCTCCCGAACCTCCATATGGAAGGCATATTATGGATTCCTGACGACTGTGCTTCAGAATGGACTTGCTTACATGGCTCCAAACGATGGTCCAGACCGGCCTCAATTAGCCAGTGAGTTGCGTCGCATAGAGGCGATTTGTGAAAACAATCTTCTTCGGGAAGTTAAATTCCCGACTGCCAGTTCCAGCAACTCTGAAGTCGAAGAATGGGTGGAACAAGTCATCGGCAATTGGGAGGTCCTCTGTGGACCCCACTGGCAGGATCAAGATCTGGGCGAAGGAGGACAGAACACCGTGGGGCGCAATGTTTTGGATGTAAGTGTAACCCAGGTAATCATCTGCGTAACTACGCTAACAAAATCCGAAATCTCAGATCCTGTATCGTGCAGCAACCAAGACATATCATTCCCACCTGATTTTACGACGTCTGTTCCATGTTCATTCTGCCTTGGCGGACTTTGACCTTGCCTTTCAGGCACTCGACTCCTACATCGAAATTATCACCGGCGCCAAGGAAAGAGCGGAGAAGGGCGCTGAGTATGGTGAACTGGAAAAGGACGAAATTTTCTTGCAAACTCTTTCCGAAGGTGTCACTTTGTTGAGCTGCCTCGGTTCCTTCGACGAGGCAGAGAAGGCTAAGGATTTGACCGAATTGATCAGAAAGCAGCTGGATAAGCAAGGGGCAACCGTACCAGAGGGTAAGGCCAATGGAAAACTGCTGCTTACGCAAGGTCCGGGCTCTACCATCTCATCTGAGATCCCTCCAGCGGTTCTGGCCACTGCTTACAGGGCAGTTGGAGTTGGACTTGCCAACTGGGCGAGCTTTACCCCGCAAAATGAAGCAAGGGATGAGATTCGCGGAGAAGCTGTGGATTACCTGTTGAAGAGTGTATCACCTTCGCTGGGCAAGCAAATGAGCTATTCATCTCTTTACACATTGTCTCTTGTTCTTGCAGAGAACCGGGACCTTGACACTGCGATTGACTATGTCAAATCCGCACTGACCTCTCATGGTTGCTCCGATACATCTGAAGATCTTTCAAGAGAACGGGATCTTGTCCCAATGTGGCACTTACTCGCTCTGCTGCTCAGCGCGAAGAATGAGTTTGATATCGCCGAACGTTCCTGCGAAGCCGCCTTCGAGCAGTTCCCCCCAGAGGTGTTTGGTAAGACCCACCTTGACAAGAGATCCGAGAGGCGTTCATCAAGGCATTCGTCGCACTCCAAGGAACGAGACTCTGGATTCAAGCGATCTCTCGTAAGCCGATTGCAGGGCCGGGAGAAGGAGCGTATACTTCAAACTCGCATCACACAACTTGCCTTCGTCGAAGTGATGGAGGGATCCGAGGCTGCTGTCAACCAAAGTGGGCAATTGTTGAGCCTTTTTGCCACACTCTTCAGTGAACTCAATCTCGACAGCGACGGCACTAAACCCAAGACCGAACATTTGGTACCACCCAAGAGCTCCGCCGGGACAGCTCGGAGCTTCCGCGGCAGCATATTCAGCCGCAATCGATCCTCTCACCTACCAGATCGCCGGGCTGACCCCTCCATGAGCTCTGTTCCAGCAGTGCCGCCACTTCCGAATGGCAACACTACTGGAGCCGAAGCACCAGCCATCCAGATTACGGATGAAGACCGGCCAGGGCATCAAAGTCCATCCTCACTCGGAAGGTCCGATTCCAAGAGACTGAAGAAGCGCAGCAGCAGCTTCCATAGACATGAAAGGCCTCGAATTGAGGAGCCTCCCCTACCGAACGGGACAGAGTCTCCAGAAACGGTGGGGATCGCGGTTTCTGGAAACTCATCCCCCAATGCGACATCCCATCCTGCAAGTGGTCGACAGCCATTGCCGCCAATCGCGCATAATGTCAATCACAGACAACAACCAGCACCAGCGGGTCATGAACACAACCCACCAGTGCAGGATACCCGACTTCCACCCCCTCACCGATTCGATTCTCCCACGCTCGCGACTACGAAGTTCTCCTACGCTCAGTCTCAGAAACACGCTCTTGGCCTGCTTGTCAAGATCTGGCTCATTATTGCTGGTCTGTACCGCCGAGCATCATTGTTTGACGACGCCCGAGAGGCATGCCAAGAGGCCTTTAAGCAAACCTCGCGGGTAGAAACTCTGACTGCATCTTTCGAGTCCTCGGCTCGTGCTTTCAGCAAGCGCGGCTGGGATAATGCCAAGAGCTCCGAAGAGTTGTGGGCTGATGTTTATGCTGAACAAGGGCTGTTGGCCCAGAGTCAGTCAAGTCCCCATCAGGCCATGAAGCACTTCGAGGATGCCCTTCTTCACTGTCCCGATCATCCGACCGCGACTATTGCGCTGGCGAATTTGCTGTTGGATGTCTGGGATCAGAAGCTGCCGTTGGAGCTCTCGAATGCCGATGTTGATCTCAACATATCACGACTGTCGTTGTTGTCTAATCTTCCAAAGCCCAAGGTGGCGAATGCCATCTCAATCGATGAGTTGAAGGGACCTGATGTTGAGACACTGCCCAAAGCCGAGGCTTCCTCGTCACCGCATGATGTTGACCCCAAGCACCTGCACCGCTTGGCAGCCCGAGATCGCGCATACGGTCTGCTCTCGTCGCTGACCAAGCTTGGCAGTTCATGGGACAATTCAGAGGCTTGGTATGCCTTGTCGCGAGCTTACGAGGCCGGCGATCAGATCGATAAACTGAAGGACGTTCTATGGTGGTGCGTTGAACTTGAAGATCGCCGGCCCATTCGGCACTGGTCCAATATTGGGTCCGGCTTGTATGTTCTTTGAAAATCTAAAGGCCAGAAAATGGGATTTGATTTTAATATCTTCTTGTATCTACTTTGATTTCCCCCCTTTGCCACTCACGCTCGTGCTCACCCCCTGGCCCCTTTCATCTTCCCTCGCTCGAGATACCATTTTCCACCACCTGCGGTTCGAGGGTTGTAAGCATGTCCAGACTTTTTATAGCCAGAGATTTAAAGTATATGGAAATGAAAAATTCTTGAAGTTTCTGAACTAAACGTTCTCATACAAGCACTGGTAGCACAACTTTATGTACATCTTTGGAAGCAGCCCAACTGAGGCAGTTCGAGATTGGGAGGAAAAGGAAAGGAAACGCAAAACAAGTCAAGGTGCATAAGTTGGATTCATTTTGCTAGCAAGAGCCAACTGGTTTACCGCGGCGCAGCAACGGGAGTCCAGGCGGACAACTTGGGGCGGGTGCTGAGACGAATAGTTAGTGATGATGATCAGAACAAAAGCACATCAATTGCGGTGCACTTACGTGGAGTAGGTCTTGAAGGCAGCACGGCTGAAGGTGGGGTTGGGACGGTGCTCAGGAATCTCCCAGGTGCGCTGGCCGGGCTGGAGGAGCTTGTCGACAGTGGGGGGAGTATCAACCATGTAGGAGATCCAGGCGTGCCTATAATTTGAATATTAGTATCCAGAGTAGCCGTCAAGCTGGGCCGATAGCACCCGCGCGAAACACTTACCAGCCAGGCTCAATTTGGTCGGGCTGGAACTCGGGCCAGTTGACCTTGTAGTCGACCCATCGTGTCCGAACTATACACCAGTAACTCTTAGTACTCTCATTTCGCTGTCGTGTTTATTCCGTGGCAAGGACCGTCTTACGAGGAAGCTCCTCTTCCATGTTCTCGTAGTACTTGTTGCCGAAGCGATCGACTCCGATGAGGGTTCCGGCCTTGGTATCACCTACAATCGCTCTAGTTTAGTATACCACACAGTGTCAATTGAATAGAGGCATAACATACCGATGTTCTAATCGAAAGAACAGAAGAAAGCATAGAGTTAGTCCCTAGAATCCACCGTCTACCACCCTCCTGTATCCGCGGCGACAATCGTACCTGCATCTGGTGGCCAAAGTCCTGCAAAAACGAGTCAGCAACCCGGCTCATCGCGGTCAGAATTGGACGTATAACAAACCTTTAAGCCAATTCGGCGCAGATTGCGCAGCGTCCTCAGAACGGTCGACATCTTTGCGGTGCAATGGGCGAGGAGAGGTCAGGGCAGAGCGTGTGGAAGGTGAGGTCTGAAGTCGGAGTGTTTGCAGTGTTTGCACCCGCTCTTGTCACTTTCCCGATTCAGAAATCCTTCTTTCTGCGCATCCAAAATCATGTTCGGTCGCGTTGGAGGACAGGCGCTTCGCTGCGCTGCTCGTCGTCCAATTCTGCGTAGAAAATTATGTGATCGCCGATTCTCTGCGCAGACTGGTGCCAATACCACTGCTGCGTCTGCTCCTTCGCCGCTCGGGGGAATCACCGTTGAGCTGGATCGCATAGCGCCGCGATTCGAGATTCCGGCTTCTCAGATTACAATTCTAGATTCTCCGGCCAATTTCTATTCAACTTTGAAGGTATGTCTCTTGTTACAAGTGTTCAGTATAGCTACAGAGTGGAAACTGACTCGCGACTCTCCAGAACAAAATCCGGAATGCGAAGCGACGCATTTACCTTTCCACATTGTACATTGGCAAGACCGAGCACGAGCTTATCGAGACGATATCCCATGCCCTGCGCGATAATCCAGATCTCAAAGTATCTATCCTCACCGATGCGCTGCGAGGGACCCGAGAAACCCCGAATCCATCCTGCGCTTCGTTGCTGTGTTCGCTGGTATCAGAATATGGATCGGAGCGGGTAGAGATTCGGATGTTCCATACCCCCAATTTGACTGGTCTGAAGAAGAAATGGATTCCTAAGCGGATCAATGAAGGCTGGGGCTTGCAGCATATGAAGCTGTACGGCGTTGATGATGAGATCATTATCTCGGGGTATGTGCCTTTGAAGTATGCTTGGGGACCTTGGAGGCTAACAACCGGTACAGCGCAAATCTTTCCGAAGACTACTTTACGAATCGATTGGACCGATATCATGTCTTCGACTCCAAGGCGCTGGCAGATTATTATGCGCGTATTCATCATGCGGTCTGCAGCTTGAGTTTCCAGGTCTTGCCAGATCCTCATAACCACTCCGGATACCTTCTGGACTGGCCTACCTCCAACGGTGCTCCTTCACCCTTGGACGATCCACAAGATTTCATCGCATACGCTTCAAATGTGCTCAGTCCCCTCATTCAAGCATCCGACAACAAGCCAGCTCTTTCCTCTTCCTCTTCAAGCCAAACTTTTGTATACCCCGTGGCCCAGTTTACTCCTCTCCTGAAACCCGACACCTCCACCGAATTTCCCGCAGTCACAAGCATCTTGCGCCTCTTGTCTGAAGCGCCCACATTTGCAGGAGCTCGCTGGCTCTTCACCGCCGGGTACTTCAACATCCACCCTGATCTATCTTCCCTTTTGATCTCTAGCACATCTACTGCTTCTGAGAAGCCTTCCACGACACAGGGTACGGTTTTGACTGCTTCTCCCTGGGCCAATGGATTCTACGGCTCTCCGGGTGTATCTGGCATGCTCCCCGCTGCATACACACATCTATCGGCGCGCTTCCTCGACCGTGTTGCCGCCGCTCAGGCCACCAACTCTATTCAGCTAAAGGAGTGGCGCCGCGGTACCGTGGGCACGCCGGATGGGTGGACATACCATGCCAAGGGTCTCTGGGTGACCTTACCGCGCGAGGAACACCCTAGCCTCACCTTCGTCGGTAGTAGCAACTACACAAAGCGAAGCTATAGCCTGGATCTCGAGGTCGGCGCCCTTGTCGTCACAAATGATCAGGACCTGAAGCAAAAGCTGGGCAATGAGACTCAGTGGCTTCAAGAGGACTCCAAACAGATTTCAAGAGAGGACTTGATGCGCACTGAGAGGCGTGTTGGCTGGAACGTACGTCTTGCCATGTGGATTGTTGAGAAGGTTGGCGGAGCTCTATGATACCTACCATGTAATAATATGATGTATTTGTACGTGTAATATTAGGACTTGTGATTTACTACATCCGGTTAGTTAAGGCCTAATTGGTGATGCCAGGACAAAGTGGCCTATTAAGTGTATATTAGTCAAGTCAATTTCGAGAAAGAGAGTACAGGACCTCATGTTCAAAGATGGCAGGAGCCGAAGTCAGCCCAGTCACGGTTAACGCATTGTCTCACCATTCTGAGTCAAATTCGCATATAGATGCTGGTACGGCAGTGAAATTGTTATACCTGTTACCATACTCGCTCGACTGGAACCTTATTCAAGAGACATTAGCCAAGCTCAAAGGCTTCGTTAAACATCAGTGAAGCTACTCTGGCAGAGGTCTCTATTCAAGGTTGTGCCTCTTATCTCCAACGTTATATTGATGAGCTTGTTGTAGGAGAAGCTAGTGTCAGAGGCCATTCTATAAACGCAGGATTCTTGATTAAAGTTTTGAATTGCACTCTGGTAGCGTTGCTTAAATTCCCAAGCGACCTCATGATCAAAGCTTAATCAAGTATCCTCACGGCTGCTTTGATAAACCGAAATTGGATCGTGCGTTAAGAATAAGATGCGCTCCAAATCCAACAGCAACCTAATGTGCCCCCGAGTTATTAGCATTGAAGACCCCAACACCGTCGAATTCCTGTCCAGGCAAGTGTATCTTTTCACAGGTGCGATTTCTATGATAGTCCAAGCCCTGCAAGATTACGACTACATGGGTAAACATATATACCTGATAAAGTCTGTCAACTCTTGGTGGTCTCCGTTCTAGTGCTCACCCCTCGCCGCTTTTGCTCACTGAGTAGAACTGAGCACGCCCCTGATCAACCTGAGCTGCTCAGCAATCATTACGTAATCAGACTGATTCATTCACTGAGCCTGACCTGAGCATCCTGATTTGCTTACTGAGCCAGACCAGAGAGCATCCTGATCTGATCGCTGAACCTGACCTGAGCAATCCGGGTTGCTTACTAATCTCCTCCAAGGAGAAGCGACCTGAGTAAGCAGGCTTAATGAAACGCGACACGCTAACTAACTAGCCCGGCCCCTGTCTAGCTTTTTCCCTTTCAGTCAAAAGATGGGGGCATCGTAAATTTGCCACTTCTTTGGCGATCTTTCCTACTGCAAGCAGGATGTATTTAGTGAATATCGTTTAATTAGACAATTATACTTATCGTAGATTTAATGCTCCTAGGAGCATTCTCGTTTTTCCCCGATGCTTGGCTAGATTTGGGAACTACGGAGGCAAATGTATACTTCCTAGATGGACCGTATATTTTTTATTTTGATTAGACACTTTCAGATCTCTTTATAAAAATTTACAGACCCTTCTACAGTCACCTACTACTTAGCCAAAGACCTTTCGTGGTTTTAACGTTATGCCATTCTCGCCAGATTAAGAGGATATAAACGGGAAGATAAGATCTGCAATTCGCATATATCTAAATAATTGCTCCTAGGAGGGTTAGAATATTCCTTCATTTCTTTGAGATTATTGAACTAATAAAATAGTCTGCCCGGGTGAGATATTCTTCTAGGTTCCCGGGAGCTTAGGTCTAACCTAGGCTGCCTGTTCTTAATGGAGATATAAATCTGAACAAAGCTCCCTATACCGATGCCCTTCAAAAATCGAACTAATCTAGTGAATATAGCAACGTTTTTAATTGAGCGAAAGTGAGTGTAATACTAATATAATTATCTTTCTCTCACTAATCGTGCTTTAGATGGAAAATTATCAACCGTTCAACAGCAACATATTTACCGCTCAAGTTGCTAAATTCGCGCTATCATCGTTCAACTGCTTCTCGAGTCCCTCAATAATGTGCAACTCAACACTGAACTCTTGACAGAATTAAGCGATTGATTGTCCGCTGTAGAAAACATTCTACGAAATTTCATATTAAGACTGAATACCCCAACACTCTCTGAGTAATGTCATGAGGTTCATTAATTTCTCTGCCTTGCCCTCAGAAGTCATAGAGATGCATGCCTTGACCTGACCCGGACTTTGACAAACTTCAAAAAATGTTCAGACAATTATTTCATGGACGGGGTGGATGAGAACAGCCCCAATATTTTCGTCGAGTCGCAAGCAGAGCAAATGGTTGAGCGTTTATCCATATGGGTGCCCATGATCTATGAAACGATTGATAACGAAACAAATATCCACACACCCTGATTTCTAAACTTGATCATCACTTATTATTGTGAGCCATTCTTGTTTCAGGCTTTTTTACCGTTCCTGCTTAATAATAACTGCCAGGGACCTGCTGTTCGATTCCGCCTCTCCTTGGTCATTGGTGGGGACATCTACGAAGCAAAGGCCAAGAAGACGGCTTCCTAATACCCGTCATCAAACTTGAACAACACTCCACCGTCTTCGTAGATTCCGTTATCATAGCTAAGGATACTGTTGATGATGAAAGGTTGACGGAAAGTAAAGGACTGTTTTCGCCGTTTTGACGCTTCAGATGCAACCGGTATCATTCACCATCGAACATAGAACGATAGCGAAAATCGCAATATTGATCTAGTGTCTCTGAATCAGCTAACGTTGATTGGACTTAAGGAGAAACTAAGAAAATGATCAACGGTGAGATAAACCCGGTAACAAACTCGCTTGAGGTGGACAGGCTCGTAGATTCCCAGAGTCGTAAACACGCTTAACGGAATTTCAAGCTGCACAATTACATCAAATTCTCTTCTCACCAATAGTTACGAGTGGTGTATATCATTTTTAAACCATCTGGCCCTAAAGAAAGTCTGGATTTCGTCGACTTGGCCTAGAATTATCCATTCTTTGACGCTCATTTTACAGTTAGATTTATCGACCGAATACTATCGTCTCTTCTATCAGAGTTCAACTATTAGTAGCAGGGCTGCGTCACAGCCGTTCTGCATCAGTCGTGGTAAATTTTAGCTCCTCATTTATGTAGACATCGGGGAGGTCCAAACGGCTAAGGAGATCTGGAAACGCCCCCCCCCCAAAACCCGCCAACACCAAGATATTGCGAAACTAACTCAAACTACACTAATAAAACAAATGACTCATTCTTAATACTACATAGTTAAACAATGTGGCACATTCTTCCTATGTATATCCTGTTTGTCCACCTGACGGTCACCAGTATAGGATTGCCCGCAGGTATCCCCAGGTCTACGATCCGTAAGCTTTTGATGATAACGCTCTTTTCTTTGCTGATAGTCATGAATATGTCAAGTTACCAATAGTAAATAAACTTTCCGGGAATTAAGGTCAAGTTCGGACCGGTATTAGATGAAAAGAGCGGACTAAGTTGGCATCGAGTTAACTATTCCCTCGGATGATCGACGTCAATGACGTCACCGACACCAGGCTAAATCCATAAATTTGTGTGGAGCCGTGACAGTGTGCTTGCTTTAGTAGGTAGTGTCGCTTCCTAAGACATCCGTACGGACTAGTACTGAGGGAACCAATTGAGAGCGGCTTTGTTCCTAAATTTGGAGTTTCCGAATGCGTTCATTTTTTTAGAAAGTATCTTTTCTTCACATGTATGTCTGGTCATGACAGATCAGATGACGGCTTTGCTAAATAGTGATGCAAAAGAATATGCAAATTCACTTTTGATTGCTTGGTGAGTCGCCCTAACCTAGTCGTCTACGGGCACCCGCACCCACTAATAGGCGGACACCCTGCGAATTTTTTGCGGAAGTTCTGGGCTTGAGCATTGCTCGACTGGTGCAGTTTAAGTTTGACGCTCAGTTTAGGCCTGTTGCTCTTGCAGTTTCCAGATTCTTAGACGAGAGAATTAAAGATTCGGTTGGCGAATAAGATCTATCTTGCAGAATCTAGTTGTCATTCTCTCGCAGTCGCAATGTCGTCCAGAAAAGCCACATTTTTTTTCTTTGTGTGGCCAACGCGAGAGCAACGGAAAATGAAGTATATTCTGATCCATCTTGATGTCATGGATTGTAAGGTCTCTTTCCAACGCTTTAGGATATTAGCCACCCGAGCCTTAAGCGTTACGTTAGCCGCCTTCTAGAACCACTAGTATATATCCAACTCGTAAATCCAATCTAATTTGTGACTGATTCCTATGTTTAATTCTCATATTACTTGAGGGCATCTCAAATCGACATCAAAGCCTCAATACAACCGTGCTGATGATTTGTACAATGCCTAAACCTTCGGATTCGAGTCCATCACGAACACTGGCACGTCCAGCTTCTGTTGAGCAGCCTATAAAGCCTTTAATCCTTCTCTGCGATGGCACTTGGTGTGGTCGCGAAGCAAACACGAAAACCAATATTTACAAGCTTGCCCAACTGATCGGCATCGAAGATCCTAACGACACTGACCAGGATATTATTCCTGGTAGAGTTTGTTACATTCACGGCGTCGGCCTCGGAAGCACATTTTTAGAGTACGTGCCCATAATACTATCATTATTCCCTCCCCTGCGATGACAATACCTTGCTAAATTGATCGCTAATGTCCCAGTTATATCTTTGATGGCATCACTGCACAAGACATCGCCACTCAGTGCATTACAGCCTACAAGTTCATCGTCTGGAACTACACGTACCCCGACCACGAGATCTGGATGTTCGGCCTCTCCCGGGGTGCATACTTAGCGAGAAGTGTAGCTGGGATGATCAACAACTGTGGAATTATCAAGCCGGTGAGACACTCAAACGGTGATATCGACGAGCAGGCAACCGATATGCTATGCAAACAAGTCTATCTGATTTACCGCTCACCCTATCGTATCAATAAACCACACTCTCCCCAGTCAAAACGGTTTAGGAGGACCAAAAGCTGGCCCCTCGTCGGCGATGAAAACCCAGACGACCCGACGGCCCCAAGGTTGACATCACCTATAAAATTTATGGGCCTCTTTGATACAGTCGGCAGCCTGGGATTGCCAAACTTTTCTGGAGGTGTTGGTCTAGATTGGCCAGCGTTTTATGATCAAAACATTTCCACCGCGGTCGAAAATGTTTACCATGCTGTATCCCTTCACGACAGGCTATATGTGTTCCAACCCTGTCTGGTGAGCCGGAACAAGGAGATGCACATTGGCGCCTGGGATAAGCTTGGTGTTACCAAGCAAGAGTGGCTCCCTGGGATGCATTACGACCTTGGTCGGCAGCGGTTCAGATTTCTGCGAGAAATCGGTGGCGGCAAGTTAGAAAAATTCCTTGCGAGGTGGAAATTCGCCAGCAAAGTTATTGAGCCGAACAAGGTGCTTTCAAATTTTGCTTTGCGATGGATGCTCATAGCAATTCGCGAGCACAATCCCCCTGGACATGACCAAATAATACGGGACATTGACCAGCATATCGCGCGAGTTACAGAGAAGATTAGGGCTCCAGGTAGGAGTCCCCGACGTATGGGTGACGGGGACGTTTATGGCCACATACTTGACTATGCGCCCTTCGGGTCAATATTTCTGAATCTTTATAGGGCAATTAATGGGACAAGAGGACGGGTTTCTCAGCTATATCAGCTTTTCTTTGCGCTGCGAGATCGTCTTATCCCCGAGGACAACGCTAACATCTATGATTTTCAAAATATCGATGTACAGATTTCGGAAAACGAGACGCTCCAAGAATTAGGAGATGTCAATGAAAGGAGATATCCATCGAGGGCATATCAGGGCTGGATATTGCGTCGGAATGTGTAGCTGTATGGTTATTTCTAGCTCCAACGTTTTCCAATTACATAAAATTCAAATGATAAAATTTGTTCACTGATGTAACGTTCTCACTGATGAAGAGAGGAGATACTAGATGCGAGGACGTACGCCTAGTACGCAGCCTGAATGAGATGAAATTGGGGATTAGGAATTGGAATAACCCCTGAATAGAAGAGTACTTTTTATACCCTTCACTAGAACTGCTATATCTGATATGAAACAGTGGCGAATCGTCCTGCATAATATCCGAATGCACCCAGTCATGGTCGTAGCAATTTCTTCAACACTCATTACGGGCACTAGGAGAATGTTTATGCTTATAAACTATCCTAGTTAATTATACGGTAGCTTGTGACGAGCCTTGCTAAGAGAGAATCTAGTTTTATCTATTTTGTATATATTAGATAGTTCAATATTATGCCTTTTGATCACGGCTTTAAGATCAAAATAATGGTTGATCTCGCCGAGGACTTGGATATCTGTTCGTTTCTTCTTAAGCGTACGAGGTTTTCGTAGACGGATTTCAGGGTGCTTTTGGCTAGGGCGTTTGATAAATTGTACACCTAAATTGACCCGACTCGGGACACGTCGGTCTCGACTAGCGCGTTCCTCTTAAGAATCTATTCGCACAATCGCGAATCATATCGGGTGTAGGCGAAACGTTCAATTCGTTCAGTTGAAACACCCATAGGACCATAACTTGCTCTTGAATCAATGTAAGCTTGTTTGGGGTGGGGGATCGCTGCGAGAGAGTTTTGCGACCGCGAAGACGCGCCTTGAGCGTATAGCGCGAAACGTTAAAATCACGCGCAATCGCACTAATATTGGCTTTTTTTTGGCCACGGGCGACCACAACCGCTTGCTGAAGGCTTTCCTCTGAAAATTTAGGCATATTGAGAGAGCGGTGGTTGGTGGTGGTTGAATAAGCTTTGTGACGATGGCAAAATGGGCTTTTGGGTCTACAGTGTGAGCGTCATGTTATTGGCACGCGTACGTTACGTGTGGTACTCCGCTCCTGGCCAGAAAAACGGAATATGGCCTAGACAGTCAGCCACGCCACGGTAAAAGTTCAGTCACATCATCATTTTGTTCTTTCAGTCAACCATCTAGAACTGAACAGAACAGAGATAGCCTCGTAGATTTGAACACCCGAACACTAACCTAATATCCGAGTGGGCCGTTCGAGACCTGTAGTGGTCTGTCTGTGGTTCGAATCTCGCCTACTTTCGACAACCCTCCAAGCAATTACGCAGTACAGGATCCACCTGCAACGGTCAGATTACCTGGAAAACGATTCAAAAAGTCTCTAAAGGCTATATGACATTATTATGGTCAATAAGCCAATGACCTCACTGTCATCTGCTCAGTGACTGGCCGCAGCATTCAAGCTAGTCCTAGCTACAGCTCGTGGCCACTAGGCTATACGATACTCCAGAGCCACCGGTTTTCACCATCGATGACCAATTACAACCCACAATCCGAGGGATTGCCTACTGAGGCGAGCAGACGAGCATGAACAACAACTCGGACGGCAGCATGAACGACGGCATGGCCGAGGCCTTCAATACGATCCCGGACTTCGCCTTCGGCATGGCCGGGAACGGAATCTACCAGTCGACTCCAGTGCCCATCGGTCAGAAGATGGCGGGTATGGCGGGCAGCACAGCCAAGATCCTGAACACCACAGCCACGATCGCGAGCACCGGAGCCGGGGCTACCCCTACACAAGCCGGCTGGCAACGACGCACCGAGGACTGGAAGGACCAGATCGACCTATGCGTGATCGAGATCGCGCAGATCAATCGCCAAGTCCTGGCGAGCCAGTGGCGCAAGGACGTCGCACTCAGGGAGCTCAAAAATCACCAGGGTCAACTGGAGCACGCCGACAAAGTAATGGACTTGATGAGGGACAAATACAGTCGGCGAGGTATGTTGGTTGTTTTTGTCGGCTTGACAGTTCCTACTGCTACTCCTAAGCAATATTGTATGTTTCTAAAAATTTTGTGCTAGATATTTTGAGCTATTATTACCCCGCCACCGGTGAGTCATGATCATTAGAGCCTCGCTTTATGACGCGATTCTAAGAGCAAGCTCCTTCGTCATATAGTCTTCAATTGTGATGTCGATGTTTATTTGAAAAGAGAAGCCTAGGAGCAATTCATGAAAAATGCCCACGGACAAGTCCGAGTTCGATCTACAAGCAGCCCTATCCTCCAAAGCATGGTTTGGATTCGATCTAGACGACACCCTTCACGAATTCCGATTTGCATCGGGCCAAGCCTCACTTAGCGTATTCGAGGTAATCAGCGCCAAATATGGAAAAGATGTTGACGACACGAAGGCCAAATATCAAGAAATCCTGAGGCAATCAACAGCCCATGCCTTCACCGATGGGAGAACCTCGAGTGAATATCGCCGAGAACGCTTTTCCCGGCTCCTTCAGGCCCATGGAATTGAGAAATACGAGGATATCGACCATATTCTGAAGATTTATCAATCCTCGCTCCGATCCAACTTGACTCTGAAAGCGGGCGCGCTACAACTACTTCAAGCTCTGCAGCGACTGAACAAGAAAGTTATGGTGATCACTGAGGGCCCAGCTGATGCACAGGAATGGACTATTCGGGAATTGGGCCTTGGGCCATATGTCGATATTCTTGTGACAACGAATGAGGTTGGCAGATCAAAAGTTGATGGGCTTTTTGCGGCAGTTCTGGAGAGGTATAGCATTCACCCCGAAGAAATAGTTTACTTTGGGGATAACGAGGTGCGAGATGTGCACACGGCACAGAAAGAGGGTATCCTGGCCATTTTGTACGATCAGAAACAAGAGAATCACTTGAGATCCCCAGATGCTTTGAGGATTAATTCTTGGGACAAATTGCAGAATATGCTACTGGGTGTGAAATATATCAGGTATTAAACAACAATATAACTTTTTGTTTAGCCATTGTATCAACCCTAGCGCAAATGCAAAGAACAGGATTGAGATATCGAAAAGAAAGACCAAAAATTCCGAAACGCCGTATCATGATTGGGTAATCCATTGCAGTGTCGTATCATGCATGCACTTCTCGCATCCATCTAAGCTCGTCCAGGAACCTTCCGGTCACTAACACCCGAGAAGCGAGCGGGGCCAAGGCCTGACCGCACTTCATCAAGCATGCGGATACCAATAGCCTCGTTGCCGTTCTTGCCACGCTTGTGCTTGGTGCCCTTGCGCTTGGCTTGAGCACTGGTGTTGTCGTCCCAGTTGGCAAGGAAGTCATCCATGACGTTGTGGAAATCGCTGCGGGAGACTGCTGCGCCATTTCCATCGACAAGACTAGGCGCCATGGAGGATGCGGTAGACATGCCGGTCATGCCAGTGGCTCCGGTCATACCACTGACCATGGACATGCTATCATCATACTCATCTTCCTCGTCGAGGGAGTACAGAGCCTCAACCTTTTCAAATCGATCATCCAGCAGCCGGTGACCCTCGGTACGGGCCAGTGCAGATGAAGTCATTGAGTAATTGGAGGGGTTGGTCAAAGCACCCTTGCGCTTCTTTCGGCGAATGGGAGTACCACCAGCTGTGAAGGCAGTCGAAGCAACAGTGCGTTGCTCGGAGGGCGCGATCGTGGGTGCAGCAGGCGCGGCAGTCTTGCCGGTCTTGGCATCCTTCTTGAATTTGGCAAACTCCTGCATCCATCCTTGATCCTGAGGCTGCATATCCGGAGCGGGTTCATCGTGCTCTGGCATTTCACCAGGCTCGAGATCCTTGGCAGGAGTCTCGTCTGATGGCGCTTCCTCTGTGTGTCGCTGCGCATCAGTCCTGTTTGTCTGCACGGGCGCTTTCTCAGTAGCGTCCGACTCCCATCCCTCATCGTACTCCTCATTTTCGAACAAAGTATCCTCCCAATCACCCTGCTCCAACTCCTCTCCATTCTTCGTCAACTCGCCGAAAAGATCTTCATCCTCATCATCAACATATTCCTCATCTTCCAGGGCCTCCAAAGCCTCTCGTAGACGGGGGTCCATGTCTGGCTGGAAACCGGCAATCGCATCGGGGACATTTTGCTGGTCTTGATACGTTGGCTTGCGAACATGCGAGGACGCAGTCGAGCGCATGTCACCAAACTGTGACCCATACGCGCTTGGAGAGTCATCCAGAGACACTTGACGCAGCGCATCCTCCAGCTTCATGGCCTTTCCTTTGGCCTTCTCAACCTTGGCCTCCACAAAGTGCGCATCGCCACCACCGGTGCCAAGTTCGCGCAAATGCTGCATGTAGTCATACCGAGAGTCGTCGTAGTAAATCCCATAGTTGGCGGCTTCACCCTCATTGCGGCGAATCGCTTGGCTCTTGAATTCCGACTGGAGATCGGACAAGTTTCGGAGGGGCTTCTGCGAGGATGTCGATGCAGCAGAGGAAGGAGGCGCAGGACCGCTAACTTGGTGCAGGACTCGGTCCTCGGCTTGGGGGTCGTGGATCAACGGGTCATGTTGAGAACGGTGGAAGAGCTGGAAAGTGCTCGCATTCTTCTTGTCGCTGGAGAGAATTTAGCTCCATTCTGGCAGAACATCCAGTAATCATCACACTTACATCCACTGGCGGGGCGGCATTTTGGCGTCTGATGTTGAACAAAAGAGTCGCGCTCAAAAAAAGCGAAAAAAGTGGGATAGATAGGGTCACGTGGGGCTTATCGATGCCTGAGCCCCTCGGGTCCTCATAGAGTCGCGGCCTGAAATAACCACGAATTTAGCGAGAATGAGAAGTGTGAAAATATAGAAATTAGCTAAGAAATAAATGGACAAGACAATAGTATAAGATTCTGAAGACTTCTACCACTAAAAACCGTCCTAATCCCGAATACTCGAGATTTTCCCCCTCCGAGCCACGCTGAGTCAGCGTTATCTTATCCGTCTGAATAATCCAAAAGATTTCCCATTTTCAGGCGGGGTCAAAGAGACTCTCTTTCTCCAACATCAACACATCACAGCAGCACCAGTACAACCGACATCATGGTGTTGGCTAAATCCAAGAACTCCGTGGGGCTGGGTAACAGCCTCATGAACGATCGCTTCGGCAAGGGAAAAGCCTCGAGCCAGAAGAAGGCGTCGCACAATGCTATTGCGCGCAAGAATATGATGGGTGAAACCTACATCACCAACGAAGCCCAAGAGGCATCCTGGGTGAAGATGCGCTCTATCACCGAACAAGCCGCTCTCGATGAATTCCTTAGCACCGCCGAGTTGGCCGGCACCGACTTTACCGCTGAAAAAATCAACAACGTTAAGATTATCCACTCCGATCAGAAGAACCCATACCTTCTCTCTGCCTCCGAGGAGAAGAAGGCCGTTAAGAAACACCAGAAGAATAGGGGCCGCTTGACCGTGCCGAGACGGCCGAAGTGGGACTCGTCCACGACACCGCAACAATTGGAGATGATGGAGCGTGAGAGTCTGTTGGACTGGCGTCGAGGGCTTGCCGAGCTGCAGGAGAACCATGATCTACTCATGACCCCGTTCGAGCGCAACTTGGAAGTTTGGCGTCAGTTGTGGCGTGTTATTGAGCGATCTGATCTTGTGGTGCAGATTGTCGATGCCCGTAACCCGCTTCAGTTCCGTTCCGAGGATCTGGAGAACTACGTGAAGGAGATTGATTCCCGGAAGAAGAACCTGCTGTTGGTTAACAAGGCCGATATGTTGACTTTGAAGCAGCGAGAGGCCTGGGCTGAGTACTTCGAGAAGCACAACATCAACTTCCGTTTCTTCTCCGCTCATCTGGCCAAGGAAAAGATGGAGGCAGAAATGCTTCAGGAGTCCCAAGGGGACGATGACTTGGCGGAGTCAACTAGCAAGATGAATGTGCAAGATGAAGAGGAGGATGACGAGGAAGAAGAGAGAGATGAGGATGTCGCTGCCAAGCTCGCCGACCCAGATCAATCACTGGGCCCCCATATCCTCGACGTCGATGAGTTGGAAGAGCTCTTCTTGGCCAACTCTCCCGAGACTCTCGATCAGGGCGAGGACTCTGAGGGTCCTGCTAAGCGCAAGACTACTATCGGTCTGGTCGGTTACCCCAACGTGGGTAAGTCCAGTACCATCAACGCCCTCCTGGGTGCGAAGAAGGTGTCCGTCTCTGCCACCCCCGGTAAGACCAAGCACTTCCAGACATTGTATCTCTCCCCGGAGATCATGCTCTGCGATTGTCCCGGTCTGGTGTTCCCCAACTTTGCCACTACCAAGGCCGACCTGGTCGTCAACGGTGTTCTACCTATCGACCAGCAGCGCGAGTTCACCGGTCCATCCGCCCTTGTCGCACAGCGTATCCCCAGACACTTCCTGGAGAACGTATACGGTGTGAAGATCCGAATCCGCCCCATCGAGGAGGGCGGTACCGGTATTCCCACTGCCAGTGAGGTCCTGCGTGCCTATGCCCGCGCTCGTGGCTTCTCCACCCAGGGTTTGGGCCAGCCTGACGAGTCTCGTGCTGCTCGATACGTCCTGAAGGACTACGTTAACGGCAAGCTCCTCTTCGTCCACCCACCCCCGTCCCCGAAGGCGAAGAGCCCATCGACCCACACGCCTTCAACCAGGAGCTCTACGACCTAGCCCATCTCCCCGCAAGGCGTCAGGCGGTGCTCGCCAAGACGATCGTGGACGTGGATGCCGGTGCCGATGACGCCGAAGCCGGTGCTGAGCCCGACATCTCCTCCTTCGTGGCCGAGCCCCAAGAGAACCAACCAGGCCTGCGTTCCCGCAACCTCGACAGCGGCTTCTTCGGCACTGCGACCGGTCCCTCCGCCGGCCGTCTCAACATGCCCTTTAACCACAAGTACACCGAGCAGGGCCAACAGATCCGTCAGAATCTCACCGGCCGCAAGGAGCGCATGATGATTGCCCTAGAGCGCGGTGTGGACGTCTCCGAGGTTCGGAGTTCGGCTGCGGGCTCTAAGAAGCACTTCAAGGGTAACAAGCGCCGGGCGAAGGCCCAGCGTAACAACGGCGAGGAGACCGAGGACTTCTACTAAAAGTGACTTTTTTTTGGGTTTTTGTACGTTTGTTTTGTTTTTGGTTTTACCTCGGCCGGCGAGTCGAGATGGATGGTTTATGCCTCGGATTCCCATTTGAGATGTTTTCCTATGTGACCCACGTTTTTTCCTTCTGTCCGTAACTATGTGCCAGACACCTACTTTGGATATTCGGAGGAGCTGGCAGGAGATGATGGTGGTGATTATGGTGATGGTGATACGGAATGTGCATATCATGATGGGCTGAGTATATACGATAGACATTTCAAGGCGTTTGGGTGAAGTTTTTAGCATATATTCAATGCACTTATACCACATTCATCTTCGTCCACAAATCTTTACACATAAACTGGCCATAGCAACTCCGTAGTCATTGCAGAAGATTAGAAAATTTAATTCTGATTTTCATATCCAGGAAATAACAACCATGAACTATATAAGGCAAGTAATACTCTTTGTTTCTACAGGTGGCTCTTAGCCTTGAACCCAGAGGCAATCAGGAGACGATCCGACTCCTCCTGCTGCCACTTCAGCTTAGCAGTAACAGCGTCCTTCCGGGAATTGTTCTCCCTCCGACCCAACTGCTGCAAGTGCACCTCATCAGGACCATCCGCAATACGCAGCGTCCGAATACCAGCCCACAGATACGCAAGAGGAGTATCCTGGCAAACACCTGCAGCACCATACGCCTGCACAGCACGATCAATAATCGTCAGCGCAGTCTGGGGCACAAGAACCTTAGCCTGAGCAATCTCCTTCAGTGCAGATTTAGCATCGCCCTGATCAATCTTAATCGCGGCGTTGAGCACGATAAGACGCGCAGCGTCAACTTCAATCCGCGACTTGGCGATCCACTCGAGGATAACGCCGTGCGAGGACAGGGGCTTGCCGAAGGTCTTCTTGCGGTCGTCGTTGACGCGGGCGATCATCCACTCGAGCGCCTTTTCGGCGGCGCCGATGGTGCGCATGGCATGGTGGATGCGGCCGGGACCGAGACGGCCCTGGATGATTTCAAAACCGCGGCCTTCGCCGAGGACCATGTTGGAGATGGGGATGCGAACGTTCTTGAAGGTGATGTGGCCGTGGCCGTGGGGGGCGTCGTCGTAGCCGTAGACGTGGAGCATGCGGTGGATGGTTACGCCGGGGGTATCGGCGGGGACCAGGACGACGGATTGTTGGCGGTAGGTGTCGCGGTTGTTGGGGTCAGATTTGCCCATGACGAGATAGATCTTGCAGCGGGGGTCACCGGCGCCGGAGGACCACCATTTCTGAAGATGGAGATGCGTTAGGGTCGAGTGGAAGAAGGGATATAATAGATAAGACGAGTATGTGGGAGAAACTTACGGAGCCATTCAGAACATATTCGTTACCCTCACGACGAATCTCCAGCTCAATGTTGGTAGCATCACTAGAAGCAACATCGGGCTCGGTCATCAAGAAAGCAGAGCGAATCTGTCCCTCCAACAAGGGAACAAGCCACTGCTGCTTCTGCGCCTCATTACCATACTTGGCCAAGACCTCCATATTACCAGTATCGGGGGCAGCATTGTTCGTAGCCTGTCAAACATCCCAACCGAGTTAGCTCTTCCTCTGTATCTCTGTCTAGCTGGTTTGTTTCCCTCTCTTAATCCGGGCGGAATCTTACCTCCGAGGCAACCTTGCTCTTGCCCAACAGCTCGGCCATCAGACCATACTCAACATTGCTGTAACCAGCACCCTGCTTGAAGTGGTTCTTGGGCAGGAACATGTTCCACAGACCAAGCTTCTTGGCCTTGAGCTTCAGCTCCTCCATGATGGCGGGGGTAGTCTGCCATCGCTTCTCGCCCTCGCCCAGCTGGGCGGAGAAGACGGCATCGGCGGGGATGCAGTCCTTCTCGACGAACTCCTCGACCTATGCAAATGTTGAAGTGTTAGTCTAGTGAATCTCGGATGACATAGATAATGCCATAGGGCAACGTAGGGTAGGGTAAGGTAGGGGGTATGGGGTAAGAGGAGGGGAGGAGTGAGCATTACCAAGTCGAGAGTCTTCTTAGCCCGATCGCTAACGAAGGGCTGGGCGATTGGGGGAATACGAGTAGAAGCAGACATGATGTGTGATATGTGATAAGGGGGGAGATGGAGTCAAGAAAGAGAAAATGGGAGCGAGCAGCTCAGCTGAATATAAAGTTAGCGCATTGAGAATTGCGGAGAAAGAGACTGTGGAGAAGCCGAGCGTAGCGGATTTTGCCTCGGCCCAAAGGCGCTTAACTGTCTACAACCACAAATTACCTGAACTCCTCCGATTATCCTATTATTGTATGAGCTCTCCACCAGAAATACCACATTTAGGTAAATACAACCAATCTGAACTCTGTTCGCGCTGATTAGAAATCAATCTCCTGATGTTTTTACCTGTTCAGTTCGGGGCCTAGAAACCGTACGATTGAGGGGGTTTCAGTTCGGCCGGCTACCGTCTTCTTCTCAGCCTCGGCCATTTGGCCGATGGATACGATAAGACGATTAACTCCAGTTTACTCCATTATTAAGTAGTCAATGAGGACATCCCCAATTTTCAATTGTTCCTATCCACGTTTCCCATTGTACCCATATCTAAGCACAATTACCCCAAAGAAGCCAAAGCAGGAAATAAAAAAAGAAGAGTCCAAAACCCCCGGAAAACACTGAACCAGTAACACAAGAGAAGAAAGAAAAAGGGACACAAGAAGGCATTGCGGGTCATTACAAAGGAAACAGTAGACGAGAAAGGAAGGGACAAATGGGCGAAGCAGCGACAATCCAGGAATGGAGAACACACTTGATCGAATCCAGGTCTACCAGGAAACAGGAATAATCTCCTGTATTCCCCATAGACACACAAGTCCCCAGTCAAGCTAAGACGACCAGCGTCCCAACTATCCGAGTCCTCTAGGAATCCAGCGACCGAGTACGAATGCCCCAAGTCCTAGACATACACCGACGAGGCAAAGAATTTCAGAATTCCAACCTCTCGCGCCGCTTATTCGATCGCCTGTTGTCCGGCCGACGAAGATTGCTCATAGCTCTTCTTGCCGAGCTTCGCGAACAGCGACTGGGGCTTTCCGGCACTGCAAAACACAAGCTGTTAGTTCACGTACATCCTCTTTGTAGCTCTGAGTGATGCAATCCGCCGCGAGATCACCTACTTCTTGAAGCGCTTGCCCTTGATATCACTCAACTTCTTCGTGCATGGGCTCATAATGTCATCGGATGGGGAGACATAAGCAGAGGGTTGCCTATGGTATCTAGTTAGTCTGAATTCTCCAAAGTTGACCATCGAGTTTGAATCTGGGCGCTCGTCCAACGGCAATATCCACCACCAGCACCAAGGAACACACTTACTTCTCACCACTCTCCAACTTCCCCTGCAAGGCCTGGCGGTGGTAATCCATCGACGAAATATCACCCTTCAGATCAGACTTGTCACCCGAGTTGGCATTCGCGAGGTGCGTGTTAGTCGGGCGGTCAGCCAGAGGCTGTGCGTGTGATGTGGAGTCCATTGTGAATGTGTGGATGGATGGATGCGATATAGTATAAAAAAGACTCCGGTCACAAGTGAATTTTATGTGTAGTTCACGATGCAGAGCAGGTAATGCGGAGGATGAAGAAACAGCTCTCGGAGGAGGAGATTGTGGAATCGGATAAGAGAAAAACGTGTTGTTGGTGCAGGCGAGGAAAAATGCCCATTTTCTTCGATTGTTGGCACGGCAACCGGGTCCATTGGGCCACTCGGAGGGTCTTGAATGACGCATTGAGTTGGGCATTCCAGGATGGTATTTTTTACTTTTACTTTAGTTTTTGTTAAGAAAGTTTTATTATTATGAAAGGTTTATTTGTTGTTGGTCCGTGACTGGAGAATTTGACTGAAAATGCATAGGCAAAGTAACTTATTCAGTATGTACAAGTCGAGGATAACTCCCAAAACAATCAATAAAAGCACAAGTCAAAACACAATGGGAATCATTTCGTAGACCAGTCATACAAAACGTACACTCGCCAGATAATGGACTATGCCCGGAACGCGATGCAGGGAGTCATAAACAGAGATTAAGGGAAGAGCCCCGAAAAAAGGACGAAAACAAGGGACAAAACATGATGCAATGATGCCTCGGCAATCGCCGACAGCACGGGGGTGGTGATGAGAAATGAGGTGAATCATGGCCGGTCGATGCATAATGGACTTACTTGCGACCAACTTCATCACCTTTGAGAAGGGTCCTCTGATACACTCGAGGCCGCAGATGGAAGGATAGGATCATCTCCCTCGCCACCCAGATCCAGTTCCGACGAACGGGCATTCAGCACCGGCGGCGTGCTATGCGACCGGAACTGCGGTGTGCCCAATGTAGGCACCGACATCAACTCAGGAGAGGGAGAGGGAGATTGTGGGCTCTTCTCCACTTCCTCGAACTCCCGGGAAACATCTGACGTCGGGGTCGGCGGGACGTACGTCACTTCTGGGCTATTGGGACTGCCCTGCGAAGAGGAACTATCCGATAAATTCCGCCGGTGGGCGGAATGCTCCTGGTAAGAGGATGTCGGTCGCGTCGACCCCGGACTAGCTGACGGGGATTCGAAAGGAGGGGACGAGGACCGCAGGCTGTAGGATCGAGCAACCATGCGCTGGACCCGAGGGAATTCCATGTATGTGCCGACAGATCCTCGCGAGAAGAGGACCACTGCGAAGCAGCAGAGTACCATGATGCTCTGGATCATAGTGACCCGCTTCTGGAAGACTAATTCATCGGCGAGAACGCCGAGCTGCGCACTCAGAGAATGGACTTCCTGGTGGTATCGCATGCGCTGGTGCTCGAATTCAAAAGCGACCGATTTCCAGACATAGTCGTACTGCTCGCGGAACTCTTTGAGTTCGTGGAGTACCGTGATGTTCAGATTCTCAAGGAAGGTGGATGTCTTTGCGAGTTGGCGCTTCTCTACCTTGTTGAATGCATCACGGAGGATGCGAGATTGCTCTTCGATGTAGAGCAGGGATAGCGTGGAGTTGGATTCCAGCATTTGTAGTCGCTTATGGACGGATTTGAAGAATGATTCTTGCGTGGTCGGGTTGGAGGATGGCGGTTGGGTAGATGTTGGTCGAGTAGACTCTGGTGGTGGGCTATTTTGCTGCTCTTCTTTGGGATTGCCTGTGGTCTTCCCTGTGCTTTCAACCGTAGAGTCCTGCTGAGAAGTATCTGTGACAGCCGCTGGTGCGTCGGGAGATGATGCTACAGGTTTGGTCGAATCGCCCGGCTTTCGAGTATCCTCGGGGGCTTTGGGTGGAGGAACCGCTCCAGACTGAGAGGCAGAAGCACCATTTCCCGGTGTAGCTGTCGAATTAATATTCGGTGGTTGTCTGGTATTCGCCGATGGAGTAGTCTTCTCTGGCCTGTTTTCGGTAGCAGTCTCTTCACCAAGGCGGCAAGTTTCGGATGAAAGTACAGACCGCCCCAAGAGAAGCGATTCAACTTCCGTGAGGGGATTTGGGCAAATCTCATAAATCTGACTATCCTTCTCCCTCTCAATCGTGACCTCCTCGATGGAAGGCTCAACGAATTGGGCCTCGGCCTTGTCGGAGACCTCGGCAGTTTCAACAGCCTCCACGACCTCCTCTTCCTCCTCCAGTTCCGCACGGTTCACGCTCTCATCATGCTTATACTCCTCCATCATAGTAGTTCCGTGGACCCGTATGAGACTGACGGGGCAGTAAAACTCATGTCCGTAGTGGGTCAAGAACTCAATCCTCAGGTAACGAGCCCAAATCAGCGAGTTCTCCACCGCAAAGGCTTGCACTTCGCGGGTATTCCTTGCTTCAAAAACACCCAATTCCTTCCACTGGTCTGGCTTTGCAGGGTAGCGATCCGAGACACTCACACGGAAAGTGTGGAAAATTGAGCTGAAGAACTCATAGTTCGCGAGAACGACCGTATCCACTAGAATATCGTCGCAGAGCTCCAAAATAAGGAATTTGTTGTCGGCACGACACTCGTTCAGCATGTAACTGTCCTTGTTCTCGACCAGTACGGCAGAGGACCCCTTGCACTCGCGATTCGTCTTCAACACCGTCGCTGCACAGTCAAAAGATGCATAGTTGAACCGCTCTTTGCAAGTAGTACCAGCATCCTTGCGTCGCGATACATCTGCCTTTGGCGGACTCTGGGTATGAGCACCTCCCCCTTCGTCACTATCCAACGGATCCACATACTGCGAAGGAATCGGGGTTCCCCAGGCCGTTGGACTGGCCTCAGGCGTTTCAGCACCGAACCCGCCAAAATCCAATTCAATCTCTCCATCATCTCCTAGAGAATCCAGTGCATTATTGATACCTGGTTGCCGCCGACCTTCCTTGCCAACGGCCGCAGCACGCCTGCTACCTCCAACATTTTCGGCCGATTGTCCAACCTTGGCCAGATTCTGTTTCTTCCAATCCTCAAAGGAGAGGAAACTCGAGCCATCGAGCAAAGAATCTTCATCCGCTTCGTGATCTGTGGCCTGGCCTGCAACTACTGCTGGTGTCCCTCCTACCGCCACGGCAGTTGAGGCTGTCGTGGAGGTGCTATATCCACCCACGCCACTTGCTTGAGTAGAAGCCGGTTGTTGCTGTTGCTGTTGTTCTCGACCTCGACCCCACCGACTTTCCAAGCAAATTTGATCCTGGAATATCTCCGCTTCAACCTCCCACACCGTCTTGGCCGGACACGTCTCCAAACCGCTGGCCCGATCAATCGGTTGTGTAGAATTCTGAACTCCATTTCCACAAATCGGAGCAGAAAGAGCCAGAATCACCGACGCATATCGTAACCATGTAGGCCATGACCGCCGGGCAGTCACCATCTTGTCGCTGTTCGGGCGATAAGCGGTCGACTTGCCGCTGGTCTTGCGATGAACTCCCTGGCCTCCTAGCCCCCGATGATAACCTCTGCTAGTAGCGACAAGCGAGCGCAGACTTATTTCGTAGACCCGCTAAGTCTGTACTCCAGTCCTCCCGGCGTTTATAAGACAGGCATTCTCGTCGGACAAAAGAGCGAGAGCAATCTCGAACTCACCGGAGCCGGTTCAAATCGGATCGTCGAGGCAAATCGAAGGTGACCGTGGGTAGAATCAGTCAATGGCGGGGTAACATTTAGATTAGTGCGGTTGGCATAGACTTGCGGTGATGGTGCCAGCGAATTTCGGGGCTTCAACTGGGGAATAATCAAGAGTGGAAGCGAAGGGCCGAGCTCGCAATCCAAAGTGGACCCGGTGGCATCTCGACTTTTGCCTTTTGCCCCGTCTGACAGCTGGGGTCACACCGCCCTCTTCACCGCCACTTGGACCTTATCCAGCCGCTTCGACTACTGTATGTACTTGTTTACAGGTGAGTATAAGGATAACTGGTATCTCGCTGGCTATAGACTATTTTGTTACTTTATTGGACTGCAGGGGAAAATTGCTGACCTGCATAGAGGCTCATGGAACGTAACACCTTAAACAACTTTCTCCCCCTATGGTTGATAGGCCCTGCAAAGACCCCACCCACGCATGCTCTACGAAAACTCAATACCCCCGCAGTAGTTGGTGCGTCTGGGCATCGAATAAGAATGCATGGATGTGCGGTGGTTGCATGCAAGCGTGGTTTTGCTTATCCTATAACCACAATGGCACAAAGACGAATGGCTCTATGACTTGGCAGTTTTAGTGCGTTCTCAGCGCTTGAAAGTTGAAAATGTCCACATGCTTCACTAGGAGGATTATGACCTATTTTTGTGCCATAAATGGTTGTCTTCCTTTTTTAGAAAGATACTAAGCGACACCTCAGTCATACCATGGAAATCTCGCAAGCACCTATCTCACTATCAAAGCCGACATTACTCCAGTTAAGTATGTGATAGGTAAATCCAAGCCCTCTGAGGCCACGGTGACCAAAGCTCAACCGAGTATAAAAATGGCCAGCTTTGTGTACTAGTGGCACGATAAATTCTGCATTATAAATCACCATGAAACATCTTTGAAACTCTTGCTATAATGGCCATTGGTGCTGGGCCCATTTAAGGTTATCTTCTTTCTTCACGCTCACAACCAAATTTGATGTGCGACATGAACTGGTAGCTCCTCTTTGCGTCTCCCGGGGATCCAAGCTACTATTCACCTATCTGGAGAGATATCGATATTCATTCCCTCGAAGCGGTTTCTGTCCTCGAGTCTTTGGGATAAATTATTCAGTGCGACACCTCACAGTATGTCCTAGATTTTCAACAAAAACCTAATCTTCATTTTCCTTCCCTCGATTTCTATACTTAGGTTGTGGCGAAACACCACTCTCGCCTTCACACATGCCAATTCTTTCCCAACCTCGAATCCCAATTATCGCAGAATATATAGAAGATCACTATTCGTCTCTGGGTCCATTGAACCAGATCAAAGAACTCTGCCACACTGTACCTTACGGTCTCCGTGGCAAGTCTACGTATTGCACAAGGAAGCTGAGGAACGCGAGGAAGAATCATCTTCTTCGGAATCCGCATACTCTTCGACCTGAAAAACAGCCTCGGTCTGTTCAATCTCAACATCCACGTAGCCACCCTTCTTCTTACATGCATTCATCAACGCCGTCTACGACGGCGCACACTGAGAACCTGGGCCGATCTTACTTCCTACCGCCGTATGCGCGACAGAACAAAAGGCATTGCAGGTGTAACTTCCGCCTTCACCGCATCTCAAATTAGAGATTTTGATAAAAACCACACCGTACACATATGGCGAGACTTGGGAGACCCATGTGTAGGGTATGCCGGCAGTGTACTTCTGCGCCTCGTAGCTGACGAGTCTATTCTGGAACTATGGAGGATTGGTGCATTCATGCTTAGTGAAGGCCTCACTGTAGCGCTTATCAAGTCCCGTGCTGTCGGATGAAGAAGAGGATTGGCCTTCCGGGTGAGATTCGGTCTGGGGCTTGAGCTCAAGACCTCAGCGCTATTCTACTAGCCGATGTGAAAAGAGCAGCATCGTGTACGTATGCCAGAATTTGAGTATAGAGCCAACTAGGTTTTCCGATTGTGATGGCCACTTCCAGTAATAGGCTCTATAGAGTGTAGGTAAATGAGTGTAATGTAGTAGACCAGACAAGAAGAGTCTCAGTTAATTAGCGGTCCCTTTGGCCCCCAAAGACCGCGCGTCTATTAGGACTTACAGGAATTATTTACCTCGAAGTGGGTATAAGCCCCATAAACCGTGAAAAATTCTCCCTGTTAAGCCTTTTAAGCCTGTTAGCCCGCGACTATTGACCCATGATTTTCCTTGTTTCTGCGGCCCTGTCTAAACCTCATTAGTTTGTTTCATTAAAAAATATTTTTCTATGGTTTCTCGGGTGTCTCTCAATTTGAACTTCTTCACAACTCACCTATATTCCCTCTGCCCCACCTCATACATCCTCCTTTTTGCTGATTCGGGACATCAAGTCATACTGCCAGCTTTGAAGTGCTCTAGCTAAGCTTTTCCTGCCATCAAATCTAGTTACTGCTAGTTTAGAGGCTTGGCTGTGACGGCACTGGAACTTCAACCCAGTTCAAAATGTCACCGGATATAGCCAATATCGACGCTTCCCATGATCATGAGAGTCAACAAACACAAACAGCTTCTTTGAATGTACCCCTCATACTAGCCCTAACTGGGGCTTTAATCGGGCTTCTCTTAGTATGTTCACTACAATATTATCAGCAACATGACCAACCATATCATAAGACTAACAATCATTCCCAGGCCACATATACCCGCGGGTATATCCTCGCAATACAAACAGCAACCCAAAGACCCCCTACCGAAGCACGATCCCTAAAACAAAATTTCCGCGGTCTCCCAATCTACATAACCCACCGACTGATCAAAATCTTCATCCTATCCTGGATTCCTATCCAAGCATCCAGCCCATGGAAATGTTCACTCCTGAATATAAGTGTCGACTTACTACTTTCAAACCTGAAAGTAGCTAATATCCATGCTATAATGGGTGTTACGCACCACTCGCGATCGCATCTCCCATACTACCGTCACATTTCGACGTGGTCAACCTGGACCAAGACCTTCCCAGCATTTGTACTGTACAGCCTCGCTTCAAGTGCCTGCTTTTACATCCCTGTCCACTTTGTTAGGTTAGCAGGTACTTTGGAGGTCTCGGAAAATATGCATATCATTTTCATGCTGGCTAGTGTCGTGATTCTCTATTTTGGGGCTGTTGTGCCGACATGGACTATTTTTCTTCGCATTGCTGCTTCTAATCAAGAGAATGGATCTATTAAGAGTGCCTGGCAAGGGTTCCCGTGGCCAGCGCGGTTACAGTTCTTCAAATTACTTGGAGAAGTTTTTGTTTTGGAAACGGGAGTTTGTATAGTTCTTTTTGTTTTTGTGCTTGCACATCTTCATCCCGAGCTACATGATGACGTTCTTCAATTCTTTGTGAAATATTTTGGTTAATTGAGAGATCTGGAGGGACAAGAGACTACTTCCAGTAATCGAGTTTACATTTACAATAGATATACGATTCTTTCTTTCCGGATGGTTCAATTTTCCTTTTGACAGTTCCCACAAGCTTAGTTACATACACATAATCAGGGTTCAGTACACAGTCAAAGAGGGAAAAAAACAAGTCCACCCTCCACCTTGTAGATTCCCAGTCGAATCCCATCTCCTCCAAACATCCACATGCTCTTTTTCTTCCCGAGTCGTTATAAAGTCCATATGCAAAGGGGTGATAAATAAGAAAATGATGATAGAAAAAGGAACAAGAGAAGAGAGGCAAAAGAAAACAAAACACCATCCCCAAGACAATTCCCCTCCGCCTTCTAGTCTTTTTGGTGCGCGATGCCATTCTGCCCATTGCTCTGCTGCCCACAAGCCAAATATAGTACAAAAGTGAAGAAGGGAAGAAGGAGTGAAAAAAGGTAGGCTGTGAGCAGGGCAAATGACGGAGCGCCTCAAAGGGACTCGATCAAGGTTGAGAGAGCAAGGCCGAGACGGCATCGGCAAACACTCCAGAATCAAAGAGCAAGAAAGACAAAAGGATGAGAAAAGAAACAGGAATAAACGGGATTAGTTTATCGTTGGTAGTTTTTGAACTTTTTTTTCCCAGCTCAATTTCGAAACAAAGCGCAAAGAGGACATCGCAACGACTGCGAGAAGAAGAGAAGAACACGGTGGTGTGTATGAAGGACATGGAATCAAACATGGTTCAAAACAGTGGCATATAGTAGTGCTACAGGTGGAGATCGTGCCATCCGCCCACAAGATCGAGGTCTTCGTCGATACTACCGTCGTAGGCCGCAAACTTCAAGGGCGAGTGATGGAGCGAATGCTTGTGAGCATCTCCAGTCTCGCGACGCCAGTCCTTCTCAAGGAAGAGACGACGGCGACGTTCAGACTGAGGAGACTCGCGCTTGGTCCGGGATCCATGATCGAATCCGGAAGAACCAAGGCCCCAATCACGGCGCCAATTGTTGGCAACTCTCTGGGGACCAAAGAGTTCCCGGGTCTTGAAGTTACGGCGCTTGTCTCCCAATTCAGCCCACTTGTCAACGTTGGGTGAGACCTTTTTGGGAGTGGACGACGGCTGGGGGAACGGACGAGGCGTGCTGCTGGAAGTCCCGGCGTCGCTGGCGACATCGAGGGACTTGGCACGAATGGCACGGGGGGCGGCGGGCGAAATATCCGAGATATCAATTTGTTCGGTAGGGGAAGCGGAGTCCGGCTCGCGCAATCCCGCCAGAGGATCCGGCAGGCGGGTGTTCTGGCTTTCCTGGCTCCAGCTGCGAGAGTTCTGCTCACGGCGCATCTGGAGTGCGGATTCTTCATTCTCCGATTCTTCCTCTTCCCAGAGATCACTCCAGCTCTTGGAAATTTGATCGTTCGCATGCTTACCAAACACCATCGAGAGGGATGGAAGGAGCTTGGAAGTATGGCTGGGAAGGGATCCAGTAATGGGGACAGGATCCGAGCGAGGAAGCTGTGGAGTTTGGTACTTTCGGCCAAGGTGAAGCGAGCGGAAGGACTCGCCCATGGCGGAATCCAGCACCGAGGCCAATGAGGAGGAGTCTGCATGGACAGAGAACCACGAAGTACCAGCCACCTCCGAGGGAGGGAACAGATCCTCGGTATAGCTCTCGTTGTCCGGAATGGCAGACAGCTGGCGAATGGCCTGAGGCGGGCTGGACTGGAGGGCCTTGGCCCAGGGGAAGGAATCGCCCTGATTAACTTGCGGGCTCTGGATGGAGGGAGTGCGGAGAGGCTCGCGATTGACAGTGGCAGTAACAACGTCACGATCCTCGGTGCAGAACTCATCCAGTGACTCATCATCGGTGGTAAAGGAAATTGCACGCAAAATGCATTGACGAACCTCAGCCAACGAGCGCTTGGTGGGGTCAATGGACATGCAGTGAGTCAGGATCTCAAAGGTATCCTGAGACATGTTGGGGAAAATGTCAAACAATGACTGACGGTCACGAACATAGTCCGCAAAGAGCACATCGGACTCGGTGGGCGTCACGAAAGGGTTGCGAGCAAACAAAATGTTCAACAGACAGACACCAACAGACCAAATGTCGGCCTGAGCAGGGGAGTAGCCAGTAGCACCGGGATCATACTGCTCAGGAGCCATGTAACGGTCGCTGCCAACGCAGGCTTCATGGCACCAGGGCTCTCGAGTAGCAAGGCCAAAATCACCCAACTTCATATCACCATCATGGGTCAAGAAGATGTTCTCTGGCTTGATGTCACGATGGTAGATACCATTGGCATGCATAAACTCGACAGCACTGATCAACTGAAGCATAAAGTCACGGACATGCTCAGTCTCCAAGGGGCCTCGGTTCAGACGAATAGCTTCGTAGAGATCACCATTGGCACAGTATTCCAGAACGAGGTAGGTGTGGTGTTCCGTCTCAAAGTTGTGAACCAAGTTGACCAAGTTCGAGTGGAAACCGAAGCGCTGGTGGCACTCCAGTTCTTCAAAGCGGTCGTCAGGTGACGAGTCGGTGGAGGCTGACTTGGTCAGGCATTTGATGGCGACGTCATTGCCAGTTGTGGTATCCGTTGCAAGGAAGACCATGCCAAAGGATCCATGGTTTAGCGGGGCCACAGTACGGAAACGACCATCCAAAAGTCGACCCTTGACAAAGTTGTCCTTGAGGCACTCCATGGAAGCTGATGTGGACATGATGATGTGATGTGTCGGTTCCCGAAAGGACGAGAATGGAGAGGGCGGTAGGGCGGAGATGGATATGGATGAAAATAAGATGCACAGGAGGATGAGGGCGGAGCAGAATCAGAAGCTCCAACAACGAAGACCGGAAACAATCTATGAACTGCTTCAAAAGACTTTGCACGTGAAGGAAAAAGAACACGTGAAACAGCAACCAGGCTAATGGGGGAGGTGGTGATTATTAGTCAAGAAGAGAAGTGTAAACAATCAGGCCAATAAATCCCAATAATGAGGGAACCACGCAGGTGATGGCGATAAGAAATCAGAGAGCAGATGGGTGATACTCCTGATCAGGTCCCGGTGTCATAAAAATATATCGGTAGAAAGTCAAGGTGGATAGACAAGGGAAAAAGAGACGAGAAGACGCGAGAAGAGTTGCGGCAGGAGACCCGACGGGGTGTATGGACGCTTAAGGAAAATGTGTAAAGACCGTTATTTGCTCATTGAATTGGTGTCGTTTTTGTTTTTCGTTGTTTTGAGAGAGATGGCGTGGAGCCTGTGGGGGAAACGATAGAACAAAGAGGAAGGTTCGAAGGAATGGACAAGATTGTTGTGAGTTCGGCCTGATGAAGAGGGCGAATGGAGAAAAGGACGAGAAATTTGCGCTGCGTAAGATCGTGACAAAGGTTGTTCAAAGATAAATCAAAGAAAAGACGTAAAACAGAAGAAGCCTGTGAACACCGGGTTCAAGGTCGAGGGCCGTGACTCAAGGATGAAATTGACGGATTAATGAGTCATGAAGTAGACCGGTTTGGCAGAGAAGGGGGATCAAGACGAGAAGCAGTAGTCGTCAAGAAAGATTTGAGGATCAAGCTGAATAGACAACTTGATTCTCGAATCGATGGGGGGAGCTGTTGGGATCCTGGAGGAGCACCTTCAAATCCAGGGGTCGGAAGAGTCGGAGTACTCAAAGCCAGGTTCCCGCTGTAGCCGTATCAACTCCCGGGTCGCTCAGGCAGCAATGCTCGCAGGCAGTTATGAAAAGATTGACAGCAGAAAGGAAGCTTGTCGTTCGTGGTGGATTGGCGGTGGACGAAGACGACAGAAGGTTGGTATCCAAGGGACGTTGATATAGTCACGGGTGGAGCCGGTATGACCGCTTGGAATTATGAGTCAACTGGGACTCAGTGGATCTCTAGGCAGAGCACAGAGAGAGGAAGAGATTCAATCGATCGATTGGGACGAGGAAGAGGATGGATCGGGAGAAGCACTCTTGAAGATAGTTCGTCCGTAGCGATACGTTGGGAGGCGATGATCGCAATGGGAAGAGTACCGCCGGTCCGGGGAAAGAGGAGGAGACGGGAGGGAGATGAAAGGAGATGGGAGGCGTCGGTGATGTAGGACAGATGGGAGGTGACGGAGAAGTGAAGAAGGAGAAGGGAAGAGCGAAGGGGAGGAACGAAGGGAAAGATGTGAAGAGGAAAGGGAAGATGATCAGGAGAGGAGGATGTTGAGATGGGGGGAACTAGTAGATGGGTATGGGGGCGTTCGAGGAGTCACCAGAGTCACTGGGTCGGAAGAAGATGGGGTGACGGTATCAGTACGGGACGGTATTGATTACGAACCTCGTGGGTGATCTCCGCCGAGGACCGTGGCAGTGTCAATTGGAGAGGAGTGGACACTAGACAGTGGTGGTGGACAGTGATAGACAATGGTGGACAGTACGGTCAATACAGAGAAAAGTATGTATTGAATACACTGCCAATACCATTAGAGCATGGAGTGTACACTGTAGAACGGAAACGGTGTCCCCAAATCGCCGGACGCATCTATGGAGTCACCGTATGGACCCGGTAAGTTTCCATAATTACTCAATACGATTACTATTCTTACCCGTACGCCACGCAATCACTGGATTGACTCTCCGACTCTCCGTCCTTCCTCTCTCTTCTGCGCACCTCATGAACCTTCCAGACATTCCATGACCCTGGGAAGGCGTCACCGTCGAGACCTCCCATAGTCCCCAGGGGCCAATCCACCAATCCCCCACCAGCCTGATGATTACGGAGAATTCACCATGTTTCTGTTTCCCCTCCATCCCATTGTTCCTATGCTGGGCAACCAACTATTGAACTAATGGGGAAGTGGAATCATCATCATCATCATCATCATCATTCCATTACATACAGAATCTCAAGTTTGGATCTTTGACACCAATTGATCTGCAGACCCATCCCAGACGGACTACGGAGTACTTCTCCTCCTCTATTGACCCTGGCCTAAACCTTAGGTCACTTTAGGGGGGCGGCAGGTGAACGGGACCTGCAGTACTAGAAAGTCCCGAGTACTCAGGAGACCCCCCAACAACAAAAGGCCAAGAGGCCAGAAGCCAAAAGCCAAAAGCCCCCAAGGTCCAAGTCCGAAAACCAGAGAAACAACAATCAGGGCCGGCGAGTCACGGCCGAGGGCGGATCAAGGTGGCGCACTATGCCTAACCCGGTGGATTGCGCAGCGGAGTCTGGGGCAACACCCAATCAGCCCCCATAATATCGACACTATTCCCAGCGTGCATGACGCCATGGATGGAGGATGGCGTGATTCTGTTCTCATTGGTTCTGCTCTGAAGGAGGGGAGGGTCCCCTTTCTCCTGCCTGCAGGCCCCGGAGTTTCTTTGCCAGCCTGCGAGTGGATTGGTTTGCCTTTATGCTTTATGCAGTTGGTTTGCTGGCCCTGGCTTGCAGCAGTAGCCAGCAGCAGGCCAGGTACCTTGAATGTACCCGACAAGCCCTTTCAGGCTCATGCAAGTACGGAGGAATTACATGCGATATATGCCTAACCTCACCGCGCAGAAATGAAGGTACATCGCAGCCAGTCCCCCGTCCTGGCCTGTGCCGCCCATTGTGCAGGTGCAGGATTTCGGCCCCAGTCAGATCCTAGCCTGGCTTAGACTCCCTTTCCCAGGGCTGCAACTAGCAAATCTGCGATAGCCTGTAGCGTGCAAGTGCCATCTACGCGCCGATACCCATAGATAGCATTAATTGCCAATCTTAGCACTCGACATACTCTCCAGTTCGTAGTATTCGTAGTATACATTGTAAACATCGCGCCAGCCCCCTCCTCCCCAAACAGACACCCCTGTCACACGCCCTCAACGTCAAATCTCCATTTTGGCGCGCGGGATAGCTGAGACAAATAACCGTCCCGACACCACGATATTTTGTGGGGTTTACCTGAAACGGGCATGGCGATCGGTCTATCAGGGGGGGGTGTAGTAGAAGACAATTGTCAAATGTAATGATGATGAACCGATCCAGTGGAGCAACAACAACCCCCCTTCACTATATTTACATACTACTCTCATTGTACTTCGAAGTGGTTGTTTTATCGTAGTCCAACAACAAAGACACGTCAAGCAAGAGTGGATCTCATCTCCCAAAGGTTCAAAGTTCAAACTGTCATCTGCACGTCCATCCAACCTAGTCCAACCTCCCACCACCAACACCCCCCGTGCTCGATTCGCTCTACACCCGAGTCATGGATATGTCTCATCTCCGGGCCAGGGACCATTCCTATAGGGCCCAAAGGGCAAGGGAGTTAGACACCCACGCATCCAACAACAGCGGTGAAGGATTTGCACGTCCACACGGGCTCGGTTCTGGCCTTCAGGGCTGACCGCCTCCTGCGAGGTGTCCTGCAAGGTTTGTCCTTGCATGAGCCGAGCCGATCGAGGTCAAAGTATTCAAGTATCAAGGTACTTTTACTTGTACTTGGCTGTTTGTTGTACAGAACTACAGATGGATAGGGTATCGCGGTATTATCGGGTTATACAGATCGAGGAACATGCTAAAGAGTTTCCTACATGTTTCAATTGCGTTCTTTTTTGACCTGGCACGGCATTTGGGAATGACGTGGAACTCAGAGACAAAGTGGTGTGGTTGCGACTGCGGGATTCTTTTGGGTTTGGGTTTCACGCGCATCACGCGATGAGATTCCTGGATTTGAGCATTTTTCAAGTACAGCAGCTGCTCTGATGAGGAGTATGTATGTAGGTCTACCAAATAGAAAGCCCTTCTCAACTACCGACAAGATAATATCCGTAGAGTGTAACCATCAATCTACCTGAAATCAACTTCCGCAAAGAGAAGGACCTCACCACCTTACTACAGCACTACAGCACTACATCAAACTCGGAGCATACTACACTAGTTCACATACCTCATACCAGCCCTGACGCGATGTTATTCGCAAACTCGGAGACGATCTCTCATGTCATGTCGCCTTCCCACCCACCCTTTCACACATATGATTTCCCGTGCCTCACACCATCGTCGCTGGTTTCCGTGCATTATGACGGCAGATCCTACGCAATATATTACAGGGATGAGGGATATAATCCGTCGTGCACGGCTCAGCTTCTGATCTGATGCTCTCTCACACCCCCTCTTTGAGCTTTCATCTCATCCATCCGTTCGGCTGTCGTCGTTGGCTGAACTGTAATATTAATAATGTAGGTCTCATATGTATGTATACATCTGGATCAATAATACGCTTATTCAGTCCACCTAGTGAGGGGTACAGTATATACTGTACACGGATGAGTGAATACTTTCATCTATGGCTCGACTATAATCCACTTGCATTGTCCTGCAAAGCCGGAGAATGAGATAGTTGGTAGAGGTAGCACACCCGGATATCCCCCAGTCCTGAACCTTGGGGCGAACTGGTATCGCGACCAGGGTTTGTATGGGTATTACAGAGTACATTCTACTAAATTGTCCTCTAGCGATGGCGTATCTACGGTCGGTGTATAATCATATCATATCACTAATAAGCATTAATTGGCCCCTCGAATAATACAAGAGATAGTCTTGAGCAAATTTCGTCAACGACGCGCCTTCCTCCCGACTGCCCCCATTGATGATCATGGTGATGATCGTATCAGATGCGAGTGTGCAACGTGTCGCGATATTCTTTGCTACAATATGTAACTATTTCCTATTTGGCCCCGTTGTCCC